ACTCAGAATATTTTTACGTATTAGGAATCAGCGGAAAAAGTTCCAAGTGGAGTCCATATTTCACTGAAATGGACTTTATTGAAACATTTTGACTGTTTACAAAGTTCGCTCGTTCTCGTAAAATTTTGATCCCTTGCGCGAAGGGATATCCCACGCGCGAAGGGATCGGGGCGATCCCTTTGTTTTTGTGAGCGCTCCCTTCTCGTTGCCTCTCGCTGCTGGGCGATCCCTTACACTCTGGGAGCAAAATGGCGCTGCGGCGCGCGATCCCTTTTCGTTCCCCCGCGATTCGACACCCTGACTTATACAGTAGTTGCTCAAATTGGTGCCGCTTCTGCAAAAATGATTAAAAAAAGCAAAGAGTTGATACAAAGACCAGAAAATAATGAAAATGAATCTCTAAAGTCTATTTTTTTTCTAATTGCTACAAAGTTCATTTCATTATTGAACTGTTGTATATTATGGTATTACAAGGTCATTATCATCAGTCCTAATGAACATCAATTTTAATACGGACAATTGCCAATAGAATATATTTTGTCTATTTTTTGTCGTTTGACTTCTGAGACGACCAAAACCGTTCGTCGAGACCAGGGGTGGATATTTTGATATCAAACCAGTTTTTCAAAACTGTCGAATCATTTATTTCATCGTTTCAAAATTTGAAATTTCAATTGAAATTTCAGGAAAAAGCCGATGCAATGACTGAAATCTACTGAAAGTGAAAAAATAGCGTTTTCAAAAGATAAAGCTTCGTGCGGAGTTTTGAAATGAATTTGAAACTGCAATAATTGACATTTCAATCAGTTTTTCTTGTTTAGCGACTTGAAAGGAATTTGAAAAATGAAATTGAAAAAATGAATCGTTGCAAATTTGAAGAAGGCGCAAAAGGAAAAACTCAGCACGCCTGCCATCCCTTTTTGACTCCCGCATTTCCCAAAATCCCGTATTTTAAAATCCTAAATTTCTGAAAATCTAGTATTTCTCAAATCGCCAATTTAGGATTCTGCGGATTCAGGATGATGGGAAATGCGAGATTTTTTTTCTTTTGAGTTAATTGCTTTACCAAATTTTCATTGATTGATCATATAACTTTATTTTCTTGGCTTCTCCACAGCCAATCCCGGCTTCACCAACTTTCATCCCGGCTTCAATAACTTCGATCCTCGCTATACATACGTCAATCCTGGTGGCTCAAACAACAATTCGGGCGTCACTTTCTTCAATCCTAGCTTCTCAGATGCTAGTCCCGGCTTCTCAGTTCTTTATAATTGCTTCTTGAATGTCGATCATGGCTTCTCCTAGATTAGACTGACGTTGGTAAAACCTAGATTGAAACTAATGAAGCCGGGATTGACGTCGAAGAACCTAGGATTGACATTAGAGAAGCTATGATTGAAGTAGGTGAAGCTAGGATTGAAGAAATTACGGTTCCAATTTTCGTCGAAAGAATATTGAGCTGAGCGAACGGCTGAGCGGTCGACCGAGCTGAGCGAGCAGACTTTGAGCAAGAGGACTGTAAGCAGTGTATTTTTTCCTCAAAAAATACTTTTTCAGTTTTTATTTTGAGTGTCGACTAGTGTCGGACATAAATTTCCGAAATGCGGCTGAAGAGTGTAAAAAATCTGAGTGTAAAAAAGAAGTGTTTTGACCAATTTTTCTAATAATTTCTGTTATTTTCTTCATTTACTCACCAAAAACACTAAAGAAAGTGTTGACTTACCGCTCAACCGCTCACTGATCTCATGTTGAGCGAAACCCGACACTGAAATTTCGGCGACCCTATAAAATCGGGTTTTTGTAGGCTATTTTCGTCGGATTTCTCGTCGGATCTACTCATAGGTTTGATTAAAGATCTACCAAGTCAATCAAAAATGAAAAGGATCAACAAAAATGAAACAGAAATTGATCCCTCTTTAACCCAGTCAATCAAAAATGAAAGGGATCACAAAATGAAAATTTTGCGATTTTTCCTGTCGAAATTCCATAAAAAATTTTCAAATCGGGCTTGCGCTGTCGAAATTTTTTTGTCGATTCCAGACACCACCCCTCAAAATTTTGGGAAAAGATGCTGGTAAGGGGGACATATAATATATCAAAATGATCCTCAGAACACGGGGATTCTAAAAATGCCGCATAGACACCCGTCATAAAGACTTGAGAAATCGGGGGGGGGGGGGATAAAATGACGATTTGGCGGGGTAAGGTTAAAACACAGTAAAAACAGCTCAGCCTTATTAGGGTCCGCCCAGCTCGGGTCAGCTTAACTACCTTAAAAAAAGTCTGCTCAGCTCAGCTCAATGACCTCTGAAAAAGGCCAGCTCAGCTCTGGGCTCGGCAAACTGTGTCAGGAACAGACACAGGAACAGGAAAAAAAAATTCTGTCCCACATTTTACACAGGTACCGCGATTTCATTTAGACTGTTTGCAACTCTCTCTCTGGTCACAAAAATCAAGCCTTTTTTGTGACCAGTAACAGGCAGGTTTTTTTACACAGCTCAGGTAACAGGTTACACAGGTCAGGGCCTGCCTAAACAGGTCTGAGCAGGTCAGAAAACAGAAAACAGGCCCTGTGACAGGCCAAAAAACAGGATATTTCTGTGAAAAATATTGCAAAAGAAAACAAAAAGACGCGAATTTATCGGCTATTTTAACTAGTTAACTCTTTATACCGTATATTATATAAATTATACGTCTTTCGCTATTGATTTCTTTAAACATCTTCCCTGATTTATGCAGTTCTTGACCAGATTACACAGGAACCTGTCTATGGTCAGGACCTGAGCGGAAAAAAACAGGCCTGTTTTAGTCAGAAACAGGAACAGGAACAGCATTAGAAAATTTTTTCCCCCGATTTTACACAGGTACTCAGACAGGTTCCTCAAAAACAGGAAACAGGACCTGTGACAGGTTTTTACACAGCTCAGTTTGCCGAGCCCAGGCTCAGCTCCGCTCAGCTCAGTTACCTCCGAAATAGGCCAGCTCCGCTCAGCTCAGAGAACTTTTTACTCGGGTCAGATTAGCTCGGCTCAGCAAAAATAAAGCAAAATTTGCAACTCTGCAGATAAGGGCCTTATCTTTTTAAAAAGCCGTAGCTGAGCTTAGGTAGCGGAGCTGAGAGGAAAGTTTAGCCAAGCGTAGCGGAGCTGGCAAAAATTTATGTGGCCGTAGCGGAGCTGGTCAGAATTTTCTACACTGTAGCTGAGCAAAAACTTTTTTTTCCGTAGCGGAACCGTCAGCTCCGCTATCTCCGCTACGCAAATTTCCAACTGTGGCCCCACATGTTCCAGTGTGTAGCTCAGGCTATGACGGTAATTTTGAGCGCGAGAATTTCTTGTCCCGGAAGGTCTAGGAAGTGGTACAAAGTTCGGGAAGTCGACCAAAAATTGGTCTTTTTGAAGAAAATTTTCCTTTTTTCTATAATTTATGAGCCTAACTTCACTTTTTATACCTCTTCAACGCATTGTGTCCTCCAGTGTCCTCCAAGGCTCAGCAATTTGAAATTGATTTGAAAAATGAAAAAAGATTGAAAAAATCTGTCCAGATTTGAAAACTTTTCGCAAAATGCAAAATGAAACAGTTGAAAATTTCAAAAAAGGCCCGGCGTCATTATCATTTGAAATAAATTTGCAATTGCGAAAATGAGTTGAAAAAAGGATTATCTTTTGAAATTTCAAATCAAAAACGGTTGAAATAATGATTTGATATCAAAATATCCACCCCTGGTCGAGACTCAAAGTCTACTCTCATCGCATCCAGACTTGCTGGCTCGTCTTGGTGGTGCATCCTCTCTTTGGTGGTGTTTATTCAACTGCTTCCGGAATCGCTGGCGGAGATCGTCCTCAAGCTTAGCTGGGAGGAGGTTCCGGCGCTTATCTCTCACGCCATCTATATCTTTCGCACCCGATAACGCAGGCGCTAGTTGCTCCCCCGCCGAGCGCAGAGAAAGATCATCCTGCCGATAATAAATTCGCCAATCAGAAGAGGGAAAGACTGATAAGAGCTTTTGATCCCCCGCTGCGCGGCTAATTGCTAATTGCCCCCTTTCCATCTTTGATTGTTTGCAAATTGGCCTTGTTTGCAAACCGGCGGTGTTTGGCCATCACAGCGGGCGATGAAAGAGGAGAGAATGTACATGAAGCCTTGGTGATAAGGCAATTCCAAAATCCGGCGCCGAATTTGATGTCCCACCGAGATGCATCGTCTGATTTCTGGGTTGTAAAAATCACTGATAACAGATTGATAGCGCGCTTCCGAAAACTCTTCCCGCGTCAGAAAGAAAAACGAAGGCTTTGGAAAAAAGCAAAAACACTGTTTTACGGCCAGTATACTTATGTACTGATAAACTCTCTCAACGACATGGAAAATTGGTCGTTAGGAAAATTGCTTTCTGCATAGCCAGGTGAGCATTCCCGATTATTTGTGACCCTCTACAGGTGCACCACATTTTTGCCTTATCGCGGCCGTTTTTCAAGCACTTTGCTTTTACAAATGTAAATTTACATTTTGACAGTCCTTTTTGGCTTCTGATTCAGAGTGTCCAAAACTCATTTGTCTGAAATCTGCTCTATTGAAAAAAGCTTTTAAATGACCATCAATAAGTAATTTATTTATAAAAGGAAACCACTGCCTTTAAACATACAGTACTAACACTTAATTACAGTAAAATAAAAACAGTCGCTACAGTCAATTAGTTCAGAGTCAGCCTCGAATTTCTAACTAGAGAAAAAATAATTTATTAATTAAAATTCGCTAAAACTAATTAATTTTTCGTTTGCATCTACGAAGATCAGAATAGTGCATCAGCGTTCTTTCTAATTTAAAATATTCTATTAGTAAAATGAAAAATGAAGAACAGACCGTTATCGTGCGCACAACACTCGTTTACAGTAAAAGCGCCGGCGATACAGAGCTCACAGAAAATTAATTTTTGAGAAGACGCAATATAAACGGGTGGCTTGGGGTGCGACCGACTCAGTCACCGGGAAGATAATTTGAAAATGAATTTTCTCAAATTGCTCAGCTTCTTGGTAAGTTAAAAGCAAGAGAGAAACATGCTGTTTAGTGGCTTTTAGGGGAACTTAAGGGGGTAGGGTCGACGAGAATAGGGATTTCCGTGACCTAAAATGCGGGAAAACCTGATTTGATAGGCAAAATTTGAGTTTACTTGTGAATAGAAAAGGGTGAAAGAATGTATTGGCAAGAATTAGAAAAATTTTTGGCCAAAAAAAGTTGGTCAAAAATCCCGTCAAAGTAGGGCCATTTTTGCGAAAATCCACCAAAAATGATCATTTTTTAACAATTTTTTTAGACTCTTGTCGCGGCAAACCCATACGAAGACTTCCGAAAGCGACAGTCTTCAAGTCCTGTGGATATGTTTATGTCACAAAAAAGAGATATTGGAAATACAATGTACGAGTATATGCTAAATAATGGTGTCGAAAAACGAATGGTAATCGGAATAATTATCTATTTATTAGTGACCTTTTTTCAGTCGAAATGGATGAGAAACAAGCTCGCAAGACCGCGACGAGAATCTGTAAGTACAGTCACACACTTTTAATTCGATTTTAATGTTCAATCAGCGCAATATCCAAAGAACGGAGCTTCCGAAATTCCCGATGCTCATGGGCTAAAAACCTTTTTCTTTTAGGTTGAAAACTGAATCAACCCCGTGCTGCACCAGTAACGTTTTACTGTCGCTACTGTCCCATTTCTTTATTTCCTTACTTACTTGCTTTCTTTCTTTATTATCTCTCTGCATTTATAATTCGAACTGAACAAGATTATTGAGTTGAAAATGCGTTTTTCCTTATTGGGGCAATCAAAGGTAGTACCCTTAGTTCGTTGGAGATTTTCAGTATTAGATGCCGATCTATCTGATGTTATTGAGTTGGTGGTGCTGGTCGCGATGCTGATAAGACCCTGAAAATTCGAAATGGCGTTTTAGAGTAGTGGCGCAGGCGGCCATCTGCCCTTTGAAGTCCTTATCGGCGTTTTTACGCATTTGGTGGCACCTGCGCCCGTCGCCGCGCGCGGCCACCAACGAAAAAAACTAAGCGCAACTTGCTAAAAGTCCAAAACAAAGCCGCCGCTTTCGTCGCAAATGCAAAACGGAAACGGGCGACGAGTGCCTTCAGCTGCCCAAGACACTACTAAGCAGCGAGCGACCTTGAGGAGGGATGAAAAACACAGACGCTTGAAAGGCCTTTTTTGCATTTTTTGCTTAGTAAGAAAGTCTTGCTCTATTTTAGTCAAAGTAAACTCAAATAGCTCCGGTCCCATTTTGCAATCAAGAATTGATGCCCTTCCAATCATGTTTTCATCCACGATATCTTATCTCAATAAACCATATGTGGAGCTTTAGCAACAAGACGGAAGCTTTAGCGTAACTTGAGCCGCGCCAGACAAAAGGCATATATGCCCGTAAGCTTTCCTGAGTATTTTACATACATAAGAATCAAGAACAGAGAGCAGAGAGAGAGAGACAGAATGTGTTTGTATTGTGACGGAGGGATTTGAGAGGAAATCTGAATTCAGTTTTTGCAAATAGGAGTAGGAATCAAATCCAATGCAAGTCCAGAGAGTTCTCCAGCAGAAGGGCCGCCAGTTTATCCCCGGTAATTTCTTATGCTAGAATAGAGAGGTCTGATTTGATGAATAAGCTGGTCGAAGTGGGAAGAATGGTCAAAGTGCGACGGGTCTTTTGGCTGCTTTGGGAATCGAGAAAGAGTCAGGGACTGCCAACTCAGGGTCGATTACAACATATTAAAGAGCTGTATTATTCAGTATTCATCTTGTTCGTTGGATGAAGCATATTTTATCCGATGTCGGAACTTATGGCTCGGTTCATTTCGAACTCTTGCCAGAAGCAAGAAGGATTGAAAGTAATCAAGTGGGCTAGTGAAGATACGACTATTCCTGGTGAAACAATAAATCTGCTGTCGGAGAGCGAAATGTACAGATTGTTTGATTACAGGAATGTCGTCATCTCATTTTCAGTCTTTTTTGAATACCCCGTTTGCGCATTTTGAAAATGACGACGATGAGTCCCTATCTCGGCTTTAAAATCTGCGGCACATATCAATACACCCGCGCGCAAACTTGGAATCCAAGACGCCAAGAAAAAGCAAGCGGAGGATTTTATGGTGGTCTTGGCTTTTCCCATGGGGACATTTTGATCAACCCGAATGCGAATAAGACGAGAGAGGAAGGAACTTGTAGCGACAGGGACTGCAGTAACTACACATCTTTCTCTTGACAGCCGAATTACATATTTCAGTGATGCTGACGATAATAACGCCAATGCTTGGATTCTGTGCAATTCTGATCCTCACCGGTGTGTTTTGGGAAATCATTGAAAACAGAAGAAACCCGCCTATCAAGCGCAATAAAATCACAACTGAAGATAAAATCAAACTCAACGTTCGTTTCAAAAAAATGAAATCAAGGAAGAAAACCTATTTTTAGAGAATTGTCTCAGCTCTCCAAAAATGAAGCGATTGCAAATTTCAGAATTGACATGTTTTTTGTACACGACCATTTTTGCTGTAACGAATAAAAAGTCAAGCACTTCATCGTAGGAAAAGCCAGACATACAGTAATATTTGCGATTCGTTAAAACAAATCTCGATTGTCAATAACTGCGCGTCGATTTGCCTGTCTTGAAATCTAAGAGAAAAATATTGGTGTAGAAAGATGACAGTAACTTGCTGTAATTGATCGATAGAGACTTATACTTGTATTAGGTACGAATTGACTTTGATCAAACAGGGGTGCGATTCAAAAATGTTGTCATAACATCTCGAGCTTCAAAACTCGTTCTTACTTCAAAATTTGATCTCCAAGCGAACAGGTTAACGGTATGGTTGCTTATTTTATTTTATCATAAAAATTTTTCTGTTACAAGGTCGTACAGGATCGTCAGCGGCCAAGAGATCAAAGCCAGCTGTGGAATATTTTCTACGACGACGAAAAGAGGAGCATCAGAATTATGTCCGTCGCGAATCCTGGGCTTGGACTGGATAACCATGATGGCAAAATGATTCTTATTCCTTATGAACATTGCCTTGGCCAAAGGTGGATGTAAGTCGGTTTGTATGAAGATTTAAGAAAATGATTAATAAAAGTGATGAAAAATATGAAAAGTTTTTAAGCTACGTCGGAGGATTTTTGTATAATCAGACGAAAGTTCTCGCTGCTCCTGGAAACTCAAACAGGCCTGGCATTCAACTTGAAGCAATTGATCCAAATGGGCAACATGATCATCGATGGGATTTTGTTCAATGCGACTAGATACGACTTCTGTTATAAAATGTCTAATAAAACTTCGAAGAAAACTTTAAATTTCTTGTCTGTACAGTTTTTCTGGGGCAATATACAGTTTCGCGTTAATAATACAGTATGTTCATTCATGGTCATCTGAGCGATGGTCGACGGTATTGTGCACGATTTCGGCCTGGCGATGCTGAAGAGAGTGTTTAAAAATTATGTGACCGCAGTGCGTTAGAGACGCTATAGAATGTGCGCGACGCTATCATTAAAATTTAAAAGCACCCGAATAGAGGGAGAAAATAGCCATTTTTCTTTGGAAGGAACATTCTCTAAGAAGGGTTCAAACAAGGTTCAACTTACTGATAAATAGGCGAACCAGTAGACCACGTTGAAGAGGAAGAATGTCAAGGGAAACATCACTCTGGAAACACGGTCGATGTGGCTGTCTCCTGTCATTGCTTCCATCGCCCGCTGTCTCATTAGACGACGATTTCGACGAAGTTTCTTCACAATACTTTTACTGAAATCATTTCATAAGCGCGGGCACTATTTTTAGTCTTTCAAAAAATTTCGGGCAGAACCAAAAAATGAATTGAGTTTTTGGATGACCAATAAGATGGCTGTATTTGGCCTACCGGCCAATCAAAGCCCTGATTCATCAAATCATTTCCATATTTTGGTGTCTGGTAGACAGGCACTTACTTATTCGCTAATTGCGTCCAAAAACTAGCTCCAGATGACCGCCCGAATCTGGACAAGATGGAGCCCGGTCTCGTGATCTTGGAGCGCGAATCATCGGAATTCGACATTTTGGAACTTGCGAAGCGTCTCCGGACTCCATTAACAGCGCTTGGCTGATAATTTCCATCAGAGTCCAGTCCCGAGTCTGAATCGTCTCCGTTGACTTCGAGTTGTTGGATGAGCGCGCGTGGTCTAATAACCGTAAAGTAATTGACAGAGGCGAATTCTATTAGCGCGGCAAAGCAATAGGTGAAGCAAGTGACGATAAACCAGTCCATGGCAGTGAGGTAAGACACGTTAGGTATGCTGCGCCGCTCCGAGATGCTGAAAACTACAGTAGCTGCTTACAGTAACTAACAGTTACTGACCTCAATGTTGTCAGTGACAGAACTGTCATGACACCAAAGACCATTCGCGCGGGCGTGGCTTCTTTATTCACCCAGAAAGACACCTAGTTAATCACCAATGAAACCAACCTGGCAGGAGTAATCTTACTTGTGATAATATTACAATAAGCATACAGGGCAGGTAGGTTTGGACGATAAAGTAGCCAAGGTGGCGCTTCAAGTGGAAGCTTATGATAAGTACAGAATATTTTCCGAATTGATGATCTTTTTCAAAGGATAAAAAGAAGATGCTTGAACTTTGGCCAGTACTGAATGTACTAGTAACGTAGAGAGGGGGCTATGATTCGAGCCATCCAATATCTCTAGAATCTGAGCTGGTGGTTAGGGTTAGGGACTGGGAACTCTTCAGGGGAATCCGGGGGGCGAAACCCCCTGATTTAGGCCCAAGGTGGGGGGTCTAGGGGGCGTAGCACGCTGGGTTAGGTTTAGGGTTAGGGGCAGCTCGAATGATAACCCCCTACTAAAGTACTGTACTGATGATATCCTTTCCTATTACTTCTTCTGTCCAACTATGGTGAAGCAAGGCAAATTGAATCAGCCTGGAATTAGCGGTTGGGCAATCTACGGGCTCGCTTTGTCCGCCCAAATTGCTCTTTGTCGTCCAGTTGAAGATCACGTCCTCAACCGTGTACCTAAAAGGTGTCGCTATTAATAATTCTCCGGGTCTCGAAAAACTTTAATAAATTATTGAAACAACCGACTGTTCTCAATGTTCTCGAACATAGCCTCCTATTACAAGCGACAAAAGAAAAATAAGACTTTAATTAATTTGTAGCAAACATAGATGGAGTGGGGCCCTGATTCAAGGAATAAATTAAATTTTAATTTCATATTATCTTTTTCGGGAAAAAATCAAATGGTACATGTTCCTTTAAAATTGATGGATTAAGGGTGTAACATTCAGTTTTCAACTAATTTAAATATCAGCCCCTTAGGAGCTCAAATACGAGTTTCATTCACTGATAGTAACAAGTTCGTATTCAACCATTTTTCAGTTCAATTTTGCCCCCTTTTCGAGGCCTACTCACCCGTAGGATCCATAGGTCAAATTGCAGGTGTGCACATCCATAGGGAAATTAGTAACAGTCATTGGGCAGTTGGCTCTGATAGTAAGTCGCGAGGTATACAGAATATCTCCAGTGGCATTAATCCGAAGTAATCTGTTGGGCAAGGTCATGTTATGGTTCACTAGAGTGGCGGATTAGTCCCCTGATCATCGCGATTGTCTGCAATTAGCATGAACAGTGCATCGATTTTAATGAGTTCAATTTGCTACCCTTCAATTTACAGTCAAAGGCACCTTTTTTTCTAAAAAGAACTGGACGAGTCATAGCGTCTAAGCGTCATTGCGCGCCAATTGCTTTATTACTATTTCGAGACGTTCTTTTTAAATTATTCAAAAACGATGTTATTCTTCCTTGATTCCGAAAATTATTAGTCGAAGTTTCCCTATGAATGGAAACCCTCGTTTTTCGGTTTTTGCCTGCAGTTAAGCAGGACTAATCCGTTCCTGATTTCTTTCCATTTCTAAAGAAGGCATCTGGAGTCCATATTCGATTAATCATGACATTGCTGAGGCTTTATTTTAGGTCCTCATTTATTGGTTTTTCTAATGTATGCCTTCGCAATCGCAATATTGGCTTCGTTGATTTATCAGAACATAGCTAAATAATTCAGAAAAAAAAACAGCGAAAAAAGACGATTTTGATGACGGTACCATTCCTGAGAGACTTGATATGGGTAGCTTTGAGTTCTCCGTTTTTGCTCATGATTGACTGATAAGCGAGTCGAGGATCTTTCCATTTCTGGCGCAGGAACATGTCAACTGTGAATTCTCGTTTTTGATCATCCACTGGTCCGAAGCCTGAATTCTTAGTTCTACAGATTCTCCCATATAATCTGATTAAGGCCTTTTATCCTCCTCTTTAGGGCAAAGTTTACCTGTGATGAAAACATCAGACTGAACATACAGGGGTTTCTTGCCAATGTCTGGCCTAAGTCGATGATCATAATCGAGTAGGATCGAGTCCAAAGTCGCTGAAACTTCTTTTGCGGTTGGATCCTTTATCTGGTGTCTTCAACAATGACTTTGCCGAAGAAGAAACGCACTATTGAAATGCAAGTTGCAATTTATCGATAATAGAACTGTTAATCAAGAGAAAGCTGTCAGATTTGGTCAAGAAAATTATTGATCACAATATCGACTAGCGGCCCCTTTTTACAGAGAAGGCAAGGTCAAGATTTCCCTCTTTCGACACGATTCCTTTGCTTTCACCATGGAGGCCTTCCATAGCACCAGCAGAAGCCATATCCACATCGCATGGGTGCCCCTTAATGAATTTCCACTCAAGTTCTCTTTCGCGGCTCTTCTTTTTCTCTTTTCAACTTTTCGTCCAAGTTCTTCATCGCATCTCTCGTCCAAAATAGTTTTTCAAAATCACTTTGATTCAGAGTGATAAAAATCCTTTTCTTTTTCTTCCAAAGATAAAATATCGAAGGGAGAAAATAACGAGAAGTGAACCAGAAGGGCTGGCCGTAGATAACGTGTGTGGCGCCCTCAGCCGGGTACAACGAGCTGGGCACCCGCTCCAAGCCATTGGAGATGCATATGTACCTCACAACACGAATGCATGCAAGCAGATTGGAGCGAGCAGATAAATCGCTCGATTAACGAGTAAAAACCCTCTTCGACCTCATCATCTCAAGCTCAACAACGGGCTTAGACACACGTTCTTTTCACTACTGTATGAACTAACATTTCATAATAAAGGGAACATCCAGAAGTTTGAGGCTGCCAACAACGAAAAGAAACGAAAAAGAGCGTCAAATGTTATTTTTTGATGAGTTTACTTAGCCCCCGATAATGAGCTCTTGACCCTTATTTCTGCCCTCCGATAATCAAAGATCCTGCCAAACTGGTCTTTCTAGCTCAATTTTATCGCACTGTAACCGGGTGAAATTTGTGTAATGAGTAACTACAGGGGACAGATTGCATTTTCTACGAGAGATGTTTACAAAGACAAGGGTCGAGAGGAGGGAGTCAGAAGGAAGAAAATAACCATGGATCCGGAGAAAAGGGCCGGTTCGCCATTCATTTGCGTGCATGAGAAAATCGTGGAGATGGTGAACCTGGGAAAGATCGGAGTTTATCAGGAGCTTGTCAAAGCAATTGCGCGAGAGCAAGAGCGCGCTCAGACACAGGTCTAAATCCAGAGACAAGGAACTGGCTGAATACAAGCCTGCTAGAAGATCAAAGTAAGTTCATAAAAATTATTGAAAAACAAAAAATAATTTTTAATAAAAAATTAAAAATCAATTGCCACTTTTTCATATAAGTGAGTGAGAGGGTGAATAACGAGTAGCCTAATCAGCTAGTCTTTAGTGAGTAAACTCTGGCTTTTGCTTTCTCTTTTATTGACATTAAAATTTAAGTTCACGCAGCAAAAGCCCGTACGAGCTAAATCGAGAGAAGCATATTGCCGATGAAGCTTTGAAAAAGCGCCATTCACTCAAGTAAGTACCGATAATTTAGTCCTCTTTGTCGATCCTTACTCGCCGTGTCAAGTCGTCTTTGTTGGGGTTGGACGCTTTCTTTGAACTTTGATTGATGAATTTTATTCTTTTTTCTATTTTCTATTCAGATCTCCAACGATCCCGAATCTGAATAGTAGGGAGGGTCGAGGAATGTCCAGAAATGCGACGAGTTTGAATACAAGGACAGTGTTTGATTTTTCCATGAGACCAAAAAGGGTCGACTTCAGAAGATGACTGAAGAAAATGACTTCCAAAGTGACTGTAAAAAAGTGATAAGCGAGCAAATAGAGAGCATAAGAGAGAAAATCGCGGGAATTAAAGTTCCCATTTTGAAAGAGGATGAAAATTTCAACACTGAAAAAAGAGATCAAGAAATCTTCGACTTCCCAAAAGACCTGGATCCTGCTGAAGTCAAAGTAACAAAGGTGTGTATCATTGTTATCAGTTAATTTTTGTTGGACAGAACCCAGCGGGAGATACTATTTGATGTGGTCGCCGCGGGCAGCGTCAGAAAACCACCCGGTGCTGCCAAATGCATATCTACTAGAATTTTACCCGAATAGTAGTAATACTCTGATTTTAATTTATGAAACAATAAACAAGCAATAATGCCAAGAGGAATCGCGAAGGGCTCGATTCTCGGCGAAGAGAAGCCGAAAAAGAATGTTGAGCGCAAGCCAACTTTTCTATCCTTCTTCAAGGTATAAACCTAAATAAATAAACAGCCAAATTTTCAAACAGTCATTTTTCTCTATTTAGGAGCCTCCTGTTTCGTACAGGACCATTTGCAGACCGGTAATCTGCACGGAAAACAGGTGCAACGAAATATCCTGAACCGATATTCTGACCCTCTTTTTTCAACCTTTTTTACAGATTTTTTCAAGATTTTTTCAATGATTTTTTTGTCAAGTTGAAGATCAAGTCTCTCAGACTCGCAATTAATTGAATTTTAGGGCGGCGGGTTGGAAATGATTGGCGGTTTTGTTGGCTTTGCTAATTTGCCGAATCAAGTTCATCGGAAATCTGTGAAGAAGGGTAAATGCCAGATTAATCTTTTAATAAAGCGGCAATAAAACTGCTCCCAGGCTTCGAGTTCACGATGATGGCGGTGGGCGAAAGTGGACTTGGAAAATCAACGCTCATTAATTCGCTCTTCCTGACGAATCTGTACGAGGAACGAGAGGTCCCAGAAGGTAAGTGGTCGAAACTGAAGCAACAAATGGAGATTTCAATGGTCAATACGCTTTTGTCAACTTGAAACTTGGAATTTATTAAATTAGAGTGTTCTGATTTATTAAACACGCTTTTAAGCCGCCATCAAAGCAAAACAGACAGTTTCAATAGAAGCATCGACGGTTGAAATAGAAGAACGCGGTGTTAAGGTACTCCTAGCCATTAGCCATTTGAGAAGAGTTTTTTGTTCTGACGTCAAATTAATCAAAAAAGACAGAATGACACAAATGATGATTTTTGATAATTTCAGCTGCGATTGACAGTGGTGGATACTCCCGGTTTCGGAGACGCAATCGATAACAAAAATGCATTTGACCCGATTATAGAATACATCGATAAGCAATTCGAGGTAAGCCGCTTTCCGTAACGACTTGACAGTTACTGTACCGATCAATCAGAAAGTAGAATTGGAAAAAACTGAATAACGCGAGGAAATACTGACTTTAACCTTTTCATTAAGAGATACTTACACGATGAGTCTGGACTAAACCGGCGCCATATTGTGGACAATAGGGTTCATTGCTGCTTTTACTTTATCAACCCTTGTGGACACGGGTTGCGCCCAATCGACATCGAATTCATGAAAACGCTCCAAACGAGGGTGAACCTTGTTCCACTCATCGCCAAGGCCGATATGCTCACGCCAAAGGAAATTAAAAAGTTCAAGAAGCGAGTTTTGGAGGAGCTCGGAAAGAATCAAATCCACATTTATCAGGTAGTTGTTTCAAAGATGGATGAGATCTTACGTATCCTTAGCTGCCAGACGTGGAAGACGACGAGGACGAAGACTTCAAGCAGCAAACCCAGCAGCTAAAATCAATGATTCCCTTCGCCGTCGTCGGTTCAACTCAATTGATCGAAGTCAAGGGCAAAAAAGTTCGCGGCCGTCTTTACCCGTGGGGAGTCGTAGAGGTCGAGAATCCAGATCACAACGACTTCACTGGCCTCCGAACTATGCTCATGTAATTCATGCACTCCCTCAGTGTTAACACTAACCTTCTTATTTAGCTCGCACATGCAGGACCTTCAGGAAGTGACGCACGATCTGCACTACGAAAAGTACCGAGCAAGTCGACTTGGCGACGAGCCCGAAGCCCCGATGATGGCTCCCATGGGCTCGCGGCCACCACCCGACGCCGAGAAGGATCGCATCCTCCACGAAAAGGAGATGGAGCTCCAAAAGATGCAGAAGATGATCGAGCAAATGCAAATGCAGCTGACCATGCAGGAACGCGTTGTTTGAAATCAAAATAATAGCAATAACAGGTTCAAACTTGCCAAAACTCACGGAATATAAATATTCAAAATGTGAAAAAACAATGCTCAGCAAAAAGCCTCGGCTTCGGCGGACAAGAACTCAAAATCTCACAAAGTCTAGTCTTTTTCTTTCACTACCGGTATCGCCTGTCATCTTTTGCCTCCAAATTTCACTAAAACAACCACAGCTCTTTCAAAATAAACGATTGTTAATCAATTCGCCGGTTCTAATTATGCCTTTCCCGTCAAAAATTGAACAGGTCTAGGCCGTTTCTTTTGACAAAGTCTCTACACGTCCCTGATTACCAACTCTCATCCTTGATATCGATCAGAATTGGTAAATTCAAAATTTGAATATTCGATTTGAATTTATTCTTCGTTTGTCATTTCCAAAGGGCAGTTTTCCAAAAAGAAGATCAGAATGTATACAACAGTAAATTTGAAAATCAATGGTAGTATGGTGGTTTTCGAATGGTGATGCCGATTTTCTCCGTGGCCTGGGAAAGATCCTCCATTGTCAGCACGTTCTTGGGCTTGTCCTTGGATTTGCTGCCCGCGTTGCGCATTTCTTTATTGGCTCGGTTGAGGGACACCTGGCGCGCGTCGAGCAGAATGTCCGAGATGAACTTAATTGACGGTCAAGTCGATTCAAGTTGGAATAAATACCTTCTGAGCAGCGAGGGAGGCGATTCGGGCGATTCGCGGATCGTGTTCTGTGTCAAGCCCGGATCTTGTTTGCTCGTGTTTATATTTTTGAGAATTAGGGTTGAGGAATACCTGCTGAGTAGCAAATGACTGACGGTATCTGGCAGGACTGGGGTGAACTCATGGACATCGATCAAGAGTTGCTCGATAGGTTGATCAGGATTTACTGGCATTTCTAGGGCAAAATAAGTTGATTCAGGGGGAACTACTGTAATTGAAACTGAATTGATTTCAGAAATCGGCAGAAGAATCAGCAGCTACGAGAATAAATAATCAAGAAAATTAATAGAAAATCGCGAGAAAAAAGGTCGAAAACTGTTTACAGTTTCGCAGAGTTACAGTCGGAAGTTTCCTCCGCCCGATACAGTGTACGATTCTCCAGTAACGTACGACGCGCTTAAAAATTCTGTAAATAAACTTATAACAAAGAAGAAACTACCGTTCGTCGTCGGAGAGAAAGGCCACAATGCCACTCATTTCGTCTGGAACAGCAAATCGCTTCAGCGCGAATTGCTGCGAAACTTGGTCTTCCATCTCGACGATGGCGCCGGCGAATTTGGTCTTGACGACGCCTGGGCAGACAGTGTTGACTCTGATGCCCTCATCGGCGAGCTCCATGGCCAGGACTTTTGAAAGCGAAATAAGAGCGGTTTTTGAAACAGAGTAAGCGCCAAGCATGGGCATGGGCTGATAACCAGCGATGGAGGCGATAGTTGTGATGTTGCTCATTTCGTTTTGGGCGAGATGCGGAACGCATTCTTGAATAAGCTGGAACGCGTTCTTCACGTTGATCTCGAAGATCTTGTCCCAGGAGGCTTCGGGAGTGTCGAGAATGCTTCCGAAAAATGGATTCACTGCGGCGTTGCTAACAAGAATGTTCAAGCTCTTGTCTTTTTCCATGACCGTCTCAATCAGCTCATGTCGGTGATCTCTGTTGCCCACGTGACAGACTGAAAATATCAATATTTCGCGCAGAAAGAGAAGAAAACGTACCCATTCCATCAACATCCAAATCCATTCCCCGAAGCTCCTCAAGCGCAGAATCGACATTTTCCTGCTTTCTCGACGAGATCCAAACTTTGGCCCCATCCTGCGCTAATCGCTTCGCGATAGCGAATCCGATACCATCGGTAGAAGCAGTGACAATCGCAGTTTTGCCGCTCAACGCTTTTGCTACTCGAGAAGTGAGTCTCATTTTTGTTCTGACAGTCTGAGAACTCAATGATAAGAAAATATGAATCTATTTGTTTATTGAATGAAGTTCAGAATAAATAAATTGAAATTTATGCAAGAGGAAAGCCAGTAGCTTGGCTCCATTTCTTCCACTCGACTTCGCCCCAGCTCTCGTTCCACTCTTTCCAGCCGCCTAAAATATCAGTTCTCTTCCTTGATTTCTGTCGATTACTTCACCTGTGTAATTATAACCATTTTGCGAGTTGAAGAAGGTCTCCCACAAATGAGCAGCGCGATGGGATCTCCTCCCACTCATGCAGTAGAAAACAACTTTTTGGTCATCTTTAGGTTTTGGGAAATCAAAGAGCAATTCGAAGTTTTTGTCATTTAGGCCCTCCAAATCTGGGAACTCGCCAAGGGCGATGTGATTCCAATTAGCGGCTGGAATGGTGCCACCTTTGACCTCGTTGATGTCGCGCACGTCAATGACGACAACATTAGGGTCGACGGAAAGCTTCACGAATTCCGCCTTGTCGATATTTGTCAACGATCGACGGATTAATGCGGGTCTTACTGCTCTTAGCATGCTCTGAACAAAGACAACAATTATATTTTTTGTTTTTTAAATAATTTATTAAAATTCTTAAAAGCTTGAACTTTCGGACTCGCGTGCAGCTGGCAATGTAAATGTTTGAGTATCCCGTGAACGGGTGAAAGCGATTGAAAAATAAAATATTCTAGTTGTTTTAGTGGCAGGAAAGACAGCTTCTTAGGGTTCGTCGGAAGGCCGAAATCTTTCTTTTCTGAGCTCTCGTTTCAAGCTGAAGATTTGTTCTTCGAGAGCGCGCACTGAATCGACATGCTTTGACTTGAGCTGGTTTATTTCTTCTTCGAGAAATTTTTGCTCGTCCAGGCTGTGCGACAACTCGACTGCTTGCTGCGCAATGATAGCTTCTTTCTGCTTGATGACTTCGTTTTTTTCTTTAATTTCTTCGTTTTTTTCTTTGATTTCTTCGTTCTGACTCTCGATCACTTCAGTCTTCTGACGATTATCTTCGATGAGATTGTTACGACCAGTGATTCGAACGATTCTGTCGTCGATGAGCGCTCTAAAACAAATGTGAGCTAGGCTAAATGATGATTATTTACCTGATCAATTGGGCGTTCAAATCTGCAGACTTCCCAAACGCCTCTGCGGATATTTTGATCAAATTCGCATTTTTAATTTCATCAGAAAGCGACCCTTCTTTTCCAATCATCCTCTTGGCGTTTTTTACAGAGCATTGGAAAGGTTTAGAAGTCGTATTCGCGGGAGTAACGGCGGACAATGGCGATCTAGCATCAGGTGTTGACGTTCTGGGTATTTGGGAAAAATTATCTTCGGAGAGAGGTGCCGAAGACTGTGATGGCGTTCGGATCAAATGAGGCATGCTTGGAGAAAGCAGCTCTCCTTCGGACGATAACTCCATGTTTGAGGGCGGACGACGCAAGTCTAGGCCAGGAAGGGACTCGTCTTCGCTGATGGGAGTATTGATCTCAAGATGATCATCATTTGCGTCGGAGGAAGTATGCGCCTTCTTAGAGCTACTTCCAACCTGATGTAAGGTCGATGAACTTTGTCGCTTTGAGCCAAGAGGAATGAATACTTGAGTGTGAGGAGCTTGAAGGCGACGGGAGGTTCCAGGTTTATTGTTGTTTGGATGATCGAAGTCGATGAACTGCTTTGGCAAAGATCCATTCTGGGAGTACGTCGATTCCGTAGAGTAGATTAGGTCGTTCAAGTCTTCTGTGTCACGAGGAATCACTTCGATGTCTGGAAGTTCGGGATCGACTGGTTCAGTCTTGAAAGCCTCAATTTCCTCGTTCATTTCGCGATGATTTGTATCGCGATGATGATTTGGAGCACGCTTTTCCAAGCTTTTTCTTGTGAAGAAGTAACTGTCCGGCGGGAAACAATTCGCGAATGAACGAAAGCAAGTCCTCATTTCCTTCACTACTCTTTCACTCGGTTGCGTTCCGTCACCGAGTGTAAACGTTCCGATACTTTTCAGGTCCTCCTTCATGTTGTGTTTGAAAAGCTTCTTCAAATAAGCCTCCTTTTCTTTGGGCACCTCAAACTGGAACACACATAGATTCTCTTCGATCGAAAAGCTTTCCGCGTAATTGAAGTTTGAACCATCAATTAGGCTAGTTCTCGTCCGGAGAAAGCTGAGAAAAGTTTCAAAGTTTAATAACGAGATGATATAAAGTTAACTAAATAAGAGACTTAGAAAATTAAATTTCCACTTCTTTTGAAACCATTCCTATCAATCGCCCTTGATTTCCAATCGAGGTCGACCTTCAGGAAGAACATATTCTCGAACTCTCCATCGTATTTTCGTACCGGGTAGAAAAGGCTCACTCGACGGCAAGCTTCGTATGGAATCCACAATTTACTGGGGATTTTTTCAATGGCGTCAGGCAAATATTTTCGAAATCGAGTGGGGATATCGATGTCGAACTGCCTGGGCGCCACAGGACTGTGATAGAAGTAGATCCTATTGGAGTCTTCACAATGTCGTACAGCGTTGCCCAGGAAAATCTTCCGAAGCCTGAAGGAGGAGATCGTCGGCTCTGGCCCAAAGCGTCGATCATAAGACCGCCGATGATGAGACGGTTTTTGATGGTGGTGCATTGTTGATTCCGAATTACGCCAGTCTGAGAATCCAGAGATTGAAAACTTCGAAAAATTATTTAAAAGAAGGAAGAAAAATAGATTTCAGTAGAAAAAATAGATCAATAAAAAGAAAGGCTTGGAGGTTGGTGATTTTCGGAAGATAGAAAAGTTCGGTTTCGCTTGTTTGAGCTAAGTTGCGTGTTCCCAGGTGTTGCCCTGGAGACTTTTGACATCGTTGGCCATCTCGAAGTCGGTGCTGGCTCCGACGTTGAGTGTTGAAAAGTCTAGTGTAGGCATGGATCTAGAATGAGAGTAAGAATGAGCGCTGAAAATTGCTCGTACTTGTTTCCATATCCTGGTGCTCCCATGCCGGTTTTGATCTGATTCGTCAAGCTCAACTGATGCGGCGTAAGTGGCGCGTCTCGAATGCTTCGGGAAGAATTCAGCGCCATCGCGAACTGATTGATCGTCGCCGAGTTCATTTCGTAAGCAGCTGTATCGGTAGGCGGCTAGAAGAAAGAATTTAATTGAGAAAACCAGTGAAAAACTAAACCTTGACTTGAATAGATCTTGATTGAGAACGAGACCTGGGCGCGGCCGATTGTGGCCTCGTGTATCGACTTCCCGTCGCAGTATTCGGCCGGCTTATGGTCACAGATTTCTTTTGCGTCTTGGTACCGGTCTTTTTGAAATTCGAGTTGTCCAACACATTGTTACGGTGAATTTCAGTCGGATGAGGTGCATTTGAGCGCCATGGTGGAGGCTCCCAGACCTAAAAAGGACAGTGGTAAAGTTACTTTAGTTATTTTCAAACTTTTACCTTTGCTGGGGGCTTTTGCTTCTTGGGTTTCTTTGTCTCTCTCGCAGATTTGACCGGATCGGGGATGATCTCTCTTGGAACTGGCTTAACTGCTTGTTCAGTTACTTTCAAAATGTAGAAATGCTTCCAAGCGCCGTGCTCGAACTGGCTAAAATGAAGTGAATAAATAGCAGCGTTGGTGGATCTAGAAACGCGCGCATCTCCATCTCGAGAAGATCGCTCTTTTCTACGGTAGAAGCAGCTCACCTTGGCTTGTAGGGCGGGTACCAGCCGAAGCGCAAGCATTTTGGCCTCCAAAGTTCATCCGACTCACTCAGAAACTTCCAGTACCACGAAACCTGAGCACATCGCGAAAGCGACCTCGGATCAAGGAACTTCAAGATGTGCAGCGATATCTTGCGAGGCAGCTGCCGAGAGAAATCAATTCTGTCCGTCGGAAAACGCTCGTCAAGCTTGTCTTGAAGGAGACGAATCTGCTTGTTTGTACAGACTCCTAATAGATTTCCCATAACTTCCGCCCTGAATCGGTTTTTTACGAAATTGAAATCAACAAGGAGGATTCCTGCCTTTGCTGGCCGTTCCATTTGCTCCACCACTTGGTGACTAAGTCCCTTCTTTCATGAAACATCTGCTCCTTAGCTTCCCCGTTCGACTGTGGCGTCCAAGTGGACATTTTAATCCCCACAGATTTCGACGTCCCATTCGGCCCAAACGACATTTTCTGATAAAAAAATACACATGAAAGCTTGTTTTTGTATATATTTTTAGCGATATTTTCTGTTCGATTTCATTGGGATCAGAATTCATTCAAATTTTGCAGAGTGAAATATTATTCTTTCGAGCGATATTATCATGAAATAGCTTTAAAACACAACTTGAGTGTGTATTTTTAGAAAGGGCAGTAAAGAAGGAAAATCAGCTCGGAGCATTTTTTTGCAATAAATAGCTCGACGAGACTGCAGATGGGGAACGAAATATTAAAATTATTTCTTTTCTTCTTCATCCTCTGGAGAGTAGGCCGGACTAGCGGGGCTATAAGCCGGGCTAGATGGACTGAAAAGAATGGTAAATATTTGATGGTCGGCAGCTAAAAGTTTACCTGTACGCGGGAGAAGTCGGGCTATAACTTGGACTAGCAGGAGAATAGTTACTAGGTGAAGTAGGGGAGTAGCCGGATGGCGAAGCAGGGCTTTTGAAAATAGTAAGAAAGAGAGCTTAAAATTTTTGAAAACCTGTATTGCGGACTGCTTGGTGAGTAATTAGGTGATGTTGGCGAGTAACTGGGACTGGCCGGTGAATAGGCGGGGCTTGAAGGACTGAATAGAAATTGATAGGAAGAAAAATTATGTAATTACGAACCTGTAATTGGGACTAGAGGGGGAGTAGGTTGGCGAAGTCGGTGAGTAAGCCTTCGATCCAGGAGTTCCTCCATCGCCGGGAGTGTATTTTGGTGAAGCGGGTGAATATGATGGCGAGGAGGGGCTGAAAAAGATAGAATACAGATAGACAAGGATGGCAGTGATACCTGTAGGTCGGGCTGTACTTGGGACTCGACGGGGTGTATGCTGGTGAAGAGGGGGAATACGAAGGCGATGTGGGGCTAAAAATTGGTAGGAAAGTACAAAATAGGGATAATCTAACCTGTAACTTGGTGACGTAGGGCTGTAATTCGGACTTGTCGGTGAGTAAGAGGGACTTGTCGGCGAATACGACGGCGATGTTGGCGAGTAGCTCGGCGAAGTTGGACTAGGGAAACGATTAAAGACGAGTTCTGAGATTGAAGTTTTACCTGTAGCTCGGGCTCGTGGGAGAGTAGCTCGGCGACGTCGGGCTATAAGATGGCGATGTTGGCGAATAGCTCGGTGAGGTCGGCGAGTAACTGGGCGAAGTCGGAGAATAACTTGGCGAAGTCGGACTGTACGACGGACTGGTGGGACTGTAGCTCGGAGAAGTCGGACTATAGCTTGGTGAAGTGGGGCTATAGCTTGGCGATGTTGGTGAATAACTTGGAGACGTCGGGCTGTAAGATGGACTGGTTGGGCTGTAACTCGGAGATGTAGGCGAGTAGCTCGGTGATGTCGGCGAATAACCTGGCCCATCCGGTGAGTAGTTCGGCGAATATCCAGGAGACGCGCCAGCAGGACTCTGAGGCTGGTAATGCGGACTCTGTGGAATATCTCCGTGCCCGGGAGAGGGCATGAATGGTGATCGAGGCGACATCGCGCCAGGAGAAGCTCCGGGATAGTTGGGAGTGTAACCGGGCGAGAAGCTGACGTCTTCGCTCTGCGCGGGCGAGAACATACCACCAGGAGTAGCACCACCACGGGGAGTGTACGGCGTCCATCCAACACCAGAAGGCGTCGCACTTCCATCTGCCCACGGCATCGAAGGAGTAAACGAGCCGGAAGGAGACATTGCTCCGCCAAACATACCGCCCATGAAGTTGCCACCGCCATTGCCAGGAACTTCCATCGCATCTTTACATTTTTCAACGTCGAGGACAAGCTGGAAGCAACCAGTTCCACCAGGAATTTGCTGCCCGAGCATGATGTTTTCAGAAACACCAGTAAGTGGGTCTACTTCTGCAGCAGCCGCAGCAGTCATTAAAATATCGACAGTTTCTTCAAAAGAGCATCGCATGAGAGCACCAACGTCTTGTCGATTAACACCGTGTCGAGTAATAGCCATCAAGTGACCGCGCGAGGTCATGACATCGCACAACATAGACATGTGTCTGTAGTTGACATAAGAACCATCGAAAGAGATGACGTTCGTGATTTCTCGCTCGAGACATTTTCGGACAGCTTCAACACCAAGAATTTCGAAGCACTCGCAAATATCGTTAGAGCTCGTTCTAACAGTATCAATATCTCGCTGAGACAAAACTTTCATTAGCGCCGTTCCGTCAGTTTCAAGGATCCAGTCTTGCTGAGAAGCGAACTCGCCCTCTTTGTTGATGAAGATTTTCTTTTTCTCTTCTTCCTTTGGCAAGTTCATGTATACACGAGAAATGGATTCAATGCCCTGAAGAGTCATGTCGGACAAGATATTCGCCTCGATGTATCTCAAGAAGGTGTCGTCTTCCATCTTGTCTGCAGCTTCATCTTCGTCTTCAGCATCTTTTTGCTCGTTGTTCATTATTCTGACTCGCAAGACCAGCTAAAAGTACGAATTTAACACTTATCTCGAGAAAGAAACTTTACCTTATCGGCGTTATCATCGTTGAAAATACAGTTGAGATCATCGCCAAATCCATGGTTGATCTTCTCTGAGATCTGTTCCATTGTCAACTTTTTGTCTGTCATCTTCTTGCGATCGAGCTCAATTCGAAGGAGCCAGGGAGAAATTCTACTGACATCGAAGTCGGGCATTTCGTAGTAAACTGAGACGAAATCCTGATCTTCTTCAATGACGGAGTTCATCGGATGCGGATCGTAGAAAATGGCCGTGTTCGCAGTGACGGTTTTCATTGTCGTGTGTTCAAGTCGGCAAAGGACATCTTTGCACATTTCCGCGTCACGCGCATGCTCGCCGAGGAGGAAGATGGTGACTGAAGGCGTCTTTGGCTTCTTGGTGATGTTGATCAACTCGTTGAGACGAGGGACACCAAGGGTGACGTTCTTCGCGGACACACCAGCATAATGGAAAGTGTTCAAGGTCATCTGAGTGGCCGGTTCTCCCAAACTCTGGGCAGCAAGAGCACCAATCATTTCTCCTGGATGCGTGATGGCAGCGTTGAATTTTGACTCGATTTCACCAATGATGTAGTCGAATGCTTGTGAATTCAGGTAATACTCTTCAATGACACGCTTGGAGCACATGGTCGAGCGCATGTGAATGTTGAACAACATAGTAGCGTTGTTCTGAGCTTCGATTGAGAGTGGATCAGTTCCGGACACTACGATAAGACGCTTTGTGAGCTCTTGGACATCCTCGACGATCTTGATTGGGTCTAAGTCAGATTTAGTCTGCTTGGTGAGACTGTAGATTTTCTGAGCGTTGATGATCATGCGCTGCATGTTACAAGGTAGCGCGACTCGTGTTCGACCACGAGGGAAGATATTTCGCACTGTCTGTCGATCGATACAGAGCTGGTCAAACTCCTCGTCAACTTTGTTGTGGATTTCCGGGTTTGACTGAATTTCACGGACGACGTCTTCCTGGAGGCGTTTTCGAAGCGTCTTGTCGTTGGTATAGTCGAATCGGAACTTCTTTTCGAACATTCGATCAGAGAGCTTGATCGTGGACAAGTTCTGGAACTCGACGTGCTCACCGGCGAGACCGTCCTCACCGTATCGGAACTGGATAATGTTGTTGTTGGAAATACGGACTGTTCCGTCGTATCTGACAACTGCAGACTCCATAGCTTTGACCAGACGACGCTGGATGTAACCAGTTTCTGCAGTTTTGACGGCCGTATCGATCAAACCTTCTCGACCTCCCATAGCGTGGAAGAAGAACTCAGTGGGAGTCAAACCGGCAAGGTAGGAGTTCTCGACGAAACCCTTCGATTCGGGTGAGTAATCATCCTTCAAGAAATGTGGAAGGGTTCGATGCTCAAAGCCGAAAGGAATTCGCTTTCCTGAAACGTTCTGCTGACCGACGACAGCAATAATCTGCGAAATGTTAATCTTGGATCCCTTTGAGCCAGCGTTGACCATGACTTTGAAACTGTTGAATTCGGACAGCGATTTTTGGGCGCAAGAACCAGTCTTGTCACGAGCGTCGTTGAGGATTCGATTGACCTTGTTTTCGAAGGTAGATCGAAGGGTGTTACCGGGAGTGGGGACGAGCTGATCATTGTGAGCTTGTTCGATGACGTCAAGCACTTCGGCCTTGGATTTTCGAATTTGCGCCTGGATTTCTTTGTATGTCTGTGCATCAGCAATTGTGTCTCCGATACCGATCGAGTGGCCCTCGATGAGCAGCCAATTGTTGATAATTCGCTGGACGTCGCCAAAGAATCGTTTTGTGATTTCAGGGCCCTTTTCGTTGAAAATGACGTGAATGAGCGATCCAGACGATGCACCAAGCGTTTTCTTACAAACAATGCCCATCACGTGAACACCGTTGACGACTTCAACTCGCGTATCTCCAACTGAGATAAATTTGAATGGACCTTTGTCCTCGTCGTCCGGATGCGTTGAGTGATGTCGAGTACAGTTGACTCCTTCTGGCACCATCATCGTGAAGAGCTGTTTTCCTGTCCAGAGGGGTCGTGGCTTGAGAATAGCTGGAATAGGGACTCGTCCATCCCACATGGTCTTGAAGAGAACCAAGTTCATGAAATCGGATTTTTCAATGAAAGCATCACGCTTGGTCATCTTTCGCACAGCAGTTAGAGTATCCTGGACAATACCCATGACAGGTCGGTTACTTTGAGGAGTGACAACGAGTCGGGGGACAAGCGCGAGCTGGAGAATTTCAGCTCTCGTTTCCATCGACTGAGGAACGTGCAGATTCATTTCGTCTCCGTCAAAATCGGCGTTGTAGGGAGTAGTGACGGACAAGTTCAAACGGAAGGTCGACCAGGGAAGGACTTTGACCAAGTGACCCATCATAGACATTTTATGCAGCGTCGGCTGTCGGTTGAAGATAATGACATCGTTGTCGCGGATGTGTCGCTCGACTTTGTAGCCGATTTGAAGATGCAGATCGGAGGGCTTTGGATGATAACGAAGATCAATACGCTCTCCAGTGTCTCGGATGATGTATTTGGCTCCGGGAAACTTGTTGCAGCCACGCTCAACAAGACGCTGAAGATGGTCGATGTTGAAAGGGGTCACAATTTCTGGATAGGTCAAGTTGCTGGCGATGGAACGCGGCACACCGACTTGATTGATGTTCAAGTTAGGATCTCCTGTAATGACAGTACGCGCGGAGAAATCAACTCGCTTTCCCATCAAGTTTCCTCGAACTCGACCTTCTTTGGCTTTCAATCTTTCTGAAATCGACTTGAGCGGTCGGCCTGACTTTTGCATCGATCGTGGCAAACCAGGGAGAGTGTTGTCCATCATTGTCGCCACGTGGAATTGCAATTCGAGAACACCTTGTTCAAGAATATGCGCCGCAGCACCGGAGGCCTCGTTTCGGCGGAGCTCCGTATTGACTTTGATGATGTCTGAGTATTTGTGCGTCACATCATCCTGGCATCGCAAGCCAGAGCCACCCATGACGACGGATGGTCGAACACAAAGAGGAGCAACGGGCAGGACAGAAATAATCATCCACTCTGGTCGGGCATACTTGCAGTCCATTCCCAACATTTCAATTTCCTCGTCAGAGATGTTTTTGAAGACTTCAAGGACGCGTTCCGCCGTTACTGTGATTTTCTTCTCTTGGGTGTCTTCGTTGAGCTTCTTCCATTCAGCCGTGAGCTGGATTCCTGTTCGCCGGTAAATAGGCTGGTGACGACCACAACCGCCATGAGAGGGCTTTTTGTTCTCATCTGTTGGTTCTCCGTTGTCTTTTTTCTCTGAGAAATCTCCGTCGATTTCGTCACCGCCTTCACAAATGTTCTTTCCTTTGCAGAGATCGTACACTCCATCAAGTCGTTTTCTAGGAGTTCCCGCTGTTCTCGCGAGAATGCTTTGCATCTTCGGGTTGTTCTTGTCCACGAGCACCTTTGAGCAGTAGAAACAGATGCATCGAAGGATTCGAAGCGTTTTGTTGAAGAAACCAACGTGGAAGACTGGTTTCGCGAGCTCAATATGGCCGAAATGACCAGGGCAATCGTTCATGTTTCCAGCGCATGTTTGACAGCGCGAGAATCTGTCGCTTACTCCCTTATTCCGTTTTTAGAGAGGAATTCATATGTTGCTTTTTACCTGTCGGGGATCCATGATACCACCGAGCTTTGGCTTTCCATTCTCAGTCGATTCTGGATACATGATGCCGTCTGAGTGCGGCGGCACTGTAACCGACATTCGTTTGATTTCATCCGGGCTCAGAATCCCAAACTGAACCCGTTTGATTTTTCGGAGCGTTACGGAAGACTCGCTCTGCATTTTTCGTCGACCTCAATTTTCAGTCTGGAAAATAGTGAAACATTAAAAAGGGGTTGGGTTTATTTTTGGTTTGTCAAGTGTATTGGGTTGTTAAATGGCAGTGGGATAACTGAATAGAAAAAAAAACTGTCGTGACATGGGAATGGCTAGTGAGTATGAATTTGAAATTATTCCTAGGTTGTGAACTAAACGGGAAAAAAGAAAAGAAGCCGCCTTAAATGTTGCCAATAAAGGTGATTTTGGTTCGATGCGCGTTGAGGGCAAACACTTCCAATTCTTCGTACTCTTCGATGCACTCGTCGAACTGGTCTCTGGTAAAACCACGAGCTTGGGCGCGAGCAAGGGCCTCGCGGACGTTGATGACAGGAGCAGCGGGCTTTGGTGGGATGAGATCTTGGATCTCTCGGTAGATAAGATCCGTCGGTCGGGCGCGAGTGCGTCTGAATTCATTTAAAACTTGACAGAGAAGATGGTTTTACCTTGAGTTTGTTTTGCCCTTGATAGAGTCTTTGGACATTTCCATCAGTCGAATCGCTTCTTGAACATCCTCCCGGGTGACTTGGTCCTGTAGCTTTAGCTTGGCAACAGCTGTGGACAATCGAAGGACTAGGATTTACGCTTGAATTTGAATGCTAGGATTTTTATCTTACTTGATAAAAGAGTTCGAGCAGAAGTAAATTCTCTCGATTCTTTTCTGAGCTCGACGTAGGCTTGAGTAATGTACTCGGTGAGTTGTTGAGGCACAGTGGGCTCCTTTTGTCGGCAGAGCTCGAGGTATCGTCTCATTTGAGAGATGGAAAGAACATCTGTATTCGTCTTTGGATGTTGAGAGTACTGATGAACGTGGGTGACGTGCTGAGCCAGGCGAAGATCATGATCTCTGTCGGGAACATCTACGAGGCTGCAGTTGAGATCAAGGAAGAGAACCGAAAAACTAACCTTGCATCAGCCAAAGAAGGTCGAAACGAGAGAGCAGCGCAGGCGGCAAGTTAACGTTCTGCTCTACAGACTTTCTAGTGTTGTACTTGCCAAAAGCGGGGTTGGCCGCGGCAAGAATCGACACCCGAGCGTTCAGGGTGGTCATGATGCCGGCTTTGGCGATTGAAATCGTCTAAAAACTCGATCAACGATTTGCAAGGGCTCCGCGTGGCTCTCATTTTTGAAGAACACGCCTCGGGCGATTTAAATTATAAAGACCAAACAGGTAAGGCGATTATGGTACCTGTTGTTCCATAACTTCGTGGATAGCGACTCGATCCTGTTCCTGCATTTTGTCAAATTCGTCGATGCAGCAAATGCCTCGATCGGCGAGAACAAGAGCTCCTCCTTCGAGAACGAATTCGTCAGTGACTGGATCTTTTTGGACGACAGCTGTTAAACCAACACCGGATGAACCTCGACCAGTAGTGTACTGAATGAGTAAAAATCACGAAATGTTTCACGCTTATCACCTGGCATCGAGGGGCAAGTCGATCGATGAAGCCGAGAAGCTGGGATTTTGCCACACCAGGATCTCCCATCAGAATCAGATTCATGTTTCCTCTGATCTTCATGCCAGAATCTAAAAAAATTATAAAACAGCTCAGTTTGAAGATGCTTACTTGTATTTTTATTTGTGCCGCCGACGAGCAGGAGCAACAGGGCTTTCTTTACATCAGTGTGTCCGAAGATTTCAGGAGCAATCGACTAAATAACGAATTTAGAGAAAGAGATTTGATTTTTTGATCTTACGGTAGCTAATTTACTGTAGTAGTCTCCTGTTCTAATAGTTTCGATCTCTTCTTCTGTCAATTCTTGGTCATTCTCGACTTCGCTCTTGTTCATTTTGTAGATTTTGTGCGCTTCAAAGACAGTGTCGGACAACAAGCCACGGTTGAAGCCTGAACCCATCAATGGCAAAGACACGCCCTAAATTCATTGTCGTCTTTGTTTGAAATCAAGGAAGAAGACCGACCTGTACAACCACGTGGTCGCCAGGCGAAGCATTTCTGCATGTTTCTCCGCGGCAATGAACAGTAATCTGTCTAGGAATGCCTCCTTCTGGCACTTGGTCAGTGTGCTCTTGAATCTTCAGCTCTTGGAACTTTGTAAATTTGGATCCTCGGTGCTCGAGGTTGAGTCGTCCACCGGACTTGTTCTCAGTGCATTCTTTTGAAAGACAGTCAGTCAGTGGCTTGAAGCTTGGGCCAGCAATCGGCTGGAAAATTTCGGAGCCACATCGGTCGCAAGTGTAAGTGGCCACTTCCAGCTGAGGTTTTACTTCTGTAGCTCTAGAAACGGAGATAAGATGAAGTCAGGGAAAAGAATCGCGTACCTAGTGACGATTCCCTTGACAGAAACGAGCTTTCCAATTTGATTGGCTTTGACGTCGCGAACAGCTACAGCTGCGTATCTGGACTTGGGCTCGACAAAGCCGACTTCGAATCGTCGCATGAGTTGTGGGGGAAATCGCTGATTGGCCGGACGAGCGTCGCGGGAGGCCTCGTCCGGGTGTTGTCGGGCTTCGAGCAACAATCGGTGCTCAATGTAAGTATCTGAAATTATCGGTGAATTCAGGCTAAGAGGATAAATTTTGAACCTAAGATGTCTTTCACTGGTGGATTCTGAACAGATCTGTATTTGGGAATGAGCTCATCAAGGGTGCTCGAAAGAAGCCGCTGGTATCGAATCGTGTTCGTTCTAATCGCTCTGGCAAGATCCTCGTCAAACTCGGCCACTTCTTCCAAGTCGATCTCGACTGTAACTGCTTCTCGGTTCGCTACATCGCGCACCATGTCACTGTATTTGAACACTTTCTTCCCAGTATCCGGATCATGAGTGTAGTGACTCTCCAGGAACTGGCGAAGACGCATCGCGTCTTCCTCGTAATTTCGCTTGTGGATATTCATTCTAGTAAATAAAAAGTTTAAGAATTAAATAATCTTAAAAAAGAGGATATGCGTAAATATAACAAAGCCTCAACTTTGCTTTATTACTGGCAAATTTCTTGCTGAAATCTGTCTTTTATTGGGCTAAGCACTAACAGTCACTGTATCAGTTACAGTTTAGCTCGATAAAAGACAGATTTTAGCAAGCAATATGCCCGAAATAAAGCACAATAAAGAGACTAAAGAACATAATTTCGAGAGTCAAGAAGTATTCATAACTGAAGTTAATCTGTTACTAAACAGTTTCCCCTTCGGAAAACATCCCCAAACTCTAGAAAATAGCTGTAAAAAACTCATTTTTTCATGTCGAAAAAGGAATTTTGCTGCGTTTGGTAGTGACTCTCGAGCGCGAATGGCATCCGTCCGCTGATTGGTCCCGCTCGAGCGCTCGTGGTTGCTCAATTGGATGGCCAGGGGCATTCAAATTGAGAGCGCGCAACTTGAACGATTTCACGCTTCCAAGGGCGCTACTGGAGCTACTGAGAGACGAATAAACGCGAAAATACGGTATTTCGATTCTGCGTGATCCATCACGAAAGAAGACGACTAAAGATAGGTAATAGAATCTTTTTGTTTTATTTTTTATTCTCTACTGACCTCTTTTGATCTTAGAATAAAATTTAAATTTTCAGAGAGCTGTAAAAATGGTGTTTATCACAGAAGAACTCGTCAGAAAACGCGCTGAACACAACGAACTTGAAATTGGCAGCCTCGAAGAATTGTCTCTCCACCAACTTGACATCGAAAAAATAGAACACATCGACAAATGGTGCAAACAGCTTAAAATTCTCTATCTTCACGTATGTACCTGTTCTCTCTTTGATCGCTCATTTTGTCTCAGAGCAACATCATCTTCAAAATCGAGAACGTCAGCAGGATGAAGAAGCTCGAGTACATCAACTTGACCCTCAACTGCATCGAAGTGATCGAAGGAATGGAAGGATGCGAAAGTTTGAACAAACTCGATCTCACGGCAAATTTTGTCGGCGACATGAGACACCTCAAAAATCTCCAGAAAAATGAATTCCTCAAGTAAGCCAAAAATAAATAAGGTTTTATACACGGGTTGCCAATCCGAGCATTTCAGCTAATATTTCCTCTCAGAACTCTGTATCTAACCGGAAACATTTGCTGCAAATACGAGTATTACCGTGAATACGTAATCACAATCCTGCCACAGCTCAAGGAACTCGACGGAGAAGTAATTACAACATCGGAACGACTGGAAGCAAAAAGAATCTTCGAAAAAGTTGAAAATGCAATCGAACGACAATCAGAACTGTACCTAGAAATCCGAGAGAGACAGAAGTTCGACTACGAAAGAAAAGCAAAAACGACGGGAGACGAGTTTTGGAACGAGGAAGATGAGGACTCGCCGGAGAATAGAAGAGACATGCGAATTGAAGCGACGAGGCAGAAAGAAGAAAATAAGGATCACAAGCCGATGTTTGAAAAACCAGATGTAAGCCCCCCTCCCTTAGCTTCTATGTCTCCTTACTCTTCCTTTTCTAGTACAAGCGCGAAATCCGCTACTTCGCAAAAGACGGTCGACCTCTGAACGTCAACCCGAGCGGCGTAGAATTCACCATTGACGAAGACCAACCGAAAAACGTCGAGCTTCGGCTGAAGATCCCGAAGTTTATGGACACTGAATTGATCGACATTGACTCCCAGCCGACCTACATCCGATTGAGCATCAACGGCAAACCCTTCCAAATCGTTTGGAAAGAAGAAGTCAAGCCAGACGATGGAACTGCTCAGCGATCGAAGATTACAGGAGAACTGCTCATTAAAATTCCAAAACTCAATCCAGGAAAAGAAAATCCAAAAGAAAAGAAAGAAGCTTCAAGAAAAACTCTCGAACCAGAATCGCAAAAGGAAGAAAAGAAAACAGTCGACTACAGAAACATCGTCAAAGAAGCAGAACAGGGAAAGAAAGAACAACTTAAAAAGAAGGAAAAACCAAAGACGAGGGCGAACGATGACGATTTCGTCGATGATCTGGGCATTCCACCTCTTGAAACTGTCAAACGATGAAGAATTATAATTTGTACTAGCCGAATTTATGTCTTTTATACGAATAAAATATTTTCATATCAAAAATCCGCCGGAAAAAACGAAAATTTGAATAGATAAATTCAAGTTATCTAACTTTCCTTATATTTTTTTTTGTACAAAAATTGATAAAGGCAGTGGTTACTCTTTTGAGTCCTCGTTCAGTCAACTTGCATCCCATCTTCATCCGAGCCAGGTTCTGGCGGGTCTTCTTCGAATTGAAGCGTTGTAGAAAACTTGGCAAAGCAGCCACTTGAGCAACAAAACTCTAGTTGAGGAATCACGAAGTTGTTTGGCATTGGCGCCACTGCATCCGTATTTGAGGTGTATCGACGGACATCGTAGCCGGAAAGGAACATGAACTTTCGGTCGGAAAGGGGTTCGCCGCAGGGGCAAAAGCGAATTGATTCCAGAAGAGAATTTAGGCGAGTGGGGACTTTTTGAGGGTTGATAGGGAGCTTGTGCTTGAGAATCTTAGCAGCGGCGACCTGAATTCATAATTGAAATTCTGTTACAGATAAGGGTATCACTTTATTATTTCAACAGACCTGCGCTAATGTCTTCGCAACTGGAATCTTGCTTGTATCCACCTTGAATTTGTGCAGCATTGAAAAAGGGTTGTCCGACAAATCTAGGCTTTGAAAACGATGAAATCTCGCAAACTCAGTGAAGAAAATTTTATTCTCTTTCGCCGATAAGATCGTAAGGGAGTTGGGGAGTCGAGCTGGAAGACGTCTGATTTGATTCTTGTCGATGATGAGGCTTGAAAGCTTCGGAAGAGTGCATAAAGAAGGGAGAGAAGTGAGTTGATTTGACGAAAGATCAAGTTTTTGAAGAGAATCGGCGATGGGAGAAGATTTCAGCGGTCGAAAAGCTCGCTCGTCCAACTTGTTGTCTGATAAAATAAGCGCCTTGAGACGAAGTTGAAAGAGTTTCGGATTCAGCGTTGATAGATTATTCCTTGTCATGTCGAGAACCGTCAAATGACGGAGTTTAAAAAGACGCAGGTCGATTTGCTTCATTCCCAGTCCGTGACAGCGAAATTCTTCTAGTTCTGCAGGGATTCCGGCTTTTTTAGAAAGCTTGGTTTTGTAATCGTCGCGGGAGAGGATGTTGATCTTGGTCGTTTTTCCAATTTTGATAGGCTTGTTTGTTGCTGAAGCGAGGACTCCGACTCCGACCAGTGATTTTCCTTCAAACGAAGTTTTCATCGCGGACAGGAGCTTTTTCAACTGCCCTGGATCGGCTTTGGAAATCATAATGTTCACTAAAACGCGTTAATTCTCCATAGAATGAATCTGATGATACCTGAAGGCTCTTTAAATTCAATCGTCAGCTTTCCCTCATGAACGAATTTCGCTAAACATCTGTTGAGATTCGCTTTGAGCGCAAATTTTTCGCCCTTTCCCGATTTCGACTTTTCCGTGTGCACCACCAAATAGCCCGCACCATCTTTTTCGAACAAATTTACCGATGCCTTCGCTGGTTTCTTTGTCTAACCAAAAAGTTAGTTCAGGGTCACCTTCATCGTATTTACCGCGTGATTTCCACGCTCGTTCCGGAGTGATTGGGCAGCGTGGCACAGAATTCTCATCCTTTCATTCTTTTCTTCAGGCCGTGGGGTTCAGAGCATTCTAAAAAGCACATTGAAAATGATGGGAAAATATTGTTAAATAGTATAAAAATAGGATTGAAAAATGTGAAAATAGTGGTAAAACGGTGCAGAAAAAATTGCTGGCAAGAAGAGAGAAAATCTGTCCAAAATACTATTGTTAAATAAATATTTCGACTTTCGAAGAGTGCATTCCATTTCGTTTTTTAAAGGTAACGCATGCTATTTTGGAACGATCCATCACATGATATTCTTTTTTCGCTTTATTCTTCGAGAATTCTCCAAGAAAGAGACTTTCTAAAGTGAAATAAATTACGGAAATACTGTTGAGAACTTACCTATCTTTATGAGGGGCTTAGTGACGGTAACACCATTTATTTCTTTACTGAGAGAAGGATACTCTTGATCGGGGTCGTCGAGATGCTTTAACAGGCGTTTTACGCAAAATCCCTTGCGCATCTTCTTGTCATAATCGTCTTGGACTAACATGTTATGATAGATGCCAATTTCATGCGTAGTATCCAAGAAGCAAACAACTTCATAGCCTTCCTTTTCCGACAAAAATCCAAAGGCGTAAAAGCCATGACGTTCCTCATTGTCGTCATCAAGGTCATGGCCGCTTTCATCGCTGTAGTCGTCATCGCTGGTCTCTTCATCGTTGTTGTCTTCAATTTTCTCCAGGACCTTCCAGATCGTCAGTCCGAGGCGTTCTTCGACCATGCCAAATTTCAGATGTCCTGAAATATCCGGAAGATCGTAACGGATCACTCTTCTCTTTGAAAGAATAATATGAAAAGCGATACATCCATTGACGGTTAAGTTCCTTTGCTCAAGATTGAGGTCGATCCGTAGAATCAAGTTATCATGGTCCATTAAGAGCAGCCGTGGTCTTATGAAGAATTTTGGTTCCATAATCGTTTCTTTCCAAAGAACGTCGATCGACGATTTACCGATCCGAACGCATTCAATAAAAACGGTGATCGGATCTGGTTGGTAGATGATTGGAAAGAGAACACTTTCCCGTAGCTCCCCATTTTGATACAGATCGCTCTTGTATCGAGGGGATTCTTTTGTGTCCTCAGAATCAATATACATTATGACACCTTCTCTTTTGATGGTTCTTGCCGGCTCGCTTGGTTCCAGTAGATTGAAGACATAATAGGTCTGCTCCCTTCCACGTAGACCATCATGATCTTGGACGATGAGAAATGGTTCGAAGAGAAAGTAAGCGGAAACTGAGTCAAGGGATCTTGGAAGCTTCAACGGTTGCAAACTGATTCCACTTGATCGTAAAATCTTATAAACATACAAATAATTTCCAAGCGTTGCTCCTTCGTCTTCAATGCCATTGATACTTGAATTACTGACGATCCAATTACTCCCAAGTTCCACGACCCTACTCGATTCAAAAACGGCCTTTGGAACAGCGGATTCTTTCTTGATCTCTTCTCGGTGGGAAAAAATTCTAGCAATATCGGACAAACTGTTCGGCTCTCGATCGTATTTTGCCCGGAAGTCGTCTTTCAGTAGATTGATCACATAATCGTCGTTAGCCATCAATTTGAGAATCCTCATACAATCACCCGCTTCGATGAGATGGTCCAATGGTCCGTATTCGTCTGAATCGTCCATTGGAAGAAGTTGATTCTTCGCCGAGGCAAAAACCTTTCCATCAGCTCTCTCAAACACAAGCTTGGCAAGTTGGTTTCCTTTGGGATGATCTGCTATCTCCTTGAGTATCTTCTCTCTCTTCGGTGTATTTTCTTTCTTTTCAAACAGCTCGTACAGCTTTTTTATTCGATTCATTCTGAAAAGCTTCAATTCAAGACTCTTGAACCAAGATGAAAACTATTCCTCGTCATTATGGTCGATTCAATTATTAAATTTTAATTGATGTACCTTGAAGTAAAGAAGTTAAAGGAATCTGAGATCTTGAACGAGTGAAAATAACTTGGTAAAAATTGATTCTAGAAATAGTAAAATATTACCATTGATTGATAATTATCATTTGTCATTTTCAGTACTGATAAGAAATTTATACAGGGCAATGGACAGTAATAAATAGAGAATGATAAGTTGTCTGATAAAATAAGTGCCTTGAGACGGAGTTGAAAGAGCTTCGGATTCAGAGTTGATAAATTATTCCTTGTCATGTCCAGAAGCGTCAGATGACGGAGTTTAAAAAGACGCAGGTCGATTTGCTTCATTCCCAGTCCGTGACAGCGAAATTCTGTGTCGGTAAAATTATATTTACCGCGTGGTTTCCACGCTCGTTCCGGAGGGATTGGGCAGCATGGCACAGAATTCTCATCCTTTCATTCCTTTTTTCGGACCCTGAACTTCAGAGCATTCTAAAAACAATACTATGAATGACGCGAAAATATTGTGAAAATAATATAAAATATGTGCGGTGAAACTCTACAGAGTCATTCCTTGTACAGTACAAAACCGAGTCCGATTGATCTAATAGAACTCAGAGAGAATGAAAAAGCTGCGGAGCGTAGATAACTGGGCAGTGAGATCATGAAAAGAAGATAGAATATTCTATACCAAATTAGTCCTTTTAGATGAATATTTCGATTTTGCATGGGTATCGTCTATTTCGTCGTTTGCATGAAACGCATCCGATTTTTGACCGATCATGCACGTGGCGTTCTTTCTTCGCCCTCTTTTTCGAATATTCCCCGAAAAAGAGACTTTCTAAATTGGCGTGAATAAATGAAATAATATTGAGATCTTACCGATTTGAATGTAGGGCTTCGTTTCTGTGATTCCATTTATTTCTTTGGTCAGGAGAGGTTGCTTTTGATCCGTGTCGTTTAACTGATTTATCAGGCGTCTAACGCAAAGACTTTTGCGCGTTTTCCCCGTGAAATCTTCGTGTATTATCATCTCTCGACTAATGTTAAAAGCTTGATTGTTTTTCGTCAGTTTGAAGAAGCAAACAACTTCGAACTGGTTTCTTTCTGACAAAAAACCAAAGGTCACAAAGCCGGGATCGTCATTTTTATCGTCATTTTCTTCATCATAGTCTTCATCAGCACCGCTGAAGTCTACATCACTGTCGTCTTCATCGCTGCTTTCTTCCTCGTTGCTGTTATCTTCTTCCAGTGAATTCCAAACAACTATCCCGAGGCGCTCTTTGACCATACCGAATTCAACATTTCCTGGAATCTTGGACAAATCGTAGGGAATGACTTTCCCTTCGGAAAGGATGATATGAAAAGAAAAACATCCATTCGTCGCTCTATTTCTTTCGTCAACAATGAAGTTTCGAAGAATCAAATTATCATGGTTCAAAAAGAACGCTAACGGCTGTGTTCCTTCGTACTCTTCCGGTAAAATGAACGTTTCTTTCCAAAGTATTTTGATCGATGATGAACTTATTTGAGCACACTCGATACAAACACTCATTCCATCTGGTTTATAGATGATAGGAAAGAGAACACTTTCCCGAAGCTCTCCATTTAGACGTACGTCGCTGTTGTATGTAGACTGAAGACCAGGATCGCTGCATTGAATCGTTATATAATCATATTGGCCATATATTTTGATGGTTCTTGGTCGCTTGGTTGGTTGAAGTAGATTGAAAACATAATATTTGTGCTCAACACTATCGAAGGTTATAAAGTAAGGTTCAAAGAGATAGTTTGGGGGAAGATTCCATCGCATTCCCACGAAAGATCGTTGAAGATGCACTCTCTCCAAACGAATTCCATCCGATCGCAAAATCTTGTAAACATAGAATCCTCCACTGCTTCGACGATCCTCGTCTACACTGTTGATAATTTCTTTGCTCACTATCCAAGTGCTCCCAATTTTGCTCCGCGCTCCGTTTCAAAAACAACCCTACGTTTTGCAAGGGATGATTCTTTCTTGATTTCTTCTCGGTCGGCGAGAATTCTGGCGATATCGGACAAGCTGTTTGGTTCTCGACCGTATTTGATCCGGAAGTCGTCCTTTAGTAGATTGATCACGTAATCTTCTGTAGCCATCGATTTGAGGATCCTCATGCAACAACCCGCACTTAGGAGACCATCGTAGGGACCATATTCATCAGAATCGTCCATCGGAAGAAGTTGATTTTTCGCCGAGGCAAAAACGTTTCCATCAGCTCTCTCAAATACAAGCTTGGAAAGGAGGTTTCCTTGAGGATGATCTGCTATCTCCCTGAGTATCTTCTCTCTCTTCGGCGTATTTTCTTTCTTTTCAAACAGCTCGTACAGCTTTTTTATTCGATTCATTCTGAAGAACTTCAATTGAAGACTTTTGAAGTCGAAAATTAGAGCTCGATCCTTTCTCTTCTGTAAGAAAAATGAGCTTTTTTGATCGGCATTATCGGTGGATTCAATTATTTAATTCAAATTGATGTAAAATAGGTGGTGGTCTAAACTTTGAAGTTCGTATATGCGATAAGAACTTCGGGTGGCCTAAACTTTGATCGTTCCCATGTGTGACTCTTTGAGAAAGTGGCCTAAACTTTGAATTTCCCCGGAGGCGCTTCTGCCATCGGTGACTAGAGCACTGCCTGCTAAGGCCACTACGTTTTAAGCAGACCAATAAGGTTTAAGGTTTCATTCAAGGTGATGACACATATGGAACTAGTCAGAGCGCCTCAGGGGAAATTCAAAGTTTAGACCACTTTCACACATGGAAAGAATCAAAGATTAGGCCACTTTCTCATAGAATCACACATGGGAAGAATCAAAGTTTAGGCCACACAAAGTTCTTATCGCACGTAAGAACTTCAAAGTTTAGACCACCACCTATTTTACCTTGAAGCAAAGAGGTTGAAGGAATCTAAGATCTTTAACGAGTAAAAATAAATCGGTAAACATCGATTCTAGAAATAGTAAAATTTTGGAATTGATCGATAATTATCATTTGCCATTTGAAGTACTGATAAGAAAATTTATACACGGCAATGGACAGTAATAAATAGAGAATGATAAGTTGTCTGATAAAATAAGTGCCTTGAGACGGAGTTGAAAGAGCTTCGGATTCAGCTTTGATAAATTATTCCTTGTCATGTCCAGAACTGTCAAATGACGGAGTTTAAAAAGACGCAGGTCGATTTGCTTCATTCCCAGTCCGTGACAGCGAAATTCTTCCAGTTCTGCGGGGTTTCCGGTTTTTTTTCGAAAGCTTGGTTTTGTAATCGTCGCGGGAGAGGATGTTGATCTTGGTCGTTTTTCTAATTTTGATAGGCTTGTTTGTTGCTGAAGCGAGGACTCCGACTCCAACCAGGGATTGAGCGCAAATTTTTCGCCGTTTCCCGATTTCGACTTTTCCGTGTGCACCACCAAGCAGCCCGCGCCATCTTTTTCGAACAAATTAACCGACGCCTTCGCTGGTTTCTTCGTCGAAAGAAAAAGTTAATTCTTGTTGGCAAAATTATTCATTCTTAAATTTTCCAATTTTAACTTTAAAAATTCAAAATACAAAAATAGAATTAAAAAGTGTAAAAATAGTGGTGAAATGATACATCATTTCACGTACATACGGATCCGGTTGATCCAACAGAATTGAAATATGAAGAGAAAACTGCAGTGAGAAAATGGGAAAAAAAAAAAGATTTTGCGCACAGAAATAATAAAAATAAGGAAAACAGAAAAAACTGAGTTTTTATTATATAAATATTTCGATTTTGCCAGAGGGTCGTCCATTTCGTCGTTTAAATGAAACGCATCCGATTTTTGACCGATCAACGACTTGATCTTCTTTCTTCGCCCTCTTTTTCGAAAATTCTCCAGGAAAAAGACTTTCTAAAGGACATGAATAGACGAAATAATGGTGAGTTTACCAATCTGAACGAAGGGTTTACTAACGGTGACGCCGTTTATTTCTTTGGTCAGGGAAGGGAGCTTTTGATCCATGTCGACTAGCTGTCTTATCAGGCGTCTTGGGCAATATCTCCTGCGCTCTCTGTTGTCATTTTGTACGATCATGTCTCGGCGGATCAGAATATCCTGATTCTTTGAAAGCTTGATGAAGCAAACAACTTCGAACTTATTCTTTTCTGAAAAGACGCCAAAGGTCACTAAGCCAGGACGTTCAAAGGTATCATTTTCTTCATCGAGCTCGTCTCTACTACTGTAGTCTACATCGCTGTCGTCTTCATCACTGCTGTCTTCATGATTATTCAAGGGATTCCAAATCGTCAGTCCGAGGCGTCCGTTGACGATTCCAAAATCAAGACTTCCCGAAATATTCGGAAGATCAATTCGAATCACTTTTCTTTTTGAAAGAATAATATGATAACCGAGGTATCCATGAGTGATTGCATTTTCATCGTAGTTCTCTTCGATATTTAACATCAAGTTGTCATTGTTCAATAGAGTCACGGATCTGATCAGCTGATCCACATCGTATTCTTCAGGTAGAATAATCGTTTCTTTCCAGAGGATATCGATCGATGATGTACCGATTCGAGCACATTCGATGCAAACGCTGACTTCATCTGGATTGTAGATGATTGGAAAGAGAACACTTTCGCGAAGCTCTCCATTGAGACGCAAATCGCTGCCGTAATTACATGGAATCGAGATATCTACGTTAAAAGCAGGCATCATTCGACCGTTTCTTCTGATGGTTCTTGGAGGATCGCTTGGTTGCAGTAAATTTAAGACTCTGTAGGTTCGTTCTCTTCCATCGAAAATAATAAGGAAGGGTTCCAGGAGAAATCTTTTCATTGTGTTGCGGATGAAAGGTCTTGGAATCTCCACTCTCTCCAGAAGAATTCCATTTCCTCGCAAAATTTTGTAGACAAATACGCCTGCGTTTCCCTGTAGCTCGTCTTCAACGCCATTTATAACAGCACGAGTTATGATCCAGTTACTCCCGATTTTCGCTATCCCCTCGGTTTCAAAAACGGCTCTCCGACTCGCTATTGAGGATTCTTTCTCGATTATTTCTCGTTCAGCGAAAATTCTGGCGATATCGGACAAGCTGCTCGGCTCACAACCGTATTTGACCCGGAAATCCTCCTTCAGTAGATTGACGACGTAATCCTCCTTAGCCTTCAATTTGAGAATCCTCATACAATCTCGCGCTTCGAGGAGATGGTCTAAAGGTCCGTATTCGTCTACATCGTCCATTGGAAGAAGTTGATTTTTCGCCGAGGCAAAAACGTTTCCATCAGCTCTCTCAAATACAAGCTGGGAAAGGAGGTTTCCTTTAGGATGCTCTGCTATCTCCTTGAGTATCTTCTCTCTCTTCGGCGTATTTTCTTTCTTTTCATACAGCTCGTACAGCTTTTTTATTCGATTCATTCTGAAAAACTTCCGTTGAAGAGTCTTAAAGTCAAAAATTATGAAGATTTATGGCGGGAAAATATGAAAATAAAATGATTGTGTTGAAAAAATACAGAGTGACCTTGTCATTCAACCTCAGAGTCATTCCTTGTGCAGTACAAAACTATCGTTAAATGAATATTTCGACTTTCGAAGAGTGCATTCCATTTCGTTTTTTATAGGTGACGCATGCGATTTTGGACCGGTCCATCACATGATATTCTTTCTTCGCTTTATTCTTCGAGAATTCTCCAAGAAAGAGACTTTCTAAAGTGAAATAAATTACGGAAGTACTGTTGAGAACTTACCTATCTTTATGAAGGGCTTTGTGACGGTTACACCATTTATTTCTTTACTGAGACAAGGATACTCTTGATCGGGGTCGTCGAGATGCTTTAACAGGCGTTTTACGCAAAATCCCTTGCGCATCTTCTTGTCATATTCGTCTTGGATCAACATATTATGATAGATGCCAAGTTCATGCGCAGTATCCAAGAAGCAAACAACTTCATAGCTTTCCTTTTCCGACAAAAATCCAAAGGCATAATAGCCACGATCTTGCTCGTTGTCGTCATCAAAGCCATGGCCGCTTTCGTCGCTATAGTCGTCAACGCTGGTCTCTTCATCGTTGTTGTCTTCAATTTTCTCTAGGGCCTTCCAGATCGTCAGTCCGAGGCGTTTTTCGACCATGCCAAATTTCAGATATCCTGAAATATCCGGAAGATCGTAACAGATCACTTTTCTTTTCGAAAGAATAATATGATAAGCGATACATCCATTGACGATCATGTTTCTTTCTTCAATACTGAGGTCGATCCGTAACATCAAGTTATCATGGTCTAGTAAGTGCAGCCGCGGTCTCATGAAGAATTCTGTTTCCATAATCGTTTCTTTCCAAAGAACCTCGATCGAGGATTTACTGATCCGAACGCATTCAACACAAATTTGATAGGTGGTTGGATCTGGTTGGTAGATGATTGGAAAGAGAACACTTTCCCGTAGCTCCCCATTGAAGTACAGATCGCTGTCGTATCGAGGGCATTCTTTTGTGTCCCCAGCATCAATATACATTATGTCACCTTCCCTTTTGATGGTTCTTGCCGGCTCGCTTGGTTCCAGTAGATTAAAGACATAATAGGTCTGCTCCATTCCACGTAGACCACCATGATCTAGTACAATCAGAAATGGCTCAAAGAGAAAGTAAGCGGACACTGATTCAAAGGATCTGGGAAGCTTCAACGGTTGGAGACTGATTCCACTTGATCGTAAAATCTTATAAACATAGAAATGATTCCCAAGTGTTCCTCCTTCGTCTTCTATGCCATTGATTCTTGAATTACTAATGATCCAGTTACTCCCAAGTTCCACGACCCTACTCGTTTCAAAAACGGCCTTTGGAACAGCGGATTCTTTCTTGATCTCTTCTCGGTGGGAAAGAATTCTAGCAATATCGGACAAACTGCTCGGCTCTCGATTGTATTTTGCCCGGAAGTCTTCTTTCAGTAGATTGACGACGTAATCCTCCTTAGCCATCAATTTGAGAATCCTCATACAATAGCCCGCTTCGAGGAGATGGTCCAATGGTCCGTATTCGTCTGCATCGTCCATTGGAAGAAGCTGATTTTTCGCCGAGGCAAAAACGTTTCCATCAGCTCTCTCAAATACAAGCTGGGAAAGGAGGTTTCCTTTAGGATGCTCTGCTATCTCCTTGAGTACCTTCTCTCTCTTCGGCGTATTTTCTTTCTTTTCAAACAGCTCGTACAGCTTTTTTATTCGATTCATTCTGAAAAACTTTAACTCAAGACTTTTGAAGTCGAAAATTTAAGCTTGATCCTAACATTACTGTCATGGAAATGGGCTTATTGTGATTGGCATAATAAGGCACGACCATTTTTTCAAAGCAAAAACTATTCCTTATCATTATGGTCGAGTTAATAATTATAATATATTTTAATCGATGTACCTGCGGGCTTGAAGAAGATAAAACTAAAGAATAAAGTGATATAAAAGGTGAAAATAAACTGATTCTAGAAATAGTAACCGTAAAGCATCGCACTAGAATTTAAATTTGATTGATAATTATCAATTTGAAAATTTATACAGGGCAATTGACAGTAATAAATAGAGAATGATAAGCTTAATTTTCTCTGGTGACGCTAAAATGTCGCAATTCTTCTCGAAAAGGAAATCCCTCTTTCATAACCAATCAGCGCGCCGTAAAGATTCGAAAAAATTACAGCGAGAAAAATCACTATTTCGGCCTTGCAGAGAAAGAAAACCATCCAAAAAGAAAAGAAACGAGATGCTGGACGCATTGCTGATCGCAAGAGGAGCAAAAAAGCTCGCCCCAGAAGTCGGGAAAGCGATTTCTAAGAAAATTGCCCCTTCAAAATGCCCGTTAGAAATTCAGCCAGAGAAAATTCAAGCTATCGCTGGACCGTTTCTGAAATCTTACTCTGCTCAAGGTTAACTTCTTTGAAAAAACCTGTGTGGAAAACCTGAGTCAACGTCTAGAGACGTTACGCGGCTTTCAAGACCCTGACTCAGGATTCTACACAGGTTTTTTCCAAGCTCAGTTTATTAATCTACATTTCAGGAAGCTACACTGATTTGTACTTCGACATCCGAAAAAGTCTTCAAGCTCAAAATCTTCGCACACTCAAAAACGCCATTTTTCCACAACTCCTTCCTTGCTTCTTTCAAAAGAGGATCTTCTCAAAGCCCAAAAGTCCAAATCCGAACGAATCCGAAACAAAGTCGAAGCTCGAAAATCCGCTCTTCAATCTGAGGCCCGCCAGAGACACGTTCCTTCAGGTGAATCGAGTGAATTTCCAGCTGTGCTTACTGTCCTCTTCTGATTGTCAAAATAAACGCTCAAGAAACTCATTTTCTTCTTCTAGGTCGTCTTGAAAGATCTGTCGCTTTCGGAGCAGGAGCAATAGGCCTCGCCGCAAACGTTCTCAAAAATCGAATCACCTCTCAGGAGCCAGCTAGCGATCCGATTCTACGAACACTTGGGCTGACGGAAAATGATGTTTCTGAGCTTGTCGGCTTGCTTTGCAAAATGCGCGGAGCAGCGTTGAAGCTTGGACAGTTTTTGTCGATTCAAGATGATAATTTTATTTCGCCAGAATTACAGGTAAGCTTCAAATGAAAAATATGCAAACCTGAGTCAGGATTTTTATGACTCGTCGCGGCTTCCTTGATCCTGACTCAGGTATTTTATACAGGTTTCCGATCCTAGAATTGACCGTTTTCGAATTTCAGGTCATCTTCGAGCGAGTGCGCCAAACAGCCGATTACATGCCTGAAAAGCAACTTCGAAAACAACTAGACACAGAACTACCCGAGAGAGGCGATTTTCTGGCAGTTAGATTTTCTGGCAGTTAGACTTTCTGGCAAAGGCGATTTTCTGGCACTGCCAGAAAATCTAATATGCCAGAAAATCTAATTTCAGAAAATCGCCTCTTTAATTTTGAATCTACAGTTAATGTTCCTGGAAGGTAAAAAATGGAGAGAAGAAAAGCTCGGAATTCATCTTCTGATTCTTCTGAGGATGATTTCAAAAACTATTTGTGGGGCCGGAAATCGTAAAAACTGCAAGTGCAGTTTTCTTAAGCTCGTCAAGACGAGTCGAATGATGGGTCTAACTCTTGATAATTCTAAGGATTGACCGGTTTAACGACTGGTTACCGGAAAATCGTTGTCACGTTGTCACCGTTTTTGTTCTAGAAGTGATAATAGACTAATGTTTGACACCAGAAATTGTTTCTTATAGTCAGTTCTCCTGCAGGGTAAAAGATGAAGGTTGTATCAATACTGAAGAGAGTTATCACTAAGAACAGTACATTTTACTAAAATTTTGTTGTTGCTGCACGTTCCTAATTTCTTGTACCATTTTCGCCAAAAATAGTATTTTAGTGATAACTCTCTTCAGAGAATTGATTAAACCTTCATCTTTTACCCTGCAGGAGAACTGACTATAAGAGACAATTTCCGGTGTCAAACATTAGTCTATTATCACTTCTAGAACAAAAACGGCCGGTGACAACGTATTTTCCGGTAATCAGCCGGTAAACCGGTCAATCCTTAGAATTATCAGGAGTTAGACCCATCATTCGACTCGTCTTGACGAGCTTAAGAAAACTGCACTTGCAGTTTTTTTACGATTTCCGGCCCCACAAATAGTTTTTTGAAATCATCCTCAAAAGAATCAGAAGATGAATTCCGAGCTTTTCTTCTCTCCGTTTTTTACCTTCCAGGATCATTAACTGTAGATTCAAAATTAAAGAGGCGATTTTCTGGCAGTTAGATTTTCTGGCATATTAGATTTTCTGGCAGTGCCAGAAAATCGCCTTTGCCAGAAAGTCTAACTGCCAGAAAATCTAACTGCCAGAAAATCGCCTCTCTCGAACTACCCGGCTGGGAAACCCGCTTTGCCGAATTCGATCTTCAACCCTTTGCTGCCGCTTCTATTGGCCAAGTTCATCGAGCCAAGACTTTGGACGGAAAAGATGTTGCCGTCAAGGTCCAATACCCCGGAGTAGCTCAATCGTTTAATTCTGACATTGATAACTTGGTGATGGTGCTGAGGCCATTCATGGCGCGTTTGCCCGAGCAGTTGTTTTTACCGAAGATCATAGATTTTGCGAGAAGAGAGCTGACGAGAGAATGCGATTACGAAAGAGAACTTCAAGCGAATCTTAGAATGAAAGAATACTTCAAGGATGATGAAGAATTCTTCGTCCCATCCGTCTACCCCGAATTATCAAGCGCCGCAGTCCTGACATCTGATTTCGTCGAAGGGGAAGTGATAGATCGACTAGACATCGATGCCCTCCCACAAGAAGAACGCGACTTTGTCGGCAAATCGCTCCTGAAACTTTGTATGAATGAAGTTTTTGTTCATCGATTCATGCAGACGGATCCGAACTTTGCTAACTTCTTGTACCAGCCAGGGTCCTTCAAGCTAAATCTTATCGACATGGGAGCGTGTGTTGGTAAGTTTATAGAACCTTAATCGTCTGGTAGAAGAAGCTCTTTTAGACTATCCAGCTAAATTTACAACGCCGTATATGCAACTTGTTTATGGAGCAGTAACGCATGACCGTGAACTGGTCTATGAAAAGTCAGTAGAATTGGGCTTTCTGACAGGAGCTGAGAGCCAAAAATGAAAGACGCTCATGTTGATTCCGTCATGATTGTTGGCGAACCTTACCAGGTACGGTCAAGAACTCTTTCCTGAAATCAACCTCAATCTAGCCCGATCCTTACGATTTCCATCAAAACGACATGACCGCAAAGATCGCTGAAAAAGTGCCGACAATGTTCGCCGAGCGCCTCACCCCGCCGCCAGAAGAAACTTACACTCTTCACCGAAAACTCTCCGGCGCTTTCTTAATGTGTGGGAAAATTAAAGCCAAAGTATCCTGTAGAAATGACTTTATCGAAACTCTTAGTAGGGCGGGTTATCCCGACCTTGCAGCTAGCCTAAAAGAATAAAAGATACCATTATCATTCCATAAATATCTAATTGCCTTTTTGTATGAGAAAAAGTATTCAATCTGCTTTTTTGACTTGTGTCAAGCTCGTTAGGGCGGCTAGAGAAGAGAAGTGAGTGCGGCTCGTGGGAAGTCAAGGACCATAAATTAATGTATTCGAGCAGTTTCCGACGCTTTTTTTGGAAAAGAAAAGAAGAGTTCTCACGCTTCTGAAGTATAAAAAACCGCACTTCGAGCCTCTAACTTTCCCTTCCCATGAGGAGGAGGGCGACCCTTAATTGTTCCTAATGCAGGGACTTAATAACTCTGAAAGCAAATGACACATGTGACATGTCGAACATGGGAATTAAAAACAATCAATTATCATTTGAAAAGCTTTTTAATAGAAGAAGATTTGAATCCTGTAGTTTGTCCCTGCAAAGAGCTGTGGGAAGATCGCGTGGTCAGATAATTCTGCAAGACAAATAGTAATTTACTATCTATTGAAGCTTATACCCATAAAATGCGTGCCCATTTTTCCGGAGAGATAAATCTTTCCGGGTCTCACTTTCACTCTCACCCACTTTTTGTATGACAGATACTGTAATTGCTCGTTTTTACGTAGACATATAAAGATGATCATTAAGGACAATTTTCAAAAGAGCAAAAGAGCCATTTGATTGCGAGTTACGAAGTTAAACGCCATGGGAAACGAGATTAACCAGAAAAAAAACGGCAACAAAAGTTAATAAGAGCGATCTTTTTCCCATAAAAATCACACTTGAACAGACCAATCTAAATTTCCTGGAAAGCCGCGGATCATAAAACACCGCGGTTATTTTTTTAAAAGCGTAATTACGAATTTATTCTCATTTGATTCATGAAACAGGAATTCGCGTTTGCCAAAATGCTGATGATGAGAAACATGACTGGGTGCTTATTCCGGTTTCCCAGGCGCGGCTGGAGTCACACCAAGGCGCGCTCCACCACCAAAAAGGCGATCAGCATCATTCAAACGCAAAACCGCTTAATCCCTCACTATCGCTCACTATCCCGGTGCAGGGGCACCTTTTCCCATCCCACCAGTCACCGCCCGGTCACCTGGCGCTCCATTTCATGGAATTACTGCTTTTACTTCTTATCAAGAATATTTTTTCTCATGCGCTTGCTTTAAAAATATCAAAAGACCATTTCAAAATGAACGAATTCACGGAGGAAGTCCTCAACTGGGTTCAAAACATGAGTCAGGAAAACCAAGCCAGGGCACTGTAACGGCTTTGATTAAAAGCCGCGTAGCGGCTTTTCTAAAAACGAAGCCGCGAAGCGGCTTCGCCATTATAAGGATTCAAATCCACTACCTACATATTGTAGCGAAGCCGCTTTAAATCCATCGCTTTCTGGACCCTGACTCGTGATTTTCTACACAGGCCAGCTCCTACTGTTCCAGAATCGGGGAGCAGTCCTTCTCCACAAATAACCTAATTTCTTTACTGTCTGAAAATATGCCTCTGAAAATTGGTCTGTGGGAGCGTCGAGCTGCCCTTTAGGTTGACCAGTTGATTGTTCTGCCGGCGTGGACCGGATGATCCTTTTCCCAGGCAGATTAGCTCGCTCCTGAGTTGATCCGCCGCCGCAAGTTTCGAGATTTATACTCGCTCTTGAGCATGGGAACTCAAATAACGAATTCGCGCACCGAATAAAGGCCATAAACTTCGCTTAGAGCACGGAACATTCCAATTCAAAATGAGTTATGAAAATACAGTATTTTTCGCTTCTTTCTTTTGAAATATTTATTTATATAAAGTTTGAGGTGTTTGAAATTTTGAGGAGGATTTGACTGTTTTAAAAAAAGGTGAAGCAGCAAAAAATGGTGTGAGTTGAATTTTTAAACGCGTTTTAATCCGAGTCGTCAAAGTCGCTGGGAACGGGGAGGGTTCGCGGGAGAGACCGAGGAGCTCCATCAGGTTCTGGATCATTTGCGGGTGCCGGCTCGCGTAGTGGAAGATGGTCCAGCCACCGTGTGAGGCTACGTGCGCGGAGACACCGGTTGATATCAGCGCCTGAAGAAAAGTGAGTCAAAATTGTTTTTTCCTTTGATAAAATAAGGAGTTCTTAGTGTATCAAGACTTTGGTAACCTTTTCCTGAGAACAGATGTTCTTGTGCATTCTAAGTGCGTACCAGCAGGACTGTATAAGGTAAAATATTTATATAAATAATTATTTTTAACAATTAAGGTTCTTACCTTTACAAGTTCAAAATCGTTCAAAATCACCGCCGCGTGGAGCCCATTCCATCCCCTTTGATCGAAAACGTCAAAATCCACGTTTCGCCGAAACTCGCAATCCTGAAGAATCTGCTTTTGAACTTCCTGAAGAACTTGCTCCATTCTCTCGGGCGAATGAGATCTTCTGCGGCTTTGTTTCTTGCGTTTCTGCAGGTGAACTGCGTCCTTCTCTGCTCGATTCTCAGTGGAGAAACTGGCGGGGTCTCCATTTTCGATGAGTTTCTTTCTCTGGCGGTTGAAAACTGGTTCAAAAACGAGCAAAAGAGTGTGTAGCGTTGAGCGTTTTTCACGAACACCAGCTTCCCAGAGAGACTCCCGAGATGACTATTAGCCCAATTGAGTTTTTCTGAATTTAAAATAGAAACTTGGACGATAAAGGCAGCGTCGCGCGGGGTGGTCAGCGCCGCTCGTTGCGCGCGACGCCGCTGAGGGAGCGTCCAACAGCGCCAAATTCAGAAAGAACACCTGCTCAGATGAACGCAGATGATCCTCCTCCTTCCCGTGCATTTGTAAGACCCAAAACCCTCTCCAAACCTGAGTCAGGGTCCTGGAAAAGCAGCGTAGCGGCTTTTCTTTAAAAATTAGCCGCAGAGCGGCTCTGAGCTGGGCTCAGCAACTTGAGTCAGGTTTTGAAGAGTTTATATCAAAAGCCGCGTAGCGGCTTCGCCAATATTTTAAAATAGAGAAAATTGATTGGTTTGCGAAGCCGCTTTGCGGCTTCGTTAAAAAGCCGCTACGCGGCTTTTCATATAAGCTCTTCAAAACTTGACTCAGGTTTTCTATACAGGTTGCCGAGCTCAAGCTTTGAGAAAAGGCGATTCCGACCTATTTTTAATTCAGTATTTTAGTTGACTAAAGAGATCGCAAAAGAGTGCATTTTGAGAGACAAACAAACTAAAAACGGTCTGATAGACTGTACCCTTGTATGTTGGGAAGTAGGGATTTCAGACGGCGCCTGAAAAGCTGTGAGAAATGAGCGAGTTTGAGAAGGTCATTTTGAGCGAGTCAGATGTAAGAAGACAAAGTGTCACTTATCTGTATCTTGGGCGTGGGAAGGGAAGGAACGGTCAGCGGCGAAAATTTTTTCGAGGAGCGGCGGGGTAGCTTTAAACTTGGCAGGAGCCCGGATCCCACGGATACGACATCGCGAAATTAAGGGCGCCAATTTTCAGCAAGGTTCCCAAGCGAACAGCCGAACATGCCGGAGTCCGGACAACAATGCCGAAACCGGCGAGAAGTTATTTGTCAGATTGGCCTACTTTTCGTGGAACTCGTGATTATTCGACCGGAATAGACAACTTCATCTTTCAGGAAAATTCAGCTTGAATGTCAGCTTTGCGGAAATCTGTGAAAAACCTGAGTCAGGGTCCTGAAAGAGCTTTGGTAAAACGAATATTGCTATTATTTTTTGAATAATTTTCTAATGAATAATTTCTTCTAGTGATTTTTTAAATAAAGCTCAGTTAGGACCCTGGCTCAGGTTTCTTCACAGGTTTCGGAAAAGCTGACATTCAAGTTCAATTTTCCTGAAAATTGAAGATTGTCTACTCGACTTGCTGAGCTGAGCAATTTAGCCGGGTAAAGTTTTACTGTTTTTCTTTTACAAAAGCAATAAAATTTGGAAATTTGTTTATATGGGGACGGGGCGGGTTCTCATGGAGCGTTTCCCGTGTGAACTTTAAAATTAAGTTATTTACGGCTCTTTTTCTGGCTAAAGCGCGTAATAATCGGCGCCACCTAAGTTATTGAGCAGATAATGTGTCCCAGGCAGTTGTTAGAGTACCTCTTGGCCAACTTGGTGATTATGATTTCGGCCCTCATTCCCAGGCGAAACAATTCATGAGAAAAAATCCTGAATCCGCAAAATCCAAAAATTAAACAGCTGCCGTCCCACCGTCCTAAACGCGCAAATGGCCACATTCAAATCCCATCTTTTTATTATTTTACTAAAGTAAATAAAATCACAAATCATACCAAAATAAATGAAGATTCAGCCCTTCTCTAGAATTTTCGAGAGCCAGAGTTAGAGACTCTCAGATCCTCACCTTATCTTTCAATTAAGGACCCCCACCCCTTGTTTACCCCAAAATTATTAACAGGGTCCTTAATAAAGATAAATAACTTTAAATTGATGATAAAATGTCAATATCATTCCCTAAATTGTTGATTCGACTCAAAAAATCATCAAAATTGACAATTTAGGGCTTTTCCCGACGATTTATCAGCAATTTTGGGCCGCTTTTATAGAATTCAAATTCAATATTCCGGTATGAAAAATTATATACATAGTATCTTTGAAAAGTGTGAGAATAACATTTAAAATGCGTGAAGTTTTTAGTACTCTCCCAAGCTCCGGGAGAGCGTGAAATCTAAAGTTTAAAAAATCCATCAGATGTCACGTGATAAATTATTGACCGGAATGGAGCGATTTTCCCAGTCTCTTGTTGATGAGCACCAGCACTGTATCAATGTCATCTCACCGCACATCGAAACAGAATTTATGACAAACACTGCATTCTCGAGCACATGTGTTAATCGTGTGAACGTATTCAGAAGAGTCCCTCTTCAGAGCGCACTCACAGCTAGTTTTTTGAACCTTTTACAATTATTCCTCAGAAATAAGAGCGTAGAAATCAGTTTCTACAAAGTAGAATCAATTTATTGAAAAAGAAGTTCTTTCCTCCTTGATATCAAATGAATTCCGCCACTGCTTTCTATTTCGAAGTGATACCCTTAAAAATCGAAATCGATTTTCTTAAAATATGTTTTAAAAAATGCATTTCAAAAATTAGAAGCGCCGTATCATCACAATTTTGGAACGGCTTTGAAAATGTCAAAAGCGTCGTTCTACTTGGACTCTTCATGATGCTAACAAGTGTCCTACATTTATCAACAGCATGCCAGGGACTTTATAAACCTCCGTCGGCGGAAGTTCATACCCTCATTATCGCTCGTTTTTTCCACGTGGACAGTTTTTTAGATGAGAAAAATACTCCTATCCTTTGTTGGATTTTTGAATGCAGAGAAAATCCTCATCGAAAAATGTTCCAAAAAGACATAGAAATCGTCCGAGGATCTGGCGGATTCATCGACAGTCTGAGCAGAGAGAATATCAAATGCCCTAGTTGGTATCAATCCTGGCAGGGATATGAGCGCTGCTATCCGCAAAAAGAGTTTGACTGGTGCTGGGACGTACGGCCGTATTGCTCTAAGGTGGGTTAATTTGCACTGTCTATTATTCAGTGTATATTACTGTCAGAGGGAAAAGCATGTGAGCCAGAAAATAGTGATAATCGATGATGACACCCTTATTTTCAATAAAACCCTTTTTTCAAGGTAAAAGTGCGATTCACCCACTTTGCGGTAGAAGAGCAATCCAAATTCCTCCAAAACTGGCACGGTCTCACTGGCGAAGATGTCTGCATCGATAGCGTGGGAGTCGCATGGGCGAACTCTACGCGCGTCTTTTGCGACGAATCGCATCAGAACTCCCGGGAATTCACATTCTCCGACAACAAGGAGTACGATCCGAATTTGTTGGGTTGGTTTTCGTGGGTTGAACTCGACGCGGCAGAATTTGCGATTAGGTTCTCGTCGCGTGAGTTGGGTGCAAGTGGCTCCGCGAGTTTCGTTGGATTTGGGCTTCAGGGAGGTTGCTTTAAAATTTATCCAAGAAAGAACAGTAATGAAAACATGATTCAAAGCAAAAATGAAAGTGGGAATGCCTCGACACGATCTTCGATGAATGCTTGAATGAGACGCACTCATGCGATTTTAACCAAAAGTGCATTGACTTGGATAATGGATTCACTTGCGTAGATCAAGGCTCAAGTTCGGTTATACAGTTTTAAATTCGGCCAAGTAACATTAATATTTTCTGGGAGGTAGATCAATTTTAAACGGTCACTTTGTCCTGCTGCCCATAAGAAGATACTCTTCCTTGATTTCACCGTGAATTTTAATCGAACTTAACTCAGCCAAGAAACCATCGATCTGATCCTAGAAGAAGTTCCATCAAGCACGCTGATCAAAGAACGCTCCCTGCAGGTAGAATTATCTGCAGTTTTTCTTAATATTTGATATTTTTTAAAGATGAAAGAGTTTGGATGTGCTACTTGCCATCAGAATGCCGACTGCGTGAATAGCAAATGTGTGTGTAGAGATGGTTTTAAAGGCACCGGCTATTCCTGCGTTCCATTAGGTAATGGTTCATCATATGTTTTTTATCGTCGTTTGCTGCCGGTGATATTGGCCGCAGTCTGCCACTTTTCCAGCCCAATAAATATCTTTATAGCTGGAAGATGCAGCAAAAAGGCCAGAAATCCATGCTCAAAAAACGCCATCTGCGAAGAACAACCCGGAAAGGCACCTCCAAAATGCACTTGTAAAGAAGGATACACGGGCTCTGGAAAGAAGTGCATCAAAAGCTCGAAAATCTGCAGCGAGGAGTGCGATAAAAACGCGATTTGCATCAACTCCGAGTGTATTTGCAATGTTGGGTTCAATGGAGATGGACGGACATGCAAAAAATGTAGGTTCGATTCTATCTGATTTTTTGTTAAATCAAATCTACAGTGGCATATACTGAAGAGCCCGTGCAGAAGCCAGAGGCTAAATCATCAGCTTGTGTTCTTAGCGAGCCTGAGCCGGGCTCATCATGCTTCCAGACTTTGGAAAGGATGAGCGCCTTTGTCACGTGCGAAGACTCGTTCAAGAGCGCGCTCAAAAGGGATAAGCTGATTCTGAAGATGGGCGAGCTCCTCGATCGCTTCTGCATCGAGCTCGAGGAGAATCGACCGGACAGGTGCGTGGATGTCACAACGCCGATCGCGATTTTGTACAATAAAATGATGAGGGTTTCTTCTTTCTCGCAGTGGCTAGAGACATTGCGTCAACAGGAATGTTCTACCAGAGAATAATTAATGACATTCTTTGTTCAAATATACTGGACTGAAATTTTAATGCTAAGAGAACAAGGTGTGTTTTGGAAGATATCTTCAGAACTAAGTCTTGTACTCTCAAATTTAGCAAGATTTAGCAAGATTTTGCGGTTTGCAGCTGAGAAACTCACCTTCTTCGTTCGACAAGACATTTGAACATAGGAAGAAAATCATGGAAGAACATTAAAAGATCAAAAACGCCTCCGATATTGCAGAAAGAAAGGCCCGTATAATTTCAAGCTAGAAAAGCTCGAGCGACTGTATGGTCGAATCACGCTCTAAGAAGACATGCGAGGCAGATGAAAATATGAATCTGGCATATTTTCTGTCTCTTTTTTCCAAACTGTCAATATGCTAAAATCTGTTATATAATTTAAATTGTTGTCTTACAAAGAATAGACTTACAAAGACCTTACGCTGCCTTATGTTTAATAATAAAAAGTTCTGACTTATACCATCCAACTCAAATGATAAATGGATAATTCAACGATATCCCCACCAATTCCCGAGTATCAGAATATGATATGCCACCCTCGCGCGCCCCTGGCGCCCTCCCTCTTTTCTGTCATATCCTGAGGGGCCCGCCCAGCTACCAAACTTCTGTGAGTGATCCACGTTTTCCGTGTTCTCCTCTCGTTTTCGAGGAAAATGTTCGGGAAGAAGAGAGAACGACCAAAAACGGGTGAAGAGCCCGGACGAAAATTAGAACTTTGCCAGAATGGAGTGAGGAATCAGTCCAATCATGCAACTACCTCCTCTCGAGAACAAGGGGAGATTATTGAAGGAAGGGACAAATTAACCCCAGTGGGACGCGTTGACGTATTGATCGAGCGGGCTTAGATCGGCCATTTAAACAGTTAAACTTATGCTGATAAATTATTAATGCTGATAAGTCGTTTTTATTATCCTAAAAGAAGCGATTTTACTAGATTTACTAGATGTCACTCTTTTCAATTTTCAAAAAAGGCGTCAAAAAATGCTAAAATATATCATTTCCCCGGCGCAGTAGAATCTTTCTGATGGGATTTATTGATTTACAGTGCATTTCAATGACAAATGTTTACAGTAACACTTCGGCAATGCTATCTACCACGAGCACGTAATACATGCTTAATAATTTATCCGCCAGGCACTTTTCACTCGTCATATTCAGAAGCTGATTTCAGCGAGTTACAGTTCCTAAAACAGTCACTCTTGATCGAACACTTGGTGGACTGGGAATCTCAATCACAGGTGGTGCGGACAATCAAATTCTAGAGGGCAATTCTGGTGTCTTTATTACTAATGTAAGTCGCTACTGTAATCGACAGTAGAAGAGATGAACTTGATTAACTTGAAGAATAAGGCCCCGTCTGTCTTATCCAATAACTTCGGGGAGCCTTGTAAGTGGATTAGCTTAATGACTGTGCTTTTAAATTAATATTTATATACCTGTCGGAGTTTTTACTCCGCCCGTCAAAATTGCTGCTCGGGGATTCTCGCCGGGACAGCAGATTCATTCATTCGTGCAGAAGACATGATATACGTTTCCTATCAAATTAAGAATATTGAGCGAAGAGCGTGCTAGCTGCTGCTGCTGTCGAACTTTTTGTGACGGATTACAGTGAACTGATTTTTGATGGGCACTCTTGAGGGATCGTTTCTCCCCAGGGGATTATATTCAGCTTGATGCGGATTAAATTGACACTCAATTGAATTAATTCTTTTTCACTTAGTCCAAAAACCTTGTTTTACTTTTGAGTACATTTGAGCTGCACAAATCATCCTGTTTAAGCAGAGTTGCAAATTGCTGAGCTGAGTGAGCTGAGCTGGCTGAGTGAGCTAAGCAGTTGATCTGATCTGCTCAGTTCAGCTCAGACAATTTTCACTCTGTTTCATAAAATATGACTGTAGATACCAGGTATACAGGCTGTATTCTTCCTTGATTTCACAAGCAATCGTTCGCTTCAAGAATTCATAAAGAAAACATTCATTATTTTCTTCGGCAAATATAGCTCAATCAGCAGCCGAGTTGAAATCAAGGATGAACATCTTTCTTTTGGCAACGTATAAAAATATGTTTAGCAGGATATGCAAAGCATGTTCGCATGAATAACTTACAACGCTTTTCACGCTTTCACATTTTTCCAAAGCCAATAAACCTTCCTCTAAGTGGTCTCCGAATCGTCTAGTATCTATTTCTGATTTCCGTTAAAAATAGTTTTTTAACGGACAATTAAGATCATGAAAAATGGCTCGGCCGCGCTGGACGGACGCCTGCGAGTTGGAGACATGCTTGTAAAGATTGAAAATGATAGTTTGATTAACGAGCGTCACAAGAAGGCGGTAAAGATGCTTCAGAAGGCGCCGAAAAGGGTGAAGCTCATTGTCAGAAGAAACAGCACATATGTTAGGGTAGGTCAATCAAAGAAGGGATCGAATAAGGGATTCATCATTTCAGCTCCTGGCCGAAGCAGGAATCATTCGACCAGATGTGAACTCCTTCGCAAACACGAGCCGGCTTCCTAGAATAGAAAAGTTTTGCCAACTCAATTTATTAGTATCTAAAATAGTAGAATTAAATAATCTTGAAAACTTTTGTCAAGACATGCCTAGAACGATTGAAGTCTCACTCGATGTCTCATCGAAGGAAAGTTGTTCACGTGAATAATAGAAGGGTTCTTTAGCAGTTGTGTATAAAGAGACTTATTCCTAAGTTTTTGAGTTCTTCCATGAATGATTAATGGCATGGTTTTTAAAGTTCATCATTTGCCGAAAAAATACCGCGAGACTCAATCTGATTTGATGACTCTCTTGAGGCGCTGTTCTCAATCGACCAATCAAATTTCTTGACTCGAATTTCAACCAATTTTTTAGTGGGTTTGATTCGTCTCAAGATTTTAGCTCTCCAGGAAAAGGATGAAAAACGTCACCGTGAAGATCGCCATTTTCGGGTGATAAGAGTAGTGCTTATCAGTTGCCGCCAAAGGCCCGTAAACATTACGTGAACATGCGAAAAAGGGATTAGGGATAACGATCGCTGGCGGGGTCGGAAATGAACACGTACCGGGCGACTCGTCCATTTTTATCACTTCGATATTTGCCAATGGAAGTGCTTATGGGAACCGTGCGCAAATACACATCTCAATTTTATTTTCTGATATTACAGTACTCGTCGAACATAGTTTTAAAAAGCTTCTGAGTTTTCGAATTTCTGCTTTTCATCGCTCCTATCGAGAAAACCTTGCATCTTCCGTATCCATTTAGGTGCCCATAATACGAGCCTGCATGTGTGCCCATGTAGCTAGAAACCATCGAAACGAGTGTTAACAGTAATATCCTCATCATCTTTCTTTCTTTGTGGGATTCTAAGTTGAGTTCTAGCAGTTATATAGAAGCTTTCTTATATAAATTTATGCAAATTTTTTTGGTTGTGTCAAGGTTACCAAATCATCGTCGGAATTCGAAAATTCGTTGATGACTAAATATAAATATTTCATACGAGATGATATAATAAAGCATTTGCGCATCGTTGTCTAAGCGTCCTGGAACCTGGAACGCGACTGCTCTCCATCGACGATCGAGATATAACGCGGGAAATGCACGAAGAAGTCGTCGAAATGCTCAATAACTGCGGCGAGCGCGTCAATTTGAGGATACAGAGGCCGCCGACTTCGCAAACATTCAATTACGGTTCTGAAAAAAACAATTTATCTAGTTGAAATGGTAGAAGTCTGAACCGGCGAAAGTCTCGTTGAAAACGAGTTTGACGATTTGCGGATAGTTCAAATCTGCAGGCTGGCGATGGGGCTTGGCTTTAATATTGTTGGAGGCGAAATGGACAATCAAGGTAGAGAGACCCTTAGTAAACACGACCACAGTTTGCGGGAAATGCTCAGGAAAAGCTTTCAGCCCCTAAATGGACCATTTCTGACAGTAAACAGACACATACAGTGGCGTCCTTCCTCCTCGCTTCCCTTATCCGTTCTAGAGGAATTAGGGGGCAAGAAGGAAGGACGCCACTGTATCTTGATTGTAAAATCATTTTTTAGGCATATTTATTTCGTATCTACATCCAACCGGCGTAGCAGAATCAACGGGAAAAATTAGAGAAGGCGATCAAATCGTTGCAGTCAACAATATTTCCTTCCTGAACATGAATCATCAAGGTAAGACATCTCCGATCGTAAATTATGCTTCCTCAAATTTTTAAATTTTTTATAAAAAAATATTTTTTTGAAGACGCCGTAAGAATTCTCCGATCTGTCGACGAATGCATCGTCATCGAGCTCTCCTACCAGCCCGAAAAGTTTCACAAATTAAAAGTAATGCTCCGAAAGATTTAAAATTTTGACCGAAGATATCATTTAGGATGAAATCTGGAAGCTGAGGGAGCAAAATAGAAGAAAAGTTTTACACTGTGATTCTGTAAAATTGTGATACTGTACATTTTATTCGCTTTCTATATAAATATTGATTACAGAGAGAAAGAAATTTCTTCTTCAAAATGGAAAAATCAAGGTCTGCTAGACTGAAAAAAACGGTAAAAAATTCAAAAAATTTCTAGATGGATCTAATTTTCTGATAAAATCTAAAAGAGCATTTTCAGTTGCTCGAGTTTTGGCGTGTTTTTGTCAAGTCAACTTTTTTTTATTCGAATTCAAAATTCAAAAAGAGAGAGAGAGAATGAAAGAGGCGGTGTCTCTTCACTTCCGGTGAGCTTTTCATTTAACGCTTTTTGACTGTTAGACAAGTCGTTTTCTTTTGAATCAAGAGCTATTTCTACGAAAATTCTTACGTGTTACAGAAAGAGGTTTAGTTTGAAATACTGTCAAACAGAAGAGGGGCTCCGTTAATTTTAATTATATTTGAAATATTTTACTGATAAGATAACATTGATCAACTAGTTTTAGGCAAGAAATGACTCAGTACTTCTCATAAAACTGTGTAGAAAACCTGAGTCAGGCCCAAAAGTGCTAAAATAGCGTTTTTTACCAAATTTCAGGGTCTGACTCAGGTTTTCTACACATGAAGCCGACCTCAGATTCGTTATGTTTATCTGGGCTCAGCAACCTGTCTAGAAAGTCTAAGTCAGGGTCTGAAAGAACTGAATTTTGATAGACGAGCGGCTCTTCAGTTCTTTCAGACCCTGACTCAGGTTTTCTACACAGGTTGCCAAGCCCAGATAAACATAACGAATCTGGGCTCGGCTTTCTGTGTAGAAAACTTGAGTCAGACCCCGAAATTTTATTAAAAAATCGGCTATTTTAGCTCTATCAGACCCTGACTCAGGCTTTCTACACAGAAAGCCCAGCCCAGATTCGTTATGTTTATAATGCTTAAACTTAGTGTAGTATAAATGAGTGGGCTTTATTTATTTTATTTTTAATTGTTATTGAAAGCAGGTGGCACGAGTCGAGCCGTTTCTGAGTTAATTTTTTTTCTGTTTTCATGATCAGATTTTATGACCCATGTCGTTAGCTAAAAATGATGCCGGTCGTTATTCAGCTTTTACACTTTTTTCTCTAAGAGTCAGAAATTTCTCAAGTACGTTTCGTAAATTAAGAGATTACTTTCATTTTTTAGAGAAATTTGACAAGCAATCGCGGTTTTTTTTATTAAAAATATTAAAAAATATTAAAATTATATTGGAGAGTTATGCTTTTATTGAAATATTACTGTACTTCAAAATACAGTAACTGTTTGATTCAAAAATAGATAAATAAAATCTTTGGATGAGTTGCCGCGCCACTCGTAAAATCGTAAAAACGAGGCAAGTTTATATTTAGCCGCGATGAATTTCAAACTGATTAATCATTCATTTTCAACAGCTTCGCATAAAGAGAAGGGTCTCCATCTTTCTTGTTAGTTTGCCGGTTGGTCGCTAAGTCCATCCTAGCAACGCCGAAACATCTTTACTTTTTACGTTTCAGACCGTTTTTTCCGATTTCTTTTTCGTTTTTCGAGGAAGGAAAAACATAAAAAGTTGAAGTATAAATGGCGCCATTGTCAAAATTATCGCTGGTGGTTCCTGTTGCGCTTTACGACCCACGTGGACCTTCAATAGAGAGAGAAAACGGGTCAACGGGCGACTTTTTCGTTTTTTTCAAGAGTCTGAGAGATTTTACACCATTTCAATATTTTTTTCGACTTCAGGGAAGCTGCTTTGCGGCTACGTTTTTTTAAAGCCGCTTTGCGGCTTTCCTGAAAGCTCTTGCGGAACCCTGACTCAGGTTCCTCATTTCTACACAGACTTCCAAGCCCAGTAAGTCGACAATCTTTTGAGCCTGGGCTCTGCAACCTGTGTAGAAAACCTGAGTCAGGGTCTAAAATAGCTGAAATGAAAAGCCGCGGCTTTTTGAAAACGAAGCCGCTTCGCCAAATAATCTGTTGAAAATTCTGGCGAAGCCGCCTCGCGGCTTTGTTTTCAAAAAGCCGCGGCTTATCATTTCGGCTCTTCTAGACCCTGACTCAGGTTTTCTACATAGGTTGCCGAGCAAAGTTTGGAGGTGCCCTAGTTTAGGATTTTCTAGGAATAAAGTGACTGTAAATATGCATACTTTGTATTCTTGGTTTCAACCACAAGCCGCCGGCGGGTAGCGTTGCTACGCCTAGGGCAAAATGTAAATTTTTATGAGCATAATTACGCATGTTATTTGGGCACCATTAAGGCTGTGTCTTGCGCCGGCGGCAATATTCTATGGCGCAGCGTATTTTTCTTTTTTCTTAGCAAATATGAATTAACGGGCCGCTTTTTGCAGGTAGATGATATTTACTTTAGCGGAGAGCGCTGGAAAGCGCAAATATGAAAACTGCGCGCTGTGGGGCAATGCCGCCCTGCCCAGCCGCCAGAACGGATTTTTCACACAACCAAAATCAAGAGCCACAAAAGCGAAAAAAAAATAAAATGAAAAAATTAACGAAGACATTTTTCAAGAAAGAGAATTTGGAAAGAGCTGCCCCACGAGCAAAAAGGGAGCAAATCTTGCTTTGAAATCATCACGTGGTGGAGTCAACGAGTCCTTGAAATTACCGGCTGAGAACAGAAATAGAACCACTCAGCTGGTATATCAGGATCGTTTCCTACACCCGTGAGCAATCGACGCGAATTTTGGAAAGTTCACGCCCGAGGGCAAGTCGTTATTTGCCCGGAACACGTGTTCTTAAATGCGTAGGTAGTGCATTTTTGAACATAAAGTTGAATCGTTCAAATTTAAAAAATAAACTGATTTATTTTAAAATTCTTAAATTTCTAAAAAGTCCGATTAACGATGGTATTCAAGTTCACCACCTGAAGATGCTGAATAAGACTTTCTTCTAGCGGCATATCTAACAGTCTGAAAAGAGGCCACGCAAGATATTCTTATTTAGACAAGTCGCGTTTCTACAATTATTACGAGATCAGTCAGCGTGTCAGGACGGAAATTGGATTTTTCCTTCTCACGACTTGGCGAATTGGCGAGTTTTTCTGATTTGTTTTGAACCGGCCAAGTTGCAAGTTCTTCTTTTGCAATTTTGACAATTTGAGAAAGCGAACTCTTTTCTTATCAATGACTGCAAACTTGAAGGTCGCCGGCTCTTATCAGCGAAAAGCTGTGACGAGGAGGATGGCTGTGTGAATCTAACGCGAATCGGATTAGAAACTTATCAGTGTGTGAGAACTGAGAACGCTGATTGAACGTCTTTTTCGACTAATATTTAGGCTGTTTTTCAAATTTCTTTATGAAGAAGAAAGTGGCTGTTCCGAAAAAGGGTGTCAAAATTATTGCGCCGGAGGCTCGACCAAGAAATCTCCCAGAAAATCGAAATTAATGTCGTAAATGCCCTTTCTGATGTTTGAAAAACCTGGGTCAGATTCTGAAGAGCTAAAATGAAAAGCCACGTAGCGGCTTTTTAAAAACGAAGCCGCTAGGCGGCTTCGCCAGAGATTTAAAAAAGATACGAGTGATTGAATTGCAAAGCCGCGGCGCGGCTTCGTTTTTAAAAGCCGCTATTTAGCCGCATTTAAGCTCTTCAGAATCTGACTCAGGTTTTTAACACAGGTTGCCGAGCCCAGAACCGAGGATAAATCGTAATTTCAGCTTATTTATTTTTACAACAACAGAGCTACAATACGACATAATGTGAAACATGGTTAATAATAATACTTACGACATCACACGTTTTTTCTTATCCTTGAAGTTGCGACCTAAAAACCGCAAAAACACGGAACACCGGGACTCCAGAAAACTCTAAATGCTGGATTAAGGACAATCAGTACCGCCACATAAGGCGGCTTACGTCATGTTCTGATACTCGAAAATTTGCAAGTGTCAAATTTTGACGAAATCACGTTCCAAAACGTCTCATGCTTCAAATTCGGCCCCCTGCTAAATTTTATTAAAATCAAATTACGCCCGCCTCGCATATTGTTAATATTACAAACGCGCAAATATCAAAAAACCGGATGTGTTTCAAACTTTGATCTTCAGCCGGCAAAATATTTGACCAACTTGCGCATAACTTTTAGTTATCGGATCTTGACTTGACGCAGAATCGTGAACACTTGGGAAATTATGGCTATCTTATCTTTTATTGAGCGATAAGCCGATTTCAGAGCGAGAAGTCTGAAGGGTTAGGGCTATCGCTGGATGAGCTGGCTTTGTTGGATTGAAAAATTTGTTATCAGACGTATATTTTTCTTTGGAGCAGGGGCCAGTAAAAATGGCAACCAACTTCAGAAAAAGAAAGGCGGAAAACTACCCCTGGAAGTGCTTTCTCCTCAAATCCGTCAACAAAACCGCGGATTTAGCCACTTTACTGTTTGGTATTTTCTTCCTTCCCGATCTCGGTAAAAATCACGGTGGACTTGACAAACTTTTTCTGAGAGTGTCTGTATAAACAGTTTTGACTTGATCTTGGATTTGACGGATTTGAGGGATCTTTCTGACGTAGCATAAATGCGAGTAAATCCGAGATAGTCGGTCCTAAAGTCAATTTTAGAATAATAAACAGTCAACTCATCTAACTCTTCGTGAATTCTAAAATCATCGAACTGATACAGTCACTTTTCATTGTGATAATTTCATGTAAACATCATTGGCTTCGATTTATAGCTAAAATGGTTCGGAGACAAATGATTTTAAAATGTGTATAAATAGCCATCAATAATCACTTTCCGAGTCTATCTCTAAAGATTGAATTTATTTCAAGCCATTTTTTTGCCAAACAATCATTCTTTTGCCATTCGTAAAATCCGGCGCAGCGAAAAATAGCGCCCTCTCGCGCACCAAGGTGGTTTATAAGCGCGTCTCCCGCCGAGATCACCATCAAAAACTACTGATAACGACAGTAGGAAAAGAAACACACTCAATAATAAAAGAGGAAAAAATGAAACTTTTCGGATTTTTCGCTGTTTCTTCCGCTTTCGCCAACCAAGAACTGTACGAGATGTTCGACAATAGCCAGATCGCCGAGAGTGCGAGAACAGGAACCAACAACGTGAACCAGTTCACGATGTTCTACGCCCAGATGGCAAATATGCCCAACTTTCTTGATTTCGCCGCCCAAGAATGGAACTACGGATGCTGGGGACAAATCGACGGGGTCGAAGCGCGCCCTGGTCATGGAGAAGCGATCGATGTGATTGACCAGCTCTTCCAGGACTGGGTCAAGTGCAAGGAGTGCATGAGCATGGACTTTACCGACTCCTGTGACATCGACAACGTCGCCTACGAGGTAAGTTAATCTCATTCTAACTTGAAAATTAACTCCTAAAGGTCGGCATGGATCCCGCAACTGGTCGAATCGAGTGCTCAGGAAACTCAGGCTGCCCAAAAGCTCGATGCGATTGCGATGAGACCCTCGCTTTCGGAATCATCGAGAACTGGGACTCGTACAATCCAGAAAACGAACCACAGGTAAAATCTCTCTCCTGATATACTCCTCCTGAACCTTTCAAGAATGGCTTTGATTTCGATGCTTCCTGCCAGCCTCATCCAAAAACGCCAACAAGTGGAGGCGCCGGTGGCTCCTGCACCAACGTTGGCGACAATACCAGACGATGCTGTGGCGAGTATCCAAAGGAACGGGTCAAAATTATAATTCTAAAAAAAAAGAATGAAAAATTGACCACGAAATTAGCGATTTCCGTACGACGACAAGGCTGGCTGCTTTCTGTGCTGCGACAGCGCCGGCAAGATTTTCAACATCAACCGACACGGCTGCTGCGGAGATGTTCTTGGTACCGTCGGTTGCGTCTAGAATGTCTAGACTACTAGAATGCTTATGAAACTACTTTCGAAACAATTCCAAAACTGATTCTTTCCACAAATGGAAAATTGAAAAAACATCTTCTGTTTATAAATAATATTTTTTTGCTGTCAATAAAACTTTTATACAAAATAAGTTCGGTCTCCTCTTTTCCTGCAATTTTTGTATACTGAAAAGAAAAGTCAAAAATCGAATGTTGAGTTTGATAGGATTTATTTAGAGAAAAATTATAAAAAAAAGACCATTGTGTTATCCGTAAAAAGGCAGTGAAAAATGTGAAATGTAAATAATGAAGGTATTTAAAATTCTTCGACTTCAGCTTGAGCAATGCTCTCGTCGATGGAAATGTCCAGCGGTATCGAATCGCCAAATTCAAACTCGAACTCGTCTTTGGACTCTTTTGGCGTCACTTTCATTTGAGAAGTGCCGGAGGTTGAAGGTCTTGCTTTCTCAGTGGCCTCGTCTTCGTCCGATGAAACCTGCCATTCGAGACTGAAGTCGTCGGATAGCATATGTTGTGAGAGAGTAGGATCACTGTCTTGTGACTTTTGTGGTTTGGGGAAATATGGCGAGACGGAACCAGTTGATGAGTGAGGAGCGTCCAGGTTGTGTAGATTACGATTAACGAAGCCAGCTGGTCCAGTTCGTTGGTCCATCTCCATTGATTCCGCAGATCGAGTCATCTCCCAGGAACGTCGCTTTGGTTCTGGAGTTGATACGATCTTTTCATGGGTTTTTATCTATCAATTTTTATCGAGAAATCAAGGAAGAGATTCGACCCATTCCTTCGGCTCCTCAAGATTCGATCTCCTCTGATTCACAGTACTTGAGTCTCGCTCCAAAGGTCGCTTTTTTGTCGACGGATCTTTAAAAGGTTGGTTCACCTTTGCGTTTGGTTTGTTGAAAAGTGGAGCCATTTTCTGTGGGAGAATATTCTCTTTGCTTTCCTCTTTTCCGACTTTGACGTGTCGGCGGTTTTTCTGTAGGGTCGACTCTTTTCGGTTGACATTTCTTGCGTTTTGCTGCGCTGCCCGAGCTTCACTCAAGGGTCTGGGACGGGTGATCTTGCCACGCTTTTGGAAAGCTTCCATTTTCTTGAAAAATGCGCGAAGTTGGCCTATTGCTTGTTTGCTTGGCTACAGAGGGTTTTAAGACTTGTCTTCAATTAAAAATGAATTACTTTTATTTAATACAATATCAATTAAAACCCTTGGCAATACTCTATGGTTACGTTTAACCCACTCAGGCATCAGATTAAAAGCATCATTGTTGCCTCTATTTTGGAATCTCGTGTCCATGTAAATAATTGCGCCAAAATCATTCTTGTGTCGGATAATTCGGCCGACGGCTTGGTTGATTGCTCGAATAGCTTCGATCCCGTACCATTTGTTTCCGTCAGTGATGCCCCGACCTGCCTTTTTGCGGTTGTTGAGGTATTCTTTCTTGAGCATCACTTTTGGGTCCTTCGCCGGAGCGTACGGAATTCCTAAATAAAATATTGATTCATTGGGTTTCCAAGGTGGAATACCTGTAATGATGACGACTCTCCCTCTACAGTCAGCAAAGTCAACACCTTCGGACATTTTTCCTCGACAGACTCCGTTGAAAATAGCTCCTTTCACTTCATCAGGACCCTTCTTTTCATCCTCTTCTAGCTCGCGTTCGAAGTTCTCCGTCATCCTTTCGAGTTCGTATTTGCCGCTTGGCTCGAGAAAGACGGGCACACCGAAGTCGTTTTTGTATGTAGCATTTCTTTTATCCAGCCCCCAGAAATCTTTAGAAATCTTCATCAGAGAATAGGTTGGGTGAAAAATGAGCATCCCTCCTGGCGAAACTTTTTTCAGCTCTTCTACAAACAGGTTTAACAGAACGATAAAAGAACTCAAGCTTACTAATAATTTCGGCGTATTTTTGAAACATGTTCCTATCGGTGCGATTTCTGAAGACGTTCAGAAACTCTGCTCCTTCAGTTCCTGTCAAAGTCGCGACGAATAACTGCGCTGGATCGATGACGTGAGTGTTAGTCAACTGAATCGTCTTCAGCTGATGTTTTTGATCGAGGCCCAAAGAGTTGATATACTCGTCCAGAGGTGAGAGCGTTCCGGATGTCAGGATCAGGTTGTACGCCGCCTCACCCTTGAAAAATGCTTTTGGTCGGTGTAATTGAAGATCTGTTTTTACCTTGGTAAGATAGTCAATCGCATAGGATGCATTGAAGCACCAAATCTTGATCTCCATGTCTGTAGAGTCGTTTTCCTCGGGAACCATTTGAATTCGATAGTTTCTGAAAACCCTTTATACTAACAGAAAATAAAACTGCGACTCACTCATATTCTTCTCTGTTCTTTGCAAGTCTAGTCATATCTTCGATCATAAATGCAAACTCCTCAAAGCTCGTTCCCGACAGGCCCGTGCGATCCTGCCCATCAGAAAAGAACTTCACGACTTGCTCGGCCAAGGCTAGCCATCGTGTGACACCAAATTTGAACATTCCGGCTTGCCTAAGATCTTGAATGAATTTCGCCACCGGGTAGCCTTTTCCGTCTTTCCCGGCGTTTTGTACATCATCGACGACCTCCATTTGATAGCGGTTGTTCAATCCGTCGATGTCTAAAAAAGGCTTTCTTTTTATTGAGGAGAAATATTTTACCTCTTGTTAAATCGTCAAGCTCGGCGTGGGTAAATCGTTCCGCACCTGCTTCATTATTTCGAGCAACTTTATCTCTTGCTTTTGCAAGCTCGTCATGAGCGATTTGCATCATTTTGAGCGTCAAATAATGCGATGAGCTTTCTTCGCAGACTTGCTCGACATTGTGGGCTTCATCGAGAATGATGATCTTGTTGCCGATTTCGAAGCTGTTCCTTCGTCGAATCTTCGTGTCCAAAATGTAGTTGTAGGGCATCAAAAGGATTTCAACCGAATCTGCTTTGCCTCGCGAAAGGTAGTAGCTGCAGACTTTTTTCTCCTCCTTTTGTCCAGCGGCTATTGGTCTCTCGCTGCACCACGAGACAAGCTCTTCAATGTCCATAATTTCCTCCAACTCTTCTTTGATTTGCCGTTCGTTTTGTCGGTTCTCTTTTTCTTTCAGGAACTTTTTCATATGCTCTTCGGATCTAGTTTCATCATTTCCAGGAAGTGGAAGAGTTAAAGGCCCCTGATGATCGCGGCCGATGATTCCAAGGACTTTGTCCGCTTCTCTTTTGTGCGGACAACCACCATTCTTCCTCAATCTTCTGCACTCATTCTGCTGCTCCGAATTCGTCTTTATTCGCTTCACTTCGTCGTTGACGCACAGCGAGCTTCTCCCACCAACAACAGTCATGTCGATTCTATAGCCGCAGACGTCTCGGAGTTTTCTCAATTCTGATACAACTTGCGTCAGCTGTGAGTGTGTTCGGGATGCGTAGATGACACTCGGAACTTTGGATCGTTTCGGATCACTGATGCCCGGAACTTTGAGTTTGTGCGGGTTTTTCTTGGCCCAAACGCGGAAGGCGATTACAGAAGCGAGGAGGCAAAGGGTCTTTCCGGTACCCGTCGGGGACTCGAGCACAGCATGGTTTCTGCAAAGAAATAAGCAACTTCCAGATATTCTTGAGCTAACCTGTTCACGAGAGATTCTACACATTTCTCTATGTACGCCTCTTGCGCTGGATACGGATCGTATGGAAAGCGGACATCAACGCCATGAAAATTCAAAGTCTTGAACCCCGCCATTTTTTTCAACTGACGACTCTTGAGTTCGCACGAAACCGGATTCAAAAAACAACTTATGCTTTTCGCATCTTCTAGAAACTGTTGCGTTAGCTTCATAAAAATACAGTCCACTAATTATTGAATTTCAGCCTAATTGATTGATGAATGCTTCGATTCAAATTTCTGGATTGAAAATTCGGAAGCTGATGCTCTTTTTCATGCTGGATGCTAAGTATTCGACTTGGACTTCATGATTTCCTGCTTCAAAATTGCCGAAACCTGCGTGAAGAAAACACGAAAATTGAGAACTACATGAACTTGTTCGGATTCAGTAAGTCAGATGAAAGTAGAAAAGGTCAGCGTTACTAAATATACCGTAATAATAATACCGTAGTTATTTTTCCACACTTGACAATTGTAATAATTCAATCGTTTCAAACTTATAAAAAATTAGCATGATCGTTTCTTTTTTCTTTTAAAAATTGTGCTAGAGTTTTCTTTTTCTTTTGTTTTGCCAAGTTTGGGAAAGAGCCGATTTCGATTTTGTTTAGTTTGATAGGGTTTTGTTGAAATATGGAGTTTTTCAAACGCTTTTAGAAAAATAGGGACAAGATGTAAATGAGCAGTTGATTATTTGTAATCCAGCCTGTGGATCGTTCAACTCATTTCAGGGGAGATATAAAAAGGGAAAGCCGAGAAGCCAGTCTTGGCGAAAATGGTTCGTACAGGGGAACTCATCAAAGTTGTTGATTTTGGTGGGCAGGAGAGACAGATTCAATAAATGGAGGACACGCATCGGAAGACCTTCTGACCCGCAGAATAACCACTTGAATCTGAAGGCGATTTTTAGGCGACGAAATTGTTCGAAATCTCTACCTTTTGGGTTAGTTGTTTTGTTGTCGTGGAGGAGCAAGCTTCGCCCGCTTGGCAAGACATTCTCTCCAAGCCTGCGCGCCCAGAGACTTTTCAAAGTGACTGTCAAGTGATGCCGCCACCTTTAACAAACATATAAGTAAATGTTCAACGACTCGATTCTCTTACATTCTGATCGACGTAAACTGTGTGTGGCCGTTTCTTCTCCGTTCGTCGAGGAGTCGCGACTGGACTGGCAACGATTGGGGAGCCAAGGGAGCGGCGGAAATGACCTTCTACTTTTGCACTGGGAGATTCTTGGTCGGGCACTTTCTTTGGGCGCATTTTGACGAGAGTGATCTGTTTTGGGACGATTCTGCTCGAGTCCTGGGCGATTAGTTGGGTTGGCACGGCAATTGGCTGCGGACTAGAATTTATTTTAGTTTGATGTTACTATTATGAAGGCATTCTTGATTTTTGGTTTTTAATGTACCTTTGTTTAGGAGGCGTGGAAACGCAAATCTCTTCTTTGGGAAGAATTATCGCTCGTTCCTCTGTGGGAGTAGAAACTGCTGATCCAAGACTTGATCCTAAAGCAGAGCCAGGCGAGCTTAACGACGGCACAGGAGAGGACATAGGCGCTAGGGTCAGCTTATTAGGCGGCACTGGAGGAGCCACGCCGAGCGCACTAGCGTAGGGGCTCAGCCCCAAGCTCGGCGCGCCAGGAAGATATTGCGGGATGAAGACGCTGGCGTAGCGGGCAGCCTCGGCAGTGCCAATCGGGACCGGTACGTATACGATATTAGTACGCGGGAGATAATGCTGATGTCCAGCAGCGAGCGCGGCGTAGGGCGACTGGACGTGTTGTTCAAGCGCGGCGAGGGAGGCCTCCTGGAGCTGTGTTTGGGCAGCGATGGTCTTGAAAAACGATGAGTCAAGGAGAAAGGTCTCGTTTCTTACCTTTTTCTGTTCCTCCTGCATAAGTTCCCTGTACTGCATGAGTTCCGCCGCGGCGCAGAGATCGGCCAGCCGGTTCTCTGTTCCCATCATCCCTCCAGGGGAGTGTGAATCCTATATTCTAAAAGAAAAAATTCAGAAGAGCAAGAAATAATTGAATAAAGCGAATTTGAATTATGAATAGTAAGAATAATGAACGAAAATTGAACAGAAAATCGAAAAAAGGTAGAAGCACATTTGTTTTCTCTTGAAAACGGCGAACCAGCGCCGGAAACTTTTAAAATTGAACTCTTATTTTGTGAAAACAGGATGATTTTTTGGATTTTGAGATTTTTCCTTGAATGGATGGTGCACAATAAAATTGAGTTATTCGGAAATTGTGAATAAGCGTTTTATGTGACATTTGCTATTCGGAAACTGAAATCATGAATAGTTGGGTCATTAGAAAGTAATTTCACGAGCGCTTGTGTGATTCTCTGTTTTTGATGCTCTTTATCGTTCGCTCGTACAAATCGCGCTCCTTCATGTACCAGGTCGGCGGCCATCTCTCCTTCTCGATAATCACTCGTTTCGCCTCCGCGAGCTCGAGGAATTGCTCCTTGTGGAAGGCATCAATCTCGTTGAAGTTGACGGACAAGTGGCGCGTTATGAAGGCGGCGAGTCTTGTCAGAGGCTACTACGATGGGATTTTTGAGGGGATGAGTCGGTCGCCCGTGGGCACGATGATTCCATGACTCGGACTTTACTCAACTGAATTTAATTTAATATTTGTTCAGTCTGATTGATAGCTCATTCAGCCCACATAGTTCATTGTCCTTTATTGTTTAGCCTCTTTCCTATTAGCATGGTGTTGTTCAGCAAGTTCAAGGGCAGTCATACTGAACTGGAGGCCGATATTGGTCGGGGAGGTTCGAATACGCTCGATGATCTGCGCCTCAAGCTTCGTAAAAACTCCGTCATGCAGAGGCGCGAGGCGGCGGAGATGAGCTGAATCAGCAGCTTCGTCGGGGTCGACCAGTCCGGCATGACACGTGCGTAGATCCAGCGACAGCACTCGCGCAACTCGTCCTTTGTCAAGTCCGTCATTCGTATTGAAGACAGCGATGACTCACGCCAGTGTCCTGATGTAATAAAATTTTAATTTATTCATAAATACTGGTAGTAAAGCCGGTAAAGCTTTCTGGAGGAGACATTTTTAATAGCGCAGACTTCCGTCAACACTTACCTATTAACATGGCGTTCATGAGTTCAGATCCCGCTGCCAGGAGAATCCTATGAGCCTTGATCGCTCCATCGTCGGCGATTAACGTCACATCGGAGTACTTTCCAGTGTTGAACATGTTGAGCCTTGCAGCTCGCGATTCAACTGTGGAAAATATTCTCGGATCATTTGAGTATCCTCTTGAGTGGTAAATTAGTCGGATGAAATCTTCATCAAACTCTTCCTCTAAAGTGGAATTATAAGTAATTAGTCAGCCGTTTTTCCTTCTTAGAAAGTGCTTAAAACTAGTCACGTGCTCGTAAAGCCTACATTCTGGATGAATCGGACGCTGCGTCACTGATTTTATTTGCGCAGACGCGAGAGCTAAAATTAAACAAGTGGGAAACATAATAATAGGAATTTCTATTTTCCTACTAATTTTATCGCCAGGCAGGTGAACTTACCAGAAGAAACTCTGGTCCGAGACGCCAAAATGCAGCGATGAAGTGGAATGGAGCATTGGCCACTGTTGCTATCGCTGTATCGCTCGTAGTCAAAGAAAGTGTCAAACGCTGGCAGCTCGCATTCAGGCAGTTCTGGCGAAGAAGGCGGGGCCGGAAGTGCGAGACGCTTTGATCCCTCGGCCATTTGCGAGTCTGAATCCGGCGGCATCGGAGGGAGAAGAGGCGGCTGTGGCAAGGGACGCTAAAAATACATTCATCATTCTTGAAGGCTTTTTTACAACTTTGTTAAAAATAAACCCGGCTGTTAGAGCATTAGACGATGAAAAGTTGTAACTTTAAATTGCAAATAATTGACTAAATTGCATACTTTCAGATCTTTGTTTGACAAATCACAGCGAACTACCATTCCTAACGGACCCTTTTTGTCTACACTTCACATTCCGGAAGGGACAAAGTGTGTCACTTTCGGTCAGACACTGTAAGTCAAGCACATGTTATCAGGAACTTGGCTCGCGAAAAAATTAGCGCGAAGTGCGCGAGAAAGCTTCTCGCTTATTATCACATTTATTTTTGGTTAGTTTTTGTCTCTCTCGCAAAATCCAAACAACGTTGACTTTGGCCCAACAACGCGGAATTGGATATCCGTTGCGGAATCTGGCTATCTTTTATGCTTCTCTAAATATTGTACTTGTAAGATTTTCTACGAGCTTTTTACTTTTTCGTTGCATCATCATATTTATGCTTGCACTTGACGTAAAAAGGTCACGAAGGTGCAGAAGCTCATGCAATTTCGAATGCTTTGATGAGGCTTTCAAGAACAAGTCTTCCAAAAGGGATTAACTCGAAAACTACTTTATGATTTTAGCCATAAAGTGTCCAAAAGCCTTGATTGCGGTTTAATTATTAATTACCAAAATGTATTAAAACCCGTTTCCCAGGCAATAAAAACTTTCCCAGCTATCCGGTATTTATCCATTGATCATTTTTATATTATCATTATCTTATTTTTAAAAAAGCTCCGACAGCGCCAGTCAGCAGTATTTTTTAATTCAAGGGTCAGTTAGGTCTAGGCGGAAGGTAGACCTCACGCAGGAGACCGCAGGGATCAACCTGGCCAAGGGCACATTGCTCTCATCTGACGGATTAGAATAAATTCAATTAGATACCGTTAGCTAAGCCACCTTAATGAGCCCTTGACAATGGGAGGGTTTTTATTCTCACGTTGGCGTGCCGCACTAATTTATTCATCGATAAGTAAAGACTTTTGTCCTCCATCCAGTATCTATTTTGAGAAGAATAAGGCAATGTTTGAGTAGTTACAGGGCGGAATTTCCGCATTACCAGACTTGAGTGTCTCAATACCCCAATGTCAAATATTTTCACACTCGTTGGTTACCCAAGTGCTTACAAATGGAGCTTAGGGGGAGAATTAGGGGCTATAAATTCCTGGCAATACAAACTAGAAACATTTGGGCGGTGTTTGTCAGCAATTAGGCCCGTAAAAATTCTATTGCGGACAAAGCTGAACCGGAAAGCCCGTCTTGAATTATTGAAAATCAACAAAAAGCAAAAGCAATTCGCTTGGTTTGTTTTTGTTTTGTTAAAATTCACCAGCGTCAAGGTTTAAAAAACGGCTTAGCAGTGCTGTAATTTCAAATTTAGGTCGATCAAAAGGGGAAATTGGGATCAAGGAAGAGTACCTTTCTTTTGATGGCTGGACATTTTCATGGTCGTAGAAAAGTTTCAAATCTCTTGAATATAATTTCAACCAGCTCTAGGAATGTTAGCTCTTTTGAAGGAGAGGGAGAGAGTGTGTCTCTCAATTTTGGGGGCATCATAAGCGCCCCCGTCGCCCCACAGCGCTAACGCCAGTACGTGATTCATATGTTTTCTTCGACTATTGAGAAGAAAAAAAAACGAATAAAAGACCATTTGAAAGCTTCTCTCCGAGGCGCATTCCACTTCATCCCCTCTCTATCGGGCGACCTTCGCGTTTCGCTTATGCTGAGCGCGTCACTCAGCATGTTCTATTCCTCGGGGCAAAACTCGAAATTATATTAGTAAGGCGCCAGTAAAGTCTTTTGACATTTTTGCCCTCGGAATCGCGGATTTAGAGCTTATCAAATGATTTCATGACATTTTTGAATCTGTCTATCCAAAAACATAAACTTAAAAATGATCCGTTTTCATGAAACATTGAAAATCCGCGATTTCGAAATTTTGTTGTTGAAATGAGAAGATTCTTCTATTTGAAATCTTCTATTTGAAATTCTGCTACAACAAACAAGGGAAGAAGTGTCCTTGAGGGAGGATTCTTGAATGACATTTAGTATCAATCAAATAAAGCTCCATTTGATATGAAAATACGAGTTAAAACCGGAAGGGCATCCCGGTTGTTATCAGTTGAGCCACCAACAGACCCGGGCGATAAGCTACTCAACTAGGGCATTTAGATAAGCTACTCAGTGAAGGCTACCTCTGAATAAAGGAATAAAACTCGAGGGTTGTTCAAAATTAAAAAAATAAAGACTCGAGCGATGATGGTATCATGGGATTTGGGGACAAGGGTGAGGTTTGTTGAGGTGATGCTGAAGTGGACTTGTACTCACCTGGACGGACTTGAGATGGGAGCGCCAAAAGCGCCTTCTGGTCAGCAGCGCGGCGCGAATGGCATTCGTGAACAGATCTTCAATGCCGTCGCCAGTGACGACCGAAGTTTCGTAGTACGGTAAAGACAGCTAAAAAAGCAACTTGTTAAAACTCAAAACTTTTCAAAGAAAGAAAAACCAGGAAGGTGTCTCTTTCAACAAGCGGAAGAGCGAAATTGTAATGCGGTGTTGAAATAAGGTCAGGGCGAATTGAAGCTTTGAACTCAAATAGGGCTTTTCCCGCCTATTCGAGCACTTATTTCTGGAATTTTCTAGTATCTAAACTGTACTTAGCCGTCCGTCTGGCGGGCCTAACGGAAGCAAAGTCCCAGCTCTTATCAAAACTATCTCGAAGCTATCGAAGCTCAAGAGTGACTGTAACTACCATCATTCGAAAATTAAAAGCTCCCGGTCGCCCTTGACGACACCCATCACTATCGAATAATACTGGCATAATGCGAAATTCCGCGGGAAGCAAAGTCGCTGCCGCGTTAATTAAATATTTTCGAAAATCTTTCAAATATTTTGAAAATTAAGTTCCCTTCAAAAAAAAAAGTCTGAATTGATTTACCTCGGTAGCAACGGCGCGTCCTTGCCAGGGGTACAAAAGATCATCCTGATAAACCTATCAATCACGTGTTAAATTGTCAGAAAATGGATTCAACCTTGGTGGCAAGCTGACCGCAGCGCGCGTTGAACTCTTCCAAATTGCAGTGGCGGAGGTCGGCTTTGCACCCAACGACGAAATGAGGCACAGATTTACGATGCTGCCGAGCTTCGTGGATCCAGAAATTCTAGTAAGCCGCTCTTCATAGGATTCTATACATGTTCCGGTCGCCCGGAAGTTCAAATGGATCAATTTACAGTGAAAAAGGGCAATTTTCCTGAACACTCGCCTCCGGGCAAGTGACATTTGCCCTTTTTGGCTGTTCAATAAATCTCTCTTTCGTGGCAAATAGAAAGCCACAGGGCACGCAAATCCGCTACTGTACAAAAACAACAAAGCTTTACGCTCGGAAGTAACACTACAAAAATGACAGTACGAAAATAATTTTTTCTAAAGCGGCGCCTTGATGTTGCGCAGCGAGTTCTCTGACGCAATGGAAAAGCACAAAAGAACAACATCCGCGTGCCCAAACGCTAAAACAAATTAATTGATCACACGCGCTGCTTCCCCTTGTGAAAATAATCCGCAGCGACTCCGCCGAGTTAGAAAATAAACGCTTGACAGGTTAAGACTTTCACAAGACGTTATCGCTGATTCGGGGGAGCGCCTTACCGAATCTGCGGTCGCGATCATGGGCGCCAAATGTATCCCAAAGTCGGTGGCTGTTCCAGAGTTCACAAACTTTCACCTTGAAATCAACAAAGAGAACAGTAGGCCCGAGGTCAGCTAACAATGGACAATCGCAATCGAGCTTGTTTTAGTGAACTCTGTCCTTACAAGAACATTATCAACCTTCGTATATGAATTGAAGAGCACAGCGGAATCTTGTCGATACTAAAACAAATGATATTCAAAAATGAAAGCTCGCTACCATTTATTGTGTAATAAAATACATGATAAGCTGGACTTGGCCGACCTCTGCCGCTGAGCAAATATTTTCAAACATTCAGCAGGCAGTTCAAAAAAGTGCGAAGGTCTCGAGGATTTACCTGATCGATTGCCCAGACTGATGAAGCATGAGCAGGAGTGCGAATTTTATCCAGCGAGTAGGTCTTTCGATACGCTCTGGAACAGATCAGCCGTGTTTTTCCAACATTGACATCGCCCACGACGACAATCTTAAAGAAAACCTCAATTCTTTTTTAAAGATTCGGAAAATGATCGATGAATCAAAAATAACAAGATCGCGAAAAATTGAATCTATCTAAATATTTTTCGTGTAATTTGAAAGTTTGCGATTGGCGATACTGTATCTCAAGCTCGCAGATAAGAAACCCCTGGCAAATAATTTCGTTTACTTTGAAATCAAGATCCATTTCTACTAGCTTCTCTCGTCTTTAAAATTTTAACTTGGCATAAATAATATATTATTTAAATGCGTTTAATTGTGATTGTTTGAATGGACTCACGAAGACAGGAAACTTTGTCTTGTCCCAGAAAAATAAGGAGCTTGAGAAGAAGCGCCGAGGGGGAGGTTTCTACCGTATTATGCCGGTAGGAATTCCACAATGCATTCCAGAATACAAGAGTCTCTCTCAGAAGAGTCCTCGCTTACGTAAAAAAAGAGTAATTATTGTATACAAGAGCGGTACTTTTGTTTAATTTTCTTACAAAGTTGAGTCGCTAAATCGACCTAGTTTTGGCTTTACTTGACCTCAGATGACCCCTAATAACCTCAGGTGACCCCTAATGACTTAAGATGACCCCGAATGACCTCGAAAATTCTAATTGACCTCAACTAAACTGGACCCAGGAAAAAATCAATTTGAATACCTTTAAATCTGTGACAGGTTTCTTCTTGCTCCTCGCTTTAATTTTAAAAATCTCGGGCAGCAGCTGCCTCGGCAAGCCCATTTCTAAGTGATCCTCTAGCATCATAATATCTCCCCCTTGCATTCATAATATCTCCAGTCGTAAAATCTGCTCTTTTAGCGCTCTATTTACAGCAGTATTTTGTGCTGCATAATTACCGCCCGTCAAATATATTCTGCATTTATACTTGCTCCCCGGCGAAATTAAAAAAAAAAGCTCCGTTGAGTGAACGTCTAATAAATTTTAGTCTACGCAAGTCTTGAGCATTTTGATGTTTTTCAAACTCAGAAGAACGCAACAACTTTCACATTTTTCGCGTGAGCATCCCCAGGGCAGGTGTAAGCGCTTTGGAATTTTAAGTTTTATGATGCGATGGTTTAAGATTACCAGTCGTTTATTAACGTCACATCTTTCTACAGACCGGGATAATTATTCTTTATAATTCGGGATCCCTATTTTAGCGGATTTTCTAAGGGAGAATCGACCTCTTCCTTCGCGAATTTTCAAAAACGAAAAGCACATTTTGATAATTATTCGATCATTTTCACAAAATAATACATCAAATTCAAAATTTTCCCTCTAGAAAAAAAAATCGATAGATTGACTGTTACATACCTTGAGAGGTTCTAGCCCGTATTCGTCATGGTCGTGCATTCTCGATTTACATTGTCTGAACGTAGCAGCTGTTGTAACTTACAAGTCAGTGTTTTTGGAGATATTTTGACGGGTTCCTTATTCAGCCTTTTTTTTATTCTAGCGCGTGAATATTTCAGAAAGGAGCTACTTTTATTCGCATTCCTGCTTTGCCTTCTCTGTGCTTTATTTTTGTTAAATTTTAACAAAACGCAAAAGTTATCAATATTGGTCATGTGATTGCGCCTTGACGTCAGTAACGTGTGCCCAAATGCGTGAGTTCGGGCACATTCTTATTGCAGAAGGTGCTCGACTTTCGTTTGCATTCCACCGAGCCCCTTACGCAAGAGTGACTTTGAAGTTGGAGAGGAATTTCCTTGACATATGGAATTTCGCGTTTTGCGGGTATTCCGTCTCGGGTTCAGTCTCGGGTCATAAAAATTCGCGAATGAACTCAAAAGTAACTACAACATGAAAATTCGTTCAGAAACCTGTGTAAAAAAACCTGACTCAGGGTTTGGAAGAGATTCGATGAAAAGACGCTAGAATTTAATAATTGATTGAGATAAAAATCTATGGACGCAGCTTTTCATTAAAGCGCTTCCAAATCCTGAGTCAGGTTTTTACACAGGTCATGAGCTCAAAGTAACTTCAGATGGAAACACTTACTTTGTAAAATTAACATCCCTCATTTGCGATTTTTCTCTCCTTTTCTCAATCTCTTTTTTCAAAAAAATGTCAACTCAAAAAAGATGAAATCTCATTTAGGCGTCTTGTCCCACCTTGACCTTTCAAAACGAAAATGAAATCAAGGAAGAGATCTCCCGGCCGCCCTCAAAAAGTGAAATAAAAGAGACAAATTAAAAGACGGGGGAGAATTAAAACTGACACCGTCAGTTATTTCTATCTCGATTTGAAAATGGAGAATTAAAAAAGAGGGGGCCCCGGCTATTATATATTCGATAGCAGATTACTCGGTGACTTCTCATCTCTGCCACGATCAATGTCTTATCCATTCAATCGCATCGAAGTGGACGCACAAAAGAGGGGAGAGAGGGTGGAGCCTTAATAGCGCTACTGTATCCTGACGCTTACGGTGTCACAGGTTGACATAATGAGATCAAATCGAATGAATATTTAATCTTCTTTCAAGTAAGACATTCTCATCGAAAGCGCTTTATAAGACGACAAGAGTTACTTTAGGTTATAGGAGGTGACTTTAGCTTCCTTCATACTGAAATTCACCGCCTGTATAACCATATTTGGCACAGTCAGGCGCAAAATTCCAACTGTATCAAAGGCGTATTTGACTACTTTCTCACCGATAATCACTCGAGAATTAAGGGTCTACCAACCGTTTAAACGCGGCCTCTTCGTCTCTGAGAAACATCTTATCATTAAAAAATCAGAATGAACCGATGAAATTCAAATATTATTATTCCAAAAACACGAATTTAGGATAGGGATCACGTGAGTTTCCAGACAAAGTTAATTATTGAACCGACAGAGAATATAAACTGTTTTTCACGTATGTGCCTGCGTATCTACGCAATTTTTAACTACATCAATTATCCCATAAAAATGCTACCTGGTGTTGAATGATTGCATATTCTGAACATGCATGTTCTTCTCTGATACGAGTATTTGAAGATGCAAGGAGAAGCCAACTCATCTGCATATAGATGTACATTTTACGATAAATTATTCATCCGGGGTCATCCCATTATGTGTCTCTTTGACATGTTCTTTTGCCTTTTTCCGTAAAGTTCAATTCTCCTTCAAAAATATAGACAGAAGTTTTTATGGAATATTTTTTACTTGGAAGAATGAGAAAGATTCTAAAGGATTGTACCAAGGCAGATTTTAAGAAGACAATAAGACAAATACAGTCAGCAGCTTATACAGGCGGCCTGAAACGGCAATTCATCTGGCTTTCAGTTTGTTGAGGTGTTGGTGAAGAATTTTGGTTTTGTTGAGAAATTCAGTATGAATCGGGAATTAGCGTAATCCTTCAGACAAGAGCAAGACTTCACACAAAATCTCGAAGACGCGGTTTTTCGTCCTTCCGGCCAAGATGAGCAATTAAGAATGAGATGAGATTTGAGTGATTTGCTAGTCTGCTCATGTTCTGCTTCGCTCGAGAGTCTTCCTGATGGTTTGGCGGAAAAGATTCAGGTTGTACATCATAATCCCTTGAAAAGAAAAAAAATCACCCAGGACTCAATGAAGCTCTGAATACCTCTTTGATCTAGCGCATCTTCTCGGACAACGCAAACGAGTGCCAAATTGCTCGTAATACCATACAGACACAGGACAATTTCCTCCTTCATCGTCACCCAGCTCTCATGATTCTCATCAAAGGCCGGTATGATCAGGGTGGCTATTTTGGACAAAATTTTGGGGTCTGGCCATCCAATTTCCATCCAATAAATTTTAAGTCCGAACTATCCATCCAAAATCCAATCCAATCCAAATTTTCCCAATTCCCCAATTATCCCCAATTCCAATTGGATTTCCAATTTTTTAAAGGCTTCTTTTACTTTGAAAAGAAGGGAAACAGTAATTTTTTATCCGAAAGGAGGATCGACAGAGTCAAAAAGATGATATTTTATCCGAATTTGTTCATTTTTATCATGAAAATAACCCTTCTTTGCATAGTTTAGAGATATGTTTCTTCTTGGATCCAATTCCCCCAATTTCTCCCAATTGCCCAATTTTCCCCAACAAAATCCGGTACCCGGGCCATCCAAATTCCATCCAAACCTTATTGGATTGGATCCAATCCAATTCCAACAAACCCCCAAATCCAAAATAGCCACCCTGGGTATGATATCGTCGTCAGAATCGCCAATCTCAGACAATCTTGAATATTTGAATTAATACAGAGACTGGATTGAGAATTGAAAGCTTGAATATTTCATTGGAATCAAGGAAGACTCACCTAGCTCCTTCGTAGACGTTTGAAATTCCGTCGACCATTTCGATCATCCCGGAGCAAATTTCATAAATGCTTAGCTGCGTGTTCTCGGCGGGCGAGCTATCCGTTGCGATGAATAATTTCGTCCTCACGTCCATTAGATACGCTTTCGCTACATTGGCGTTACTGAAAAAACGCAGATTAATTACAGGCGACAGCTAAATCGACATCACTGCCATACTTGATCATGAGATTGAGCCACTTTTCGAGCTGTGCTTGTTCGGGAATTCGTTTCTGGATCACCTTGGACATTGCGTCGAAGATTGTTTGGTCCATCGCCGAGGTCGTCGAGATTTGGATTCCAATTTGGTCGTTGATGTTTTCTGAAGAGTTTTGTTCAAAGAATTTTGCCCGGCAAGACACTTACCGATGTAATTTAGGGTGTCATCGTGAATTGCGTTGAGTTCTTCTTCGTTCAAACCGTCTGATTTGTGCATGAAAATGTCAAAGGTCAAGTTTTTATTGTAGTTTTTCAACAGCTCCGCGGACTTGTACAAATCTGTCAAAGCGTTTTGGTAGCTTTGGCCATCTTGAAAAAGGAGGTAAACGAGGGTAAAGCATGGTTTGTTTCTACCTTGGGAATCGATGACATATATAACTGCCAATTTTGCCGAGTTGTCGCCAATATCGAGGCCGTTTTCAGAAGCGGGCAAGTGCCACGTGTCTTGTGGCACCTCGGAAAGGTCTTTCATGCCCGGAAAGTCGACGATTTTCATTTTGGCAAAGGCGTTCATTTGCGTGTCCACCCTGACTTCGATCGTCTGCTCTACGTAAATAATCTGCGTCGGCTGGAGTCCGTCGAAAATTCGCTCTTTGATGGTTGTTTTGCCAGCAAGACGAGGGCCCAGGAACAGGAGGATGATCTCCTCGAGTTCTTCTTGGCTGTTCTTCTCCTCCATGATTTCTGAAGAACAAAAAGTGATTCACAGATTGTTTTTTATTAATATTGCAGCTCGTGTGTACAAAACTATATTTCTGTGTAATACAAATTCATCAAATATGGAAATGTTCAAGTCTGGGTAGTGATGTGAAAATTGTGAGAAGAGGAGATCTGTGAGAGAAAGATACAGGTAGATTTTCTGCTGGTTTTGTTTTTACAAGACATTATCGCTCTGGCGACGGGCTTTGGCAATAGTGCGCTCGGTGGTTGGTGGAAGCTCTGATCGGCGAACTGATCGAACTTTTTCTTCGATTCGTCGGACGAGCTTGTTGCACTCAGTTTTTGGCTATTTTTAACATATTACTTTGCTTTGGCAAGTAGGTGTTTTTACCTCCTCCGTCGATTCATGCGTTCTATCTTCTCCTGATTCTTTTCGTCTCCATATGGCGATTTAGGAACAGTGTCTTTGAGCATTTTGCAGATGGCTTCAGGATGGACATCTGCCTGTTTGTAAAATTAAAAAAAATATGCCAAAGAAGAGCTACCTCGAGAAACTGAAGAATATTCCCGAAAAGCGTCGGGTCAATATTGACATCGGCATGTCTTGTCAGCTGGTAGAGCTGTTTCTGATCTTCTGACATGGATGTATAGCTCTTTGGAATCTTTTCCATGGTTGCTCTAAAGATTTCCAATTTTGAGACTATCCGTTTGAGTTTTATTTACAAATATTTTATTGCTGATTCTTCTGACTGAGCTCATGATTGAGAAAAACGAGGGAAAGAAAACGGCCTGTTAAATATTTTTCAGTTTTTTGATAAATTTTATTTGTGATAAGTTGGGCTTAACTGTTTCTCTATCACGACGAGCTCCATCAAAAGATAAATGTGTACAGATTTCGCGAGTTCAAAGAGAATTCAGGAAGAATGGGTGGATTGCGACTGGATGATACAGGTTATCACTCGCGAAATGAGCTTCAATCGGTTGAGAAGGCTTGTCTGCCCAAGCACGTGTAGTTTGATTCGGTCTTCTGCAGGGATGACCGCCAACACCCACCATGTCCACGCCGGGCCATCATTATTCTGAAAATTAAGCGCTTGTTCTTGCAATTTTTTCATGTTTCTTACGGCGTATTCCTGTCGCTCGGTAGATCGTTCAGGCATTTCTCCATAATGTCTGGTCAGGGCTTGGCTTTGGTCGTCGGGCAAGCTTTCGAACCATTGAAGCGCTCTTTGGAAAACTAAAAAAGATTCGCAAAGAAATTTTCCCTCAAAAACACCTGTATTCGAAAGCGTAGAAAGTTTCTGCATCTCCCCTTCTCTGGGAGGAACATCGATGACTCTCTGTACCGTGGCAGCATCGTAGCCATCGATGGTGAAGTTATTCTGCACCTTGAATCTGCCAACACCAACGGAATCAACCACGACTCGACCATCGTTGAAATAATCGGTATTGCGCACTTTGAGGAGCGTGCCGTTTCGTTCGAAGGGCAATTGCCCCGGCGAGATGCAGGGAAGATTCATTCCGAACTCGCCATTTCTACTTCTTATGCACCGGCGAAGTAAAAGTCTGAAAAAGATGTTCTTATGCGCTTTGGTCATCTGAACATACCTGTGTCTGGGCTCAAAAACATGAAGTGGACATGGAACACATGGAAACGCTAGGGTACAAACGAAAATTGGAATTTTCGCTTTGATTTCTTCTTCCTCTTCCAGCGCCTAAAATCGATTTATTAGCCAAATTTTCGGGATTCTGTACCTGAAGTCTCCGTTCTTCAAAGTCTTGTGGAAGCCATCGTTTGATAAGGCGCTGCATGTGCTTGTCGAAGCAGCGCTGATCTCGCTTTTCATTCGGTCTCAGAAATAGTATTGGAAACTGGAAAGTTTACAACAAATCAAGATGTGAGCCCGCTCCTGAGCTTCAGTGAAATCGGCAAGGGAATATTTACAAAGGGGACATTTAGGATCGTGATCGAGCGTTCTCTCGAGACAGTCGGAGCAGAATGTGTGTCCGCAAGGAGTCACATCTGGATTCCAGTAAACGCGCAGGCAGAGAGGGCATTCCAGATCGCCAAGATGCAGCGGAAGATTCAGATCGTTCTTAAAAGTCGATTCCAGTTTTTCGATCACTCCTTCGTTGCACAATTCCGCGCGTAACTCTCCAAGACAAGTCTTAATTCAATTTCAAATTGAGAAAGATCAAAATGAAAAGTCTTACATCGTCAGCGAAATTCTGCATCTTGCTCGTCGGTGGACTCTCTCGCACAGGATCGCAGCTTTTTGAAAACGAGAAATTCCCGCAAAAGAGTTTTCCGACCTCTTCTCCCGATGATCCATTCTGCGTGATTTCGATTTCAGAATTATTATTCAGTCTGGGACGTTTGGCAGGTAGGAGGGCCATTCCACTATTCTTGATTGCTGTGTCCAGAGAGGAAATTACTGTTGGTCGGGTTAGGTTCTTGACGTTGGCGAAGATCTTAAAATAGAATTTTCAAATAAATTTGGTGATAAAAGTCAAGAAGCTGTTTTCTTTTAAAGTGTGTTCCTAGTCACCTGCTCGCAGAGATTCAATAAATAGGGATGATCTTTGTCCAGCCAAAAAGCGATCAGACACCTTCCCAGAGCCGCGTACACTGAAGGTAGAATGAAAGTAGAATCGTCTTTAAAAAACGTCTATCTTTCGTGGACTGACATACATTCATTTTGTCCAGCTAAAGCTTCAGCAAGAAGAGCCCAGCCAGAAGCGAGAATTGGGTCTGATTCCAGACACTCTTTCGCGTAAATTTCTCCAAGGCGGAAATCGCCGTGCGCGTTGAAATGCCGCGCCTTGATTTTTTGAAGAAATGGCTCTAAAAAGTCGGCTTGGCAGGCGTTTCTGACAAAGAGGGATTACTTGGTACTCCGACGAGTTTGTCCAGTTTCAATGCTTCCTCCAGCAAAAGCCCCGTGCTCGAATAACTGTCGAGAAGTTTGATCATGTCCGCGCAAGATTTGCTGGCGGCGGGGAAGATTTGCTGGATCGCATTTCCTCTGAAAGCCAAATTCGCAATCCGAAGTTTCGAAAACAATACTTACAGGACGATGTTTCTTTTCGAGTGAGACTCGACTTCCGAGTGAAAGACCTTGCCGCACCAGCAGGAGCGTCGAGAACGACTGCATCTGTTGCAGATTGTATGCCCGCACGGAAGCGTCGCCGGATCTACCAGCAGAAAGTGGCAAAGAGGGCAAAGCTAAATTTGCTTATTGAAGAAGGACGGAGAAAGATGAAATATGCAAAAAAGTTATGTAAAATTTATCTATTGCATCTATCATAAAACTATCAATTGCAGATGCATGCTTCAATGAATTAAATTGTGCATTTCTGTAGATGTTGATATTCTTCAGATAACATCATTTGTAGGGGAAAGTCGAGAAGCCGCTTGCGGCTTTGAGACAGAAAAATCAAAGCCGCTGCTTCTTTTCTATTTGATCTCGAAGCCGCAAACGACTTGTAATAAATTGTGTTACTATAGTTATCTTCTAGTCAAGATCAATTTTGAATTGAGCAACTAACGGTCACTTTGAAAATCGACCGTGAGAAATTGATAAAAAAGGGAGAAAATATTCCCAGAGGCGAATGTAAAAGTAGCCAATTGCGCCAAAATATGGTTACATAATAATTTTGATTAGTTACTGTAAGATGCTGATTGAAATGTTGATTTACTTACGTGAGGTGGAAGATCTTTTCGAAGGTCGAAAGTTCCAACTATTTCTGAAAACTTCTATTTTCCGGTTTTTTTTTTCTGAATTTTGGATCAAAATAATAGGAAATTCCAATAGAAAAGACCGTTTCCCTGAAAAAGCGCGAGAAAATCGTCGTGGGCAGTGATGGCATCTTTGACGAAGTCGTCTAAGCAGTTGTCATTGTAGGAACTTGCATTGGAGCAGTTTGAGGACGAATTCTCTGTTCCGTTCATTTTTCTCGATGCTGGAAATTTTGCATCTTCGATTGCGATTTCTGCTTTCTTGGTTTTTTATCTTCTCCTTCTAGGTTACTATGAATTATTATTTTCTAATAGTGGCTTTAGCAAGGGAGCTCCTACGCGCGTATATTTCTACATATGACTATCGATATTCGGTTATATAAAACACCTACTCCTTAGCTTAATTCTAAGCTACTCAATATAAAATTGAGAGTATCAGACTTTTCTCTTTCGAACAAAAATAATGACAGCTAAAACTTATTGCCATTTTATCTCAAAAAGAATTGGATATCGTTCTCAATAAAATAATGCCATAGATAAATTGCCTTATAGAATAATTTACTTATAAAAATAACTACATGATAATGGGTACTGCTTACCAGACGGTACCTTGACTGAAGTATTAATTTTCTCCGCTTGAATGAAAAAACTAATGAAAATGAAAATAGAAAGTACTGGTTGAAGCTCGTTTTCTGAAGGAAAAAGAAGAAAATTGAGGTCATGACGAGAAGTTATGTAACCGACGGTTACGTAACTCATTCGTTTTTAGACTTCTAGTAGAGGATACAAGCCTCCCAGGCATTTTCTATACTGATGTTTTTGTAGAGTCTCTTGATGAGATAGAGCTAAGTATGGCGTCCTAGATTTAACGGGCAAATGACGGGTAATTACGGAGCTCGAATAGGTATGCTCTTCCTCTAAAGGGTCCCCTTTAACGGATTTTCTAGCCCCAAGCTTGCTTGGAATAGCATATCAGGGAATCCGTCAAATGGGGATCCTCTGTTATGGAACAGGAAGCCCGTTAAAATAAAGACTTCCCAAAAGTATTTGTCCGTTAGATCGTGAACCCCCAATAATCTTTAAAGAAAAACCTTTTCTTTGTGAATAATCTCGACTCTCGTATTTTCCTTTTAAAATTGAAAAAAGTGTTTTGAACTTTCAAAATCCGCGGCGGGAGAGAGACAGTCCTTACATAATGAACTCTTAGATAATCGTTATATAATTAGTCTAGTTCAGAATAATTCGAATCGGTTGCATAATCTTCTCATTACATAAAAAACCAGTCCTTGAGGAAAATCTCATTCTATTCACAGCATTTTTCTTATTCTTTCCTCCTTCTCCATTTTTCAATCTGAACGATCTGAGGAAAGAAAATCAGCTTTTTGGAAAAATAAAATATTTCTTTCAGATTTAGTAGTTCGCTTTCGCGAGCTTTTTGTTGTGGTAGTAAGGGTTTTTGAAATTGACCAGCAATTTGTAGAGTTCGAGGAAGCTTGTGTCACGGTGCTCCAGGGGCGTTTTTACAACGGCAGTTGTTGGAATGTCTGGAACCTTTTTTCGTGGTTTTCAAATGAGGGCAATAAGAATTTCCCGTGTACGTTAGGGTGGGGTCCATTATCCTCTCACCTTGGAGTCTCCCGGACAGCCCCCCCCTACTTAGCAATGGTGGGGGTCAGTCGGGGGTGGAGCCCATTCACAGGCGAGGGAACCCCCTCCTACAAAACAATTATCCCCACCCATCTCATTTTATACCTCATTTAGTTCTCAGGGAAAACGAGTTTCTATTTTAAAACCCCGTTCCGAAACTACATCTTCAATATCGTCATCTGGATCCATTCTGAACGTGAATCGCTTCGATAACGAGTAGACCAGATCCCTAATTTCCATTAATTACAAATTCCAATTTTTAATGAATTAAGTACGTGAGCGTCTCCTTGCTTTTGTTGTTTTCAATGTAGAATCCGTCTTCGTAAGACCAGAAGACGATGATGTGGTCGAAAATGACTTTCGTTCCTTCTATTGCTTGAATGTAAGTGATTGCAAAGGGCTTTTCGGTAAAGTCCATGTCGGCTCGTTGTCGGACGCAAAAAGGGATGAAAAGGGTTGGTCGTCAAACTTCGAAAATTTCTACAGAGGAGTCTTCTGATAGCGAATATTTCAATCTGACCTATCAAGAATCTGATTGGCTGAATTTTTATTTCAAAAAGCCGCTTGCAAATAGCTACTCTTTTAAATGAATATTCAGCCAATCAGAGACTTGATAGGTCAGATTATATTTTTCGCTATCAAAGGAATCTTCTGTAGAAAATTTTCGATTTTCGAAAATTGAGAGAGAAAGTGATTCATCCCTAGACGCAAAAGAATCCCGGTTTTCTCGTCGGCTCGCTGCGTAAAATCGCCTCTGCTTCCTGCCGATTGACGTGCCACATCCAACTGTGAGCAACTTCAGTCGACTGGTTTTTCAGATACTGTCCTTTGATCAGAATAGCAAGCAGATTGACCATTCCGAGGAGACGAGCGTACAGTCGCATTTCCCGCTTCCACTTGAGCTCGTTTTGAATGTAACTTTCGTAGAGGCGATTCAAGCCGCGGAAGTGTCCTTTTTCAGCGGCTTTCTTCGGAAAATATGAAATTTAGGGGGCTGCGGCTCTTCCAAAAGTCGACGGCAAAGTCCATACTAAACGAATTTCAAAAATAAGGCTCTCAAATAGATTCTACCTTGTTCGTATTTTCTTCCGCCTTTCTGTGATCATTTTTCAGCGCCGCTCCGACTTTTCCCGGCGTCAAATATGCCTCGAACTTGTAATGCTTTCTCGCTTCTTCGAGAAGTCCTTTCAGATCATCGTGGCTTTTCTTCAAATCCGAAATCGAGAACTTTCCTTCTTCGCACATCGGCGAGCAGAAGAATCTCCTGCAGTCGTGGAAGATCGTTTTGTAAGTAATTTCGTTTCTGCTCGATTTTCGCATGCAGAGTATGGAGTCGGCAACCTGTGTAGAAACCTGAGTCAGAGTACTGAAAGGCTGTTTATGAATGCTCTTTCAGGACACTGAGTCATGTTTCTACACAGGTTACCGAGCCCAATTCAAAGCATGAACGCGTTGCCATTTGATTTCGGACGCAGATTGATTCTTCTCGTGTAGGAATAATTCTTGATCCAGGCATAGTGCCGATCCGTTACGAATTTCAAGCAGTACCCCTCGAAAACGCTAGAAATCGTCCCCCAGAAGCATCCTTGGCGAACTGTGTCTAGCGTGATGCTTTCATTCGAACTGCTTCCTTCCATGTCATCTGAAAATGGAGGATTTGGACATTTAAAAAATATAATGAATCTGATTGACAATCAACTTAGATCACAGAAGAGGTAAAAGAGAAAAAATTCTAGAGAGCAGCAACAGCTGATTTTCTTCTTTTCACGGAGGTTTGAGAAAGTTATTCGAAGGAGCGACGTTTGGGCGATAAGGGCCGATCAAGCAGGGCGCTAGAATTCGCTCCAAATTGACCCAGCGATGGACTTTCTGGAAGAGTTCTGTTCCGTCTTCTCCGGCTGAGCGCATCAGTTCGTCCCCGCCGCCCGGGTGGAAATCCATGTAAGGAGAACAGTTGTACGCTTTTCCCGCAAATGCGATCCAGCAATCTTCCCTTCGTTGAACAAAAAAATAGTTACAGTAACACTCATCTAAAAAAACCTTGTTTTATGCAATGCTAGCTCATCTTGAGTAACTGGCCTTCTCGGAGAAATTCCAGAGACGTTCTGTCCTTTCCTCACAATCGTCATCCAATTCGACAGTCCAAAACCTGGTTTTAACGGCACTAGAATATTTTTAGAAAAGAATAGGGTTGATTCTTTACCTTTGACTTGATTTGGCGAAATTTCCGAATGACGAATGACTGTATTTTTCTCTGAACTTCCAGAACTTCCTTCTTCTGACATTTTCTCTCTTTTTTTCGTGAAGAAATTCCCGCTGGAAGAATTTGAAGAAAAAACAGAGGGAATGACTCATCTTCGTGGGAAAAAAGCGTCGAGAAAGGAAAGAAAAAGTGAGCCTAATGCGGGGCTCGAACCCGCGACCGTTGGATTAAGAGTCCAACGCTCTACCGACTGAGCTAACCAGGCCCGATGGTAGCCCGTAAATGTACAATTATTAAGTGCACTTTTTGAATCCAGCGCTAGAATTTTCGAAAAACTCAAATTATAAGATGTGTACTGTAAAGTTTACGCTGTCTAATAGACAATAATAATAACATTCATAATCGAAGATGAAACGAACCAACCACCGAAGACATTTATTGCTTCATAAAAAGCCCGGACTTCAAAGAAGAAAATATAAATCTTCTTCAAAGGAGTCTTGTCCTCAGACTGAACCAAAACGTATCTACTGATTCCACTGATCCAATGATGTCCCATATCGATAAGACGCGCGCGCCCGATAGCAATCTGTCCTGCCTCAGTACCAGGAAATTGCAACCTTACTGAAAGACACTTACCAACCAGCTGCGGCACACTTCCTTGATTGCTCCTTCCCGGAACGCAGCCTTCAGGAACAGCGCCACAGGAGGACTGAGTTTATAAGCTGACCGTATTTCCAATTTTCAAATCATATCAAAACAAAACAAGAAACACAAAACAAAAAAATGAACACAATCAAGAACCTCAAATCCCGAAAGCAGCCAAATTTCTTCGAGAGATTCCAAATCACCTCCCTCCTGATGCAGTCAGCAAACGGCACCCTCTACAACGGAATCGAAATTGACCTTCTTACCAGAGAGAGAGTCCGCGACGTCGTGGTCAAGTTCTTCCCAAAATCGTCCGTCCGAACCTACGCCGGTGTCAAAGGCATTCGCTGCCCTTCAGAAATCTACTTCCACCTCAAAGCCTTTTCCCTTGCCCGTCCCTTCATCGTCGAACCGCTCGACTGGATTGAACGAAAAGACGACTTCGCGATCGCCATGGAAAAGCCTCCAGGAACGATTGACCTATTCGACTTCTGCAACAAGTACGGCGTCCAGAGCGAGAAAAACGCGAGAATCATTTGGACACAAATCGTCATCGCCTGCTACAACATGCATCTCGGCGGAGTGATGCATTCAGACATCAAGGACGAAAACGTGCTAATCAACCCGGACACCCTTCAAATCAAAATCATCGACTTCGGCTGCGCGAAAAAGGTCCAAGATCGCTACGAAAAACCATCCGGAACAGCCGCCTACTGGCCGCCAGAACTCAAGAGCCACGGAAGCTTCAAGCCTGGGCCAGTGACTGTTTGGTCGCTCGGGTCGATTTTGTACCTGCTTCTCGCTGGCGAATGGAAGTATTCGGAAGAGAATGGATTCATGCGCAACTTTTTGAAAGAACAGCGATTGAGCGAAGACGCACAGCAGCTGATCAACCGCGTTCTTTGCATCCACGAGTACTCGAGAATATCGCTTCAGGATGTGATCCAGTCTGCTTGGGTTCAACATATCCCGCATTCGCCGAAGAAAAGAAACTCCTCTGTTTGATTTCTCCTCTAAAATTCGATTTTTGTAAATTTTATTTATCTTTTTTTTCCTTCATTCTTGCTGTCTTTTTTTGCTTCAAAAACAATAAAAATTTCTCTATCAATTTATTTCAACTATCCTCAATTTTTATTTGCAGCTTTGTTGGACTTTCAGATTTCGTGGCTTTCCTGAACTGTTGTGGCTTGACTTTGCTCTGGGATCGATTTAACGGCGGCTTCTTCCGGCGCCACTTTATTTTTTGCCGGAACGGCGCAGTACTTTTATTCGGTTTTTGTTGAGGCATTGATTTATTTGAGCTAGACCGGTTGTTTGCGCGGTTGAAAGCGGTTCAAATTAAACATGACAAGATAAAAACCACAACGTGGCATAATGTGGCAAAGCAAAAGGCAGAATATCAGCGCTACGAGGCCAAGGGTCAGCCAGAAAATGTACCAACCAGTCTTTTTAGGGTCGAGAATCTAGATTTCATAAAAGATCTCGATTGCGATCGAATTAAGACCCTTTCCCATCGTCCAACAGAGCCAGTTTTGATGTCGACATGCTCTTCCGAAACTGAGTCATCCATTCCACTCCCTTCCGAAGATCCCTCAGTACTTCCTTCCGTCTCATTTTTCTCGTCATAATCAGTAACGTTAACAAACGTAATATCTATGAATCGATTAATTTCAAGTTAAATTTGGTCTTTCACTTGCCGAAATAATCGCCAAAGAACGGCAAATCCGATGAAAAATCAACGTCCAAAGTCGCCACGGTCAGTTTCGAAGGTTTGTCGTTTTGGGCATCGATTAGAGCATCATCTTCTGATCTAAAAACATCAATTTGCATGATGTGCTGGGCGGAGCCAAGAGAACACAGATATTCTCCATCCAATGTTCGATCGACTAGTGCTGGCTGAAATCGTCCGTTTTCCCCGACTTGTTCTCCAGTGAACGAGGTAATTGTTGCTTCGTCCGAATCACCACCAACGAAGAAACACTGAAAGACTTTTGATTGAGAGGATCGATGATTGAGAGAGTACTTGTTGTAATTCAAAAAGCGCTAATCCGAAGCGGAAAGGACAAAAAAAACAACATACCCTTGCTTCATGGGGCGAATTAGCTTCAAAGTCAAAAGTGTATCGCTCAAGAACTGCCACTGGCTCATCGCAAGATTCTTTCTCTTCTCCTTCTCAACTTTGGTTCTCAAGAATCTATCAGGTTATCGAAAATCAAGGGAGACAATGAATTGTGCCACCTTGCGCTGCTCTGCGCCGGCCGAAACGTGGCGACGCTGGGCGGTGCAGGGCGGCACAATTCAGTCCCCCCCCCCAAAATTAACGCCGAAGAATGAGAACCAATTTGACCTTGGCAGAGTTCATCCGAAACCCAGTCGTTGTAGCAGGAGCAGCGTAAATCTCCACTTCCAGCGACCTCGGGTGCAAAGTTCAAATCCAAATAGCGCAAGGAGGTCCCGCTTATATCTTAAAATATCTTTCTTTTTTCCGAAATCCTCAGTTTCCAGAAACCCACCTAGCTTTACGACTTCTGGACATTCCTTGAAAGCACCACTGGCGAGAAAAACCAGATATTTTGAGTCCTCAAAACTCACTCTTCAATTCATATAAGAATAAATTCGCTGAAGAAGCTTACTCTTTCAAGTTTGGCAAATTAAGAAAACCGCCACAATCGACATAATTGATCTTGGAGTCTTCGAACTTGATGGCTTCAAGGCTGCTCATATCGCGAATAGCGCCCGTTCTCAGAGCTTGAAAAGGGTTTGCGCGGAAGACCAGTTCTTTCAGGTTTTGAAGACCGGAGAGGAAGGTTGAAGGCACTTCGGTAAAGTTGGTTCCATCCAAGATAAGGATTTCGGTACGGTCGTCGATTCCGCTTGCGTTTAGATATCTTAATGAGTTTTTGGGATTATGGTTCTTCGCTGTTTCTATTGCCATATTTTACCTCAAGGTAGGATCATTACAGTTCGTGACTGTCAAATCGCACTCACAGCCAACAGGACATTTGACCTTCTCTCCTTTTATCTGCCCAAAAAGAGCGAAGATTAACCAACCAATCTTCATATTCGCCCCTTTCTCTTTCTCTCTCTCTTTAGCGTTCTTCCTCTCTTTGAGTCTTCAGGTCCAATTCTCGCGATATTGCTCACAGTACTACTAGTAGTATTAGTACTTAGCTTCCTCGTCTCAAGATTTTTGGCGATTTGCACTTTAGTCGTTGGAAAGACCCTCGCATCGCCCAAAACTGAACTTGGCGAGGAGGATTCGCACCAAATTCAAATGCATCCGTCAGAATTTTTATTTCCTAAGCTGCCCATCAATCTTGGCTCCTGATCAATATTTTCAACATAAACCTAGACAACTTGTCTTTTCGTAAACAAAACTCATTTTTTTTTGTTTTTCATTTCTCTTAGTGGATATCTTTATTAATAACTAAATTAGTCTACAGAAAAAAGTAAAAAATTTCTACAGATTGAACTGGGTTTCAAAGTGCGGTTGTTTCTTTCTTCGTAAATGGCGATGTGTCGATAGCATGGTGACTAGTAAAACTAGAGCTGCCAGAGCAACAAAGGCAGAGTAGGAGGCAAATTGGGACGGAGCCGAGATGGATAGATTGCTGAAGCTTCGATGCTAAAGGATTTGATTTAATATTGAGCGCATTTCTTGATGAAAATATGGTTCTCTTCCTTGATTTCATTTAGTATTTACCTGACAGAAGCTCCCAGTAAACTCATCAAGGCATCTGCAAATCTGCAGTCCATCAACAATCTGCGCAAATCCTCCATTTAGGCAGTGAAGTTGTCTTGGCATGATTATTCTCAATTTAGCTTCGTAGAAGTGATGAAGGATACTCGGGAGCCAGCGGTTTTTATAGCGGGCGCGAGTCTACGATAGTAAAGCTACGTAATTTGCTACGTAAACGTAGCGTTAGAAAGCTTCATTATTCTCTGAATACTCCGGAAGAAAAAATTCATGACCCCATTGTTGGAATAATTTTATAGATTTGACGTTGCGGTGGACGTAGCGGTACTTTACAGATGAATGAAACAAAGTTCTTGAATTATTGAAAAGCTTCTCGGTATTACTACTCAGCCGCATCCTTCTTGCTCATCGTCAAAATATGGAAACCGCAGTCGCCAAGGGCATCAAAGAAGATATTCATGTTCCAGGTCGCTTGAATTGAAGAATAGACGATTATCTGTTATCCAAAAACAAAGAAGTGCTTTCTAGTCAGTGTCATGAACTATAGTCAAAGATCCTTCTCGAACAGCATTTTTTCAACAACAAAAAGGACAATTATGAAGAGAATCTGCTCGATACAGCCTTTCTCATGGCCGGAAAATCATCGACTTTTTTCCCGATCGAAAAATGCTAGAACGATTTCCAAGTTCATGGCTGAAAAATATCGGTCGTAATCTTCGGGCAAAAAGCAGAAGAAACTTCTCATGTTAAAATGAGTAAAATACCATACGTCAACGGAGATTCTCTCGGTTGACGTTTAGGATGATGTTTTGACATGAAGAGGCCAGAATCTCAAAATTTCCGGCAATAAACCTGACAAACAAGAGCATTTGCCGAACAAGAATCTTAGTCTTGCGAAATTTTGAACTTGAGAATGAAAAAAAATGACCATCAGCTTTGAAGCAACAAATTAAACAATGTAGAATTCGTTGATTCTTCACACTGAGTCAAAGTCGACCAAATTATTCAAAAAAGATGGATTCGGGAGTTTTTTCCACAGAAACAGAAGCGTACTTGGAGAAAGTCCCGGAGACTACTTCAGAGAAAATCGGTCATTTTCTTCACTCAAGTACTTGCCACGTCTGAAACATTTTTCTTTGCCTTTCTGTTGATACTGTTATTTTTAAGTTGATTGTTATCGTCCTGGTTTTGGTGGACTGCGCATTTGTCCTGACGGAGCTGATTTTCGATGGGAAGCTGGATACGTATGATGAGTACTGCAACCCTACTCCTTCTTGTTCCGAACAGTCGCACAAACTTCACCACTGGGAGCACGTGACTCACGCTATCCACATTTGCAGCATACTCGTCCTTTCCATTTTCATGGCCGAAGTCGTCCTCAAAATCGTCTTCACGCGCGCTCATTTCTTCAGCCACAAAATTGAAATGATCGACGGGGTCGTCGTTTTGCTCTCTTGGATACTCGATCTGATCATGCTCAACCCAAGTAACAGAAAGAACCAAAAAATCAGCTTTAGAACAACTTTAGATCTTGTTGGAAAATGGGCGGAATTCATCATCGTTTTTCGATTCATACGGCTCATCAACGGAATGATTCTTTCTGCGAAACAAGCAACGGACAAACGAGTTCATGAACAGAAACGAAAAGTACAGCAGCTGGAGAAAGAAGTTGAAGATCTGAAAAAACAGTTAAAAACCATTGAACAATAAAATGACATAAATTCTACACAATTTTTAAGGGGATGGGGTCTGGAACCGACAAAAAACTTTCGACAAATTTTGCGTGGGCGGCTATTCGGCTGGTGATTGGCCGGTTTGCGAAATCCAGGCTTCTGATTGGTTGAAAATTTCCACGCAAATTTTGTCGAAATTTTTTTGTCGGTTCCAGACACCTCCCCTTTTCAAGTTCAAAATTGGTTGTTGGCCAAGAATCTCAGATTAAAATAAACAAACAGTATCATCTTTGATTGACCATCAACCTGGTCAGAGTAGAATCTGCTGAATGTGGAACAAAGCTTGAGAAGCTTCAGAAAGTCATGAGGATTTTTCCTTTTGTGTTTATTTTTCTTGCGACAGTGGTGATTTCCGGGAAGAAAGAGAAAGCCCTTCGTCGTCGGAGAAGAACTCCCCAGTTGATTTACGCCGGTGCCAAGTCGGTGCTGGAAGTCGTCGGCACAATTATTGGAATCGTTGTAGGCATTCAAGAGAACGCAGAGCCTTTCGATGACTGCCCAGATGATACGATAAAAGATGAGCTCGAATTGATCGAAATCACAATGCGCGGATTTCACGAGCGAATTCAAGCCTACCAAACGAACTCACAAGAGTTTCATTGCAAACCGTTTGTGCGAACTGTGAATAAGATGAAGAAAATGATCGTCCATGTAAGTTCTGAAATGAATGAATCTGTGGCTGATCGAATTTCAGAAAACAAAAGGTCTCGAGCATTTTTGCGACTATCGTTGGTACTGGAAAAAGCAAGGGTTATTCAGATCGAATACATTTGAAAGGTACTAAGCCAAAAAATCATAACATCACATTACTGTAATGCACTGAATAAAGGATGGGCGCTGACGGGAATTCAGTATGCACATATCTTTCCAAACCCGGCAGCGAATGTCAAAGGAAAAGCTCAAGAAGAATGTAGTTGGGATAATTTCGACTTTTTGAGCTTCGAAAAGATGGTTCAAGCAATACTGTAAAGTTGAAAGACCATGTCAACCAAGCTGCAAAAACTGCCGACAGAAACTCGAGTACGCTGACCGTCTGATCAGCTACGCAAGCACGCAGCTGCTGACTTGCCACATTCCCTTGGAAAACGTAGTGCAAAAAGCTTTGCCTACCAGAACTCTTTCTCTCTCGCTCTCGCCGACAACAAGGCCGACGAAAGGAGAGGAATTTCCTCCGACTCGACCAACGACTACTACAACTACAGTCTTTTCACCGAAGGATTCCTGGACGCGAACTCTTGGCACAGTCACTGTCTTTGCTGATTCATCGGATAGTATGACGAGAAGCGACGATAAAATTCGACAAGTTAACGACGTCATTGGACAATGGTCAGGGATTTCACTTCAACAGGGGATTGGGGAAGTCTTAGTCACGAAATTCAGCTCCCGTCTACATCTCTTCTCACGAGCGAAAATGAAGAGCAACGGGAAGCTGTCTTTCTACGATTTTACTTTGTCCTCTTTGCAAAGAACTGGATCTTGGGATGCTCCAGCGGTTGAAATAGAAAAATCGAGCCTGAAAGATGCGACTACAGATTGTTTAAACAGCAACTTGCATCCGAATGATCAGAAACTTGGATGGAATCAGCAAGAATACGACGCTTACACCCGAAAAAGTTTGTCAGATGAGGAAGGTAAAAGGAACGGCTTGATGAATTTGAAAATTTTGGGCTATTGCGATATTTCTAAGCCGAAACATAGCTATTTCTTCCACTGCCTTTGGGATCTATATCACTACTTTGAACACGCTGATTTCGACCGCTACGCGCGAGGAACAATCGTTGTCCTAACAGACGGAGAGAAATTCGATGACTTTCCAACCACGTGGTATAATCAAGACAGCAAACTTTGGGAGCGCCGCATGAGACATTTCAACAATCACAGAAGATCGCGTAGCAGAAGATCGCTTTCCCCAATGAAAGGAGAACCAGTTTGCGAGCTCTTTGGAAAACTCAGTCGATATGTCAAAAAGATCATTTGGATTCTCGTCGTTGAGAAAGACCAGTTTGTCCAGAAAACGAAGTCCGAATTCATGATCAAGCGACTGATGAATTTTCACATCAGCAGAGATTGCAGAAACTACGACACGATCGACATTGAATTTCAGATAAACGATTTCAATGATTTTAGCTAAAAATGCTCCAACCCTGACAAATAAAATAAACACAAAAATGCATAAATGGCAGTTTAAATGTATTTTTCTCTTATAAAAGTTTGGTTCAGTAGAAAATCTCAAGCTGAACTCTTCCCAACAAAGCTGTCGATTTTCCCGACAAAGCAGCCAAAACGAAGACTTTGACAATTTCGCAGAGCAAAATCGTCGCCAGGGCAAAAATGCAGCTGATGATTTTCTTTTCCTGATCCTCGTTGTTGGCACTTTCCAGCGCGAAAATCAGAAACATTGCGCCGCAAGTGACGAGGAAAAGAACAAAGTCAATGGCATGATTGACCACTGCAGGAAAAGACGTTTGGTGCTCTTTTATCAGATTTCGCGCCTTTGGTCTGAGCTTGTATTTTTTCGAGGTCTTTTTGGAGTACTTGTCGGCGACTTCAGCGGCTAAATCGGCGAATCCGCTTCGCGATCGAGGGAAGGGAGCGCGTTTGAAGGGCGAATCATCCATGTAAGAGTCCGTTTCTTCAAAAGAAACAGGCTGAAAAAGGCTAAACCGAGCGAATCCGAAAAATAGAAAAGATATCAATTTTAAATAGCCCTTTCCTGATCTTCAAGCATCATGAGTTTGGCAGCGCCGCAGAGATTCTGCATCACTCGATTTTGCAAGTCATTGATTCGATCTTGGAAACTCATCAAGGAAGGCCCACTTGAAGTGTCAGTTCCCTGCGTTGCCTGCTCGATTAGACTCTTCAACTGATGAATTTCTGGTCGAGAAGTGACCGCAGAGGTCTCTGTCTGTATTGTGACAGTATTTCCAGTGACGAAATCGCGGCGGAGTTCTTCTTCGACCTTTTTGAAGTTCAAAATCTGCTAGAAAAAGAAATGAAATTCGTAATTTGAACTTTTCCTTTGCAGCAGCTCGGGAGAACTTGCGAAGTTCAACACCGACGGTGTCAAGCAATTTGAGAGTACGTTCAAATCTGATCTTCAACTCGCGGATAATTAGCTGATTCGAAGGGCAATTGCGGTAGCGCTCGAGGCAAGAGCCGAAAATTAGCTCGCGCACGATGTCAGCATGTGTACAGTCGTTGAGATCCAGGCGATTGAAGACTCTGAACCACCATTTTCCGACCAAGTCGCCTTTCGAAACAGCTTCGTAGATTTCTTCCAACGAGTCGGCGATCAGCTCAAAAACGTTGAAAACCTCTGCGCTTTGGAGATCAATGGCGGTAAATCCTCCGAGTTCCTTTGGAACATACGATTTTTCGCCTTCAATAGACGGGTCTAGTCCAAGAAAGCTTTCGCGGATCTGGTCAAGCGACTGGAATAAGTTTCGCAAGTTCATGATGTTGTCCAAAACATCGTCTTCTCCAGAACTGAGGAACAGTTTCGCCGCGTCTTTTCCAACTGTTCGAATCGCAGCGTAATCGACGGCCAAGTGGTCTTCAAAGTTTTGAGAAAGAGCCGCGCAAGCAGTCTTGAAAAACGCCAAAGTCGAGAAGATTTTTGGATTGATGTGGCTTGCCAGTCGCTCGCTATCCTCAGTGAGGGTGAAGATCGACTTTTTCTTTCGAGGGCTGAAAGCGGATGGCTTCAGCAAATCTTCACACAAGCTGTTGTTGCTCATCAAGGAGAAATTGGAAGTTGCTGGCTTGGGGAGGATGACTTTCTCGACTTCCTCCATCATATCGCGAACGGTAGTGACGCCGGAGAGAGTATTCACGCCGACGTTTTCGTATTCCTCGGACTCGGAATCGTCATGAGTTCCTCCAAGAGGATTAATGCCAGCGGACACTTTTGGGGCTTTGCGCTTTGTGGGCTTTGATGCGATCTTTTGAAGGTTTTCAAGAGAAGCTCTGAAATTGCTGATGCTTCCGAAAACGTCGGTCAAGCTCTCAGCAGTGTCCACAATCCTCTTCGCGACTTTTTCGATGTCTTTATCAAGACCTCTGTGAAGAATGGTAATCGAGCTCTGAGCGAAAACACTGGCCGTATCTGCTTCGTAATTGAATGACTGGTGGAGACCTCTTCCTCCTTCAGATCGGAGAAGCTGCAGATCCGTCAGAATTTCGTTCCAAGGGCTTTTTTTCGATGTAAGATTGACAAAGTTTCGCAGGCAATTAGCTCCCTCTTCATTCTTACAAGCAGCGATGAACAAATTTTCGTTGAAATTCGTATCGTCCAAGAAAGCTATCAAGTCCTTGAACAACCCTCTGTTCGTTCCCCTCGACGCCATCGTTTTCAAAATATCGATGAAAATCAAGGAGTCCGATTCAATGAGCTCCAGGAAGAACTCGGCGTATTTTGGGTTGTTTGCGAAGGCTTCTGGATTTTCAGGAGCGCCAAATCGCAACTCGAATTCTTTATTTACGGAAATGATGGCGCTCAGCATTCTCCTCGCATCTGGTTCGAGAGACGCTTTGATCAGCTGTTGGGAGACATCGCCGCGGGCAGACATTGCTTCAGTAAGAGCAAGGCCAAATTGAGGCCAGAGGATCGAGTCGTTCACGATCTCAAAAAAGGTTCTGATCAAATTTTCTCCATCTTCCTCGTCTCTTACAGACGAGAGCAGGATTACGTAGTCACTGTAGTTGCAGTTGACAAGGGCATCGCGGAACTTGTCTTTGTGACTTTCGGTAATGTACTTGACAAACCACTTTGTGAATGTCGGATTCGCCAATAGCTCGTCGTACTTTTCATATCTCGGAATTTCGTGACCACCCACTAGCTCAGCCACGGCAAAGCCAAGAAGACGCGGCATGGGTTTCGCAAGCAAGTCGGTAATTTCTTCCTCGATGGCGATCATTTCCTCGTCGACGAGAGCATTGTCGATTTCGAGCTCATCAACATTGGCGCTGATGTCGATCATGATCTTTGGACCCTTGGACTGATCCTTCAGAAGAATCTGGTCGGACTGAAGATTTCGCGCGAACTGCTCAGTTGTAAATTCGTATTCTTCGAATTTTTCGTCGCTCTTGTTCGGCGCCCAAATTGTTATTGGTGTTTTTCCTTGTTGATTTTTTTATGACTTATAATTTTAAAACCTTACCTTGTGTGTTTCCACTTTGGTCGAGAATGTGCAAAGTATTCTTAGCTTCGCCATCATCCCCTGTTCTTTGACCTCCAGTGCGATCTGAAAAGGTCAAATAGTGAAAATAGACGAGAATCCAGATGCAAAGCAGACCTAATGAGGCGCAAATTTATTAATTAGCGCCGTATAACCGCTAATTTTCAATCAACTCATGGCCCCAATTAGCCGCCTAATAATCTGTCCAAATTAGTTACTTAGGCACACGCCGAGAGGTTTAATGACCCGAAAGAAGGTGCCAAACAGCGCCGTCGCCAGAGGCGCTAGTCAAAGCTAATATTTAGATCTGTGAAAATTTAAATTGTTCAGAAAAAATTTTGGGCAATGAAAAATATGGAGGCGGAGAAAAAGAGGAAGATTTCATTCGGCATCGATGATATTTTATCAGAGTAAGTTCGAATTCCTTGTTTTTTAATCGAAGTTTTAGTAAATTTGGGGACTCGCCGGCGCCTCCGAAAAAGGCCAAATCTGAGGTGCCAAAGAAGAAGGACGGCTTTTTATGGCCTGCTTGGGTTTACTGCACTCGCTACTCAGATCGCCCTCCCGCCGGACCAAGAACCCGAAGAGTTCGCAAAAAACGCGCAGAAAAACGCCCTAGAACCGCGTTTACCAGCGACCAACTTGAAATTCTTCAAGAAGAATTCGACAAGCACCAATATTTGACCGAGGAGCGAAGGGTACTGCTCGCTAAGAATCTCAAACTTTCCGTCTCGCAGATAAAAGTTTGGTTTCAAAATAAACGCGCGAAGATTAAAAAAGTATCTGGCGTGAGAAATAACCTGGCTACTCAGCTTATGGCTCAGGAAAGGTCAAAAAATCGAGACGCATCTTTTGGGTGTAGGGCGCCCAGGTTCACAATTGTGAACCCGGTTCACAAAATTTTTAAAAGTATGAAATCAGGGGTCTGTATGCGCTCCGCGCCTGATTTCATAGAGAAACTCATTTTTGACGTTATGAGCTTTCTTTACAACCGCGCCTTCAGTCAATTTGAGTCACTTTTTTGACCGAAATTGTGAACCAGGTTCACAAAATTGTGAACCGGGTTCACAAAATTGTGAACCAACCGATTGTGAACCTGGGCGCCCGCCACCCCATCTTTTTCCTTTTTCATAATTTAAAAAATAATTTTTTAAAATGATTTTTTTCCTGACCTAAATAAGGGCCTCTACAACCATGTTCCTGAAAACTCAATCTCGCTCCCTGTATCTACCGAAGAAAACGCTCACTGTAAATGAAGCACTGTAAATATTGTGATAAATGAGTGAATAAATGTTTTATTAATAAATGTTAAAAGGTACGAAACTCATGAAGCAGAAGATTCTTTTGAAAAAGGAACTTCTTCTTTACCTTTGCGATGATCGACGACGGTTTGGAAATCGCTCTGCTTCTGGAGGTCGTTCAAAATGTTGAATTTCACGAGTGTCAGCGCATGTTCTTAGAATTTTCTAAGAGAAAGGAAAATTGTTGTTGTTTTTACCTTGTGGTGCAGCGTCGAGCCATTCATTTAGCCGGTGAGGCAGATGAAGAAGTTGAGAAGCAGCTCTAACAGCTTTGACTTCATTTGGGTAGAGATCGTGCCAGCCATGGCCTTTATTAAGAATTCTGATCTTGACGTCGCTTTGTAAATTGCGCCACCACGTGGGAGTTGTGTTGTGAATAACGACGATTTGCTTCTGATGCTCTATTTCTCCGTCGTCGCTTAAAAAAACTTACGATCCTTGGAAAACAAAGCTATTTCTTACCGAATAGTAACGTCGTATTTGACGAGCAAGTCAATAATCCTTGCGTTGATAGAGCCGATTCCCCACTTTTCGATCTTTTCAGGAGGGCATCGCTCGTGAATCAGCTCTTTTCGGACTTCAACGGGAAGATTTCGCCACCATTGAGGGCTGTTGATTTTGTTGAACGGTGGTAAATCGTGGTTATGATTATCATATTGTGCTATCAATTCGTTCGATCGCTTGAGTTGATCATCTTCTTCCCCAGCTCGAAGTTCTTCCACTCGTTTTTGGACCAAATGTCGAAGTCCCTTGAAATCGTAAAAGCTCGCTCGAAGTGGCTCTGGCATCGCTACCAACTTATGCCAAGAGTCCCAGTGCACTGCCAAATGCTTCAAAATTTCCAATCTCGTCGCGGAAAGAATCTGCAAAGAAAGACCATTGTTTAGGACCCATTCAGCCAAATCTCCTGGCATCATTGCTAGGGATGCCCTACAAAAAATCAACTTTTCTCCCTTTCATTGTAGAGGATTGATATTTAGGTTACATATAAAACATGACTTCTGAAAAAGATAGAGGTTTGAAAAAATACAGTACCTCGAGTCTGAGTACTGTAATCACGTGTTAAAGTCAGTAAAAAAGCCAAAATCGTCCCTGCAATATATTTTTTCTTGGTTTCCACATATATTGTGTAGAATTGAATGCTGATTCCAATGGAGCAAAAATTTTTCGGGAATCGATAATTGTAAGTACAAAAAAGTACTTTTTCATTGTAACAAGGGGGTCTGAGGTTCGAATCCTGATGAAAACATTCTTTTTTTCTTCCTTTTTTTCATGCACATTTGAAGTTTTATTGTAAATATAGTAAATAAAAGACATATTACACCTTAAATATTATCATCAATTTAAAAATTTTTTAGAAAATCATCAAAAATTTTGAGAAATAATTTTCGTTTTCTAATTTTCGACATTTCGTGTTTAAAAAAAGTCTGAAAGATATTTTCCCTGCGGCACCACGGTCGCGTTATGTCAGGTTCACGTGCGCCTTGCTTTAAATTTCCATGTAAGACCGTTTAACTTCACTCTGAGGAAGTCTCACTATCATGAAAAAAATATTTTTATTCTTTTTGACTGCTGTGAAGGCGTATCGTTTCTGGTTAGAATTGTAATTGCACGTCTTGCGTTAAGTTGGGTGTCGCCCGAGAGGGATGGCGCCCCAACTACAACCACGAGCAGAGACGATACGCCTGGTCCAAAATGAGTTCCCTAGTAGTTCGGTTTGGCTGACATCTAGCAGATTCTTCAATGATGGACAAAAGTCATTGTCTCGGCTAATAAAACGCCAAAAGAAGCCGAAATTTTCATGGTCGGTAAAAACCGGTAGTTGTTCACTTCCTGGGGCACACATAGGAGCGTAAATCTATTCGATCAATTTATTCAATTTTTTCTAAATAAAATTATTGAAAATCAAAATAAATCATTCCTGAAGTTGAAGTTTTCCCACTTGCTCTCCATCTTTCCGTCTGCTAAAATGCTGAATGCCGTTTTCCGTTGGCATTGTCGCTCGAATGGACATAGCTGATCTGCATTTTTCAATTCCCCATGTTTCGCTTTTTTCTTCTCCATAGTGGAACGTTCTCAAGAATTTTCTTATACCAACAAGGGTATCTTCGAAATTTTCGTCTTCATCTCTCTTTGGAAAATGGTGCGTTTTAACTGGATCCAAAGGGGTCACTTCAATTGGTTTCCGCCGCTTGCAGGATTCAAAAGCAGGAAAAAATGCAAATAAAAAAAACATTTTTGTCATCATTATTCGTAAGAATGAATTTTTCCTCTGTCGTTGGCTCTATAAGAAGCAGTGCGCACGTGAACCTGACATCACAAATGCCCCCTGGGGGCTTGTCTTTTCAGAAGTTGACGATCATGAACATGCAATGCCGGGAGAAAACGTGTTTTTTTTTAGAAAATTCCCTCAAAATGTCAACATTTTTTTTTGTCTTTCAGAGTTATTTTGGATTTAAAGACAAGTATTACTGTAAAAGAGACCATTGTTTAAATATTCAATCGATATTTGTTGTTTTCTTCGCAAAAAAAAGTAAAAAAAAAAATATGTTTTCGTCAGGATTTGAACCCCAGACCCCCTGGTTACAATAAAAAAGTACTTTTCTGTACCTTCTAGTACCGATTCCCAAAAACTTTTTTCATGAATGGAATCAGAATCAAATTCTACATAATATATGTGAAAATCATGAAAAAAAAAATTGAGGAAGTGCTTTATTCTATCATTTAGGGCGCTTTGGCATCTGATTGGCTGAAAAAAAAAATTTTTTTTTGGGCCCAAAATTTTTCTCTTGATCGAAAACCTATGGTCCCCGGAAATAATTCCGATCGGATGTAAACTGTAGAAGTTGATTTTTTTGTAGGGCATCCCTAATCATTGCCCACCAGTCTGGAAGTCGCGATCGGACGGAAATGAGACCATGCTCGTCGAAGGAAATCAAGACTCCGTAATTTCTAATCAACTGCAATAAAGCGCCTTCCAAATCAGTGAGCTTGTTCTTGAGCAATTTTTCCGAAGTGACTCCCGATTCGTTCAGTGCATCTTTGAGGCCAAAAGGAAGCCGTTGGTACCAATCTGGTTCCTTCTCGGAAACTTTGATCAAACCATCTTCGGTCTCTTCAATGATGTCACCATACTGAGCAGCAAAAAGGAACAGATATTCTGGCATTCTGGCGGGTCTTCGCAGCGCTAAAGTTTCAGCGCCCCATCCAACAGATTTGAACTTTTCGCGAACTTGGAATCGCAAATCGCTCCACCAAGTCGGATCCTTTCGGTAAACCGTGATTTCTTTGAATCGCTTTGAATTCTCAATGACGATGCCTGTTTCTTCCAAAGCGGCAATCAGTCCTTCCGTTGCCAATTCTGGCCACTGGCGGCGCATTTTGTCAACGCTCCAGTTTTCTCGGTTCAGAAGATATTTGGCGCGAAGGGGAAGTGTTTGAAGAGGAGAGTTGTGGTAAAGAACTCCAATCTGTAGATCTTCCAGAGTTTCTTGATCGTCGACGGATAGATCAGGGTGAGTTTCTACTTTCTTCTCGACGGTGGTTGGGACAGAAAGAACTCCAGCGGATCTTGCGAAAGGGCGATCAGACCCGGTTCCTTCTTCCGCTTGAGCAAAATTCCTCCGGCTCGTATCATGACCAAAGTCTCTTGTTTGATTCTTCGCTGGAGAAGTTCCCATATCAGCCTTCGCTGGCCAGAGCGTCGCCTGTGAAACTGCAGAGACAGACTGATTCTTAGTCGAAGATTTTGAAGCTGCTTCGAAATTCCGGCCAATTTCGGGCTTTGAAGGGACTTTCGTTGGCATCGGAATCTCTGGCGTTATTCCATCACTTTGAGATTGGGATGACTGAGGAGTGCCGTTGTCTTGAATTTGTCGTATTTCCTGAGACGCACTGTAAGAGTACTCATCGTAAACTGGTTGCTGAGCGGCTTGAACTTGGACTGGTACAGCCTCTTCTTCCAAATAATACTCTTCCTCGTCGATCAGTTGGTTTTGAGCTGGTGGAGGCGCAGGATTAGCCTGAACTTGTCTTATTTCCTGAGACAAATTGAGACTGTATGAGTATTCATAGTTTACTGGCTTCTTGGCAGCTGGCACCTGGACTGGTACAATTTCTTCTTCTGAATAATACTCTTCTTCGTTCACTAACTTTGGAGCTGCGGAAACGGGTGGTGAATCTTGTATGCTCGTGATCGGTTGCTGTTGACTAAAAGTTGGGTCGGGAGACGTTGCTGAATACGAGTAAAACGAGTCGATATCGGTTTCTGGCCGAGCGCTAGTGCCGGGTTTCAGATCTTCCGGAAGTGTTGCATCTGTGTTAGCATAAGTCTCTACATCGACCAATGATGTTGGCTCATCAGGACCAGCGCCGGTAGTCAAGGTTGCGGTTTTAGCCATCACTGACGCAGAAGCGGTTTCCTCGACGGACAAGTTTGCAGCTGAAGTACCAGTGGTGCTGAGTTCTTGAGCGTGATGAGAAGTCGAGTTGTCAACCGTTGTTGGAGTAATGGATTCAGTTCCGACCGCAAGTGATGCTGTTTTGGGTACACTTGTGATGCCGAAACTATGTTTAATTTGACCATCGGGTTGACTTGACTCAGCTGAAACTGTTTTCGTTGGCGAACGAGTAAGGAAGTTTGTGATTCTTCGCCCGATGGAAGTGGGTTCTGAACGCGGCTGGGATTGAGGCTGATTAAGAAAGTTAGGAGAATCGTTGTCGATTTCTTCCATTACGGTGGACTTGGAAACAACTCTTCGTCGAAGAAGAGTGACGCTCGTTGCAGTTCCGGCTTCTTTCATTTCTACCGGATCTTCGACGTTTCGAAGGATTCCCTCTTTTGGAATGTTGATAGCTTCGCTACTTGGTACATAAGATGTGAGACTGTGGCTCGGAGTCACGTCGTTGCTGGATAAATTGAAGGACAGAGAGCTAGTCGGCATTTTCTCCCAGAAATCAGTGGATGATTCGTTTTGCGTAAAAGCATGGAAAGCTGTTGATTGGACTTCGTCTCTGATATCGCTCGAGACTGAAATGTACTCATCCTCGGAAGACGGAACGAATTCTTTTTGATTCAAGAAGGTTGTTGGTGTATGATGCGGGGCGTTCTTCACTTGGAAGCTTTCCTCTGCGTCGTAGTATTCACTCGCGATGGTGCTGTTAGAATTAGTAACTACAGCTTCAGGGGGACTTTTGTCAAGAATATCTGTGAGGCTTCTTTTGGCAAATTCAACCAAGTCTTCACTCTTCTTTCGCTCGGTCGCCTTTTGGATCGCGGTTATCTCTCCAATATCGCGCAAGCCTTCTTGGAGCTCATTTTCAGAGTGACCAAGTACATGAACCGTAGCTTCGTATTCTTCAACGTCATAGTAAGCGTCTTCAACCTTCAGAGTTCTTGTTTTGTCGAGCGTTTCGATGTTTGTAATGGAACTGATTTTCTTTTCGAGCTCGGGTCTGGAGTCAGCTTCGACTTGAAGAGTAGCTTGGTACTCGTAATATTCTTCTGGCTCTGGCTCTTTGACCGTAGGTAAGGGAAGAGCCTTGACATAATCAGGATTTGCCATGCTGTTGAAAGCGCGAACAGCTTGCGATTTTCGTTTGTGACTGACTTCCGCGGAAACAACGTATTCTTCGTCGTAAGAATAGCCTTTCTCAGCTTCACCTGGAATAACAGGCTTTGGTAAAGTATCATCTACTCTTTTTAAATCATTGATGGAGCTCAATTTCGAAAGATTTCTAAAAGCAGATTCTCTTGATCGGCCAGTCGCTTCAACAGCCGCCACATAATCGGAGCCAACTTTTTTCAAAGCACTTTCAGACTTCTCTTGAAGGGGTTCTTCCTCTTCTTCATACTCGTATTCATCATACGGTATTGTGGCAACAACATGTCGAGCTTCAGCCTCGATTTCTTCCATCGGATACTCGATGATTTCGGATTCTTGAGGCGAAAAAGATACCCGGGAAGCTGTTTTTCCAAGAGAATCGGACGATGGCGACTTCAAAATTGACTTTGGAGTGTGATAGTAGTCCCCTACTGGAGCTGTCTTTGCCACAATGATTTCTTCTCCAGTTTGATTTAAAGATTTAACAGAATAAACGGAGGCAACACCTCCGATATCCTTCAAGACCGCATCTTGCGAGCCAGCGTTCATCCTGACTGTAGCTTCGTAGTATTCTTCGCCTCCATCCGCTGATTTGAGATATTGCAAAGAAGTGATACTCTCAACAGTCGTGAGCTTTTCGATAGCTTGAGCAGCGTTTTCAGCTTTCACAGAAAGAAGAGCTTCGTATTCGTGATATTCTCCCATCAGCTGATCATCTGCTTGAGCAAAAGGAGCCGCCTCAGGCTCTTCATCTTCGTATTCATACTCGATCTCTTGCTCTTGCTTTTGCTGTGTTATTGCGAGTGAAGAGAAATCCTTTTCTGTTTCGATAATTTTGATTTTTTCCGGCTCTACATTACGGTCTTCATATTCGATAGTTGGCTCATGTTGCCCTTGATCTCCCTGAAAAACAGGTTCTTCTTCGTAATCGTATTCGATTTCGCCAGCAACGTCTGGTGCAGTTTCGATAGTTTCTGGAATCAGCGCTTTGGAAGCCTTGGAAGATGCCTTGGAGTTCTTTCTGGAAAGTTTCGAATAGATTCTTGAAAACACGCTGGATTTTTTCTTCATTGGTGAATTTTGAACGCCAGTTAGGGTTTGTTGAGAGCCCGTTTCCATAATATCTCTGGCTAACTCATTGTTGGCGAGGTACTCTTCCATCTGGTTGGCTTCAAAAGTAGGGACGCGTTCGACAGCGCTCGTGTCCAAAATGGAGTCCTCGTGAATGATTTCCAATTCGCTTGGCTCTGGTGAGTTCGCTCGTGGGCCTGGCAAAGGCTCGTATTGCTCGTAGTCATATTCTTGCTCTGGTGCGGTTTGTTGGACAACTGGTTTCTGAGCAGAAGGCTGCACCGGCGCTTGAAAAGCTTGAATTGGTTCTTGTTCTTCATACTCGTATTCTTCTTCTACTACCGCTTGGACATTCGTTTGAACAGGCTGAGGCACAGGCGCTTGAATGGATTGAGTTATTTCTTCGTCATATTCGTACTCTTCTTCTGCTGCGGTTGGTTGAACAGTCGGTTGAGGAAGCGGTTGTGGATGCGTTTGAGTAGGGGGTTGCTGGGCGGGTTCGTATTCGTAATCTTCGTACTCGACGACAGGTTGAGGCGGCGGATTCGCAGATGGATTCGGTTGATCAAGGTCGCCTTTGGCTTTCTTACTGGTTTCCTTTCGTGAACATGTTGAACCAGCAGATGGGATGGGACAATAAGGCGCCATTGATAGTTTTTGCGAAAGCTTCTCTTCAAATGATTCCGTGGTAGCATTTGGCTCGTTTATCGCGTTGATGAAAAGTAAAAGATTCATAGTTGTGAGAAGAACACACAGAATGTTGAAAATCTTCTCTTCTTCGTAGAAGTGGTAAAGGACGGCAGCTTCAAGAATCACCCCGAGTAAAAACAAGCCATACGCGAAGTCGAAGTTGTTCAGATCATCATCACGGGTTGATTGGCGGATCGAAAGGACTCCTGCTGATGGAACTGGGCCGTCGAGTTTTTCTTCGTCTGTATCGATTATTTTCAAGCTTCCGGGAACAGATCGCCTGTTGATGGCTTCGAAGAAATACGCGAGCAAGCAAACAGCAATTCCAGCTAAGATTGAAGTCAGCTGATAATTTTCTGAATAAGACGCTAGAACAGCAAGACACAGGCCGGTTGCGATCATGAAGTTAGCGGAAATCCATCGAGAACGAAATCGGTAGTATCCATTCATTCCAGCTTTGCCAAGTGTCAAATAGTTGCTCCAGTAAGTCCAAAATGTTCCGTTGAAGGCTTGATCATCTGTCTGTGCGAAGTTTATTGTTCCTTTGACGGGTTTATTTTTCATCGAAATCTTCAAGATACAATTCAATACAAGTAACCCCTTCCTATCAAGTGATCATCAGACTCCGACTCTTCCAAGAAATTTTCCCAATGAAACTCCTCCTTCTTCGGCGAAAAGTAAATCTCAGCGTTTGTTCTTGATCCAAGTTGAGTGACCATTATCGACTTGATTTCGACATTGATTCTTGAGCTGGAAATAACACGAAGCACAACGTCCTGGATGTTGAAAGATGGTCGTTCCTTGGAAGCAAGGACGAAGTGGAAGCTCTTGGTGCTTCTTCTCACTTCGTCGGGGTTGATAGTTCTTGGCTTAGAATAAACATGCTTTTTAGTTTCGTCGATGATGGCGCCAATTGACACTAATATTGTTAAAAAATAAATTTCAACAAAACATGTTATTATTTACTTGTTATCGGATTGCAAAGAGCGTCGATCCCCCTCATGAAAACCACGCAGCGAAAATGCTGGACACAATTCACATCAATGTCTAATTTCGGTGCGTTTCTAAGTCTCCGCCAAGCAATGAACAACCAAAGCCCACTTTTTTCGGTTTCAAAAATCATACCTTTTAGTTTAGTCTTCCTTGTTTTTTTCTGTGACTGAAACCGGTGCCTGAGGAGTGGAAAAGCGCATGCTACATAGAAAACTAAATCTGTTGAAAAGACAGAGTCCTTCATCTCTGAGCGACTGAACTATGCAAATGGAAAATCGTGGCAACAATGAGGAGTTCTAGAACTGAACGAGAAATTCTCGGAATTAGACTGACTGAATAAAATTTCAATTTCTGTCCCCAACAATCAATGACAATTAATGATCTTGATTTAAATTTTCGGATTGAATAAATAGATGACAAGGATACAGATGAGTCATTTTATTACAGAGTTAAGGTAGTGTTTATACAGGAAAATGCAATTTGTTTATCCTTTTTGTTTATTGATCAGACTTCAAGCTCGGACTTGTGGAATTGCAAACTGAGTCCGGTTTTTCCACCGTCGTTCTGACTTGAGGATCCGGCGTCGACAGCGCCTCAGTCGGCAGCTGCAGCGGCGTCACTTTACCGAGAAGATCTTCCGTGGCCGTTTCCTGAGTTTGAGAATTGGAACTGTTTACGTTTTCACCGGTGAGAGAGCCAGGCTCACTTCCCTCCTCTTTTCCGCTCTTTTTATTACGCGAGTAAGGGCAGAAGCGGCGCTCGCCACGGGGAGGTAGCTCTTCGCCACGTTCTGCGGCCTAAATATGAACGTAATAAAAAACCACAACCCAGAACTTGAAGAATAAATAAAAATAGATGATAAGATGGAAAAGAAGAAGCGTCAAGAATTATTCAGAAAAGAATAATTTCTATAGAAGAGCCCCAAAATAGCGTCTGAAGAGTTCGACCAATCAGAGCGCTTCATGTGGCTAGAATCTTCACGGTACTATTTTGAGCCTTGACTGTACAAAAGATGCTGTTTTTCCTACCTGATGCCGGAGTGATTTTAAATGCTGGACCAGCTGAGCTTCTGAGTTCAAAATGACATCGCATATTTTGCACTTGTACTGTCCCTAAATTCAATGATAACCGCATTGAATGATAACTAGAAAGCAAACCACGCGTTTTATCGTTGGATCTTCAGAAGGCTTAGGCAGGAGCCCGAGTGAGACGAGCTTGTGCTTGGTGGATCCGAGGTGTTGAGTGAGCTGTTGCTGCGAGTTGACGGATAACTCGCAGACGGGGCAGTACAAATCTTTTGACTCCTCGATTTTCTCAATGCATTCAGGCAGTGGATCGGGCAGGGTCACATTCTCGGATGCTTTAGGCCTCAGTTTGTTGCCTAAAATAGTTTTACTCGCTGTTCTCTTCCTTGATTTCAACGAAGACAGGTCTAAAATGAAAATTTCACTCAAGTATTTTCATTTTAACTGTCTGTATCATGAATAAAGAGAGTGTTTCTTAGATTTGTAAAGTGCTTACTTCGCTGTGGGTAAGCCGTCTGCGGGACAAGATGCGATGTTCCGGAGGAGGAGAGCTGCTATAAACAGTAAATCATTTATAAACAACAAATAATTTATAAATTATAAATCAAAAGAGAAATTTTAAATTGGCGTATCTTTGGGCAGTCCAAAGTCAGCAAAAGAATAAAAAACGAATTTCAAACGGGAGAAATTCAAATTTGACTAAATCATTAAATTAATCAGAACTCACCATTAATCCAGAAGCAGGACTTTGAACCATCGTTGCTAAAAAACACGAATTAATACACAAATTTAGCATTAAATACAACAACTGCCAATCATCACTGAATGTCAACACCGCAAAAGAATCGACAACAGTTGGTTTGATATTTCAGCACTTTGGCAAGCAAAAAAATCGAGCAAAAGAAAGAGAAGGGGCAAAGGAAATGCGTGTGCTGGGTTCGCGCCCTGTCACTCACACAAAATAGCGCATTAAAAGATCAGGCATCAGGATGTGAGTCGTAAATCACTGCGATGATTTGTGGATTATTCTCCTCAACTGTACTCAACTGTAACTCCCAAAATTTGGAGGCTCAATTTTTCGCATTAGTTTTAATGGGATGGCTCCAGTGTTGATTCAATATACTGTATTGATTGTAAGTAGCTACTGTATTGCCAATCAAAGCAATACTGAGCTGGCTTACTGTCGTTTGACAGTAGTTGGTCGGAACAGATTAACCAGTAGCGGGAATCCGCAAGCCATAAATTACAGAATCGAAATGGGTAGCGTCAAATCCTGACGGCTAATTAATTTACAATCACGCAAAGAAGATTAACTTTCGACCACATAAGATAATGAATTTGAACAATCTGGCTCGTCAGATTGACTGTGGCGGTTTTTCTCTTTCAGCTGGCCGGATTATTCAAAAGCGACTTCCAGGGAGAGCGATTTTCAAACTACTTACGTTGTAAAAACGGGAACTGCATGGAATACCCCGCCATTTGAGGGAGCAAAATTTGTTGTTGCATTTGCAGCGCGGCTTGGTTCATCATGTTGGCCTGGTTCGCCATTCCTTGCATTTGAGGCATGATGATGTAGCTGCCCATATATTGGCTGACAGCAGCCTGGTTGGTCACTCCTTGCATGTTAATGCCGTCTCCAGTTGTATGATGCGTGCTGGGTCGGATCATCTAAACATTATACGATTAGTATACGAAAATGCATTAGTGACGCTCGCTCAAAAAAGAGAGGTGTTGTTCCTGCACCTTCGCTTGTTTCGGCTGATCGAGGTCAGAAGATGAGGGGGTCACAAGTTCTACTTCACCCACTTTTCTCTTGCCCATATTTTTGAATATAAAAAAAAAGTAATTAAATAAATTCGGGTTGTGCTCGCGCGCCTGAATCCTCAGTGTGCCCAACGGCGTAGCCCAAGGCGGCACCCGAGATTAACCATTCGTCGCCCCAGGGCATCTTTCCCCTCGCTCAAGGCACTAGACGTGTTATCGCGGAGAAACCGCTAATCACAACACAGGCGACCGCGAAAGTGCAAAACGCGCGGTTAGAAACGAGCTCGATCAAAACCACGACAATTCTTTCGATTGGGCTCAAGTTGATCCCCCGAGGTCAAATCTACCCGTGCGCGCGGCGATTATGGGCGAAGAAGGGGCATACGAGGCGAGATTTATGCTCTTGCTCCCACTTGGTGATAGGAAAATTCATCAAGAGAATGAATATACAAGCAGTAAAAGCAGGTTCTTACGGATGATATCGAATAATATCGATTTCAAAAACCAGCTAATACGCATTCAATTCATTCTTATATATAATATATTCGATAATGCATATAAAATTCATCGTCAAAATGCCCAAAATATGTCGATATCAAAAAAATATATACACCGAGATGAATGTTAATATTAGAAAATATAGGGTAGACACTGCAGTCTTTGTTGATTGCAGAAGAAAAATAGCTCAGTTCAGATTTATTGTTTATTGTTGCGAGAACCTTATTTTCTCAACCAATTTGGTACCACTTCAAACCGCCGCTCCCACGATAAATATTTGTTATGATCGGAAGATGGCGGCAATTAGGCGAAACATACCAAGCTTTACTTTTTTTGGAAGCATAAATCATCGGATAAATTGGCCCTGTTTCGTAATAAACTGAACTACTCGTAATACTAATCGTAAAAGCGAAAATGAGAAAGGGAGATCGTAGATCAAAAGAGAAGGTCAGTGGAGATTCGTGTGAGCGCTGGAAATGGGCGATTATCATAGTTAAACCATATCCGGTGCTGACAGGACGAGCTTTGCGGAAGGAGCTCTCAATAATTTACAGATGCAGATAAAAACGGTGGCAATGAAAGGGTTTTCTCTCGAAAAAATCATGCAAAAGAAAATCGACTGTAGCAAGGAAGTGATCAAAAAGCTAATTCGGACGTTGAAAACATGATTTTTTGAAAGACCACCAACTCTAGAATGGCTGGGGTGCGAGGCCGGGGCAACGGGACAACTGCCCCGTCCCGAGCCCCCTTTCGCCCCGCTTCGGGACCGGGACGGGGCACCAGCATGCGTTGCCCCGTTCTGTCCCGTTTTTGGCAACCGGGGCAAAACGGGACGGGACGGGGCACCGATACTCCCTACCCCATTTCGCACCATTCTTCGAATGGAATTCTCACTTACCGTTAGTCTGTGCCTTAAAATTTGCCCTTTTCACGGATTCAAACTTTCAGTTTTGACCTCTTCGAAAAAAGCAATAGTAGTATTTTCTCTCTCTTTCAAGGAATTTGAATTTGAATTTGTTTTGTCTCTCTCTCTCTTCCCGAAAATCTTCCTGTCAAAACACGCGCAAAGGAAAGCCGAGGAAAAATATTTTAAGAAGGATTAGTTTACACTGCGAAGGTATTCTTTTATGTATTTAGTTGAAACATTAAAGACGAGTGCCCTCAGAGCGCCGTAAAAACGCGCTAATTTTCAGCGCCTATTAGCAACCCCCGAGAAAAGTGATCTTGACATTTAGCATCTGCCCTGAGTTATGGCTTCTATTTGATGGGGTTTAACTTTGATTTGATGGATTATTTGATTGAGACCTTTTTTTTAATAAAAAATTTGAAGTTGAAGTTCTTCATTTTTTTATTTTATTTAAGAAAGACTTACCTTTTGAAATTCATTTCGAAAAAAAAACTTGGGCTTCTGAAAAATCTTCGTTCTATTTTCCCCTCTGCGAACTCTCTATCTCTCTCTTTCCTTGAGTATCAGATTTATCTGAGCGCCGCCGCGGTCGCCTTTTTGACGTGCGAACAAGCAATTAACGGTAATACTTCGATTGATTTCTTTTTAAATATTTGTTATGCCCTGGCCCCAGGCGTGAGCGATCAGTTCCGGCCAAGAGCTCTGATCTTGGAGAGAAAGAAAGAGAGGGCGCAGCATGGAGTGTGTGTGCTTCTCCCATGGAGCGGGGAATTGATAATGTTTGCTAATTGCAGGCCCGCTTCCAATGGTGCTGACCCCATCGGAAATACATCACGCCCTTGATTGATTTACCTTTGTTCCTCAATTCTTACGGTAGTTACTATTATTGGAAACGATTCTGTGGATAAAAAAGCCTCAAAGATTTAACATAGTGATCTCCTTAAAATTCTCTCAATTATTTAAGGGTGTCAAAACGATAAATTAAGGAAAACACTCTACTATTGGTAAATAGCTGGATTCTTGATGCCGACCTTGCTTTTTTTGAATCAGCATTATACGAGAAAAACCAGCGCTTTTTCTGGCAGAGGAAATGACCTACTCATAATTACACTTTTATTACCATTTTGGCTCGTGATCTGACTATTCACAACTCTTTTTAAAAGCCGTAAAGATCATAAGACTTCTTTTCAAATAAACGGCGAGTAAAAACTTGGGCTTCAAGTCGGACAGAATAATACAGTATCATCTCGACAATAAAGCAAATAATGGCAAAGGTCGCTTCTCATTTCTGGAAAGGTTGAAAAGCCACTGGCGGCTCTTTTATTTCGGCAATTTGCTTTGCCGAAAATTGACCCGCGAAAATTGAACTTTTCAAGCTTTTCTTTTGCTAATTAGTCTGTGATTGAATAATTGGCAATTGAAAATTCAATATTGCCCGATTTTGAAATCAACAAGGAAAAAAGAATTGCTGTACTTTAGAACGAAGAAATACTGAATAATTAATCGCAGATTCATCGGATTACAGTAATGAACAGTAATGCGGATCAGAAATCAATGAACCTGTCACGCTAAAATCTTTTTTTCGAATTCAACCTGCGTTGACGGCGTATTGACTTGCCAACTCGCTATTTTTTCTATATTTGACTAAAAGGGATTTTGGGCTGAAGCACCAAAACCGCATTTAATAAAATATTGAAGTCGAAATTGATGCTATATTCTCGCGAAATCTACGACTGTAATCGTCCATACAGAATTTGAGGCAAGAATTTGACAGAAGATTGTTGATGAAACTTAAAAAATAGGGCCCAAGTTTTTTCTTCTTAGAGTTAATTTAACGATCGTCAATTTTCCATCTTGAAATTTTGGGTCTAAGATTGTCGATAATTCTTTAGAAATGAGGCCAAAGTTTGTATATTTAGGGCAAAATCTGAAGATCAACAATCTTTGGCTCAGTTTCTGAAGTTTTATGAACAATTTTGGACAATTTTTTGGTCATTTTGATGTCTAGTGAAAAAACTAATTCTAGGATATGTTTTCTTCAACTAGAAAATGATTCTAGTTTTTTTAACGAAAGACGGAAGTTGAATATTCTTGACAAAATTGTGGCGAATCGATTATTTCTCCCTTTCGCTAAAAAAAACGACGTGCAAAGTGGATTTTCCAAAATAAACAAAGAGGATGAAAGGTCTCGGTCAAAACAACGTCGCTGTTTTCACCCGATTAGTGAAAGGCTTCTAGTGTTGCTTTTGCCAGGAGACGCTCAGGGCGCATTATTTTGACAAGCGTTTCTCTCAGGGGCGGGTTTATTCAAGCCCGAGTCCTTGAGAACTGTCTGAGTAACTCACTACACTAGGATAATCCGCTCAGACGAGAATAATAATAATAATGATGCCTTGATCCTATCTCGACCGTATCGGATAAAAGATAAACATGCAAATAGACGATTATCTTGAAGAAATCAGACATTTTCGGAACGCTTCAAAGAATTTCAAATTTCAGCTTTTCTGCAATGTAGCTTTTGCAGCGTTTTTTTTTTTGCCGAGAATTCTAGCAAAGAGAAAATTCTTCAAGCAGAATTGAAGAGTTGGAGCGCGAGTTGAGAAAAATTCCAAGCTGGAAAGATTGATCTGGTCAAATTCTTTGATTGAATTCTAGCAGAAGAAAAATGTCCTCCGCAATGTGAATTGGCAAATTCAAGAGCTAATTCTCGATTCAATTCAAAGTCTTTCAAATCCGCTTGTCCCATAATAACGCTGCTCCATTCAACCACCGGTTGTTTTGCTTTTCAACAATAAATTAACTGTACAACAAGTGTTATGACAAATTAAGCAACTAAAAACGGCTAGGAATAAGGCCGCGTACTAGCAATGATATTCAATAATCCAAATCCGCCTTGGTTCATAATTTGACGCAAAAGCTCTTTTCATTCCGCAAAATTGAACCTAATCCAAGGCGCCTTAGACGGAGGCTATTTCCTCCTTGCCCCCGTGACAAGCGTTAAATCTCCGATTTACCTGCTTGTTTCTTCTGTTTCTGCAAGCAACGGGCTTCTATTTCCAGCGCGCTTCGTTTCGCCTCTCTCTTCCCTTCTCCTCTCTTTCTTTCTCGATCTGTTGTGTTGTATATTTGTTATTTTATCGGAATAAGAATATTGCTTTCTATCTTTATGACAATATATTTCGACGTGGATTTCGCGCCAGCAAGCTAAATGCTCGAGATGCTCGAGAGACCAAACGCGGCGAAAAAAAGGTCGCCGCTTTTGCGCCACCAATCACCGTCACTCCACCGCAGCCATGCTCCTCCACCGCCAGGAATTCAACAGGCCTAATTTGTCCGACAAAGCAGTTTTTCAAATTTCATGCATCAAAATAACAAGCTAGAGTCTACTAGACTGCGGAAACTTGGGTAGAAAGCCTGAGTCAGGATCTGGAAGAACTGAAATGAAAAGCCGCGTAGCGGCTTTTTCAAAAACGAAGCCGCAAAGCGGCTTCGCTAATATTAGCATTTAAATCTATCAAAAATTGTAGCGTAGCCGCTCCGCGGCTTCGTTTTTGAAAAAGCCGCTGCGCGGCTTTTCATTTCTGTTCTTCCAGACCCTGACTCAGGCTTTCTACACAGGTTCCCGAGCCCAGATTTACGAGCTCCAAAGACATGCAATTAAAATAAATAATTGAAAGCCACTTGTCTTAGCCCACTATATTTAACATAAAAATGCACCTGCGCTCAGACTCTTCTGACCGAGTCGCTGACGCAACCAGAAACATCAATGACGGCAAAATAATCTGGGGAGCCAAAAATAGCGAAAATAAATCCAATACGCGGCGGTGCCAAAAAAAGGTTTTGCATTTCATCGCGTCGCCTTCAACTTGCGCAGTTGTTTCATGAAGAAGCCAAGAAGCGCGTAAACAATTTATCGAAATTTGCATCACTGGATGCGGCCAGTTTTAGTTGTTCGTTGAAATACTCAAACTTCAATTAACTTAAGGTCTTCAACTAAAAAAGTAGCACCCTTTGAAACGGATTTAAAACTAATTTTTAATAAAAATTAAGGGTTTCCCTCAACTAAAAACCCAAAAATAGCTTGCTTCTAGCAACGTGACCGGCCTGTATACCCTTAAATTGTTGATCATAAGGGGAACGGTTCTAGTCAAGGGTTGTATCTAGAAGTTCCAATTGAAATTAAGGGTGTATCTAAGATAGTTGCGGAGAAAAACTTGCTCCTAGGAGCCCCATTTCTGGTGGGGGGGGTCCTTAAAACCAAGTCTTTATTCCGCCTGACGAAGCTATTCTTTTACAGTGAATCGGCATGAAATCGTTAACATGTGCATCGAGGAGCAACAACATCATTTTACATATGATTGATTTTTGATTTTTTTGCTAAAAAGGGTTCATCCGAGATAATACATCCAACATGTCAATCGTCGTTGATTTTTTGAGTCTTTGATGAATAAAAGAGAGGCCTTTCTTTTCTTGACTCTTATGCGCCATCTGGACATTTTTATTTTTTGAATAAATCGATTCATTCGAGATCAAGCGTAATCCCACTCTGCTGCACAAATGGCAAAGAGCTTGAAATATATGCATCATTTAACAGTAAATAGTTGATTGTCTCAAGATAATTCGATTACAAACTATTTGAATTAGAGTCTAAGGGGTTTATTCTTGGGGATATTCTAAAAAGAACAGGTTTCTAGTTGGCACAATTTTTCGAATGAGTTAAAAGCGGTCTTCCCGACCGACCGGATAAATAGTAGTCTTACGGGCTGTTATTTTGAAAGTGGTTAGGTTTAGTAGTTACCGGTTTTTGTGGTTGGTCCGGTGAAGGCTAGATTCTCTTTGTCAAATAGATCGTCATACAGAGTTGCAAATTTCGCGAGCTAGTTGAGCTACAGCTCAGCTCAGCTCAGCAATTTTTAGATGAGGGTCAGCTCAGCTCAATTTTTCTGAAGAAAGCCAGCTCAGCTCAGCTTATTGTTTCTTCGAAAAGAGCTAGCTCAGCTCACCTAGCTCAGTTTGACAAATCGTGAGCTCAGCTTAGCTCAAAAATTTTCAGAGAAGCCCAGGCTCAGCTCCGCTCATTGTTTCTTCGAAAAGAGCTAGCTCAGCTCAGTTAACTCAGTTTGAAAAATCATGAGCTCAGCTCAGCTCAAAAATTTTTAGAGCCCAAACTCAGCTCAGCTCATCTCAATTAAAAAAAACCAGCTCAGCTCAGTGGTTTTTTTTAAAAGAGGCCAGCTCAGCTCAATTTGGACCTCAGCTCAGCTAGCTCAGCTCAGTAAAAATTTTCAAAAATTTGCAATTCTGTCGTCATATACAATAAAAAAAAGAAGAAGGAGAAGATTGATAAAGATGGTTAGATTCTTGTTGAAATTTTCGACGATACAGGAGGATAAAGTCTGTATCGTGAAGAAATCATCAGCTCCAGACGATAGAAGTATCCATAGAAACGGAACTGGTGGAAATTATCTGGATACAAGTCAACTTTCTAAATTTAATCAGTCGGAGCTTCATTGTGGCACTTTTGGTGTCCGGAACACGGGCGATGTTTGAGCTGCCGTGTTTTGTATCAATTATTGGACTTCGATTCTTTCTGGCTATTATATTCAAATTTGATAAAGTGAACGTACGTACTATTACTTCCAGACGCGGAATCGAGAGCACTGGGTTTTTTAGATCCTCAATAAGTATTACGGAAAAAGTACAAATCGATAAAATTGGTTTATATTCGAACGAACTTTACTTTTTTACCCAGACCAGAGAATACAGAATGGAAGGTAAGATCAAGTCGAAAATCAGCCAACTAAAAGAGGGGAAAATTTAAGCAATCAGCAAGATTCTCCAAGTCACAGCCGTAGAAGGCGTCCAACCAGTTTTCACCTTTCAAAAGATTGATGGCCAGACACACATGATGATCAAGTGGCCAAAAGCTCCCCCTCCACCGCCAATTATCAACCCTCTTTTCATCCATGCTCTGAGAGCCCAAGCTCAAGCAAATCAACACCAACTCGTTTCGCAACTTTCTTCCCAGCGAAATCTTCTCTCCCAAAATCTCGGTACTCAAATGGCTCTTTTAAAAGCTCAGGGTGCACAAATTCCGCCGCAAAGAAAACCACCAAGGTATGAAAAAAATTTCTCTTTCGGAAAATGAAACAAAGCCTTTTTTCAGTGAAATCGAAAAGGAAAAGGAACGATTTGGATTTTTCAGCCAGCACTTGGAAGAGATCTACAAGAAGTATGATATCAACAAGGAGTGCATCCAGGGCGGGTCAGAAGAGGAACTCCTTCATCCTCCGCTAAAACATCTTGGCTATCGGACAGAGAGCCAAATTCATCTGATGCGCAGAATGAGATACATTTCCAACAAATTGTCACTCACTACCGTAAGTAGCACCACCTCAAAATTTGGGCAGAACCAAAAAAAGGAAGTGATTTTCTGGATCAGGATTTTGATTTGCCGGTAGGCCGAATACAGCAATCTTATTGGTTATTTACGTAATTGGTAATTCACCAATAAGATTGCTGTATTTGGCCTACCGGCCAATCAAAACCCAGATCCAGAAAATCACTTCCATTTTTAGGTTCTTCCCAAAATTTGGGGTCTAAGAAAAGGTGCTTCGAGTAAAATGCTTTTAAGGATACGTACCCCGATTACGAATCAGCAGTAAGTCTCATCCTCGACAGCTTCGCAATCACGAAAGACAAAGTCGACGAAGAAAGCTATCGCCGAAAAATGAACTTTTTACTTCGGTAGGGAAATTTTCTTTATTTGGCATTTGTATAACTTACAATAAGAAAACGGATAAACAATCGGCGCTGGTTTCTGAAGAAAAAACTCAACGACGAGAATTCTAATGAAGAAGACAGAGCATCGAAGCGGATGAAAACGGAAGTAGACATTAATAGTCATTCCAGCGAGTCCAAAGCCACGAACGACTCTTTTGACTCTCCTGAATAAAAATGATAGATAGAAAACAGTGTGGAAAAGGAAAGTTATGGCTGAGATTTTAGGAGGGTGCGCGCTTTTGTCGCTTTGACAAAGTCTTCCATGGGAATTCCGATTTCAGATTCCTTTTTGAGGCTCTTCCAGATCTCGTTTGCTTTGTCGTTTGCTGCTTCCTGGCATACTTTTCCGCCGGTCAGTGCCACCATCGCCTAAAAAATGACCGTCGAATAAGCGCTAGAGTTTTGATTTTACCTTGATGAGGTCGATGAGCTCGCTCTTGTCGAGAATCCCATCCCCGTTCTGGTCGAAAATCTCGCAAAGCCAGGTCAGTCGCTCGTGAAGGCTTCCTCTTGCCATGACTGACATTGTGCTAGAATTCGATAAGCAAAGAATGGAACGGGAGAGTTTTTACCTGATGAACTCGACGAAGCAAATATGCCCATCGTTGTTGATATCAGTCCTGTCGAAAAGAACCTGCGTGAAGGTAGAAATGTCGCCATTCGGAAACATGATTGAATAAATTGTCGAAAACTCGGATCTGGACAGAGCGCCAGTTGGGCAATCAACGAGGAATCCTCGATGCCAGTTGAGAATCTCTTGCTCGGTGACTGAAAATATAGGAGTTGGCAAGTAACTAGATGACTTACATTTGGTTTGAGAAAGAATGAGCTTCATCTTCTTTTCACTGAGTTTGCTGCTCTTGTGGCCCATTATTTTTCTCTTTTTCTGGTGTTGAAAGTTTTTTGTTCTGAAAAAATCCTCTCTGACCGAGCTTAAATACCGGTCACGATTGTGATCAAGATTGTGGTACCCATGCCGCTTAAAAATGGTTCGATCGTTACGGTCTACCGACCATCGATCAGGATGTCTGCCAAAAATTTCACGCCATCTTGTTACACTTAGTCTAATACTGCTGCGCCTATTTGGTAATAAACAGTACAGTCACTCTCTAAAACCTTGTGATCACCGCAAGTATTACGCTTTCCCGTTGTTCTAGAGCTCCGTTTGTTGATTCTTTTTTTCAAATTTTGTAACTTTGAAACTTGGTGATTTTGGAACAAATGTTTCTAGATAAAATGTTGTTGTCAGGCCTGCGTGGTGTAAAGTGGTCAGTCTCCGGATTTATTCCGGTCCGAACGCGACTGTTAGAGAGTAAGTACAGAGATAATTGAGGAATTAAACGGTTGTTTTTTTGGAAAAACTTGAGTTTCAAAATTATTTTAGCAGGAAAAGAGGGAAGCCAGAGAAGACAACAGTCTGGTTCCTCCCCTCGTACGATCGACCATCGAGTCTTGAGTGAAAATGTTCCCGAAAAGCTCAAGACTCAAGACCACCAGCTCTGTTCCAGACGGAATCTGAAACAGCTTCCGAAAATGGTTAGATACGTACGAGCCTCCAGGAAATGGCTGGATACTTACGAACCGCCTAAAAAAGGGGCTGGACATTTGAGATTACCTGTACAAACCCAAATAACTACTTTTTCTGCAAGAAAACCTGTGATATCATCTTTTTTTTAACAACGGTAATTTGATTTCTGTTCGTTTTAGATTGCGCTGCATGCCGAATTTGCTGATCACGGAAGCGCGCGAGCCGGAAGCGCAATCGAAGAAGTCGGAGAAAAAGGGGCCTGTCCAGGTGATGGTCGACGATCTGGCAATTCCAGTGCCTCAGTTTGGAGTTGCTAACTCAACCCCTAAATTTTCTCAGTTGAAGGAATAGTTGAACATACCTTTCTATTAGTTCAAATTAATCAACTACTAAATCAACTTCCTAGTCAATTCGTACTATTCAACTCCGTTAAAGGTTGAGGAGCGAAAGGGTAGCTTGTGTCTTAAGGTGAGTCCCTCCCCCCTTATTCCCTTCTTTGAACCCTTTTCTAGAGCAATCATATGCAATATGGACCAAGAACATTGAACTACGAGTGGCACTCCGACCGAGAAGCTGAGCCAAAGGAACGGGTCCTTCCAGAGCCTTAGAGCTAATTAAATACCTCTTTGGACCCATGATAAAGGACTACGATGTCACTGCCGTCAGCGATCGAGATCGAAACCAGCATCTGGCCACTTACAAAAACATCGGCTTCGACAAGCCAGTCATTCCAATTTCCACGACCAAGGACGGCCTCGAGCAGCCGTTCAAGCAGAGGCGTTTCTACGAGCCTGTTTCTAAGACAACGGTAGTTCGGAGAAATGTTTCGTGATGAGAAAAAATTAAGGGAATGGTCGATTCAACTGGATACCGCCTCTTGACGAAAAACTACTTGCGAAGCGGAAGCGACTGCGTTTCGACGAATCTGGACCACAACTGCGTGCGCTGGCAAGAAGTGCAAGCTCGCCACCACAAGCTCAAGACTCAACACTACGAGACGACGAACAAGGCGGACTACACCGTTCCCCATCCGGAGAAAATGGAAGGCGACCGAACCATCCCCCACCCTGCGACGCCGTCAATCAACACCTTCGGCAGGAAGCTGACGGATCGTGTTGCTTGCGACGCTCACCGACGCAAGGGCTCATTCAAATGGCTTGATACTTACGAACCCAAATAACTACTTTTTTATGTCAATAAGAAATATTTATTTTTGCACAAAAAAATATTTTACAAGAAAAAAAATTTTCAAAAGAGCGATTTTTTTTCTTGTAAAAATTGTTGATTTCTTCCTTGTTTTCATATTTTTTCCCGAGCTTTTTCATAGTTTTCTGATGCTTAAAAATAATTGATCGGTGCAAGTTTCAACTCCGTTTTACAAAATATAAAAGATGACAAAAATAATCTTGTTTTAAACAAAAATAACTTGACGGGCGGATTGAAGCTGTATTGAACAAAAACACGATAATCATTTTCGTCCTTCACATTTTGCAAATTTAGGCGGAGATTTCTCGGCGCTCGCGCGGTAAATAAACGATCGAATCGATCCTTCATGTTTTTTCCAGGCGCTAGAAAAGTGCTTACAACAGGCTTTTCCAGCGTATTAAACTGGTCTCTTGATGTTTTAGGAAAATCCACGTGTAAACAACTTGTTCAAAAAAAAACTGATAGAAAAAATGGTAGAGACTTGTAGGAAGGAAATTGTTGTCCACAAAGTGAAGCCGGATTTTGAAAACTGCTATAAATAGAATCGCGACGGAGGGAGGAAATTCTTAGAGATATCCAAAAAAACCTCAAGAGGGCGTTCACTTGAGCGAGATAAAGAGCGAAAAATTGGGTGGGAATTTCTAATTTTCGAAAGAAACATTTATCAAAATCACGATATCTTGATGCGTTTCCAATAATATATAATATAATATAATATAATATAATATAATATAATATAATATAATATAATATGAAAACAAAGTAATATGATATTACTAATATCAGTATTATCGTGTATTTTACCAGCTTTATCTCAACATAATGCCGCTTGTTTTTGGACTTGACCGCCTCGGTCAAGGTTATCTTCCACTCTCTGACCTCAGAAAAAAGAGGACAGGGGAAGAGTAATCCGGGATTTCTAATCCAATTCTTTGAAAACGCAAGTTCAACCACGTGATGTTACCGAAAGCCTCCCAAATCCATGCGCTTCAAAGTTTATACTATTTTTCGAATCAACCGTAAATAACTACTAGCTGACGTGGACTAGTAATTACTTCAAGAGCGCGAATAACTGAACGGTTTCTTCGAATCGATAATTCTAAGTTGGGGATCGACCGAGCTCAGCAGAATTTTAAGTCTCTTTTGTGACGGGGCTGAACATTCTAAACAAGCCGCGGCCCACCATTGGCATGACGCATTCCAGCGCTGGGATTTCCGGTACAAAGTTTCGGCTTACTGTATATCTCGCTAGATAAAAGACTGGGCTTTCCCACAAGCCCACAAAGTAGATAACCGCCCAAGTGAGCCATCCAAGAGCGATATCGCGCTTCGACTAAGCTAAAATTGAGAAAATTGAACGCAAAAATGAGTGTTGCGAAAAATGCGTAAAATGGATTTGCATTAGCTGGGAAAATAGTGGTCGTTTTTCTCGTTGACCTGATGCATTCTAAGACACGAATTTAGAAAGAGAGAGAACTTTACGTAACTTTAAAAGTAAGAACCTCCTGGAATGGTCACCTAAGTAAACACCGTGGCGATTAATTACGGAGCGAGAATCCTCAGCTTTTTGATTAAGAATTTAATTTTCAAATTCAATCTGAAATAGAACGCTTTATTACTGAAATGAACGCATATTTCTTGATCAGATTACACTCGTTTCAGATTGAATTCAGAAGCTTTGATCAATTTTTAATAAAAAAACGTGATCAAAAAGTTAATTCTTTTTAGCAATTTGTCAATCAAGCCGCAAAGAATCAGAAAAAAAAGAGAAGCCATTGTCAAGTGCTCGTCTTTAGAACTTGTTTCCGGTCTCGAACAACACGACTTTCATGCACGACTTTGAAAATCAACTAAAAAAGAGGGGAAAGTGCTCAATTCTTGAGAATCGCGCCCTTTTTTTTCGTCAACGTGTAGTTTTTAATTTCAAATACTTTGTTGAAACGAGCGTAAAAATGAAAATTCTAGCGCAAAAGTTTATGAAACGAATTTTAGTTCAATTTTTTTTTTCTAAAGTTTATAAAGTAGTTCGTCAAAAACAAACTTTGTTCATAAATTTTAGCGCTAGAATTTTCATTTTTACGCTCCCTTTCCAATTGATCTAGGTAGGTAGGTCTTATGTAAGACCTTCTTTTTACCGGTAAAATCATCGATGGCAGAGTAGACGGTGGTTTTATTTTGATCGATCAAAGTCCCCGGCTTGATGGAAAGAACTTGGTTCCGTTTTGATTTTCCCTCAAGAAGATGCAATTTTTGAACGGAATTTTTTGATCGATCAAAGCCACGGATCGGAAGCTATCTTACCGGCAGTTGGCAATTGTGAATTTGGAGGATGACGCAAGAGCAATTTTGAGCATTTGGGACTGCTATAAATATCTGTCGTCGCATCTTCATAATTCGTTTCCCCGTATTTAGTAGCCAATATCGTCTTCATTTAGTAGTACGTCGCCTTGTTTCAGCCTGATACAATAATAAACACTTTTGAAAACATTAAAAAAACGTACCATGAGATTTTTTTCTAAAGGGAGATCTGAGAATCTGAGGGTCCTAAGCCCTCTGGGACTCTCAGTTGAGCCGCGCGCGCCTAGCGCGGCTAGCCAATCAGAGGACGGGCTTTTTCCGCAGTACGCCGCACTCCAAATTCTTTACTCTGAAGTGCCCAACAGGACCTCAAAGAAATTTCTAGACTTCCCCGAGAGTGAAACGGGAAAGCGAGGCCAGGGGCCTTCTCCCTCTCTAAAAAAATCTCATGGTATGTCGGGCTACGTTATGAACTAGTCTGTCAAACACTTTTTACTGATTGCGAGTTTGTTAGCAACAAATGACGAGGAGCGAGGCGCAGAAAAAAAATATTGAGTGGTGCTCTACCACTACTCAAAGCGGTACTTTTTCACTTGAACTTTGAGTTTCTCCTGAATCAATAATAAACCAAGCCAAAATTATTTACTTACTCGAAGAGCAAGATTTTTCCTTCGAAATCGACTCGGTCGAAAATTGAAACAGAAATACAGTAATAATTCAAGAGTAAGATACTGTTGAAAGTAAGGGCCCGAATTAGCGACATCAAGCGAGCGGATATCTTCTTCTTTCAGCGGTGGAAGACCCCGCCTGCTGGAAGACTTCCATTTTTTGGAAGAAATATCTTCTCACTGAATTAACTATTGTGATCACTACCATAAGACTGATAATTGATGAATTGGTAATTAAGATAATCTTCGTTGTATTTTATGATTCAACAAACCGCAGTTGGCCTTTTAATAGTAGTGTCCAAATTCAATTAGAACACATCAATTACCCGCTACTCCATGTTTTTTAGAAAATAAGAAGATCATGTTCGTAATGAAAGAACCCAGTACGTGGCAAATCTGGTTCGGGCGCGTCTTGTGTTTATTCATACAAGTAATTATCATTAAAACTGCTCATAAGTGACTCTCGAGCCGTTGTATCCACGATTACGCGCGTTGGAGAAAATCGCATTTGACACGGGCCGGATTCGATGATTGGTACCGTGTTTCCTTGTTTGACTCACTTAACAGAGGTCACAGGCGCATTACAGGGACGCACCTATTTTTTACTAAGAAAAGGAGAGTTCAAACTTTCTTTGGAGTCGGCAACCTTTGTAGAAAACCTGTGTTAGGGTTCTGAAAGAGCCCAAATGAAAAGCCGCCACGCGGCTTCGATTGAGATTGAAAAAAATAATTTTGCGAAGCCGCTTCGCGGCTTCGTTTTTAAAAAAAGCCGCTATGCGGCTTTTGATAAGAGATCGTTCACACCCTGACTCAGGTTTTTTACCCAGGTTGCCGAGCCCTGGCAAAACGGCTTCGCCAAAAATGTCAGCTTAGGAGCTTCGTTTTTTTTCGTAATGACGATGGGTAATGACAGTGTCGGTAGCTCCACGAAGATCTAATCGAGTGTTTTTGATGATAAGAAAAAAAAGGTCGGTCCAAAATTTTAGATTGATGGTAAGTTAAGGGTGTCAACCTGTTATTGAGGACTACGCCCTTTGATTTCTGTATACAGTATACTGTGGACATGGAAAATATACGATAAAGAATTTAGAAAAAAGAGAGATTTGAGAATTTTCTCAGATTTTGATGGTGGAAATTTGTGAAAGACTTTGGCAATGAGGAATTCTCGCGGAACATTCTTGAAGTGGCCAGATTCATGCTAAACGTGGTTCGCGACGGTGGCAGCAGATGGAATTCTGGAAGCTGGACGCAAGTTGGTTGCTGAGGAAGCATAAATTCGATTGGCCTGAGTGGCTCGGGTAAGGGACTTCCCATTATGGTGGCGCTGACTTGACCCCCGTCGGATGAGACGACCTTCGAAAGAGAGAAGACTCTCTTGAATAAAAAGAGTCAAGTTAAACAGAGCTTATTTTTTTTGTTTAGCGGCTAGCTTCGATTTTAGAACTTAGGCTCGGCAGCCTAAGTCATGTTCTGAAAAGCCAAAATGAAAAGCCGCGTAGCGGCTTACATCAGCACGAAGCCGCAAAGCGGCTTCGCAACACAATCACTCTTATCTATATAAAAATATTGGCGAAGCCGCTTTGCGGCTTCGTTTATTGAAAAAGCCGCTACGCGGCTTTTCATTTTAGCTTTTCAGAACCTCAGTCAGGCTCTCTACACAGAGTGCCGAGCCCAGGATCCGGGACCCCAGGTTTCTGAGTGAGTTCATTTTATTTTGAAATTATGTTTCGGGATCGTTTATCTTGGAATAAAATTCACGTTTATCTTGCAATATGCACAGTGTTTAGCTTGCGAAAAATAATTTTTATCCTTCCTACGCGCCCGCAAACATTATTTTCACAAGGAAGTGCCTTTTACCAAAAAACTTTCTTGTCTTCAAATATAAACCGTACCTCCTGGAAATCATTTGCGATTTCTAATTTCAAATTGTTGTTTTTTATTTAATTAAAGTTATTGCGCTTTTCTATGTTTTGTTGGACTCAAGCTCACATGCCCTCAATTAATTTCCGGTTTGAACGACAAACAACTCATGTTTTCCTCGAATGAAAAAACGTTGCTGAGTTGTCAATAAGCGCTTGAAATAATCACAAAAAGCGGGATACAATAATTTATTGTCAATAAACTCAATCCTTTTACAACAAACACAAATTATTATTTCAAATCAGATTGAGCCAAATCAAATTTGAAGGGGGAAAACGTCAACTTGACTCGGCAACCTGTGTAGAAAACCTGAGTCAGGGTCTGAAAAAAGCTAGAATGAAAAGCCTTATATTATCCATTCTTTTTGACCCCTGACTCAGATTTCCAACACAGATTTCTGGCCCAAGAACGTGATAAGTTTGATTTTTGTCTGCCAGACAGTCTTTTAGCCGTCAGAGGTGACACAAATGATAAACGAAATTTCCGCAGATCACGTGCCTTCAAATCGAGTTTCAAAAATTTTGGCGATAAGGAACGGTCGGATTTTATAATTTTCAGAAACAAAAGAATTTTAGTATTTTAGGCGCCTGTCCATTTTTATGAAATCAGATGCGCAAGATTATTATGGAAATGCTGATTAGAAGCTTTACCGCAAAATAAATCCTTCACTTGAACTACAGGCCTGGACTAATTTTGAGTCGCGATAGGCGACGTCATAGCAGCGCCTCAGCCAGCTATCAAGAATTCCTATCATCTGGCCCACAAATCAGAAGGCTCACATTTGCGCGCGTTTCAAACTTCATCCTTGGGCCGGACGATAGGAATTCTTGATAGCTGGCTGAGGCGCTGCTATGACGTCGCCTATCGCGACTCAAAATTAGTCCAGGCCTGTAGCTCCCTTGCGAGGCAATTATCCCGTTTTGAATGTCTTGCGTTGGGTCTTTCGCAAATCCGCGGCCAATCCTGAAAATTTATTTTAACAAAGCTCCCGTGTTCAGAAGAACAGCGCAAAAAAGAAACATTCAAACATTTAAAAATTTAAAATTATAAATTTTGAATTGAACAAGTCCAAAAGAGCAAGAACTTAAACATCTGAGCCCAGCAAAAAAGAAAACCGCTAGAGTTATTTCTTTACACGACATTCAAAGGTGATACGGCCTAATTCTTCGGCTTGAAGGCCGAATGATTGATGCTTGTAAGAACACTGATTCTTCGGCAAAAAACCGAAGAATAAATGATAGAAGATGCACTGATTCTTCGGCTAAGGTGAATTTAATCACAGATTCCTGTGCCCCTTACCACGGGGCTTCGCCCCTTAGGTCCTAAAATGCCGGGGTCTAGTCTAGGGTTACTTAGGGTTACCTTCAGTAACCCTAACTAACCCTAGCCTATCCCCCTCGGGTGAGTTTGTTCTGTCACTTTGCCCAGTGCCCCCTAACACTAGCCTCAAATTATAGAAAATACTTATTGCCAAATTGAGTTTTTTCTCTAGAAAATGTCTTTTTCTTAAGTGATGACTCATAACTTATGAGTCGTAAGTTACAATCAAAGAGTTTTGATAATGAGTTCTAGAAAATTTGCCGAAGAATCACTGTCAATACTATCATTAATCCTTCGGTTCAAGGCAATTCTAAATTTGCCGAAGAATCAGTGTTATTGAAAGCATCAATTCTTCGGTCTTGCCGAAGAATTAGCCCATACCACGCATTCAAAGCAGCTTTTCGCGGTGCAATTTTCCAAATCGGGCATCATTTCTATATGTCCAGAAAAAGACCTTTTCTTTAGTTTACATGATGACACCCTTAATTTTGGGGTGGTGTCACGAATCGACAAAAATCTCGCGTCGAAATTTTCAACCGATAAGAAGCCTTGATTCGGCTAACCAACCAATCAGCAGCCAAGAAGCCGCCTACGCAAAATTTGTCGAGATTATTTGTCGATTCGTGACACCATCCCAAAATTAAGGGTGTCATTATGTATTTTTGTCGGGATTTTTTGTCGGCTCCGGACACCTCCCCTTAATTTTTATGGTTGATTTTTTAGAAATCTACTTTGAATTTTGGCTTTTGGAGGAATTTGATAAGGGCCTCACTTCGATAAAAATAACAGTGTCGCTATCTAAATCCTTTCTTAAAAATCCGGTTTTATAATCTCTCTCTCTTTCTCCCTCCAGATTTAGGCTCTTACGAGACACTCTTACAGCTTTTCTCCTACATCTATAAAAACCAAAATTAAAAAGGGGAATGAAGCGGGCGAAGATAAAAAAGACGCAGCTCTTGGTCCGACACTCGACTTTTGCGGGCGAAAAAGGAAAAAAGACCCCTCGCAACACGTTTTAAATTCGACGTTCTCCTTGTCTCTAGCTTTGAACCTGGAGCAAGGACCGGTTTTCTGAATTCTGAGAAGAAGTTAATCCTCGAAGGCAATCGATTAAAACGGTACGTACGCGGCGACACGGTAATGTCTAATTATCCCCCGCTTACTGATCTACGAATGCTTGTTATTGAGTGATTTCTAATTTGAAGAGGGGTAACTAGCTGTCAGAATTCAATGTCACATAAGTAGCATTGCGTTTGATATGAAAAACAATGCGAAAAAGATGACATAGCAACTCATCAATTAACGGTACAATCCGATAAATAAAAATTTCTTATGTGACTCGGTTGTTGAACAAATCAGAGGACCATAATGATGGGGTAGAGATTTGCCACAGAATATGCAATTTGAGGATCTTGGGAAAACTCTTGAGCAAATACGCTTGGAAATATTTTTGAGCTGATTTAGAACGTGAAAAAATGTAACCTCACTAAACTCGTGCTTTTTGAATAAACAAGCTTCAACTCAAGTTGTGGCTAAATTGCTCATTGAGCAGGGTTAGAACTTCAGTCCTCGTATCTCTGAGATGAGTCATGATGACGTCATCATTACTGTATATAAAATGAAGCTCAGACACTGTACTTCATTTAATTAGTCATAATGATGACGTCATCATGACTCATTACAGAGATATGACTCATTTTTCCGATGATATGCCAAAAAATCACCGAAAGTGAAAAAATATTCCCACCCTAGTTAGAAGCTTTTTTGACTCAAAGAAGATAGAACGCGTGAGAAACGCGCGGAACTTGTAAGGACCCGGATAATTAGCCGCTTCGAAAAAGTGTCAAGGCCGATCCTTCGATAACCTTCTATAACAACTCGGGTCCGTTCGACGCTTTCTCGTAACTGAATTATTATTATATTCCTCCACGCCCGATGAAGTTTATTAGCACGCTGGTTGTTGAAAATTCAATTGAAACCAAAAAAGCCGTCTTTCTAGCGCTTCGTGAGCTCTCATTAAATTTATTCTCTGATGAGTCGGAAACATGAAATTTAGACAGATCATTTTTTATTGAGAAACATGCTAAATTGGACATGTAACATGTTTTTATAAGCACTCAAAATATGTAGCAGCTTTTGCGGAAACTCAAGATAAAGAAGTGTTAATGGAGTGGAGAAAGCTGTCTTTTGGAGACTTTTCAAGGGGTAACCAACTCAGTCAGTCAGCAGACACGGAATACTGCTAATTAGCAAGAAGCTGTACGGCTGGGCTCGGCAACCTGTGTATAAAACCTGAGTCAGGTCCAGAAAAGTCGCGAAGCATTACCATTTCAATCGTTTTTACGGCTTTTCATTTAGGCTCTTCAGAACCTGAGTCAGGTTTTATTCACAAGTAACCGAGCCCAGCTGTACGGTTTTCAATATATTGAGGGAAACTGATTGTAACACGCTTGTACTACCAAAAGGAGTATTGATACGGAGGAGGTTTTGTTTATAATAAAAACAGGGCTGTTACCGTAAATACTCGTCTAGTTCTAAGACGAAGAAATGGAGAGGAAACTCTTTCTTCCTTCGTCTTCTTGATACTTTTGAAGAAATAATTTCATTGAAAAGAGACTTTTCAGACCCTGACTCAGGTTTTCTCCACAGATTGATGAGCCTGGTAATAAGGTATCTCTTCAAATTTTCAAAAAATAAGAGGTTTTGACAAATTGTTAATTTACAAACTTCAGGATAGTTGATCAATAATTGGCTGTTTAGTTTGTACCTCGAGTGCATGCACTTGAGTACATCCCGATTATTATTAAAGCTGAGGTAAACACGTGATCAAAGGAAAAAAAAAAGAGAAATGATCTTGTAGGAACAAATATAATTGTTTCCATATCGAATGGGCACTTATTAAAGCAACTGCTTTCACGTTGTATTTTGATCTGAAACGTGCGCTGTATTCATAATTCCCATCGATCTGATGTGTCCCCTGAAAGCACCAACTCGTGCAAGCTCTCTAGAAGAGCACTACCGCCCTCTCTCCAAACTGCGGCGCTCCCGCAACTTATCAGCGAGTCCCGATACCAGCCGTACTTTCTCCTCATTTTCTTAGAGCATTTGGGAGAAAAAATAAGCTCTCATAACTCGCCTTTTACAGTTCCTTTTTTCAGTTTTTTTTACTATTTTTTTGAAAGAGAAAAAATAACAAACAAAAACCGCGATGAAACTTCTATCAAGTCTAGTTCTAGCAAATACAGCAAATGCCGCTTGGGAAGATAAATGGAAGACCATGATCGCCGAAAAGACCAGGACAATGTCCGATGTCGATGGTTATATCAAGTTTCAGCTTAGAGGTAAGTTTTTTTGCCGACTTTTTTAACCAAAAAAATAAGAAAAAAAAATTTTTTTTGATACTTATCTACAAAAATTATTCCCGAAAAGCGAATTTTCTTGACCTTTAATACAGTCTGAATTACAGTATTCGTTCATAGACGGATATTTTCAAGTATTCTATATAAAACTTAGTATCTCCTGATAAGGTCTATTTACACTTCATATTACTGATAAGATAGTAGCCTAAACGCTCTTTAGTTCCATACCCACCATGTATACCTCTATCAAAAACTAGATAAAAGGATTGTTCTTCGAACTTTCTTTACAGTCTATAACCAAAAGCCTCGATAAAAAGCTTCCCTCTTAGATTGTATTGCCGCACGAGAGTCCCTGAAAGCACAGAATCCTATTTTGAACGGGCAGTGGAAATGCAACGATCCAGCAAAGACCGGTCGGGCAGAGTGCGAAGCCGCTTGTAAAAATGATTGGCACGATGGCGACTGGCATCGAATGAAGTTTTCGATCAAATGCAAGGATGGGTTGAAGACGAGAATGCAGTTTGACGGACCGCCATCTTGCACTCCTCGAGAACGAGGACAGCAGTGCTGGCAAGAAGAATGGGCCACGATCAAGGTAAAAGAATCAGTTTTCGTTCATTCTAACTCTTTGCTCTTTTAGATGGCACAGACGCTCAACCGAGAGCGAATCCGAAACGCCGAGGTCGACAACACAAACTGCTGGAAAAGGGGCGTAAAAGCCTTCTGCAATATCGAATGTAAAGAGGGTTACGAACCTGGGTGGAACTTCAAACGGCCAATTAGAGCAGGGGTCAATTGTGTCAGGAAAAACTCATGGCTGAATCCTCACAGAAGAAAAATTGGAGGAAATTTGAGTAAGTCAAGAGTTCATCAAATTATGTTCAAAAAACTAGCACGTGTTTTCTAGCTTGCGTCCAGTCAAGTTATACATGCAACAAGGATCACGCCGATGAACAGTTTCCGCTCGGAAACGGAAGCTGGAACTGCTCTAGCTTCGCGTCTGGACTTCACTGCATGCCCAAGTGTAATAACGGCAACGACGGCGATGTTCGATACCGCGTCGAATGCAGAACGACTGGAGTTAACAAGGGATGGAGCATTGTTCACGGCCAAGATCAATTCAGGAAATTGTTTTTCATTAGTTCCTCTTCTCTTTATTAATTTCTCAAATGAGCATCAAAATTTCTTTTTTTTTTTCTTCAAGTTAAAAACAGTTCCAAGCGATGATGTCTGCCAATTCGGCACCGACAACAACAAAGAAACCTCCAACGACGATGTCGTCTTCGAACAAACCACGGACATCGTCCCAGAAGGCCTGAAAACATGCACCTCCGATTCCAACTTCCCCGCTACCCGAGGCTTCCCAGGAGGAGACGATGAAGACTACAGAATCGTCGGCGGTGTGACAGTCGAGGCTAACTCTATTCCTTGGATTGTCCTCCTCCACGTCAGAACTTACAGTGGCTGGACCGGTCAATGCGCTGGATCGATTCTCTCCGAGCACTGGGTCGTTACTGCTGCTCATTGTTGCCGAGGCATTAGAGTAAGAAAAAGCTTCTTTTGACAGGGATCTAACAATTGTTTAGTCAATCACTGGCAAATTCGGCGAACACAACAAGTCGCAATACGACTTCGGCAACGAGTTCTCCCTCTACACCGAAGACATCTTCATCCACCCGAAATACTACGACGACACCGACGACGGAACTCGAATGAACTACGACATCTGCCTTCTCAAATTCGAACAAGACATCCTGGCCGTCGCTCCCAACAAGGACTCAGTCAAGCCCATTTGCTTGCCAAACGAAGACGTCACGCACGGCCACGCTTGCTGGGTCGCCGGCTGGGGTACGACAAAATACGGGGGTTACGCTGCATCGGAACTTCAATCCGTCGGTGTCAGTATTCTCGACCACAACTACTGCAAGGACAAATCGCACAACATCGAGCCACGAGAAGGTAAAAAGATGATACTAATACCATTCCGTTTTTTTCTCAACAACTATAATTATGTGATTAGACTAGTCATACAAGCACCTCCTTGAAAATGTAAATTGCACCGCTAGAACTCACTTCAAGTAGAACTCTCTCAAATTCTCATCATCGTCCATTGTTACGAGCAAGCTTATATCAACGAGAAGTTAATTTATTGAATTTGTTCCACGGTCGCCAAATTCAAAAAAGTAACGTCGCTTCGTTTATCTTCACAATAACGATCCCGTTTTTCTCAAAATATTTGACCCAATATCAGTATTCCTTCATTTCCATTCGATTTGAAATAGAACTTGACGGACTTGAGAAAACTGCCGTTTATTTGTAAAATAATTTTCTTTCAGACGACATCTGCGCCACCACTTACGACAAAGACGCCGATGGACTCACCGACGCTGGCAAAGATGCCTGCCAAGGCGACTCCGGCGGACCACTGATTTGCAACAGAGACGGCTTCGCCACAGTCGTCGGCGTCGTATCCCGCGGAAACGGCTGCGCATACGAAGGAGAGCCAGGTCTTTACACTTCAACCTTTGTGACAAAAGACTGGATTCTCGAGACTGTTCGAAACAACTGAACGCGTTTTATATACAATGATTAATACTAGCTCAACTGTGTATTTTTTTCCAAGCCCTTTTTCTTTGTGTACATAAATTCCAAGCTGCTAAAAATTATTAAAAAATCTGAAAAATCTGTATCTAATAAAAATATTTAAAAAATTAAAATGACTCTCTCTTTCATCTTTGTATGCATAATATTTGAGTTTTTTGGATTCGGGTGTGGCCAAAATACGCAAGAAATATGCCATTTAGATGTCTAAAAGTGGAAACACATGCAAGTACCAGTACGTAGCCTTAGTTATTCCCACTCCCGTTTTTTTCTTTTTTCTTTCTAAAGAAGTTATTGCTAATTAGTAATTACGGAACGGAAGGGGGCTCTCTCAAGGCTTCCAAAGCCCCCGATAAGCGAGTAAACCCCCTTATCAAGATGGAGAAACCCTTAGATTACAAAAAAAGAACACCATTATTGCGAGGAAAAATTGTTAACAAAAATATACATCAGAGCTTCGAACTTGATTCAATTTATCAAATTTCGTTCAAAAATCATCTCGAAGCTCAAGAATCTCGGAAAAGATGATTGAATTCCCAATGCAAACACGTGTTTTTATCATAACTCGGCAAAGGCAACTCGCATTCTAAGCAAAAAGTAATTCATTTTTAATGCGCGCGGCTGGTGGTGCTGATAAGTATATAGACTTAGTATCGCCGCTGTTGTGTAAAATTTAACTTGTATCTACCATATATTTTTGTTGCCGTTGATTTTACGCTCGTTCTTATTTTTTGTCAGCGTTTTCAATTTTGAAAATGGTTCCTTTTTTTTCTGATTTCAGATGCTAGTGGCTAGTCGTTGACCTTCTAAAATGAGCTTGTAGTCCTGTTTAATATAAATAAAAAATGACAAGAAAAAACTTGATAAATGACGGTTGCTCATTGATAGAACTAATGTATTGCCCTTGATCCTGTCATTGATCCCCTCTAGTTCCCTCTTCTGCTGGACAACTTGTCAATAATAAGCACCAAAGCACCGCGAAAAGTGTCGAAAACAACGGAGGATTTGTCTTGTTAACACCGCGCCAGGGGGTTAGAATTGTTAAATTGATAAGTCAGCCACGTTCCTGTTAAATATTTAGAGAAATATAATTTTTCTGCTTTCAGAAAGGAACAAGAAAAAGAGGCTCGCTTGGTTTTACGATATCATATCGTTGATAAAGTAATGTCGCTGGAACTTCCTGTCCATTTTATTAGATAGAGACAAAGCTCATGCATCGGAAGTAGTCTTTTGTCTCCACTTGAAACTTTGTTGGTTTTGAAGAACATTCCATTTGAAGAACGACAAAGCATTAATTTGCCACGTACCAGCTTTCGATTCGAGGCTTTTTCGGAACTTTGCGGAAATGCCGGCAAACTGTCAAAGTCAAAATTGCAGGTTATGAAAGATTCCGTTCAAAGAAAGAGTTCGTGGGTGAAAAAATAGTGCTTTTTCAGCAGAATCTTTTTCCATCGCCGGCGATGACGAAAACTCCATCGCATAGATGGTTCATTCCGGAGACGGCTGTGGTGATATCGCGACCGATAGCTTGGTCATTCTGGCCATCAAATTTCATTCACATTCTTATCGCATATTATTCATAGAAACGTGCCTTGGATTCAATTTTTCAAAGGCTTGGAAGAATTTTGAAGCACGCTATCGGTGATAAGGAGCGCCTTAGTTATCCAAAAAAGGGTCGTTCCTGGTGAGCGGCGGGAACACACGCTCTCAAGAAATCCGGGGAGGGCGCTCTCTTCTTTTTAGCGCGCGCCCATTGGTTTTCTAGACTGGCGCGTTCCCCCCGCAGTCACCCGCTGTTCGGAGCTCCCAGAGAGACAGAAAGGTTTTCTACAGCAGAAAGACGATCGGGCTCTCAAGATGAAGACAGTCGAGACTTACAAAGAGATCGAAAAGCGCCTGGAACAGATCAGCAATGACGAAATGAACGATGAATCATTGCCGCATCAAAACATGCTTTTCATCACGAAACATGAAAAAGAAAAGCCTGGACGGATGAGAATCGTTCAAGATACAAGCTACTGGTTTAGGTACCCAGATGGCCTCAGAAAATTCAAGGTGAGCTTCCTTTATGTTTTCGCTTTTGCTGAGACCTTTTAGGTCGGCCCGATTCAAGACGAAAACCAGCCGGAAGACATCAAATCAGACGAGTTTCCAATCGGCCTCCAGTGCCGCGATCCAGCTTGCGCTGCTCGAGGAGTCATCTACGTCACCGATGCTGATTTGAGGGGCGAAAAGAGGACTTACAACAAAGTTGGAAACCACTACCGCTCATCCGACTGTGACATCGACCAGACCTACCCAAAGCGATCGCTCTTCGAGTGCTACTCACGAGTCAGCATCAACGGCGACCATTCTTGCAAAGGAATCAAGATGAAAGACGGCTTGACCGATGTGGTACGAGATCATATCTTGGCGCGTGAGAAGATGCCTGATTTTCCGGAAGAGGACGAATACGGCTACTACGTATTTACTCCGATCGAGGACAAAGTTAACAGAATGATCGATGACGAAGACTACGAAATGCGCAAATCGGAACACAAAAAGCTTTGTGAAATAGGAAAGGATTGAAAATTATTCAATTTCTTATGGCAATATTTTTAACTCAAATCAAAGACATTTTAAATCCTCAAAAGACTTCGACGAAAAGGAAATCGGACGAATTTGCAAAATTCAACTCAAGCGACTGGAGTTCCAAGAATCGCTAAAGAAGACGCTTTCTCGTATGCAGAAAATCCATCCAGGAGTTTGCTCTGACCCGGCCAATGTAGAAGCTTACCTGAAAATGGAGGAACTCCCTCTTGGTGCCAGCTACTGCAATACAGAGGAAACAAACGGAAAGAAAAAGAAAGCTCAAAAATCAAAAAAGAAGAAGTAAGTCGAATAGTTGCCATTTTTATCTACTGAAAACTTTAAGAACACCTGAAGATCAAGCTTGGAAGCCAGGTTCTTCTACAGAGAAAAGCATCAAGAAGAAGAAAGATCGGAAAAGAAAGCAAACTGAGCGCGCGGATGAGGACTCGGCTGAGGAAGGACCTTCGAAGAAACGCAAACCAAAGAAATCATAAACGAATTTTTCATACTCCTGCAGTCCTCATGCTTATTTTTATCAATCCCTCTGAAAAACATCGTTAGGATTTGTAAATTTATAACTGAAAAATCTGATGCATTCAAACTGAAAAACAATCTACACTGCTTATTTTATTTTGACCACACTAAAATTATACTGACAAATTCAGAAATAAAAGCTTACGGTTATAGAAGATGTTAACATTTGTAAAAGTTTTAGACAGTATTGAGAAAGTCTACTTATTCATGATGAGGTCGGTCGAGTCGTACACAGAGATCGAAAAGCGACTTGAAGAAATATCTGCTCTTGAAAATCATGACACCATTACCCATCGGAATATGCTGTTCATCACGAAACACGAAAAAGAAAAGCCTGGAAGGATGAGAATCGTTCAAGATACAAGCTACTGGTTTTGGTATCCGGATGGTCTTCGAAAATACAAGGTCGGTTTCTTCCATGTTTTCGCTTTTGCTGAGACTTTTTAGGTTGGCCCGATTCAAGACGAAAACCAGCCAGAAGACGTCAAATCGAACGAGTGTCCAATCGGCCTCCAGTGCCGCGATCCGGCTTGCGCTGCTCGAGGAGTCATTTACGTCACTGATGCTGATTTGAGGGGCAAAAAGAGGACTTACGACAAAGTTGGAAACTACTACCATTCATCCGACTGCGACATCGACCAGACGTACCCAAAGCGCTCGCTCTTTGAGTGCTACTCACGAGTCAGCATTAGTGGCGATCATTCTTGCAAAGCAATCAAGATCAAAGACGGATTGACCGACGTGGTACGAGATCATGTCTTGGCGCGTGAGAAGATGCCCGATCTTCCCGAAAAAGACGAATTCGGCTATCAAATATTTCATTCGATCGAAGACAAAGTTTATGAAATGTTCGAATGCGAAAACTGGGAAATACTGAGACGCAAGAAGCTTTATGAAATAGGGAAGGATTATAAATTTGTAGATTTTCTTTTGGCAAAACAATTGTTTTCATCTTGAATCAAAAACGTTTGGAATCCTCAAAAGGCTTCGACAGAATGGAAATCGGACGAATTTGCAAAGTTCAACTAAAGCGACTTGAGTTTCAGCAAACGAAAAAAATCTGCTATGAAAATATGCGCGAATGTATGCCAGGAGTGTCTGATCTTCCAGAAGACTCGCCTTTTTTCAAGATCGAGGAACTACCTCTTGGTGCTAGCCTAGGTCTCGAAATCCGGGTGCTTTCGCTGTGGCGGGAAAGTGGTGGCGCGCGCACTGCCGCGGCGGGAGCGGAGGAGAAAAAATGCCGCACAAACGCGCTCGAGGCAGATTTTCTCACTTTCAGCTTTCAGCGGGCGGGCGCCCAAACATGCAAATAGGGCGCGATTCGCGCGCTTTCCTGGGGCAAGGGTTTTTTAGGAACGCGAGAGCCCCTATTTCTCATTCCCAGCTGGTCGAAATATAACGTAGTGTTCTTATCATTTTTATATGAATACCGTATTCGGAATACGTCATTTAACCTGCTGATTGAATATTGAAAATGATTTGGCAAAAAACTTCAATATTGAAAACTCAAAATAAATTTTTCGAAGAGGTAAATCATATAGTCTATATGATATAGAGCACGCCTTACCGTGTCATTAATTTTTCGAAATGTTGTTTATCAGACACTTTTCTTGCGGCCCCCGATAGATAAATTTTCCAGATTCTTCCTCTCGTGCAAAATCGTCAGATAAGAGAGTGAAACTGACAGCGCACTGCGCAGGGAGGCAAAAAAGCATTAGGGCGCGCCATAATCTCAGTGGGTGCTTACTATGACCCAGTACTCGGAATCAGATGCAAATAACACCGGGTGATTAACAAAAAAGAGGTTCCCGAAGTAGTAGGTTCATTTTCGCTAAGATTTTTTGAGAAGAAAAATTAGCAGGTGACCTGGAAAACTTGGGTGAAAAATCGCTCCATTTTAGAGGAATTCTTAAGCCTACCAATTCTTAAGCCTTCCGATTCTTAAAACTTCCATAAGATTTTCAATAAGCTTAGTTAAATCTTAGAAGACTGAGCGCGCGGCTTGCCTTCTTAGCGCGCTACTCGCTGCCCGAGAACACGACTCGCATCGCCCCGCGCGACTCCCCGCACAACCCCCTTCGCGCTAGGCACAAATCCCGCCGCGGCGAATTTTTCGGATCCGCCTCCGATTATTCGCGGCGAATTTTCGATTTCCTCCAGCGCGCGGAGGCAGCGAGGGCGCCATTAGTCTCCCGCCACAGCGAAAGCACCCGGATTTCGAGACCTAGGTGCTAGCTACAGTAATGCAGAGCAAAGCGGCCAGAAAAAGAAAACTCAGAAGTCGAAGAAGTAAGCCAAATCGTTGTCATTTTTTATTTTAAAACTTTAAGAAAAACTGATGAAGATCCAGCATGGAGACCAGGTTCTTCAAAAGCGAAAACGACCAAGAAGAAGAATGATCGGAAAAGAAAACAAGCTGACCGCGCGGATGAGGACTCGGCTGAGGAAGGAACTTCAAAGAAAGGAAAGCCAAAGAAAGCATAAACGAAGTTATCATTCTCCCGCAGTCGCTTATCGTTACTTTTATCAATTATTTATCAATTGAAAAAATTACCTGCGAGAATCTCAATTACTGAATATCAAATATTTTCAAACTGCAAAAATGAATAAATTCAACAAGAATAAAATCCAATCGAATAATTCACTTGATTTTAAAGCTTTTGAAAATATATATTATTAAAATTTGTACAGAAAGGCAGTAGAGGTCAATAATGCGCTATTATTGGAAGTATAAAATAAGAAAGAAAAGCTGAGTCGAGGATTGATAAATATGAATTGTTGGATTTATAAGGCCAGGTCGTCGAGCGTGACCACGTGGTCGAGAAAGGCGTGTCTTTTCAGAACGCTGACAGAAGGTCGTACGTCGGGATTGAAGCTGAAGCATCTGAAGTATTATTTTTAGATGTTTTTCTTGGGGGTGGGCTTTACTTTTTGAGGAAGGTCTTTGCATTCTGCGCGAAAAAGGGGTATCCTGTGAATTCCATGATTTCGCCGTGATACTTCATCGGGTCATTCCTTTCTCGCAGCTGATAGAGGATCGAGATGTCCTGGAGAATCTTGCCTCCTTTCGTCCACGGCAATTTACCGGTGATCATTTCCAATACGGTGCAGCCGATCGACCAAACGTCGCTTGACCTCCCATAGCCGGATTTTCTAAAAGTTTCCCGTCAAAAATCATTCGTGAAAGAGGACACTTACTCATGGACTTCTGGTGCAGCGTAGTGGAAAGTGCAGCCTTTGGCTCCTTGAGCAGGGGTTCCGATGTTTGTTTGCACATTCAAGTCGTCTGCGATTTGATGAGCGCTGCCGAAGTCACCGAGTTTGACATGGCTAAATTTAATTATTTCGAGTTTAGGCAAAATGATTTACTAGTATTGGCCTTGACGCTTGAGGAAGACATTGGAGGGCTTGATGTCTCTGTGGACCCAACTGTTTGTGTGCATGTATTCCACTGCATCCATTAGCTGGGTCGTGTAGGCAATGATCATCGTCGGCGAAATCCCGTTGCGCGCTTCTTTGTCCAGCGTCATTTCGCAGTACTCGAACATCAGGAAGAAGGTGCGAAGATCGTTTTTAATCGAGTCAGAGTCTTCCTAAAGAATACAGTCAGACAACGTTTTTCGAGAGAACTTACATAATATTGCCCGTAGTAGAGAACAATGTTTTTATGATGGAGCAGCTCGTTCGCCAGAATTTCTATGTAGAGATAGTGAGTCAGCTCCTCGATGGTTTTGTTGTGCTTCTTTATTTCCTTGATGACAACTTGATCACCGTTGTCACGACGAGTTCCAAGGTGAACCTTTCCAAACGCACCCTGTAATCAGTTTCAGACAGGCAACTTTGCGTATTCTTACCTGTGCGATGTTGTCACGAATGATGACAAAGTCAAAGTTGATCTTCTTTCCGTTGTTCTCAGGGACATCATCGGAGTCTTCGTCCTCATCGTAATACTCCGTAAGAACGCGCCCAACAGTTTTCTTTTCTCTATCCTTTTCCGTCCTCGCTGTGTCTAATTTGACGGCGGACAAGCGGCATCTATTCCTGAAAGACTTCTTGCCCTCGCCGCCCAGGTCAGTGCTAGCTTGGCTCAAGAGCTTTGGGCGGTTATCAACAGCCTTTGCTCCATCTCCAGTCTCTTTCTTTTTGTCGAACGCTTTCATAATCCTGTCGATGTGATCTCGATACATTTGCTCGTCCTGGCGCTTGAGCTTTTGCAAGAAGCTGTCATCAAGGTGTTTGTGTTCCAAGGTCGCTGGTCCGGTTCGAAGATTAGACTTGTACTGCTCCTCTGTCGCATAGGAGCGCATTTTCTTTGTTTCAAAAGTCGTCCAGTCGTAGAAGATTTCCAGCGCCAGTTTCTGATAAGATTGATAGAACGCGTGCTTCGAATTGAATTCGTTGATTGGCTTTCGCGTCAGTTTCTTCATTTCAGTGAAATATGAATTGTTCAGGCTTTCGTACAGGCGCCGAATTGCATTTGGATATTCCTTTTCGAGGTAGTCGAGATTCTCCTGGTGAAAAAACTTTTCGTCTTCGCTGGAAGCCCTGTCCTTGACATCGAGCAAGGCATTTTGAATCTCGCTGAATACGCGGAGCTGCTCGTTGATCACATTTTGGACAGTCTTCGTTGTTTTCAAAACAGAGTCGCGAAGACGCTGGACCATATTCTTGGCATCTTTGGTAATTCCCGTCTGTTTTACGACCAGCTCAAGGTAGTCTCTGAAATCCTGAGTAAAAGATCGCTCATTTCCTGGATTTATCGTGAGAATGTAGAGCTCGCATTCGGCTTGCATGTCGATATCGAAGATTGGCGTGATTCGATATGCGTCTGGCTTGATTTCGAAGATTTTACCAGTCCATTTCAAGTCCGGAAGTGCAGATTTTCGGAAGATAAAGATACCATCATCGTAATGCCACTCTGACGCGGTACCTTCGATCGACTGAGTCGCCTGACTGTTCTGCGAGTAACCAGCCTCTGTGCCTTGAGAATCGTTGAAAGAGCTGTTCATCGTTTGTTGCGAGTCAAAGAGGCAATCTGACGTAGCGCTCTCTTGACTAGCCCTGGCGCTTATTTGGCTTTCCATTTCGATCGTCATTGCTTTCCTTGGTTCTGGGAATTCAAACGCGCTTTTTTTCGCATAAGGCGAGGCGATTTGAGTAGAGCCAGTGAAGCCTGTATCCAGCTCGGAAAAAGCACGACGCGTGGTTTTCAGAAAATGTCGCGGCTCATCATCCTGGTCGAGAATCATGGCGATCGGACCTCCATGAAACATTGTTCCGTCAACGGTGTTGTCGATTCGAACAAGTAGATCTTTCGTAACCGGAGTGACAGTTTCAACGCGTTGCATCAAATCAAACAGCTCTTCTAGTACTGTACTCTTTCCATTTACAAATCGATCGATTGTTTCCGAGTGGCAGAAAATCCAAAAGTCGGAATCGTTGTCATTCAGTACTCTCACCATGCAAAAGTCCTGATTGAGCAGGTACTGCGAAATGTCCCTTCCCGCAGTCTTTTTCAATCGATAACCAATCGCTTTTTCGGCGATTTCTCGGAGATAAAACGCAAATTGAAAGACACCTCGGGCTTCGTTATCAACGAATGTGTTCTTGCCAACTCGAAGGTTGTGGAGCATTTGTTGTAAAATTTCTTTCTGGACTCGGTCTCTGAAGTTTTCTTGGTCTTCCGGCTCACTTGGGACGCGATCGAAGCTGATTCCATTAGGCAAGGTGATTTGGGGCTTTCTCAAGTCTTTCTCGTTTGTGATGTTGAGAAAGTCATCGAGATGCTTGAGCTGGGTCTTAATAATTCTCTCGTTGCACCATTCTTGTAGGACATCCATTAAAACGACTGCTTTATCCTGGAACAGGTCCATAATCCGCGGCTTTGTTGAGATATGCATTCGTCGAGAAAGATCTTTGAACCTTTTCATCTCGAACTTGAGCACGTGACCAAGAGACTCGGCATCAGATTCGAACAGCGAAATGTTGTTCATACGCTGGAGAATATTGTGAAGATCGAAATCTTTCGATAAGAGGTGAACTTTAGGAGGAATAACAACCTTGTCGTAGTAACATTTCAAGGCCTTTCAAAATGGATAAAGATGGATCCTCGCTGTCCGAGACTCTCAGAATAAAGCAAAAAGCCGGTCATAAAACGCGATTTAGTTATTTTCTTTATCCTTTCCTTTTTGAAATTTGATTTCAATTCGTAGATAGTGTTGAAAAGCAAATCGCTGGTTGAGGAGTGTTCGGTAAGCGCCAATGTTTCGATGCAGAAGATAGTGACGGCACACTGATCGAAGACGGGGTGGAATTCTGCGATGAAATTGGAATGGTCGGCAGTGCAAGAACTGATGCTCTCGAACTTCTCGAGCACATGTTTGCAGAGAGTCATTGGGAAACGAGCGAGTGTTACGAGTAGGAATGTATAAAGACCATTGAGATTTGGCAACCATTCTGGCAGGGGATAGGCATCTGGGTTGAATTCGTTGTGTACATAGCGTATTCTGATGTTTCGAAGCGACGATTCCAGCCAAGTAGAATTCATCTCGACCGAGATGTTTCGCTCGAAAACATCAGCAAGCGTGAGATCCATGACGTTTGGGATCCCGTTTTTGTTGTTTTTCGAGGACACTAGTTTTTCAAGGTCGGTGTGGAGCTCATCTTGGCCTTCTAAGTAAGGCCTGACTTTGAGTAGAAACGAGATCAGCTTCTCCAAGATGGAATGATTGATGATTCGGTAGGGTTCTTGCACACGAGATTTTCCACTTCTGGAGCGAGAACTCGAATTATTAGAGCTGGCCATCATCATCAAAGTCGTAGTCGACAATTTCGTCAAGCGGGAGATATGATTTTGCAAGCTTTCTACGAACACTCTTTGGCAAAATGGACTTTCCGGGTTCGCCTCTTTTTCGCTTTTGTTTATCTGCTCTTTCAACCAGTACTTGAAGTTCTCAGTCGTTCCTCCACTAATGTCGTATTGCTGGCTTTCAAGTTCGGTCAGGTTCGTCGGTTGAAAGGAATCAATGACTTTGGATACGTGACGCTCGAAGATAGTCATGAATCCAGTGGCGATGTTCATCCAAGAAAGCGCTTTTGCTTCTTCTTTCAAGAATGACTTTAGTTGGGTCGTATCATTTCGTGGATCATGGACTTCTTCGAGAAAACACTTTTCATGAGGGAAGAGCGTTTTCAGCTCGCCAAGACTTTCGAATGTCTCTTCGATCCAAAGAGCATTAAGTTGTGTGTTGAGAATCTCATAAATGAACATGTCGTGACGAGGAATGCAGGCAGGTTCGCTCATGTACGAGCTAAAGCGGCTGATTGTTCTAGGTGTTGCTTCCAAGCTCTCATTTTGCGACTTGGTCATTTGAGTTTCGGTCTCAAGATCGTTAAATCGCGAGGCGAGCTGTGAAATATCGAGACCTTTAACAAATGTTACTCACAAAGAACATGGCTAATAGATACTACGAGACTGCTATTGAAATTTCTTACCCGATGAGCTTTTTGTCTCGTCAAAACTAGGCCGTTCGCTGGCTGAGGTATTCGACCTGCTTCGAGAAGAAGGCGTGAGTGGAGGAGTCGCCACTTCCATATCATGAGAAGGCGAGGTCGGGTCAATGTCTGTAGCATCGGTCGAATAGTCTTCATCGTCGTAGTCGATTTTCAAAATGCGACCGAATTTCTTCCTCTGGATCGCGAACGGCCGATGCTCATTCGGTATCGAAACCATAGCTGCTAGCTCTTTGAATTGAGCATGCGGTCCAAAGGATTCACTGAATCGCTTCTTTCTGAAGAAATCATCGAAATCCGCGCTTCGAACTTGCGCAGTCCGCCTCTTGTCTCCATTTGAATAGTCGAAGACATAGATCTCGCGCCAGAAGTTCTTCATGTTTTCCTTTACATTTTGACTTGGTTCTAGTGTACATCTAAAAGTCAAGAGTTGATATGATACTTTTGCCAAGGACGCGAACCTCCGACGCTGGCTTTGGGACCGTCCGTCCGGCTGCTTATTCTTGGAAGGGGTGTTATCTTTCCACTTTTTTATATATTGTTTCAGATTGACGATCGTTCCAATCTTATCCTAACAGAGAAATTTTGTTTTAGCACCCTAGTAGTTCACCAATTTAAAGCTACTCGTCACCCAGTTTTTTTTTTGTCTAGGAAGCAAGGAAAACTCAAACATACTAAAAAATCTGGGACGAGAAAAAGCCGCAAACCTCTTTCAAGCCGACGCTCGATCTAAAGACTCTGCGTTTATTGATAACGTCTTTGACATCCATCAAGTGTTTGACATCACGACAAAGGCAAAGAATACTGTTTGGCTTTTATGTTGGTCGGTAAGAGTGATGGAAGTTTTGAAACTTGAAATCAACGAGGAGGACCCAACCTTTGAAGCAAAATTCTCGACAAAATCGTCTAACTCCGCGTCATTAGAAAATTCTCTGAGCACACGCGGCTGCAAATGTTCATAAAGTTTCAAAAGTTCCGCTTCAACAGTTTTCCAGGATAGCCCTCTTAGGAAAAAGCCCTCGTTATTCTATATTTATCCAGCAATTATGTTCTGAGAAGCAAAAAGTGAACACGGTGTTGCTGCTAATCAAATAGATATTGCCTCCTGGGAGAGGAGAATTCGAGGGAAAGGGGTTTATCGGAGTTTTATTCTTCCCGCGAAACGCTCTCAGAATTAATGCTAGCTTTTTAATTGTCCGACTTGTCTTTTGTTTTCTTGACAAAAGGAAGGCTTTATGTTATCCTGGAGAAGGTGCGAGTCACTTTTATTCTTTGTGAACATTCTCTTTTTCCGGATTATCTGATGACTGGAAGTATTAATTTCTGGCGCTGTCTGTGGCCTAGTGATCGTAAGATCATTTCTATTGTGAATGCTTCGAATCAGCATCGTAAACGGGCTCTCTTCTGTTATAAAATTCATAATTACACTTTTCTTCCTAAAAAGCTTTCAAAAAAGAATAAGATTTGCGGCTTGGAAAAAGCTTGAGCTTTGAAAGTCAGGCGGGTTAAGTCCCAGCTAAATGTCGTTTAAAAAGTCACAACAAGAATAATCCCACCAAATTACTCGAACAAGGAGCGTGCGAGTCATGAACAGCTCATTATTTTTTCCGCTTGCTAATAGATTTGTCTCTCTTTTATCTGATATTTATGAACGTAATTATTTAATGACAAAAATGCACACCCAGTTGAATTCACTAGAGCTCGATAACACCCGCTACCTTTAGTTTACGAGGTCGCCCAGCCCCTTTGCCAGTCTTTGACCAGAAAAGTTTTCGTAATTTGCGAAGTTCGCGATCATCAGTGGCTCCTTGTTCTTCGTTGTTTCGATCTATCTGAAATTCAATGTTAAAAAAATTGAACATCAAGTCCTCTTTTTTTCTTTTTTTGACGAAAAATGGGACTCTTTACAAATCACGCCCATTGATGATCGTTAATCTATTGTCATACTAATAGAAATCTTTTCATCAATCAAAATCAAGGACATCCTATCGTAGATCATGTTCTCTTCTATGATATCAAAGATGATAGAAGACGAAATACCTCTTGGTCACAGTCTGGTCCATAACAGGGAGGAAGTTTGGCAGTAATAGTTCGTCGGCTTCTTTCAGAAATTCGACGGATTCGTCTTCTAGGTTTCTTGGCTGGTGGGGGTTCCTCGTCACTACTAGAAGTTTCCCCTTGAAGCTCAAACATAATCAACTCTAAATCGAAATAGGCTAGGGAAAAATTCGCAAATCCTCTTTTGCGAATATTTGAGAGAAATTCGAAATTTGCAAATCGTATAGTTTCGCAAATAAGCAAAAAACAGCACAAGCAAAACCTTCCTTGGGACAGTAGAAGTCATTGCACTTTCAGGGTCGTACTTTGCGATGTGGCGATTTGATTTGCGAATAGCATTTTTCTTCATCTTGAGCTTCCTGGCCGATCGGATTTGCTGCTCTCGCTTTTTAGGGAAAAGAAAAAACGAATCACCAATTGATAGCCCACAATTATTTCTACGATAGTTCAAATATTTGACCCAGAAACGACTGTTTTTCAACTCCTTTCCTGGCTCTTTCTCGAAGATGTCGAGGATATACTCATGCGATCTGAGTCCATATCGTTGTCTAATTAGTCAAATAAACAGGTGAGATAAATAAATGTTTTTGACAAAGATGAGAAAATGACACCAAATGCTCGAACAAGAAGAAACTGTCACCATTTGACAACTTTCATACTTACGGAATCGATTTAACACAGTGTAATACTCCAATTGATTTGGTTCTTGATAAAGATATATTCAAATGTCTGAGAAACAGAGCCCTTGCTTCAAATCTAAACTTACCAATAAGAGACTCAGGTGGGCCACTAGATCTTCTGGGCCCACCTTCCTTCGTTTTCGTCTTCTTGCGCTTTTCCGACATGATTCACTACATTTTCCTAAATCAAGTTTTCAATTTCAAACTTTCAAATTTTGAATCATATTGCAGTTAAACCTCAAATTGTAACGTAAGCGTTTGAAATCAATAATTGTTTTTGTCAGAACTAAAAGAGAAGAAAGGCCAGTAAGGAATGAAATTGGAAAGAACAAGAATAGTAGCAGTTTAAAGTTAAAAGTATGAACTAGGATAAGATAAAAATAAAAAGACAGGGAAGAATCTTTTGTTACAGAAATTCTAAAAAGAGAGCGTAAAAAGATAGCGCTAAACAAGACAGCCAGGCCAGGAAATGAACGTAAGTCGCACCGAGTTGGCAGATAATAGATCTCTTATTTCTTCTTGACTGGAGTCGGTGATTTTGTTTCCATTTACGGCGAGGATTTCATCACCTGAGCGTAAATACGCGCTCGCTGCGGCTCCGCCCGGGGAGCAAAATTTCACGAGCACTGAAAAAATCGAATAAATCTCTGAAATTATCATCGTTTGTTTTTTTTTATTTACCTGGCTCGCTTTCTCCGCCGACAATGGACAGTCCGAGGCCGTGAATATCCTGACGCTTTATTGTAGTCTCGCGATAAATAATGAACTTTGGGGGCAATGCCAGCCAGTGCCGCCAAGTAGGGGACCAGATGTTGTTTCGGTAGGAAGCCATTTCTTCTCGATCTCGATGTTTATAATCGAACTGGAAAATTGAAATTATAATTATTAGAAAAACCTCTGAATTTACCTCGCAAAGAACGAGTTGAATTTCCTTCTCTTTCTTGGCAATATCTTTAAGCAGTTCAACAACTTGGTTGTGCCTCATTGATCCGACCTTTTTCTTGTTGATTGAAACAATAAGATCACCAGGTTTGACCCTCCCGTCGCGTGCTAAAATCCCCGAGCGGGAGATCTCCAGCACAAAGACAGGCAAATCGCCGAGTATCGAACCCAGTCCACCGGCGACGCCAAGACCGAGGGTTTCACCCGGTTGTTTTCTAACAACAATCACTTTCTCCCTATGTTTACTCTTGACAGTCGAGTATTGACGAGCAGTCACTTGGTCAGGAATGACCAAATGGGGACGATCAGGATTTGAGCTCATCGTCCGGGCGGTGCGGGATATTGATAAATTAATTTTATCGTGATTTCTCAGTCGGGAGATTTCCTTTGCTGCTTCCTCGGAACTCCGAACAGCGATGTTGCCAACTTTCAGGAGATAGTCGCCGACTTGGAGACGTTTGTCGTGGTAAGCTAGACTTTCAAAGAAGTTTTCAAAGTCGAAAATTCCTTTTTATAATCTTTTCGAAACCCCTTTCCTTCCAGGAACGACTTCATAAATCACCACGCGATCCATGACATTGTACAACTTGACGCCAACTTGCTGATTCGGCGCTTTCGGGATCGTAAGCGTGTGTTTCTCCTCAATATCATAGCCGGTTTGTCGAACAAGACTGAGGATCAGTTCTCGTTTTTCTCGACCGATGACTTCCGCGCAGCTTTTGGCGAAAATCGTCACCGCTTCGGAATGATTTAGTCCATCCATTGTTCTGCCGTTGATTTTCATTATTCTACGAATCATTAATACGAAATCCTCATGAAAATGCCTTACCTATCTCCAGATTTGATCAACCCTACTCTACCAACAACAGTATCAGGCAAAACATGCTGAACAAAGATCCCTCTCAAAGGCGTGTCAGATCCCCCAACGATGCAAACGCCGCAAGTTCCAGTTGATTCCGAAACAGGGACTCTTATGTCAACGACTTTGTCGATCTTTGGCGATGTCGGCGGCGCTAGAATTTCACTTGAGAAGCTTTTAAGAGAAAGGAGGAACCTTGAATGACCATGTTTGAGTATCCACGATTGCTGCTTCCGAGCGAGTCGTCAGAAGTTTCAAGAGTGAAGGCGTCGTTCAAATTGGGTGTGGATCGAGAGTCGACTTGAGCGAGATTGTCGACGCTCCCAAATCTGGAATTTCGCGTCGATCGATCAACAAGAGAGCGCTGAGCTGGCGCCGTGTAAGTATTTAGATTTGCTGCAACTGCTGCTGCTGCTGCTGGAGGTGGTGGAGCAGGACGTCTGGAGCCAGATCGATCGTCGGTGTTTGTTCGACGACTTTCTGAATTTGGCTTATTCGGGGTTTTCTTTAATTATGTTTCCGCTACCTTGGTAAATGTTAATTCTTTCAATATCCCTCTCGATCGCGGCTGCAATGTCGATGGCTGGATCTGGACCAGCCAGATTCTCAACACTTCTCGATCTGTTTCTACCTTGCCTTCTTGAGGAAGAGCTTCCCTGATCCAAATTCTCTCTCGACCGACTTCTCCCTCCTCGATCAGAATTCAGCTGGTCACGTGATCTACTTCGCTGATCGAGTCGATCGCGGCTTTTCTTCCAACGCTGCGGCTTCAGACGATCTCGCGATCTTTCCCGGCCTCGGCTGTTTTGTTCGTAAGCGAAGTCATTTTCTCCGGATTTGAGCCTGTGCTTCGTTGGAGAAGATAAGGCAGCTTTTGAGGTGGGAGCTTCAGTTTTTTCTTCCGGCGGTTTGAGGCGGCACTTTGCCAGGTGATCGGAGAGGAGACTTCGTTCCGTTTGGTACTGGCATTTTGGACAGATTACTGTCATTTTATCGCACAAGCGCCTAATATTTAATGGGTAGAGGTTGATTTGGAGCCCAAGGGTTTACCTCAGACTAAGAGAAGAATCCCTACAGTCAGTTACTGTAGCTGGCTTGCGATCCTGCGGACAGTGTGGCGTCTTCCTCAAGTAGGGAAGAATACATGCTCGGCAAAAAGTATGACAACATGGCAAATCTGTCGGATTCAAAAAAGGAGAGAGGCAAATCGGACAACACAAATCTTCATCCGCTTCTTGGACGAAATCGTAGACATGGGGTCCCTTGGGATGGGTAGCTGCGCAGACGATACACTCGACATTCATGTACAAATTTCATTCATAATTTTCTAAAGCATAATCGTCAAAAAAACAGTAAGTTGAGGAAAAAACGAAGAGAAAAAAAATGCTCCGTGTCGGGGAATCGAACCCCGGTCGCCCGCGTGACAGGCGGGAATACTCACCACTATACTAACACGGATCTGGGGAAGGTTCGAAAAAGGTACTATTTGAAATGATTCTAGGACATCGAAAATACAATTACCGCAGTTGCCAGTCGTTTTAGAGTCGGAATGTTATTAGATCAGATTTTCGCTCTCTAGAATGCCTAAAATGAAAAGATATTCTAGAGCATTCTAGAGAGCTTCAACCTGATCTGACAAAATTCCGATAAATTTCAATTTAGCATTTGTTTTTATTCCTAAAAATAGCGTCACGATAATAACTATCTATTAAATTATTTGTCGGTCAAAAATTCTCCGGTTTCTCTCGCCGGCAAATGGTCAGTTCCAAAAAAATCATAAAAATATTTAAACGACGCACAGTGTTTTTGAGCGCTGCCAAAAACATCACTCAGACCAGCCACTTGATCTAATTCAATTTCGCCCGTCAGGGCCAAAAAGTAAAAATTCTTGATCAGACCGCGCGAACGGCCGCGTGCACTCATCGTTTACCAAATTACAAATTTGAAATTAGCCACAATTTCAAATATTATTACTCGTAAAGGAAGAATCGTAAAAAGGAGCTTTTGAATGGTATAAACATGTAATCTTCAGAAAGAAAGGAAAAAAGAGATACTTTGAGACTCAGTTCGTAATTTTTTTTACAGAAATTGAAATGCAGAAGAGGAGTTTTTCTTTTCCAATTGTAGGGTTAACAGCTGATCGGGCTCGGAGTCCTTGGCGTAGTAATAGCCACGGATGGCGCCGGTACTTTTCGACAGGGCGATGTAGTAAAACCCTTCATACGAGGCACCTAGATATTTTTACTGTTTGAAAAGTGCAATTGTTTCAAAAATAGGGGGATCGAAAATTATCGCAGTTTTAACCAATCAGAATGCTCAAAAACAGCCTCCAGCCAATCAGATTGCTAGATCAATTTCCATCGATTCCGAATCGGTTTCTTACCTTCAATATCCTTAACCCTATGATCCGGCAAGCAAAACTGCTCCTTCCACCTCATAAACAGCGCTGGCGACTCTTCCACCTTCGAATGATCAAAGTCGTCGTTGTTGAAACTTTCCTTGAAGCATTTGAATTCTTCAAACTTGCTCCAATGCGATTTGTCCTTTCCATAATCGACGTCCCATTTGCGCGTCAAGAACGAATACTTTTTCCCAATTATTTCTCCCGTAAAGAAAGTCTCGATTTCTGGATTTTTCTCCGTCAAGCCGCGAATTCTCAGCCGTCCGCACAGATTTGAATGCGTCCTACAATGAAGAATGAAATGAAATTTAAACTTTTTCAGACCCTGACTCAGGTTTTTTACACAGGTTGCCGACCCCAGGCTAATAGACACTTACCAATTGATATCATCAATTCTGACTTCGATATTGTAAGTGTTCTTTTGGGACTCTTGCTGGCCTTTGTAAAATGCACCAGGGTAGATATTCGAATCTATAGCTCCGTGAGGGGGTTTAAAGCTCTCCCCGAGACACAGATTCATTTCATCGTCGAAGCAAGGCATCTAAAATCAACCATTTAAAATCTCGTTTGCTTGAAGATAAATGGAGGAAAATGTTTAGTTGAACTTTTTCTAAGCAGTGAAAGAGCGAGAGCTTCTATGATACGCCAGCCAGCGACTTTTCAGCGCGGCGTATCGGTCAACAAATGGAATAAAATTGCTTCTACTTTCGTGCTCTTCGATTTCTTGACCATGATCATCATCATCCTCGTCAGAGCAACTGGTGCTTTCTTCCAATTCAGAATCGGAGATTTCTGAATTTTTAGAAGCTTCTGATTCTCTTTGAATGATGCCGAAATCGAAATCGTCTTGGATAGCTTTTGGCATTAGCTTTTCTTCTTTCGGTTGAAAAACAAATTCAACAAAACATTTACTCTAAGATGCTTTTCAACAGTTCCTGGTATTTTCTCTTCGTCAACTTCTTCTTCCTTCTCATAATCTTTTTCGGAGCTACTTTCGGCCTCACTAGAATCGAGAGTTTCTACCTCATCTTCATCCTCATAATCTTCCTTTTCCCATTCTTTTTCTCCCCTTGGCTTGACCGTTCTCCTCCACTCCTTGAACTCCTCATCCGTCATCTTGTCAATCGAATCGAGCAACTTTTCCGTATCCGCTTCCGCCGAATTTTCCACCCTCGGCCGAGGAACACCGAGCGTCTCCCAAATCGGCGGGATCCGATTCTCCGTGCTTCGATTTCTCCCTCCCCGAGCGAAGGGTGTTTGAAAGTCCAGTCGTTTCTTTACAGGTTTTCTTATTGGACCTGGTTTGCTTATTGGACTTAACTTTACTGCTTCGCTGGAACTCATGCAGTCGCTCAGGCTTTGATCCGCGGCATCGTGAGGCTTGGATTCTTCGATCATCGGAACACCACCATTATCTTCATCCTCCCTCTCGTCCTCCTCTTTTTCTCCGATCTTCAGAATAATCGCATCACCAGAAGAACCAACATTTAGTAACCCGTTCAAACTCTTTTCCGGACTTTCCGCTTTTTCTATTTCAATTTGCGGCATTTCTAATTGAATAGCTTCCGTTTCAATCGTTTCTTCTGGTCCCTTGAAATGCTCTTTTTCCTGTTCTTTGATCTTGTGTCCAGATTCCAAGCGATCGTTGATCGTTTTAACCAATTTCTGCTGATCCATGTGAACGATTTCGTCATACTTCATAAACCTCGCGAAGTCCTTGTATCTCTCCAAATCAGCGTTGTTGATCGCGATTTGAATCGACTCCCCATGTCCGCCAAAACGCCCCGATCTTCCAACTCGATGGGACATGTTCGCATTGTCTTTTGACGGATCAATGTGGATGATCAAGTCGGCGTGGTGGGAATCTAACCCGCGGCAGGCAAGATCTGTGGCGACTAGAATCGTCGTGTTCTTGTCGACTAGTTGCTCCCAGGCTTGAGTTCGGTCACGCTGGTCGAGTGAGCCGGAAAGGTGAAAATCAGGTTTTACAAATTGAAATTTTCATTCTTTACATGAGAAAAAGAGAGAAAATTTTAGCTTTTATAAAACCTTATCAAAGTATTAGACCAGCCCTTTGCATTCAAATACAACGAAGCACTTTGCGCAAAAGAATGCGAACTGGCAAAGACAAAGCACTGCTGAAATTTGATGCTTTCAATCAGTTCCAAAAGGATATCGCGCTTCTTCTCCACTTCCGGTCGGTATAGAATCGAATTGTAGACCTTCTGAAGACTAACGTTCTTTGAGCGGATCATAATTGGCTCGTGGCACTTCAGCTGGTGGAGCATCTTTGGCAAATCATCGGGGAAAGTAGCTGAAGTGCAGATTGTTTGGAGCTTTTTCACGAGCATGCCATCTCGGATGTTTTTCAATTGATGCCTGTTTCAGAGTCTTTTTGAGGTAGAAGAAATGCGAGAAGCTGCTTGTACTTCAAGATTGCCAAAAGAAAAATCATACCTATCATCCCTCGAACTCGGAAGAGGCTTCTCGATTTTGACTTAAAAATGACCCTTTCATGAAATCCCTCACAGAAAGCAATTGATCAGCTTCGTCCAAGACCAAAATTTCCGTGCTTGAAATATGAAGCGCTCCTCGCGAAGCCAAGTCCAGCGTTCTTCCCGGAGTGCCAACGACAATCTGCGGCTTCTTGTGGTGAAGTTGGCGCTTTTGACTGACCATGGAATCGCCACCGATTGCCAGAAGAACTTGCGTCTTGGAGTTGAGAAGGGAGCAGAGAGTTGCGTGGATTTGGAGAGCGATTTCTCGTGTTGGAGTCAAAACGACGGCTTGGATTCGGTTTGATTCAAAGTTTACTTTTTCCAGGATCGCGATGCAGAAAACGAGCGTCTTTCCAGTCCCGGATTTAGACTTTTAAAAAAGTTAGAAATCAATCTTTTTGAGAAAAAAAAGCACCTGAATGACGACATTTTTCCCAGTCAAGACACTCGGCAACGCTGCTTCCTGCAACTTCGATTGCCAAGTGTAATTGCTCTTTGTCAGCGCCTTCATTAGCCAGCTTTTCAGGTAGAGCTGCTCAAAGCTCAAATTGGACCCGTGAACATCTCCGCTTCGCAAATGACCCAACGCATTTTGTCCTTTTCCATACGACGTCATTCTGAAAGTGCGACTTTTGAAGAGGAGGATAGATTTTGAAGAAGATTGAGAGGGAATTATTCAGAAGAATTGAAATCGCCCGACTTTCCACCAGTTTTTGATTTGAGCTTCGTTTGCTTTTATCAGAGTTCGGGGACGAAAACCAATCAAAATGCTTAAAAAATGTCTTTAGCCAATCAAAATTGAAGAATTGAAAATATTTTTTCGACCAAATTTTTGTAATAAAAATTCTCATTTTTATTTTCTTTTCGAACTCTTTCCTGAATGACAGCAGTTTTGTCGACAGCTTTGACCATGTCATAAATCGTCAGCGAAGCAACAGAAGCCCCCGTCAGCGCTTCCATCTCAATCCCAGTCTTTCCAAAAGTCTTGGCGAAGCATTCGACCAAAATCGAGCAGTTTTCTTCGTCAAAATCAAAGGAAATGTCAACTTTGTCAATCGGAATATTGTGGCAGAGAGGAATCAGCTCAGAAGTCTTCTTGGCGCCTTGAATTCCGGCGATTCTAGCGACGGATAGAACGTCTCCTTTTGACAGCTGATTGTCGACTATCATCTGGTAGCATTCATCTGAGACTTTTATCGAAGAAAAAGCGACGGCAGTACGAACTGTTGGCAGTTTTTCGGTCACCTGTTAAAAAGGGATGAAGATTTTGAACATTTTTCTTGGAAAAATGAATTATTTTCAATCCCTTTCCGAAACCATATTCGCTTTTCCAGCCGAATTGATGTGTGAAAATTTCTTCGCCGCAAGATTCGCCACTGTTCGCCTCATTTTTCGCTTCGTTCTTTTCCTCTGTCGAAGGTTTCAAAGTTCAAATTTTCGACCATTTTCTCGTTTCGCCATTTCCGACAAAATATTGGTTCGATCCTCGTTCTCCGCGCCAATTGGCTCGTTCCTTGGGCCACGGAGAATTGAATGTTAGTTTCAGAGTTTATGGCTTTTGGTTATTTTTTTCGTTGTTTAGAGAAATGAACGCCATAATAACGGTAGATTTCAAGTTCAAGTGCGTTTTAGTGAAAGTTCGAAAAGTCAAAAGTTGAAACGAAAAGGAAGAATCGATCCTGGCTTATTCATTTTATCAATAATTCGCGGCGAAAACAGATCGCGCCAATCCAGAGCGTTTCTATCGGGCCTACTTCCCTTCTTTTTCAATTTTTTTTACAACATTTCTTGAAGAGAAAAATCGTTTCCAGAATAACTGTTGTCTACGTGCTTTTTTATTTTGTCTATTTGAAAATTGAACATCCTTTTTGAAGCAATGGGAAACGTATTCGGCGACCTGTTCCGGAATCTCTTCGGCAAGAAAGAGATGAGGATCTTGATGGTCGGTCTCGATGCTGCCGGTAAAACCACCATTTTATACAAACTCAAGCTTGGCGAAATCGTCACTACTATCCCTACTATCGGTAAGTTCGTTTCATTCATGCTGTGAGAGATTTACTGTTTGTCTTTCGTTTCCAAAGGCAATAATAGACGTCCTTCAGCTTTTGATGCCTTTGTCCAACAGAGAGCAATTCGATAAATTGAAAATTTTCAACCCTAAAATGCCGAAAAATGCTCAAGTTTTTCTGCATTTTATGATCCAAAATTCTCAATTTTTCGACCTGCTGTCTGTTAGACAGAGGCATGAAAAGCTGCAGGAATTTTATTTTTGACTTTGATAACAAAATACATGCAGTAGATCTCTTTTTGTATGTGTATTGACGAAATATGTTAAAAATCGATCGAAGAGCCCCACTTTTCAATTGAACTTTTCAGGTTTTAATGTCGAAACTGTTGAATACAAAAACATCTCGTTTACTGTCTGGGACGTCGGTGGACAGGACAAGATCCGACCTCTCTGGAGACACTACTTCCAGAACACTCAAGGTACGGAAATCATGATTGAGACGATTGATGATGTGGTTAGGTCTTATTTTCGTTGTTGATTCCAACGATCGAGAGCGAGTCGGAGAAGCGCGAGAAGAGCTCATGAGAATGCTCAACGAAGACGAACTCAGGGATGCCGTCCTTCTTGTCTTTGCCAACAAACAGGTTAGATAGCGCAGTCGGAAAAAGGGATGATCAATGTATCTTTCGTAGGATTTGCCAAATGCGATGAACGCAGCAGAAATAACAGACAAACTCGGTCTTCATAATCTCAGGCAAAGAAAATGGCACACACAGGTAAGCAACAATCACCAATTTATTGGAAAACTTAACCCATCGTCGATTTAACCCGTTTTTCAAGGCAACTTGCGCGACCTCAGGAGACGGTCTTTACGAAGGTCTGGACTGGCTCTCCGCTCAGCTTCAAAACTCCCGATAAACTCTTCAGAAAAAAATAAACAAAAAAGATAGATAAAAAATGCTTTACACTTGTTGTCTCCCGTGATCATTTTCTCGATGTTCGAAACGTCCAAACGTCGCCTAGAATCTTCTTTTCAATTCTCTAATCCTTTGAACCAACTTCACAGTATTTCATCTGACAGTAACAGTATTTCCCCTGTATTCATCCTATCACCCTTTTTATTCTACATGTAAGAATGGATCTCCGATTCTTCTTGGATAATTGCAATAATAAAATCAAAACCGCTTCTGTTCAAAATTATTATCAACACACAAAAATCAACTATTGTTTTTTCGCAGATTATTCAGATGTCCAGGCTTTTCTCAAAAAATATCACAATCCCCTCCAGTCTGGGCTTAGCAACCTGTGTAGAAACCTGAGCCAGGGTACTGAAAACGTAAATTGAGTTCTGCAGAACCCTGACTCAGGTTTCTACACAGGTTACCGAGCCCACCTTCAAGTTGCATTTTCTACGAGACCTCGAAAAGCTTCGCTTTTGTCAATTTGAAGCCAGTTTTGCCCGGGCATGTTCTCGTTTCGCCGATACGAGTTGTGCCTCTTTTTGAAGATCTGACTTTGGACGAGGTTTCGGATCTATTTCAAGTCGCTCAGAAAGTCGAGAAAGTTGTCAAAAGTGCTTTTCACGGGCAAGGGGATTAATTTTTCACGATTTTCTTGAGTTTTCGGCTCAAAAAACGATGGGCATGACGTGGCCATTAGTCAGCAAAACGTAAACACGTCGCTCTGTCCCCGGATGATCCCCCAAAAGAGACTCGTCGACGATTTCGGTTCAGAACGGGCCCGAAGCGGGCCAAACCGTCCCCCATGTTCATGTCCACATAATTCCACGGCGCAAGAACGATTTTGAAAACAACGACGATATTTACTCAGAGCTCGAGAAGCATGATAAAGATGATAGAGCAGGGCGCACGGCAGAAGTCATGGAAAAAGAAGCAGCAATGCTCAGAGCTCTTTTCAACTCTTGAAAGAACCTTCAGTTTCAACAGTTGGTTGGTGTATTTACAGTTGATGTGTTTTAGATGCTGCTGTCGGCTCTTTTTATCGGAGCAGTTTCTGCAACCGACTTCGTAACATGCGGAAGTGTCATCAAACTCGTCAACAAAGCCTATACGATGAGACTTCATAGCCACGAGGTAAAAATCAACAGACTATCTTGATTCATGTACTTTTGCAGGTGACGTACGGTTCTGGCTCTGGGCAGCAATCAGTAACCGGTTTCCGCGGTGAGACAGATTCCAATTCGTATTGGTGGATCCGCGGAGCTTCTGAAGACAGCTGCAAACGAGGTGATTCAGTCATGTGCGGTAGTGAAGTGCTTCTTACACACATTAACACGATGAAAAATCTCCACTCTCATCATCACAGGTTTGCTCATTCATCCCTTTCTCATTAATCCAATCCCTTTTCATTATAGAGCGCCGCTTACGAACAATCAAGAAGTCAGTGCGTACGGCAACGACGGGGCAGGAGACGCGATGGACGTTTGGGAAGTAATTTGCGGAGGCAACAATCCCGTAAGTCCAGAACAACACCCGGGCCACCGGCCAAGCCTAATTAATTTCGCTTTCAAACGCCGTTTATATCCAATTAAACAGCCCCTAATCCTTGTTTATTCTCAGTGGCGACGAGACAGCGCGGTGAAACTGAAACACAAGGGAACGCAAAAGTACCTCGCTGCCAGCGGTCAACAATTCAACCGACCCATCAGCGGCCAAATGGAAATCGTGGCGCAGTCGAAATCTGGCGGAGCAACTGAGTGGAAAGTCGCCGAAGGTGTTTTCGTCTCTCCACCAACCCAAAGCGGACATGACGAGCTGTGATAATTAGACTACTCTTTCTTGAAAAATTCGCTCTTGCGAACAAAAAATCCACTTTCTGAACTTTCTTCTGAGCTAAAAAGATATCTGAAGCGTGCCTTTTTTGGACCCTGACTTCTTTTATGAAAATATTCCATCGTGCAATAAATTATAAGTGCGCTTCCTTCTCTGTTGAAGTTTTTTCTTTTAAAAATTCAAAGTAAAACAACTCTTAGTAAACTTGACCTAAATAATTGTAGATTTTTATTATTCTTTTATTCCCTTGTCATTGACTACAAAAAGTTCCACTTTTGAAAAAGAAACAATTCAATACCGCAATAAATAAAAATCCGACAAGATAATAAGTGATCGTAAACTGATCTCCGTTTCTGAATCCGATTTGTGGTGTCGCATCCCGCCGAGACGAGATAATCGATGATTTCAACTTTTTGAAAAGTGCGCCGGCCATCCCACTTGGCCCATAAAAATTCGACGTTGATCCTTTTACACAAACTTGTGACTGGCAGTGAGTGGATCCACTCTTATTCAACCCCCTTTATTCATTTTTTGTTTTTGATCGCTGTGTAGCCGCGGGAGAAAGAGAGAGATCAATTTATTGCTCATTCAGAAGGCAGTTGAGAGGGAAACAGCCGAACGGACGAAAAATAATAAAAACAGATATAAAAAGAAAGAGAAATGCGGCTGAGTCGGACCCTGGCCTCTCTTTACGGGGCTTTTCAGTTCGTCAATGGAGGTAAAAATGAATTCCGTGGATGTACTGATCATAAAATTTTCTTGCAGAGACGCAGTTTTGCCAAGATCCGTCGATCGAAACCTGCCGGGATTGCATTTTACGCGGGCCCGACTGCGCCTGGTGCGCTGATAACATAACTGCCGAGGATATGGGAACACACAGGATGAAATGCGGCCGTCTGGACGACCTGAAGCAGCAGGGCTGCAAGCAAATCGAAGCAGACAAGAAGAGCTCGCGGAGCATCACTGATGCGGGCAAAAAGATCCGGCCGAAGAAATCGACCGTCGAACTGCGTCACGGAGAGTCGTACAACTTTCAAATCGAGTTTCATTCAGAAGAGTACTACCCGATCGACATGTACTACGTCATGGACCTGTCGCAGTCGATGCAGGACGATCTGGTAAAGCTGAAAGACCTGGCGTCGAAGCTCTGCGAAAAAATGACGGAAATCACGGGAAAAGACAACTTTAGGATCGGCCACGGCAGCTTTGTCGACAAACCAGTTATGCCCTTCATTTCGATCACCGAAGAAGACCTCAAAAATCCGTGTGGAAAGGAGCGGCCGTGTGAGCCCGCGTACAACTTTCATAACAATCTCAACTTGACGCTGGACACGGATAAGTTCTTTGACATTGTCGACAAAATGGATCACTCGAGTAACTTGGACCAAGCAGAAGCAGGACTCGACGGCATCCTGCAAGCAGCTGTATGCAAGGATCTCATTGGCTGGGGCGATGACAGGCACAAACTGATCGTATATTCCTCTGATGCACCCTTCCATGTCGCTGGGGATGGCAAGCTCGGCGGGATTCTAGAGCCACACGATATGCAATGCCACACTGATGGGTCAACCATGCCGAATGAAATTCCACGGGACAAGGCAGTCCAGTACGATTACCCTTCAATCGGGCAAATTGTCGACGTAATAAGCAAGAACGAAATCATCATGATTTTCGCCGTGACAAAAAGTGTCAAAAAGACTTATTCACTTTTGGCGGATTTATTGCCGCTAGCAGCTGTGGGAGAATTAGAAGACGATTCGAACAATGTGATAAACATCATCGAAGAAAAATACAACCAACTAGCGCAGAAAGTCCGACTCCAGCACTCTGGAATTCCGGAAAACGTCCAGGTCGCTGCGAAAGTAATGTGCCATGCGGACAAACCTGATGTTTGGACCGACGGATTCGAGTGCGAAAAAATCAACAGGAACCAAGCCGTTACTTTTGATGTTACGTTAACATGGAATAGCGATGGGGTCTGTCCAGAAACTACGACGGCACTTGCTGACTTCCTGATTTATGGAATGGATGCCAAATCGGAGGTGGAAATCAAATTCATCTGCGACTGCGATTGTCCTGTTTACCCTGCGCCCAGCTTCATGGTCGATCCAAAGTTCACCCTGGGTAAGTCTGCTTTCCGTTTTGATTTTTTCCAATGAACAGTCATCCACTTTAAATTTTGGCTAGACAAGAGGAGCGTCCCGTTCTCGTGCAACAGCGGAAACTATTCCTGCGGACAGTGCGTCTGCCCAGAAGGCCAGACTGGAAACATGTGCGAGTGCGATGTGGAAACTGATGCCGCAAATGTTTGGGAAGGCTGTATCAATCCAAAGGTAACGGAAAATATTGCGATGATTGGCTCATTTTTGTAGGACGTGGACGAAAAGCCATGCTCAGGCTTTGGCAGCTGCGTTTGCGGCAAATGCCAATGCCAAAAGTATCTCGGACGCGACATCACTGGAGAGTTCTGCGAGTGCGACTCTGACGAGTGCCACAAGTTCAACAACTTGCCCTGTGGCGGACCAGAGCATGGAACATGCCAATGTGATGGAACTTGCAAGTGTGCTGATGGCTGGAGTGGCGACAATTGCTCGTGTAGTACGGACAAGCGAGTCTGTAAGAATCCAGAAGGTATCATTATGAAGGCTCGTTCTAAGTGCATGATCAAAATTTAGACTTGAGGCGATACGGGGACAGCGCAGCAGAATGCTCTGGCAATGGAGACTGCAACTGCGGAAAGTGCGAGTGCAAGGAATTCCCCGGCATCGGCAAGTACACCGGTCGATATTGCGAGAACTTCAACTCCAAATGCGAACAACATGAAGATTGCGCCAAGTGCCTCGCAAATGCATTTTTCGATGATGAAGACGGACCTGTTCTGAGTGAGTTTTTACGGCACGTTTCTAGCTCTAGAACAATTTATTAGACAAGAAATGTGCCGATGATTGCCGCTCCGTAAACCAGGAAACTGAAAAGCGAGAGGACTTCTACATCGAAGGCATCGTCGAGGTCGAAGGCGAAAAAGGCCGCTTTGAAATCGAAAATGTTGAGAAAATTTTCATCCCAAAAGACGAAAATGCAGATTCCCTGATGTGCGTTTCCAAGGACCGGGAGGGTTGCCAGTTCAACTTTGGTTATAAAATGTCAAATGAGAAGAAAGTTCAGTTGATGATTAGCGACACGCGAGGTAAGAAAAAAGCTTGAAATAACGATGTTATTCTTGCCGAAAATGGTGGTTATTTTTTGTGAAAACAAAGAATAACAGAACGACTACTAATCGGATTTGGTGTTTAACATTGTTATGTAACTAGCATGTCCCGAGCCGGTCAACGTTTGGATGGTTGTCGGTGGCATTCTTGGCGGTGTTGTCTTCCTTGGCTTGATCATTTTATTACTGATCAAGCTGATTATTTGTTGGATCTCCCGAATGGAAGTCAAAGAGTTTGAAAAAATGCGCTCGAAAGAGGCGCTCACTAGTGTAAGTTATTTTGACATTCTATCGGCCCGAAATCCTACTAAAGTTAGTATAAAAAGAGTGACTAAATGTTGCATGGTGTTAAACTTGGTGAAACCGGTGTTTGAAAATTAATAAAAACTGATTTTTTATTCAATAAAATTGCTAGAGTGCCCGGTTCCGATGGATCCACTCGTCGCGATGGCCATTATCGCTGGTAGTATCCTTTTCCTAGGTCTTCTGATCTTAGTCCTTCTCAAAATTGCTCTCATCGTTTATGAGAGAATGGAGTACAAACAGTTTTTAAAAGACCAGAAGCTTTTGCAGTACCAGGTATCAAATAGAAAACGCCTCTTCCTCCCCAAATCAGTTTTTGCCGAGAATCGAGAGTAAATTATTTTTAGGGAAATAATCCAATCTACCAAAAGCCGGAAACAACTCACAGAACCGACAATATCGTTTATCGAGGCGCTGCCCTAAGGTCGTAAAAACGATGGTGATCAAATCGAAAGTATCCCAATGACCCAAATGATGAATGAAAAAAATCCTTCATGATAAATTTAACAGATGCACTACTTCCTCCGTCCCGAAACTTCAAACAAACTGATAAGCTCTTCAAAAACCATGGACGTACTACCTTCTTTTGTAAAATAATAAAAATAAAACTACTCATTGTTTCTTTTTTTGCCTATCTTTCTTTTTTCAAGTAATGCTTGCTGAATTCCAAAAAGCTCGTTTTGCATACTTTTATCTGACAAAAGCTTATTTGTATTTTCCTTAGATCATTCTTTTCCATAAAATCCAAACCTGTAACTTACACAGTCTAACCACCAAAATGATGATTTCAATTTTGCCTTTCTGCATGTTCAATCCACCACTGACCAAAACTCGTTTTCTCTTACAAATAAAATATATAAAAAATATCTTTAATAATGAAATTTTGATTGTTCTAGTTTGTGCATGCTAGCAAGATGCCTAAGAAGAAGGCAAACAAGAAGGTTGATGATGACTGGGAAAACGACGTAGAGGAGATGGAAGCGGAGACCAACCAGGTTTGAAATCAGCTTTCTGAAATTTTAACTATTCTGTTCAATACAGGAGGCCCCTGAAGTATCAGCCAAGGCTGCTCCAGCTGCGGAGACTGTTGATGACATCGATGATATGTGGTCGGACGATGACAAGAAGAAGAAAGGAAAGAAGGGCAAGAAAGGAAAAGGGCAAGACGCCCAAGAAGATCAAGCCCCAACTCCAGGTTTTATTCTTTCTCGAATTGTCATATTCCTTACACTTCGTTTTTAGAACCTGCTGCTGAGGGCCCTGCCATAAAAACGAAGGCCCAAAAAGCTGCTGAAAAGAAAGAGCGTGAAAAGCAAAAGAAAAAGGAGCAAGCAGCCAAGAAGAAAAAAGGCGGTCAGCAAGAAAAGACCGTGGCCGAAGTTGCCGCTGAACTCGCTGCTCAAGATGACGAGCCCCAAGACACTGGCAAAAAGGGCAAAAAAGGAAAGAAAGGCGAGGAAGAAAAGCCTAAGAAAAAGAAGGGCGGTCCGCCAGCTGCTGCTCTCCGTGAAATGCTCGAAGCTCAACGCGCCGCTGAAGAAGCTGAAAAGAAAAGGCGCGAGGAAGAAGAAGCCAAGGCTGCCGAAGCACTCAGGAAACATAACGAAAAGCTCGAGCAAGAACGACTACGACGCGCGAAGAAGAACGAGCGTGAAAAGAAACGTCTCGAACGACGAAAAGAAGAGGGTAAAGCCCTTACTGAGAAGCAAAAGCGAGACAAGGCGAGAGCAGAGGCTCTCCTAGCTGATCGCGGAATCGATGTTGATGATGTCGATCAAGAAGAGGTCAAAGCTGCTCCAGTCAAAATCCTATCAAAAGCACAAAAGAAAAAACTCATGGAGCAAGAAAGACTCCAGCGTGAAGCAGAAGAAGCCGCGGCAAAAGAAGCTGAAAAGGCCGAAGCTGAAGAAGAGGCAGAAGAAGGCCAAGAAGACTCTCCCGAAGTCAGTGAAGCTGACGAAGAAAGCTCTGGTGACGATTGGGACAATTCCTCTTCTGACGAAGACGAGGCGGAGAAAGACGAGGCGGAAGAAGAGGCCGAGAAGCCTGCCGTAAAAGAAGCGCCCAAAGCTGCTGCCAAAAAAGAAACCGAAGACTTGAGTGTCAAACAATCCGGCCCGCGACCTGATGACTTCTTCGAAATCGCCGACGTTCACAAGCGAATCAAAAAGCGAAGAAAATACAACAAGGAAAACGCGATCGAAGGCGATTACAGATGTCCCATTGTTTGTGTCCTTGGCCACGTAGATACCGGAAAGACCAAATGCCTCGACAATCTTAGACGGACGAACGTCCAAGACGGAGAAGCTGGTGGTATCACGCAGCACATTGGCGCAACGAACGTTCCTCTTGATTGTATTGAAAAGCGAACCTCGTTTGTCAAAAAAGTCGCGTTCGGCGAAAAACTTGACATTCAAATCCCCGGCTTGCTTATTATCGATACACCCGGTCACGAGTCTTTCTCGAACTTGAGATCAAGAGGATCCTCTCTTTGCGATGTTGCTATTCTTGGTAATGAATAATGCAATGAATCTGATCATTACCATATTTCTAGTGGTTGATATCATGCACGGTCTCGAAAATCAGACCCGTGAGTCCATTAAGCTTCTCAAAAAGAAACGCTGTCCCTTTGTCGTCGCTTTGAATAAAATTGATAGAATTTATGAATGGAAGTCTTCCCCTCATCCAGAGTTGCAAATTTTTGAAATTTTTTTCTGAGCTGAGCTAGCTGAGCTGAGGTTGAAACTGAGCTGAGCTGAGCTGAGCTGGCTCCTCATAAAAAACAACTGAGCTGAGCTGAGCTGAGCTGGTTTTTTTCAAAAAAATTGAGCTGAGCTGAGCTGGGGCATATTTGAAAATTTTTGAGCTGAGCTGAGCTGAGCTGACGATTTCTCAAACTGAGCTAGCTGAGCTGAGCTGACCATTTTTTTATGCTGAGCTAGCTGAGCTGAGCTGAGCTAGCTGAGCTGAGCGGAGAAAGCTGATTTTTATTTACTACAAAAAATGTCAAAATAATGTGTTGAAGCGAATTTCAACCTTCTTGAGTAGATGGACAAGGAGCCCCTGCCCTCACACACCCCTAGACCAGCATCTCACTCGCAACATCGCACTTTTTTGACATAAAAAATTTATTCTGTCATTTAACAATAAGGAATTCTCCAAAATATTATACAGTGGTATCATTTATGTGGATGAGCCAATGTTTCAACCTTCTAGCGTAGATGGACAGGGAGCCCCTGCCCTCGCACACCCCTAGACCAGTCTCTCACATTCGCAATCACATATTTACCATCTGTACTTTATTATTTTTTTATTGGAAGCCCTTTTTTATTTAATTTCTCTCTTGTTTCAAAGAAAACTCGAATTATTTCTATATAAAATTGACCAACAGGAAAGCATGAACAGAAAATACGTCGAAGTTTTTGAAAAAAAGACCAATCAAAAGTGGTTCGATCTTTGTCAGCTCAATAGACTGAGCTGAGCTGAGCTAGCTGAGCTGAGGTCAAAATTGAGCTAGCTGAGCTGAGCTAGCTCTTTTCGAAGAACCATTGAGCTGAGCTAGCTGAGCTGAGGTCAAATTGAGCTGAGCTGAGCTGAGCTGACCCTCACCTCAAAATTTCTGAGCTGAGCTGAGCTGAGCTGTAGCTCAGCTAGCTCAGATAGCTCAGCTCAGCTAGCTCACAAAATTTGCAACTCTGCCCTCATCAAGTAAGTGGTTTTACTCGGAACAGCAGACTCATGCTTTCTAGGATGTTCGAAAAACGATTGATAATCAAAAGGAAAGCACGAGGAACCAGTTCAAGAAGCTCTATGACAATGTATATACACAGATGGCCGTTGAGGAGCTGAACGTCAAGTTGTTCTGGGAGCTTGAAGGCGAAGATGCAGCAGAATGGATCCCAATTGTCCCTACCTCCGCCATTACAGGTCAGATAAAAAGAATCTCTCATCATTAACTTTTTTTAGGTGATGGTATGGGCAACCTAATCGCTCAAGTCATCGATTCTGCTCAAAACATCGTCGGTAAAAAGATCACTTACAATGCGTAAGTCATAAAAACATCTTTATTTTTCTCAACGATTAATTCAGCGGTGTCAAATGTACCGTTATGGAAGTGAAGACAATCGAAGGACTCGGAAAATCAGTAGACGCCATTCTTGTGAATGGCTGTCTTCAAAACGGCGACCAAATGGTCCTCGCCGGTCAGCAAGGACCATTCGCCACGCATATTAGGCAAATCTACACTCCTCCGGTCAACAAGGATCTACGAGTGAAAAACGCTTGGGTCAAACATGACCGGGTCAAGGGCGCAACTGGTGTCAAAGTCGTCGGTCGAGGAGAAGAAATCGAAAAGGCACTTGCTGGCATGCCGATGTACATTGCTCGGCAAGATGACGAAGTGGAATACTTCAAAGCAGAGCTTGAGGATGAAATCGGCGATGCTTTGGATGCGATTAGATGCTCAGGAGAAGGTGTCTACGTTCAGGCATCTACTCTTGGCTCTCTCGAAGCCCTCCTCGAATATCTTCGGTAAGAAAAAGTGGCTGAATTCAAACTTGACCGTCTTTTAGAACCGAAAAAGTCAAGTACTCTGGCATCAACATCGGCCCAGTCAACAAGCGTGACATCATGCGAGCGTCGACAATGCTTGAGCACGATGAAAAGTACGGAGTTGTCCTCGCCTTCGATGTTCCAGTCACCCGAGATGCACAAGAGCTCGCCGATAGTTTTAAACCGCCAATTAAGGTACTGCAAGCATTGTTACAGATGCTAATGATTCGATTTAGATTTTCACGGCAAATATTATTTATCACTTGACAGACATGTTCGAGAAACATCTCAAAGACCAGAAGAAGCAAAAACAAGAAGAGCTCAAGGAAGTTGCCATCTTCCCTGCTAAAATGTCTATCCTGCCAGATTGTATTTTCGCAAAAAGAGATCCTATCGTCATCGGTGTCAAAATCGATGATGGCCAGTTGAGAGTAGGAGCACCAATTTGTGTACCAAACAAGGTTTGCAAGAGCTGCTTTGTCTTTGTAAAGACTGTGTTAAGGAAAACATGTGTATTGGCGCAGTTTCATCCATTGAAAGCAGTAACAAGCCGGTAGATGTGGCCAAGAAGGGCGAGGAAGTCTGTATCAAGATCGAAAACACGACAGGCGATGCACCAAAAATGTTGGGTCGCCACTTCGAAAAGACTGATTACCTCTGCACGAGGATATCCAGAGATGGAATCGACGCATTGAAAGAGTAAGTTTGAACTTTGCCCGGGCGTGAGTCATCCTTGTTTTCAGATGGTTCCGAGATGAAATGACGAAGCAAGATTGGAAGCTCTGCATTGAGCTCAAGAAGACCTTCAAGATCCTTTGAGTGGTGCAATTCAATTGCGTTTATGTGATGTTGTGCAGCGATCACCGGGTCAAACGCGACCCAGTTCTATAGAATTTTTTACTTATGAGCCGGACCAACTTAAACTCCGCCAAGTTCATGAAAAACTAATAGGTCAATTTCTTCTTCTGTTCACGGTTCTGTTTACTTAACTGAGACAGTTAAGTTATCAGCGGTTCATTAGGTTTCAATTCCATGCATACTACGCCTAATCACCATTTTTGTCTATCCTAAAAATGGGTCGATACTGAATATGTAACGAATGTAACGAATGTAACGAATGTAACGAGTTTGCTGACAATGTAACGAAAACGGAGACATGTTGTTTTTATTAGCTGATTCTAGAAACTTTTTCTAAAGAGCGATCTTGGGGAGTTTTACTAAATACAACAATTTAACATATCCAAAATAGCAAAAAAAGCCAAAAAGGATACAGAATAGCATAAATATGGTAGATTCGTTTTCCATACCCGCTCTGAATGATTCAAAACGCCCGCTCCGCGGGTAAAAATGTAGGAAACTCAAGGGGGTGAAATTAGAAAAACAAAAAATCTCTAGAATTTTACTGACAATGTAACGAGAAAAAGACATGTTTATGAGTTTTCGTTACATTCGTTACATTCGTTACATATTCAGTACCGTCGTAAAAATGCTCTTCAGAATAAAATGTTTCGCCGGGCCGGTGTGGTCTTATCACAGCGGTTCCGCTCCCGCCAGGCGCTTGTCGTGCCCATGGTCGAGGACGGAACAAACCAGACCTTTCTAGAGCTGAACGAAAAGTCTGGCTCGATTCTTCAGAAGCATCTTGACGCACTCGGCGGTCCACCAAAAGCCGGGCAGGTTAGGCAACTGCCCTCCTCTGATGACGAGTTCGACATCATCGCCATTGTTGGACAGAGCAACAAAGCTGACCCAAGCGAAAATCGGGATGTTAATTTGGAAAACGTACGAGCTGCTGTCGCGAATGGCGTCAAAGCGCTGAACGGACTCCAAATTGAAAAAGTTCAAATCGCGGTTGATTCTGAAGCAGCGCAGGCCGCAGGAGAGAGTGCTAAAATGACGGCGTGGACTTATAAAGCGGATAAACGCGAGAAAATCCCACAGAAATTTTCTGTTTTTAAAAAAGATAGTTTGGAGTTTGATCAAGGAAAGCGTTCAAAAAAATCGTTGTTGATTTCATCGATGTTTCAAACGACAAAAAATAACGCTGAAAAGGTTTAATTCTTGGTGAGGCTCAAAATATCGCTCGTGAATTAATGGAACTCCCTGGAAACTTATTAACGCCATCAATTTTCGCGGATAAATGTGTGGCTCTTTTGGAACCACTCGGAGTAAAAGTAAATGTCTACGGAGCTGATTGGATTAAAGAACAAAACATGAATGCGTTTTGGTCCGTCGCAAAAGGCAGTAGTGAGGAGCCTAAATTTGTCGAAATGATCTGGGAACCAGAAGTTAAAAACCGAGAGGAAACCTTTGCTCTTGTCGGAAAAGGTGTGACCTTCGACAGTGGTGGAATCTCTATCAAGCCATCGGCAAACATGGGCGACATGCGAGGCGATATGGGCGGAGCTGCCGTCACTGTTGCAACGATGTACGCCGCTGCCAAGCTTAAAATCCCCGGAAAAGTCCTCGCGACAACCCCTTTGGCCGAAAATATGCCCTCATCGAACGCTTCAAAACCGGGAGATGTAGTCATCGCGCGTAATGGAAAATCCATTCAAATTGACAACACAGATGCGGAGGGTCGTCTTTTGCTCTGTGACGCGCTAGGTACCAATCATTTTTTCCTCGAATCTTCTCTAATTTCATTTGAAATTCAGATTACACAGCCGAGGTTCATAAGCCAGCTGCGATGATTGATTCAGCAACATTAACAGGGGCTATGGTAATCGCTCTTGGTGACGGAGCCACTGGCGTTTTCTGCAAAGACAACGACTTGTGGAATTTAATCGAGAAGAGTGGCCACGAAACAGGCGATCGAGCTTGGCGAATGCCCCATTATCAGCACTACTTTGGTGAGTGAAGCTTTCCTCAACCCCTTTTTAAAACGTGTCATTTACTGTAGAATCTACAGTGTAGATAAAATCAGCCCAACTCATAATGCCGAGTTAAACAATACTGGTGGTCGCGATGCAGGCTCTGCAACAGCCGCTGCATTCCTATCCGCTTTTGTACCACAAAATGTTCCCTGGGCTCACTTAGACATTGCAGGAGTTGGCGGCATTTTCCCAGGCGAAGGGGATCCCTTTCCTTATCTTTGCAAAGGAATGAGTGGCCGCCCAACGAGAACAATTGTTCGAACGCTTCAAAATTTCTTCGATCCTTGAACTGCTACGAAATATATTGAAAAACTTATAGAATCACGGAAATAATTCAACGTCTAATTTTAGATGCGATATCTCCCACGCACAATGCTGATTTGAATAACACCGGTGGTCGAGCGGCAGGTATGAGTCTTCGTTGTTTTCCTCTTGGTTCACAGAGGACCAGAATATTGATATTTACGAAAATCTACAGAATTTATGACTAGAAAGACGCATCTTGGATCATGGAAGTGTTACCCACACGTTTTGTAATATTTGAATAAAAATTATTTACAGTCTTCCCATTTGCGGAACATCCTCATTGTCATTTTCCATCATCATTTATTCTCCTCATGCTATTTTAATCCAGGCTCCGCTACGGCCGCCGGATTCTTGTCGGCATTTGTACCAAAGGATATTCCATGGGCTCATTTCGACATTGCTGGAGTCATGGACACGACTGGATCAACCAACCCTTACATTTGCAAGGGGATGACAGGAAGACCTACTCGAACTCTTTATCAAACCCTGAAGAACTATTTCAACTAGTCAACTCTTCATTTGAGCCTGAAATTCATAAGTTACATGTAACAATTAATCTTAATTTAATTCTAAAAGAATAAACGCTCGTGCAAAGTTCTATAATTGTTGTAATCAATCTTTTCATCGCAGAATGACTCGAGGAACCGAGTCGGGAGACCAGCGAAACGTTGCCTCCGCCGCCAACCTCGGGGGATCCTGGAAGCCTGGCGATGATGCCGCTCGAACTCAAGGACACGTCGCTTACGGACCATGCGAAGATCCCATCAAGCAGGAGGTGAAAACAAGGAGGAGATAACACTTTGACAATTTTTTCTAATTTCAGGCCCGAGATGCCAACTTTGCTGACATCGTCACTCTTCCCATTCTCCCAGAGCCCCAGCAAAATCCTCTCACTGCTGGCATGAACATGTGGAGATCTGGCGAGTTCTCTGCTTACGCACTCAAGGATCGAATTCTCGGTAATTTTTAATTATTGAAGAGCTGATCTGACTTGATCTTAGGATTCTGGCGATGGGCTAACCAGAACAACACCAACGGCGAGAAGTGGTTCCACGAAGCTCGCCGACGAGTTCCCGGAGTCTGGGAGTGTTCAACAAATGATCGAGCTTGCATTTACGAAGCTGAGATGCAGTTCAAAAAGGATCGAGAAGTCGATCGAATGGTCCTTCAAGTTCTTGAAGACCGCCTTCGATCTGTAAGAAAAAAACCCTTTTTGGGCACATTTTGACATGCCTATCTAGTGCTGGAACGCCCAGGGATCGCTCTGGGGCGACCGAGACATGAACACAGAGAAATGCAACGAACTCGCCATGTTTAAGCGACAAGCTGATATGAATTACGCTGCCAAGTACCGAAATTTGAACCACTGGGGTGTCCAGTCCACCAAGGCTCTTATGAAGGTCCTTTCCTTCATTCCATAAAATTTGTTTAAAATCTTCTTTTTAGCAAAAGAACAGATTTATCGAGAAGAGATGGCTCGAACGTCAGGGAAAATCCTTCGACGAAATCCAAAACATGATGCACGAACCTCTTTCCCAGGCCTTCTTTTATGACATGTGGAAATGGGTATAAACTGTTTAAAATCAGCTCCATACTACTTTAGTAGTATAAATTGTGTCTGCGAATTATTTATTTTCTAACCACTGAATGTTAAAAGAGTGGCCCTGTTCAAAAATTTAATCCAATTCTAACTCATTTAATATTCGATTTGCTTTATTCAGACGATGACTGTAACTCGGGTGTTGGTTCTCATCGACGATACGATTTCCATGGCTGGAATTCATCCTGAGACCAATCGGTAGTTGAATCTTTTTCAGACCTTGCAATATTCTCTAGCCAGCGGAACTGGAATAAAATTAGACTCAATCATACCAATATGTGTCAATTCTTCTTTCCTAATTTGTCCAATTTAGTTCCTTTTTGGACATGGCGAAAAGCATCGCTTCGGACTTTTTGGACGCACTGGCCGAGTCAAGATTTGACGTCCACATTATCGCCCAGACGATTTTTCTCGACAGTGACATTGATCCTCCTCGAAGTGCATTCAACCGTGACTGGATTCAGATGAAGAAGAACATAGAGAATATTACTATGAGCACTGAAAGAAGCTGTAATTTAGATGCCATTATCAAGGTGTGCTATTTCTCTGACCACTTAATAAATTCGATTAATTCAATCTCGATCAGGCCTCGCGACTTCTGGCTGGGAACGATGACGAACAGCCCGGTCATCTTGTTTGTTTAACTGATGGCAATGTGTTCTATCCTAGGCTAGGGTTAGATCTATACAGTATTGTTATACGAGTAGTCCTTACTTTCATGCAGGAGACATAGAGGAGAATATCTAAAACTGTCTAAACCTTTTCGAAGAAAAGAATTTCCGAAAATGTTGAATAAGTTTACATGCATGCCGGCTACGTTGCATATCAGAAGCCTGGGCCCAAAGCCGAAAATAGACCCCGTCACGTCGCTCGTGAAGGTCGTCGATAAAACTATCGCTAATGGGAAGCGGGCGTCAATTAAACGCGTCGCAGCTAACGAAGTTGACACCGCTGCGAGGAGATTATTCGTCGATGAGTTTGCGCCGATGACGACGAAACTTGTTCTCGGCAAACTTTCGTCAGGTAAAAATTGAAGATAGAAAAGAGTGTCAGTAACCAGACTGTGTCAAGAAATGGTGTTGCATCCTCGACCTCCAGGAGTGCTCGATCAAACGAACATCATGTCGATTCTGGGTTTCATCCCAATCAAGCATCTAAGCGGCCCTCCCATCGACTCAAACCACCAAATCATTCCTGAAGCAATCAATCAGGAAGAACCCCACCTTGTCATTCTTCTGATTCATTCACTTCTACAACTGCCAAAGGCGGATAGGAAAGTCGCCCTGGTCAAAATTGGCGACCGCTACGGACTTTTACATGCTCAAGAAAAGGATGAAAGTCACAAGTGGCTGACGTTTTCGTTGTTCTTTCCTGGAGACACGCCGCTTCCGTGGATGGGTAGCTTTGATTTAAGTTCGTATGCTTTTTTCTTTGAAAAGCTAGTTATAAAAGTTGTCTCGTCAGAATTTTTGTTGTAAGCTGAGTGACTAATTAGTATTAATGAGGCCCTTCATGGTCGATAGCGTAGGTCTGACCCGTGCCTGATTAAGAAGCCGATAAAAATTGTGAAGTCGATACTCTCTAGGGACCCGAGACTTTTTTGCCTTGTATGGCGGTTTTTTTTCTCGATGTTACTATGATGTTATGTTACATAATAAATTTGAAATAAGTGGTGTACGGGGACAATGCTGCCAAGCAAGATTATCCGCTGGTGGATGACTTTGCGAAGAGAAGGTCATATGCAACGCCGACGATTGTATGGTCAAAAGATAACTGGATCATTGCGGATTTGCAAAAGGCCGCCAGAGTAGCGAAGAAACTCCCAGATAAGCAAGGAAAGTTTCAAACAACAAATAAGAAGGGCATGTTTTACGATCAGTTAAAAACTTTCAAAGTTGCATTTTACAAAGAAGTAAATCGAATTTCACGAGCTTGTTGTGTTTACTCAAATGATGCGGTGCTCGAAGGATTGATGAGGGATTCGAAATAGTACTAAGAAGCTTCGTGAATTTTTAATTTAGGCCATCAACTAATGAATCGCTCGCTTACAAGGCAGTCTGATCCCTATTGCAGATTTACATGCTCACCACCGAAGCTGCTAATTACAAGGACTCAAAACCAAAAGCCACGGAGGAGATCACTCATTGCATTCGCCAACTCAAGGTTGAAAATGTTCTCCGAAAGAGAATTCTGGTAAATAGTATCTTCAGATAATCCTGGCTGCAATCAACGACGAGGACGATCGGAAAATGCATGAGCTTGAAAATTACACTATCACGCCGATGAGCAGTGGCTAAAACTACATTTTTTTCTTTTCATTGCCAGTTTTTTTGTGCTCCACTGCCACTTGCCCTTCCATTTTCGCTCATTTCATCAACTTCAGAGCTCATGGGAGTCGGACCTTCTCGATTATCTGAAAGCATTGCTCTCTATTTGGGCTCAATACGGGATGCGACTGATAAGAAAAAGCTAAGCGGCGCTGAAATCACTCATCTAGTCAGCATCCTCTCAAACAAACAGATCTCTCAAATGAGAAAATCGACGAGTGATAAATTTACAGAGCCACTGTTTGAAGACAGAAGTCAGCGAAAACGATTGCTGATTGCAGAAGACGATCATAAAAACTCAAACCTATCGAAGCACTTTGAGGAAACATCGGAATTCATCCACAGAGGCCTTTGGATTGACCATGGGAATTTACTAATTCATTGCATGATGGGAAAATCTCGCTCAGCAACAATTTCAACCGCGTATTTATGCACTATTACTGGGCTACCCTGGCTTACAGTATTGAACTCTTTACGCTTTTGCCGCGAGGTAGTCGATCCAAACGAGGGGTTCAAAGAACAACTCCGGCTATACGAAGAAAATGGATTATTCGAGGTATCTTTGTAACGAATAGAAGTGAATATTTGCCAAGATACAGTGAAAACCCAAAATTTGCCCACCCGAAATTTGGCCGATTTTTGTATAAATCTGCCTTTTTTGGAATCTGAAATCAAACCAAAATTTGGCCGCTTTTTCAAAAATAAGAAAAAAATTTCATCAGAATTGGGCCAAAATGATTCTATTTCTGTTTTTTGAGCTTTTTTAAAGTATTTTAATCATTTAAAATGACTAAATTCTCCTAAGAGTGTCTTCAAAGAAGCATAAATTTGAATAAAATTCATCAAAAATATAAAAATCATGCCGATTTTCGAAAATTTCGAAACTTTGCTTTGTGAAGGGGCAACTTGGCTACCCGGCAAAAAACCCAAAATTTGGCCGCATTTTTCGGGAATTTACATCTGAAAACCGGCCAATTTTTGGGTTTTTACTGTATAATATTTGATAATTCAATATTCTAAAGAATTTGCATAGCGCGATTCTCACAAGCTCGGGCAAATTCACACCATTGATCAAGAAATCCTCGATAAATTGAAGAAAGAGATCGTTAATAATGCTGAAAATTATCTACAGGAAAGTGGTTCTTACTAATCATAGTTGTAGTGAATTTCTATTGAAAGTATTTTCTAATTTTGTATTCTTTAAATAAGCAGATTTTTCTTTGTCTGTTATTGACAGCCCTAACTTTACCCTAACCTAGTTGCCCTAGTATTAACTTTTTACCGAATCAATTACAGTAAATACCTCTTTGGCAGAAAACGCGCCGGCAAAACGCACGGAACAAGGAAATTGAAACGGTTCTGTACACAAAGTAATTGGTAGTTTTTTTCTCGAAAGGTCGGATCACGCGTGGAGCTCTAAAGTTGCGCAATCATCTGGAGCCCGAAATCGATTTATTTTTGTATACTAAATATCGGTTGAAAACACAGTCTGTCTGCAAATTGCACTTGCCAAACAACTGCCACTATTTTTTGATACTAAAGAGAATCTGCTAAATCAACTAAATTCTTTTGCGGAATAGAATGAAAGATGGCAACGAAAATGAGGTGGAAAAGAAGGATAAAATTCTCGTAACGCATGGAACCGGCGTTTACGATGTTACCACATTTGCGGACATTCATCCGGGAGGAAGCAAATATCTCAAAGCCTTCAATAAAAAGGTAGTTTTTTTCATCAATTTAATTGATGACAACAGTGTCTGTTAGACAGGAATCTATTAACACCCCTTTTAGGACATCACAAAGGCAATGGAAGGTCCCTCTCACAGCCACGGGCCTTGGGCGATGAGATGGCTTTCCGAATTCCGCGTTGGTTTTGCAGAAGACTATCCTGACTTTGAAACTCCGAAGCTTAATCTGCCCGACAATGATGGCTTTGTGGACTGGACAAAGCCCGTTTTATGGCAAGTCGGCGACCTCAAAGAAAGATATACCGTAATTTCTCACATAAGATTGCAGTAATTCTTACTTTCTTTTGTAGCAATGGATACTGACTCCTACAGATCGCCCATTGAGGCTGTTCGAGAGTGATTTCTTCGAGTACTTTAGCAACAATACTTGGTACATCGTGCCGATCTTCTGGCTCCCCATCGTCTTATTCTTTGCCTCTCGATGCATCACTGGTGGTTTTAGCCCTCTGGAAACGTTAACTTTATTCCTCTTCGGGATCGGAGTTTGGACTCTGACAGAATATGTTCTTCATAGATTTGTGTTTCACCTGGAACCGTATAAATCTTCCGGCTTATTGTCGATCCTAACTGACAATAAGTTTTGGATCACTTTTCATTTTATCATGCACGGTCAGCACCACAAGGTATGGAAGAGGAAGAATCCTTATATAACTGTTTTTGTATAGGTACCGTTCGACAAAGGTCGACTTGTGTTTCCCATCGTTCCAGCTGCCATCATCGTTTATTTCTTTCGAATTCTGATTCACTCCCTTTCTGGCCCTGTTTCCGGTGAAGGTCTTGTTGCTGGTGGTATCTTTGGGTAAGTTTCTTTTGGCGGACCTTTTCTGAATAATTTGCCGTATAATTTCATTATTACTTCAACTGACAGATCTTTACTGATTCTTTATTGTAGTTACGTCCTCTACGACATCATGCACTACTTCACGCATCATGGAGATTTCGCCAAAGGAAGTTATTTCGATAAAGTACGACGAGCTCACGTGGGTCACCACTTTATTGATCCAAATAAAAGTAAGTACTCCCCATTATTACTCAATATCTAGCCATTTTCAGCTTTTGGAATCTCGTCACAATTCTGGGACGGTCCATTTGGAACAAAAAGAAAAACTGCTAAAGCAGATTAGCTTCAATTTAAAAGAAAATCACGACTCCACCTCAAGAGATTCAGAAAAAAACGTCTTCAAGAACAGGCTTTTTCAAAAAAACACTAACACACAAAAATATGCATCCGCGAAAGTTTCAAAACTGACATCAATATCTTCAACCCTCAATATTTATTAGAGTGAAAGTCATCAGTTTTTGATTGTTCATAAAGAATGTTCAGTTAGAATGATTTGATTCTGATACTATCAGACAGAATTAATGATAATTTATCTTTTCCACTGGTAATTGCTCTTTCTCCTCCTGAAAGTAGACTATTTCCTTCTTCACAACTCCAGAACTCAGGTTCAAAAAGTCCAAACTCAACTAACAACTACATCTACTGTCCTTTCTCACCCTTTTCTTCCCTTTTTTTATCTGTAAATTTTGAAAATAGCACCACTAAACACCTTTTCTTCAAGTTTTGTGCTCAACGAAATAAATACCTTTTCCATATAAATCTTCAGTCTGACTGATAAAGTGTCCTCAATTTGAACTCTTTATTTGCAGACGTCTTTTCATTTTTCTATACACCTGGGAGGAAATATGGACAGGAGGTAGTCTACGCAGAAGTTTTAAGCTGTGGCCCTCCTGTGGGCTCCTGTAGACGTATTTTTGTTGATATTATGTCCGGGTATTCGTCTTTATCTTATCTTTATCTTATACTTGATGCTGTTCTTCCTCGATACTTGAATTGAGATCACGAAGGTTTGTCGATGAGGTCGACGATCTACGTGGTCGATAAGTCGAAATATTGTCCATCAAGACGACGATTTTGCCTCATAAATCGACGACTTTGTCATGGAAATGGTCATTTTTGCCGAGAAAATCGAAAAACTAAAAAACCCTTCGAAATTCATATTGAAACTTTCATAAATTGAAATTTGAAAGAATATATATTGATCTTTGATAACTTGCGCTTACAAGCCTAGAATGAACTAAAATGTCTTCCCAACGCGTTGATACCAAGCAATTCAACACATTCGGTCATGCTTTGCCTCTCCTGCTCGACGAGAACACTGGCAAAGAACTCGTCAAATCCAGTCGAAAGCGCGAAGATGATATTTTCAAAATCGACGGGAAGCAGAGATTCCACGGCGCCTTCACTGGTGGCTTTTCTGCTGGCCATTGGAACACCGTCGGAAGCGCAGAAGGCTGGGCGCCGCAAGAATTCAAATCGTCGAGGAAAGAAAAGGGAGCGCAGAAACGACAGCGTCCGCAGGACTTCATGGACGACGATGACTTCGGCGAGTTTGGAATCGCCCATCGAAAGATTCAAGCTCGAGCAGACTTTGGGAAAGCAGATGTGTTCGTCGATAGTGGCGTAAAAGACTCGGACGCGTTGAAGTTCACTCTTGGCTTGGGTCTCGCAGCAGCAACGAGAATCGTTCAAGGCTCAGAAGCAAACTGGGGCAATAAGCTGCTCAGAAAACTCGGCTGGAAAGATGGCCAAGGAATCGGCGCGCGGAAAAGGGCAAAGCAATCGGAAATTCATGGAAATCTTGGAAAGAGAATCGGGCCCACGATGCCTTCTCGAGAAGCGCTCGTCGCCAACCAGCCTATTTCTTTTGCACCGAAGGATTGCTGCCCGATTACATTTCAAGCTAAAGCGAATAATAAAGGTCTTGGTTTCAAGGGCGTCACGGCTTTTGGATCCGAAATGGCGACGAACTCAAAGGTTCGTAATTTTGTCAAAAAAGTCGGCGATTTTGTCGAAATCATCAGCAATTTGTCACAAAAATCGCTGTTTATTCTTTTCTAAATGGTATCTTAGGCGCTTTCGGTGACTGTTGAAGGTCGAAAAATGAATATTGCTGGACAAGCGTTTGGCGTTGGCGCACTTGAAGAAGAAGATGCTGACATTTACGCGCAAGACTCGATGATGAACTACAACTTTGACATCAAAACGGAAAGGGAAATCCAGCAGGATAAACGACGAGCGAAAATAGAAGAGGACAACAAATTCCGCGCTCGTTATGCCCTCAAAGCACCCAAGATCGAGGGCGGCTACAACGATGTTCTCGAAGGCTTCGTTCGAGGAAGACCGGTCAAGAAGAACAAGAAGTTCAAAATGCCTGATATTCCAAGAGGCTACACGGGAACCCACGAATTCGACCACGATTGCAAATCGGCGATGATAATTCAAGCCTGTCAGGATATTGCTCGTTCCGTGGACGAAATGGCTTCGAAATACAAGGTCGCCATTCCTTCGTACGTCAAAGGAGGGAAAAGCACACAGCTGTCGGTGGAACAGCGCGCGCACATGCTACACGAACCCGCGCCGAATATTAAAAAAGAAGAGCCAAAGGAAGGGGTTTCTTTTGAATTGTTCGTTTCTGTAGGGAGCAATTTCCATCGCTTATATAAAGTTTCCAGTGAAAAACCCGCCTAGGCCGAGATAAATTTCCAGTGCAAATGGAAAGATCACGAAAAGCAAGAACGCTACGATAGATATTGTATCAACGTAAAAGATGGAAAACTCAATCCTTACGACGGCCTTGCGCGAGGTTTTGAAATAATCGATCAATCAAATTTCAAATTTAAATTTAGATGATTATACAAAATGGGAAATTGACAAAGAAAAGGCGGAATTCGAGCGAGCAGCTACTCAAAAATCTGCAATTACGGAAATCATGAAGAATCGATTCAAAAGGGCACAGTATCAAGACAAGGACGAGAACGTCTCGCTTGCTAAATCGAAGAGGGAGAAGATGTATCAGGTAAGATGCCCTCACATTCATCGTTGGAAAATGTCTGAAATTTTGCCCAGGAAAAAATTGATGCCGTGAAGATGAATTTCTTCGGCGCGATGACGCATGAGTGCTACGACTGGTATCCATCGAAGATTGTTTGTCGAAGATTCAACGTTCCTGAACCCTATCCCGGCTCGACCCAGCTTGGCTGTCCTTGGCTTGAAGCAGAGAACAAGTAAGAACATCTCTCTTCTTTCCAATCGAACCCTTTTTGTAGAAAAAGTCAAGCTGCCGAAGAAACAGTTCAAGATATCTTCGGCGCGAGCGACTATCAAATGGGTCTTTTCAAATCAGAAGAAGGGAAAACTGCAAGCTCTTCTGATGCTCCTAAAGATCAAACTACAACTCAAACTTCAAGTTCTGAGCCTCCAGTACAAATGAGCGGAGGACTCGCTTCCGCTGCTGATTTATTGAAAATGGAGGAGCAGCAATTCTCTGCTGCTCCAGCTCAAGCGCCTGTGAGAAAAAGTCTGATGGAGTTGAAACGCGAGCTCGTTCAAAAACAAGTGCAACGGGAGGTCAAGAAAAAGTTCGAAATCAACCCTAGGCCTGTCCCTGGCTCTGCAGAGAGTAAGCTTCCAGCAACAGTTAAAACGATCGTCAGAGAAGTCGATTTGAACCAACAAACAAAGGTACTGTTCTTCCCTATTGCTTCAGCTTGAAATCTCCATTTTTTCTAGCCAATGTCAAAACAGCCCTCGCGATTTTCCAAATTCGCTGAGCCGGAAAAAGCGGATTCGGCAACCATCAGCGCGAAAAAATTACGTATCAAGCAGAGACAAGAGAAGGTGTCGGAAAAGCTTACGACGGTTGCCGTTACGGATAAGCCGCCCGTCGACGTCTTCAAGTCAATATTCTCCGATTCAGTGAATGGCTTCCAAATTTATACGGGATAAATTATCCCTAACGTCACCTAGTATAAATTATCGTGACTTATGCTTACTGAATAATAAATAAATTGAGCCACGTGAAGATTCAAGTGACTCAGAATCGGAAAATGACAGCTCCGACGATGATGAAAGCTCGAGTGCTCTAACTATCAAAACTAAACAGGCCCCAGCTAGTTCCACAGATGCAGAATCAGCATCTGCGCCTCCTGAGCCTGAAAAGCCATCTGGGCCGGCGCCACTTCAGTGGTCGCGCCCGGGATCAACGTCTCTTCTAAAAAATCTTCCCAAAGCAGAAGTCAAGGAGGAAAAGAAAGATTCTGATGATGATCTTGACGCAATGCCTAAATTTGTCTTTACGTCCAAAAAGGATCGCCAAACAACCAAAAACAACGAGAAAAACAAGAATTCTGTCGCGACCAACTTGAAAATGGAAGTTGACGATGATGGTTCTCATGGACCAGCTTTGCCTAGCGGATTTAAAATAGAAAATTCCACCGAGTTCCCCAATTTGGAAGATGAAGTGATTTCGTCTGATTCTGATGAAAATTGCTGGCAAGTTTCGGTGAGTTAGAATCCATCATTCTAGACTCTAGAATCTAGAATCTAGAGTCGTCTTGTTGACTTGGAATTTTAGACTGATAAAAAATCAAAGAAGAAAAAGTCCAAAAAGGAGAAGAAGAAAAAGGAGAAAAAGGAAAAGAAGGAGAAAAAATCGAAAAAGTCAAAGCGCTAGAATCAGTTGACCTCCATCTTGCATCATTTAGTATTTAATATTTCTGGCCCTGAGATACAGATAAACAACGGTTGATTCTACTGTTTTAATTCTTGGTTTTTAGAATGAACGGACTTACGAGAGGTCTGCGAAGGTCACTGGTGACCGGCGTTAGAAGCCAGTTCTTCTCGAAAAATGTAAATAAAAATCAATCACACAATTAAAATAACGATTCATTGATTTTTAGAACGCTTTTTCATCAGAAATTGGCAAAGACAAATCAGAGCTCATTTACAAAATTCAAAGGCGCGGAGCTCTAGAATCGATACGACAAACCATAAAGTCGTGATTCTGACTTTCCAAATAGTTTTTTATTTTTTCGATTCATTAGCTCAGATGGTGATCTGGGGTTGAAGTACCAAAGGAGGATTTCTAGCTCCTTCTTTTGTGTTTCAGAAGAGATTTTTATTGTAAATAATCAATTAATTTTTCTAAGCCCCGCCTGCCCTGACTCCCTGAAACAAGAGTCAGAGGGGCCCTTTTCTCCGAACAAAATGAGCATTCTAGAGCTCTAAAAAAAGTCACCGAGTGAAGCCAGAAGACCAGCAAAATTACCACGATCTTCTGGACGAACACATCCTCAATTTGCACAATGACGAGAATCTACCGCAAACCCTTGTTGGCTCCTTCCAGGTCACTTTTGGCACTGAAGATGAGGTGATCCACATTTGGAAGTACTCGGGCGGATATGGCGCGCTGCAGAAGAGCGAATTTAATGTTGAGGCGAATTCTAAATACAGAGGTACTTGTTTTTGGGGTTGAATTTAATTATTTAGATTAAGGGTTGTCTAAGGATAAGAACTAGACTGGTCGAACGTCTCTTTTTAATAAATAATTTGTCGGTTTAAATTGGATTAATCCTTCCTTCCGAGAGATTTATTAAGAAGGTCAAAGGGTGGTCTTCCTTTCAGAAATTTTTGGGGTCGTCCGCTTTCCTAAGGATCACATTAGGTCTACATTCTCCCCTGCAGCAAAGATGCAGCGACTCGGCCCAACTCACGGTAGCTCATAGGGCAAACGTAGGGCAAGTCTGAGCGTGTGATGACTGAGCCTAACTGTAAAAATTGTGCACATTGAGCTGCTAATTTCTCGCCAAAAATCCTGCCCTTACTGAGGTATTTTCTGGATCATAAGTGGCATTTTTCTTCAGGGCGGTAAATTTGGCTGCCCTTTGAAAGAACTTTGATCTATAATCTTAATAGAATCCTGCCCTTCAAGGTATTCTCTGGATTTTGAGGGGGGTCTGACCTGCTGATGTGCGTCGACCCGAGGCAAGGAGAATCTCAGCAGGAGCTAGGTTTTAGAACAGTATTTTCTCACTCGAGAGTTACTCTCACTGAAACTTTAATTCAGAATACCGAGAAGAACGACGAAAGTTTTTGCGGTCTCGGCAAAACCAGATCTTGGTCCAGTTCGGACACATGCCTGATCCAGTGCCAAGAGCAGGGAATTCCACTTACGAAATGCGCAGCTACAAGCTCAAGTCAGGCAGCATCGGCGAGTGGCATTACAATTGGGCGAACATTGGCCTCAAATGCCGATCGCCAGAGGAGGTTGTTACTGGCTTCTTTACAAATGCTGGGCCACTGTAAGTCCTATTTTCTTTCATTGATGACTGTATTTTTAAGAAACTTGGTCCACCACCTCTGGTGCTACAAAGATCTCAAGGATCGAGAAGAAACTCGTTCAAAAGCTTGGAATCATCCTGCCTGGGCAACGCATGTTCGAAATACAGTAAGAATCTTTCCTCAGTCGAGCTTTTCAGACCCCTCTTTAGACCCCTCTGATCAAAAGCTTCGAAACGAAGTTGATGACTCCTCTTCCCTGGTCACCACTCCAGTAAACACCCAGTTCCTCCGAAGACCGTCAAATTGAATACGAAATCAAGTGATTCATTGTGAAAAATTTATGCTTCGAGATTCGAAAATTTACGCTTGTCCCAACAACAAAAATCACCTCTGATCGATTTACCCGATCAACATATTTCGGTGCCATCATTTTACATTACATAATCATTTTTATTCGCTCAACATTCTGTCTTTCTGTTTCTTCTGTTTGAAAAACGGTGGTTTTATAAAAAATAAATGATAAGAAAAAAGTACAGCAACAAGATTTGGCGATATTTGCCAAACTTTTGGCATTCGATGTCAGATGCTATAAAATTTGCAAAAGCACGGTGGAGGTTATTCAGTCACTGAATTTTTCATCGAATTATTTGACTAAAAAGGCGCAAAAAAACTGGCAACTACATCAGTTCAAAGAGGGTCTCCTAAAAAAGAAATAAATGAAATGAGGATCAGTGCGATTTTATTTTCCGTAGTTAATTTTGTTGCAGGTAGGCTCTAAATCGGAGCATAACTTCTATTTGATTCAGTATTATCTTACAGTCTTGCTGATTTATGAGGACTGCAAGAGCGCTGTGAAAAAAGTAAGAAAGAGAGGGTTTAGGGCGGCTACGTTCGAAATTTCGAACGCTGTTCGAGATTTTTCGAACGCCGTTCGAAAAATTTCTGAAATTGCTTATAAAAATGAGCTCATATGCGCTCCGCGCCTGATTTGTAAGTAAACTCTCCCATAATGATGCCAACTTCCTTTACTAACACAATTTCAACGATTTCAGCTCATATTTTGGCAATTTTTGGAAATTTCGAACGCCGTTCGAAAAATGGGCCCAAAAACCGATTTCGAACGTAGCCGCCCGCCACCCGAAAGAGACTGTAAAAAAAGAAGGCCTTACCTCTTTGTAGGATTGACGAAAAAGTATGGATACAGCGGATTCGTCGCTGACAAGTGTTACAATATCATGGAAAAGATGCTATCATCAAATGCTATTGAAATCACAGATTTCAACGACGACGATCACCACGACGCGGATCATCAACTTGAAGACCCATTTTACGACAGCAACATATTTTGAACTATCAATTTTGCATATTTTATACATAAAGATGAAAGTTCCCGACTCTTGATTTTGTGATGGAAAATTTGTTTCAAAGATGTGTATTAATTAAGCAACAGAATAGATATTAACAGATTTGAAGCAAGGTTTGAAAATGGTTCATGGTGAGCGATGGCATCCATCGGATCTTGAGTCTTCTTTTCTTTCCGCAACGGATTCGATCTTGGGCTTCTCAGCGTCGGAACCGATTTGACCCTTGTTTTCCGAAGCTAAAAGAGGGATTGTGCTGCCGATGGCGACTGATCCGATCATCGAGCTGGAACTTCGTTGCTTGGTTTTGTCTTGCTTTTGACTGCGTAGTCGTTTGAACTTTAACTCGCGCTTGTTGCTGAAAAAAGAAATGACTACCGAGAAGGCCAACATGGATTAGCTCTGTCAGCTGGAGAATTATCTCTACCGCGCGTAATGGCTAAAGCTAGCGATTTTCTATCTATTTTCTGCTAAAGAAGTAATACGAAGTAATTCTCTTCCATGATTTCCAAATGACTTACTATTGTCTATTCAAGTACAGCATCGCTCCACCAACACTTGCAACGAACACAGCAACTCCAGCGATAATGATATTTGAAGCCGCTTCGAGGTTTTGAGCGCACTGAACCTCAGCGGGCCGTTCCTCAAGCTCGTCTTCGTTTTCTTCGAGGAGTAATTCGACTTCCTCGGACATTTGGTCGCCTGTGATTCGTGTCATGCCTCTTAGATCAACTTCTGAGAGCGGGATTTCGACTGCAACGGGTTGGATGCGATTGCCGCATTTGTCCTTTTGAACCCTTAATTTTCAGTAAATGGCTGAAGAAAAAAGTGGTTACTTACGTAAACATTCCACCAATGTGCAGGAATGGAGTACAGCAGCCTTGCATGTTGAGCAACTGTAGGCACTGCTTGTGGCTTACTTTCTCCACTTGAACCATGTAGTAGCACTAGAAAATCACTATGAAAAAGGACATTCAAAAAGGAGATCTTACATTTTGGCAAAGCTTTTTCGAGCAAGGATTCTTTTTCATCGGCGTAGCGGTGACGGAAGATTGAAGCGCAATCAGTAAGAGTAATCTCGTCATTTTTCGATTTTTTTTTGTTGTTGATTTAAAAATATATTCGTGTCTCTCGATCACAGGTAAATGATAATTAGCTCTGTCTTAGATAGTCGATGATTTTATACAAGAGACCCTGACAGCGCAGGGTGGCGCTGTAGCAAAATACCCTCGCGCTCGAGTATGGAGAAGGATAAGCCAAAGCAGGTAACGAATGAGTTTCATAGAAAGTGAAGGATCATGCGTTTTTTATCAAGAGTTAAGCAACTAAATAATCAATACTCAAATGTAATGTAAATGTGTGGTTCGAATAAGACAGAACCAAAACTACTTCTGCAAAATAAGAAATTCTTATGATAAACATCACCATTACCATAATGAAAACCATCAAGATTCTTGAGACTCAATACTTGGTCGGAGAAAGATTCTTCCTTCCAAGCAAGATATTCGAGAATCGAGAACATTAGCTGAGAATTTTGATTTATGCCCGGATGTCAAGAAAAATGTTTATGTTGACATCAAAATTTCAATATCCAGCCTTGGTAAAGCATTTAGTATCAAAATTTCGAATGGTAGACGATGTCTAAAGCTTTCCATATTTGATGTAGACATTTCATGAGATTCCTCTTCAAGAAACTCGAATTTCCAGCGCGGGGGCTTATGCTTTTATCATGGCACGATTATTTCGAAGAATCTTTCTAGCTTTGCTCAACAGGATGTTCTATATTATCATTCTTTCAAAATCGACTGAATATGCATAGAATCCTGATTCTGCTAAATGCATCCTGCTTATGAAAGTAATCTGCAAGGAATAAAAAGTCAATTTTAGACATTGTGAAAGATTTACATTTGCCTAAAATTCGATATTGGAACAACTTTTCTTATAAATATATTTTCCTGCCGTTGACAGTAGTGATGTTCCACAGGGCCCGAAAGAAATTTGTAAAGATTGAACTTCTCGGAATAAATTAAATTTGACCTATTAGAGTGACATACAGAAAGTGATATCAAACGGCGCACATCAGACTTTTTTCGTTGATTATTTTGTTTCTTAGTTGTAGTACTCGGACCAGGCTCGGACCATGCATCTGCCCATCTGAGCGGGCGAGTTGGTGGTGACGACTCCAACGTCGTCGAGAGCCTGAAAGAGAATTTATTTACGTTTTTTACATGCGGAGCTGACGCGCCGGGGAAATGTTAATCCCTACGTAGAAGTTTGACTTTCCGACGCGCTAACGTTAAGTATTTTCTACAGAATCCAGCATATTCCAAACTACAAAGAACAGAGCGGTCATAAAAATGGCATGTTAACCTATTGATGGTGTGGGAAAGCAACGCCAGAGCATCAAAATAACTGTCTCAGAGTAATTGAGAAACTTACAGCGAATTTAGCTTCGGCAGTTCCTTTGCCGCCAGAGATGATAGCACCGGCGTGACCCATTCGTCGTCCGGGAGGAGCAGTAGAACCAGCGATAAATGCAACGACGGGCTTGGGGTTGGCCTGAAAGCGAATTTTGAATAAAAGAATTACGTTGCTGATGAAACCTGGCTGAAGTTGTGCTCTCGGAGGTATTCAGCAGCCTGCTCTTCGGCATCACCACCGATTTCACCGATCATCATGATACCCTTGGTCTCTGGGTCGTTGAGGAAGACTTCGAGGCAATCGATGAAGTTGGTGCCGTTGAATGGATCACCACCGATACCAATGCAGAGGGTCTGGCCGAATCCAGTCTCGGTAGTTTGGTGCACAGCTTCGTAAGTGAGTGTGCCGGATCGAGAGACGATACCAATCTTTCCTCGCTGATGGATGTGACCGGGCATGATACCGATCTTGCACTGCTCGGGGGAGATGATGCCGGGGCAGTTGGGACCGATAAGTCGGGTCTTGTCCTGCTGGATCAGGGCAGATTTGACGCGGACCATGTCCTGGGCGGGGATACCTTCAGTGATGCAGACGGCAAGAGGAATTTCGGCTTCGATGGCATCAAGGATGGCGTTGGCGGCGAACTTGGGAGGGACGTAGATGACGGTAGCGTCGGCACCAGTTCCCTTCAATCGTTAGATGATAAATATTCAACAGATGTTAATCATACCTTTCTTGCGTCAGCGACGGAGTTGAAAACAGGAACGCCAAGGTGCTCCTGGCCACCTTTGCCGGGAGTGACACCACCGACGACCTGTGTACCGTAAGCAATGGCCTGCTCGGAGTGATAAGTACCCTGCTTGCCGGTGAAGCCTTGAACGATCACCTTAAATATATCGATGAAATAATGACGATTACAGAAATAAAACCTTAGTGTTGGCGCCAATTTTCAAGTTTGGTCGAGTAGCATCGTAGACCAACGATCGGGAGACCTGTCGGGCGACGTTCTGGGCGATCAACTTCATCCTGAAAAAGCTTTTTTAATTGCAAATAATGGTATTTTCAGATATGTTCGGGAATGCATTCGAGTATTATATATTTTAACAATCGTTTCATAGGCAGAAAGGCTCGATCAAAGTCAGTAAGGTTTAATCAGATGGACTTCATCGATTTGTCCTGTCTGAAGATCATCTCCTGATTAGTACAGGTAGAGAGATTCACAGGTATATATGCTGCTAATGAAAGAAACTAAGCACAATCAATAAGCGAGTATAACCGCTAAACGAAGAAGAACTGAAATTTTCAAAGGGAAAATATTCTAGATTTTGATATCAAGGAGGAGAAATAAAGTAAAGGTCAATATTCTTCAAGATTTATAGACCTTTGAACTTGTCAAGTATTCAACAGGGGCAGTGTGGAATGGTCAGGAAGGCATTAGTTTTGAGAAGATTCAGGTTGACACAATGTTAATTACGATCTTCGTTCATGAATTGAGCGTTTTCCGACTGGATTCGCGCTGCTGATTTATCGTGTGACTGATGATGTCTTTCAGCGTTCGGCCAAATTGTGCGAGAACAGCTCTTTCCGCGGCAACAGGATCATCCTAGAACATTTGCTGTTACAAAACACACGAAGGAAATTTATCTCAAATGGACCAGAGAGATCTGACATGGATGAAGGATTACTCCAACTTTTCCGAACATTCTCGTAACACATTTTTTGGAATAACGTACGGTACATGAAGTATGATACGTACCGGCTTAGACCGAGCTGACGCAATCAAGCAGTTAGCAGCAGCGGAAACAACAGCTGGACTGAGAGTCGTTTGCAGAATCCTTGAGACGCCCAGCTTTTGGCGCTTGGCACCAGGAGGTCCGAGATCATTGAAAATGCTTAAAAATTATTCAAACCCAATTATATAAAGAGTTCTAGAATATCCACAAAATAGCCGGATAAATGGCTTTCCAATTATTAAATCAATAAATTAAATTTCAATAATTTTCAAATATGATCGAGATGATTTTCTTGTTTACAATAAGCTGTAGGTGCAAAATTCTTCCGGTGTGGTATTCTCTGACTCACAAAGTAATGATCTTTGACCTTAAACAAATTGAACTTACTCATGGTCGTCTCGATTTTTGCATCCAACACAATTACAAATGTCATTGCATGGCACTCCCGCCTGATAACACTCGCAGTACTTTTTCAAGCAGCCAGAGCGTTTACAGTTGCACCCGCGCAGGTGCTTCCCTTTGTTGTTTACTTGTTTCCCGCTTTTGGCGACTTTGGGCTAGAAGAAATAAAAATCGATGAAAACCAGTTCTGAAAATGGAAAATTCTAACCTTGAAGGCGTCTTCGTTGCGATCAAGTGCTGATTTTATCGCTTTTTGGCGGAGATCGTTGTATTGTTCCTAGATTTCAAACTGAAAAGAAACAGCAAACTGCTGTACCTGATTATGACACATTGTACAGGCACAGTAAGAGTGGCAGTATTCTCCTCTTCGAAAACATTCGCAATAGAGCTTCAGGCACTTTGATTTTGAGCAAGAACAACCCTTGTTATTTCCAGAGACGGTAGCGTTGGGGTTGCTCCGGTTGAGAAGGTTTTCGGTGATCATGTGTTCCGTGACAGTCGCGGAGACGGGCATTGGAGATGGAAGGACGTAAGGATGACTTGCTGGAGCTAGGTTGAATGAGCTTGACGTTCCCTCGTTTCGGCCGCGGAACTAGAAAAGACACTCAGACCGATTAATTCTCTGAGTACGTTACCTCGTCACTCATTGTGCTTTCAAGTTTCACGGACTGAACTTGCTGCGGTCTTGCTGATTGAATCAGAGTTGGCTAAAAAAACTCTTAGCTCGTATAAGGGGTAAGCGAAAGTACCGATTGCTGGCTTGGAGCATTTTTCTGAATGTAGGTGATTTGGCCATTTGAGTTCGTAACTGGCTGGAGAAAGACGACGCGTTGATTTTGAGGAGCTTGAATCACCTGTTGCCCGCTTACGTTCACGACTTTTAAGGGAGAATTAATGAGGAGATCGGGGTTAGATGAAAATACCTTGTTGGCTCGGAATTACGACTCGCGTTTTCGCCTTTGCTGGCCGGATTGTTCTAGGACTGAAAGGCGTAAGATTAAATTTGCGCATGTATTATTTTCTTATTAAACCTTTTGGTTGGGACATGGAATTGAATTTGGCCCGGCTGAATGGGCCTATTCTGACCCTGCGCTGGAGCGATCGGCCTGATCTGGATGTAATTTGTTTTCGGTGCATTTTGCGGCAGATTTTGCCTTGGCTGATTTGGATCCATTACAATTTCATTCCTGAAAAAATTGACTTCGATGACTTTTTTTATAACATTTTATTGTGATCGAGCTACTAGCATTCAATTGTATCCGTGTAATTGTTTAAATGTTTCCAGTAATTGATCTGCACTTGATCTGCACTATTTAGATGTTTGGTGAAGCTTTTTTGAAATGAAAGAAAAGGTAATTGAGAGATAAAGAAAAGTTATCGTAAATCAAGTGAAAAGAAATTTCAAATCAGAGAGTATTTGGAACAAGGTTAAATTGAAGCATTGTTTTATTCGGGCAGAGGAGTCGAAAGAGGGACGAAATCAAGTACTTTCGGTGAAACAAAGGAAATGAGCGTAAACGCTTGAATTTTTTAGATTTTTTTTTTCGTTCTTATTAGTGAAGGTAATTTCGTGGCTTTTAGGGGTTTTAATATGATTATTATCATTTTGATTTCTACATTGGATTGTATCCACTGTATGTTTTTCGTCTTCCAATAATGTAAGCGACACAAATAGCGAGAACCAAACCAGCGAGAGCAGTAGCAACAATGATCGGCACTAGAAATCATTATCTATCGGCCAATTCAAATTCATTATCATACCAAGAAGCGACTCTTCAATATCAGCAGCGCAACTGATTGCCTTTGAAAAGTGTGTAGCGTTTTCAATCGGGTAGTTAGCCAAGGCGACTTCAACCCACAAGTCGGACATTGTAATGCTAGCCGTCGAATTCCTTAGTTGAAATGTAAAGGGAGTTGAGTTTTCGAAGACTTACTGTTGTTCTTCTACAGTCAAGTTGGAAGTGAAGCCAGTAATGCAAGAGTATGCGATTCCTCCGTAGATCCACTCCGCTTTGAGATCTTCAGTGACCAGTCGAACATCATCCGCTAGAATAAAAACTAGAATCTCTTATTCTATCTCTATCTTACCATCAACAGCTGTGATAGAGTCAATCTTCCATTTAGTTTCATTTCCAAGGCCAGTGACATTGTAGCTGAGCGCGAAGTTGAGCTGAACATCATCGCTAAAAACGAGAATTAAAGCTGACCGCTTCATAATGGTCTTTACTTGTAATTGACAACAAGAGCGCCGGCTTGCGTTCCGTCAAAGCCAAGGCATGATGATTCAGAGGTGATGACTTCTGTTTCGTTTGATCGAATAGTATCTTAGGATTTAATAAAAAGGAAGGTGGAAAGGAAAAGAACTTACAGTTGTTTGTTTGAGTTTGAACTTCTGCGACGAACTGCATCATGATGCAAGGCTGGTCAGCCTCGTCGTAAAGGACTTTGATCTCTAAATGAAGGGATTAACAAGATTGGGGGTAGCGCTGTCTTGCCTGATGGAACAACCGGTTTCGGCGTTGGCTCAATTGTTGTCGGCACTTGTTCTGGAGTTGTTGGATCAGGAACGGGCGTCGTGGGAGCCGGCTCCGGAGTCGTATCATTTTGACCAAACGCGAGAGCGACAAAGACTGATAAGAGCTTCATCTTTGATCTATAAAATGCCATTTATTTTCTCCTAATGATCTTACATTCAATGAGAAAGTAAGAGTTTAGGGCAGTGGAGAACAGAGAGCACAAGATAATCAAATGAACTATTTTTTTCTAAAATACGCCGGCTTTTCTTTCTTCTTCGCGGACTTGACGCAGTTCCCCGCATTCCACAATTTTGACCTAAAAACGCTCAATTTCTAAAATCAAGGAAGAGAACAATTTTACCGTCTTTTTGACCACGCCACTTTTGGCACCGCAAGCTTCCATTTGACGCAAGCAGTCCAGTCCTTTGATTAGTTTTCCGAAAACGACGTGTTTTCCGTCTAACCAGTCCGTCTGAATAAATGATATTAATCAAAATCTCAGACAGAGATTATTCTTTTAATCATGCCTTGCCGAACACGGAGACACACGTAAATAATCTCTTACCTTTTCCGTACAAATAAAGAACTGCGACCCGTTCGTATTCGGACCACAGTTCGCCATCGACAGTATTCCCGGTCCGTCGTGCTTCAGGACAAAATTTTCGTCATCGAATTTTTTTCCGTAAATTGATTTTCCACCCGTTCCATCTCCATGCTGAAAATCGCCTCCTTGACACATGAATCCAGGAATAATTCGATGAAAGCTCGAGTTTTTGTAGCCGAAACCTTTTTCGCCTGTGATGAGTTTTCTTGTGAAAAAGAATTAGCTCAGGTGTAGAGAACTAAAAGTTTGCCAACCTGAAGTTTTCAGTCGTTCTGGGAACTGTATCCTGCCGGAGCTCAAACTCCATTCGCCCGGCAAATTGGCCGCCAATAGTGATGTCGAAGTAAACTCGCGGATTAGCCTCGTTGGTCATTCCACTCTTTGTCTTATCTGAAATATAAAGGATCAGCCCCGACCGTAGCTGAATGAATCTTGCATATTTTGATAGCTATCCGTTCTTAGGAAATGAGAAGCTGTGACTGTAACTGTAACTCACCAATGGTTGCTGTTTTGCCAGTATGCTCGACGGATACATCGCCCAACGGACCAGTTCGCTCATCTTCCAGCGTTTTACCTGCGTATTTCGCGAGCCACGAATCATCCGCCCAAACCGGTCTCGAATAGTGACCATCTTTCATCTACACACATTTCGTGTATTTTATCCTTAGGACTAGAATCTAACCTTGATTGGTCGCGCAATATTGACCTTTAGCGTCCTTCCAAAAAGCTCAGCATCGTCCATGTTGTCCATGGCCGAAGCAGCGTCGCCGACTTCTTTGTATTCAACAAAAGCGAAGCCTCTGTGAGCTTCAGTCTCAAAATCCAGTGGCACTGTGATATCTTAAAACATCATCATCAGACACAATTCAAGCTCATATTTCCTACCTATGATATCACCAAAAGGAATGAAGGCCGCGTGGACCATCTTTTCGTCCACCTCTTCGGCCAAGCCACCCACATAAAGCAATTTCTTATTTGTCGTAGCCATCTATTTATGATCTTAAATCGATAAAATTTGAATTTTTGACGGCTCTAGTCATTTGTAATTGAAATGTGTGACGAGCGCAAGATGTGGGAACAGTTACAGTTATTTTTAACATTCTGGTAGTATTTCATACTCAATTCCTTTCGGAAAAACGTTCGTTCGATTCAAATTGAGAAGATGAGATCGAAATTCTCAATTACGCCACCATTGAGTCGATGAGAGCGTGTCTCATGTCGCCAGTAACCTTGTCGGGCTGCTGATCGTTGAGACGGAAAATGGACTCTATCACCGAGATTTCCGTTGCAGTCGTGTCTTGCCCGACGAAGGAGACCCAATCATTTACAACCATTCCGCCTAAAAACACAAAAATTTATTCCATTAGCAACAACAAGAAGTCTGACAGCCAAGAAGTCTAACAGCAATGAAGTCTGAGAGAGCTACGTACCTCCGATAACATCGGATCCTCTGTTGACCGTTCCAGCCACAAGGGGCACCTGCAACAAGCTCGCTAATTCATCCTGATCCTCTGGCGTTGTTTTCGGGTGCACAAGGCCGCCCTTGTTTGTAAACTGACAATACGTCCCAACCAAAACCTGATCTGCAACTGTTTGCCTAAATAAGAGAAATGAATAATATTATTCAAATTTCGCGTGGAGCAGCTGGCGCACCTAAAAACTTCGACATTGAGCGTGTCGGCGATGATTTCTTCCGTTTCCCGATCAATATCTGGGTGGACGAGGGCGACGTAGTCATTGCAAGCGATAACGTTTCCAAGAGCTGATAAGCGTTCTTCTATCCGCATGACTCTGACACCGTCGGGGAGCGAGTTACGGATGTGCTGGAAGAGAAAACGTTTATGTAGGGCCCGATGTAGGTTACAATACCTGAAGCTCCTGATCTGTTGTGTTCTGAGGGCAGAGGACGCCGTTTTTGTTTCCAGCAGTCAATCGGCCGATAATTCTGCATCCAGCAATTGATGTGTGCACAACGGGAATAACGTCCGTTAATTCAGACTCAAAAACGCTACAAAACTATTTCCGCATCTTCATAAAAAAGATTAAATACCTGTAAAAGTTCTCGTTGGCTCCAATGCCGACAAGGGCGTACTTGTTTGTAAGTTTAGCAAAGACGCCAACTTCGTTCGAGTTCTCAAAGTTAGTACGAAGAGCCATTCTGAATGATAAGAGTTATTAATGCATTTGGTACCGAAAGGGACTTTTATCAAGAATTTTTTTGTAGCCAGCTGAAAAAGTGGCAGTGAACCTGTCAACTAGGGCCGAGTCATCAGTGGTCAGTTCGTGGTGGTAAGAAAAGCGATACAAAACATGTACAAAACTTGTAAATGTAAATGCAAATAAGGGTCGAATAGTGTAAATTTGTACAGATAAATGGAGGATGCGTTAATTTAGATAAATCAGGTTAATTTACAGATGCACGGTAGGAATAAAACAATCGGAAAAGACGTATCAATGAGTAATTTTTGACTGTCAAGGAATATAAAAAGGAATTTTAATTGAATTGAAGAGAGAGAGCCCAAAAATACAAACTGATAGTCACTAGTTGGCCGGTAAACGAGGTTATAAAAGAGATCTAATGTAATAAGTGAATACTGGATATTTTATAACAGAAGATAAAGGATAGAAACTTGGTATTGAACAATTATTATATAATAATAGTAATAATAAAATAATGAACAAATTGGAGCACATTTTAAGACAAAACTTGAAGTTGCGAATCATAAAAATGAGAGGGGTTAACTCAAAATGTTCAGAACTTTATTTTACTAATCTCGTCGTCCCAGATTGCGTCGCTGGTTGGGATGCGGCCTGGTCGGGACTTTGGCGTTCGCGCTTTGAGTTGGATAGAATCAGCCTCTTCGTTCATCTCCTCTTCGTCTTCCAGCGTTATGTCAGGATTGAGAGACCTACGTTTGCTCACTGGAGTTCGTAAGCGGCTTTCTGAGAAAGAAACGCGACTCGAGTTCGCTGAACGATGAATGTTTGTTGAGGTCTCTTGAGGCTGCGAGCTGGCCGTCTGCGACATAAAGTCACCATGAAGCGATCGAGTGCTACTGGGAAGAATCGCCGGCTGGGAAAACGAATGATGCAGCTTCTTTTGTGGCGATCTATGTGCGTAAATCGCATCCCATCGCTTGTTAGGCACTCTACGAGGAGTACCAGAGCCAAGGCTGCTCACGGAAATTGAAGGAGAACGGGAACCGCTTGACGCAGGAGGAGGCATCGAAAGCACTAAAGAATCACTTTGTCTCCTGTTTGAGCTTAGATATAGATTACCTCGGCCTAGTTGCGGAGCAGGCTGGCTATGAGAAGATAGGCGTCGTTCAGAGAAATGTGATGGGCGAACGGGAGTTTGTTGAGAGTAGATTCGCTCGCGTCTTGGAGACAACATCGTCACTTCGTTGTCGAAATCTTCTTCTTCGTCGATGTCTGATTGACCAGGGTGGCTAACGCCAGATAGTCGTCTATTTCTGACGAGGAGGTCGAGAGAAGTGGGATCAGCAGAATGAGTTGATCTCGGTGAAGCTGAACCAGCAAGGATGGGCTTCCGCACTCTCATCGGCCACGGCCGAAAAGCCTTTGGCTTACCAACGTTTGTGTTTGGTGTTGATGTCAGGATGTGCACCGGATCTTCTGGCACGTGGATTGGTGGCGGAGGCAAACTCATGGTATGGGATGTCGATCGCGATTCAGAAGGAGGTGATGGAAAGATTGAATACGGAACTGGTAACTTTGGCGAAGAGGATTCTCTCCGGGCTAGAGCCTTTTTCGTAGGCCTCTCTTCTGACCGAGGCTTGCGAGGCTTCCTCGATGGTGTTTTCATTTCCGATGGTGAGGTCTTTTTCTTTGGCGTAGAAGCAACTTTAGGAACAGATTTACTTCGCTGCTTAACTTGCTGAGGTTTGGAGGTCTTTTCTTTCGTCTGTTTGCCAGTCCTGTTAGCTGATTTAGCCCGAGGTGCAGCTGCTTTTTTCGTCTTTTCAGATTCTGGTGGCTTTTTTGCAGTGGACTTTGCCTTTTTTGCTGTGGATTCTTTTTTCCCTTTTGGTTGGACTTCGTTATTGTTGTCCCCCTTCACATTCTGCATCGGAAAGAATTCGTAGTCCGGCTCATCGAGCCAAAGGTTCTTCGGCGGCAGTTTTGTCTTGTAGGAGTTCTTGTACAAGTAGTCCACGAGAATGTATTCTCGCTGCTTTTTATGGCCTCGGCGTTGAACACTTGCTCGGAAAAGCCGCCGTTCTGGGCCGACGAATTCGATCTTGGATGATTTTTTGATCCAATCGTTGTTCTTTGGCTTGTAAGATGGCTGCCGCTTGTTTCTCCGGGAGACGACGACGTCCAGAATCACTGGACCGTCATGAGGTATCTGAGGAATGAGGTTAGTTATGGGAAGAATTTAAGGGTCTTACATAAATAGGCGATCTTTGCGGAGATGGAGCTCGCGATGGAGGAGGAGTTACGTACTCTTCCTTGATTTCTTCTGTTGTTTTTTCACGACCACGGCTCTTTTTCGATAATTTCCCATTATTGACCTTCTTGGTTATTTGCTCCTTTTCGACCTTTTTTGAAGCTGTTTCAAGTCTTTTCGACTTTCTCGGCGCCGATTTCGATCGTAACGTAACCATGGTGCAGTTACATTCACTTGTTTGCTCTAAAGAATTCTTTTAACTCCTTGTTTGGTGGAATAAATTTACATATAATATTTAGTGAAATAGAAAGAAATAAAGTAGTTTTACGATAATATAAAGTTTTATGAATTTTCACTTTGGTTTAGTTCTACTATTTTTTTCTCTGAACTTTCATCAGGGGTGAAATTGCTGAAGATATCTTAATTTTAAACATGGAAAACGGTATTCATTTAAAATTATCAAAACTGTCAGTTGCTTATCTGTGACAAAAAAGTAGTGAAAAATAACGAAGGAACATAAAAAAACAGGTGATTGGAGGATATCTTGAGGCAGTGAAACAAAACAAAACTACAACGTGTAAGAACCGTGGGTGAAAGAAATCATGGTCACAAAAAATATCAAAAAATATGAAAAGGGGAACAGAGGGGCAGTTCAAAGTGATCTAATTAACGAAATAGAAGAAACTGCACATCAAAAATATCCTTTTTCATGATCTGGAGCGTCAGGAATTTCACTTTGGCAAGTGTTTTCTTCGACCTAAAAACTTTAGTAAGGGGCTGAATACAGTACTATTGGCAATAGTCTATTGCATTTACCTGGTAATCCAGGTCGAGATCGAGCTCTTCTCTGTCAGAACCCGGCGAGCAGTTGTTGATCGATCCGTCAGGAGAGCATGATCTGATGTTAATTGACCCGCCAACTCTTCTGATCGGCGAACCGACGGGAGAAACTCTCGGTGGGTTCGCTGGCTCAACGTCCGGTACTTGCATCCACAACTCCTCTGTCGAATCCATCGTCTGTATTTGACAGCTTTGCATTCCCGGCTCTTCAGTATCGAAAATTACATTTGGAGCTTCATGATGAAGGGCTTCTGGAGCGTTCGAAATAACTGTATCGAGGAGTGTTTTCTCCGCTCCAGCTGCGTTTTCCCTTTTTCAAACCAATTAGATTTCAATAAGAAAAGATGGTTTTATATTAAGAATAACCTGATTCAATATAATTGTGAATAAAAGACCATCAAACCTCCTGTAGAAAAGAATGTAGACATCCTTTGCATCCCTCGCTGTCGGCCGTTTTACACTAACATCTTGGTCATCGTAATAATTCCACTTTCCGTCGAACGGATTCTTCGCATAGGCAGTGTAATGCCCGACATTGGTTGTTCCAAAGTGCTAAATGCTTTATTAGGAGTTAAATTTATTTTGAATCTTTACCTGAATCGAGCCAATCAAATTATACTTTCCCGATTTTTCTCCGTCAGCTGTTTCTAGCGCGCTCACATCCAGTCCAATCCGATCGAAGAGCACCTCAGTGTCGATTTTCTTCGATATTGCGTTTTCAAAGACGAAGCGCTTTAGGTAGATTATCAATGTGTCAGGAAACCTCTGCACCGTCATCGTCTAAAGACAAAAACCATGATCAAGGAGAGAGCGGAAAGAAATCATACCTTTGTCGCGCTTGTGTTTTTCTGACATTTCTGACAGTAAACGCAATTTTCGCCCATTTCTTCAGGTGTTGTAAACTCTTTCAGGCATTTTTCTAGCGAAGGTCTTTTTGATTTGTCGAAGAGGTTATTGTAGCTCTCGCTGTTTTCCCAAGTGACGTTGCTGATTTCTGATTTCGTTACAATTTTGAAATGGTCGTTGCTTAATTTGAATAAGTTCAAAGGAATTGTTAAATTGTCCTACGATTTGAGCTGGATATCGAAGTCAGGAGGTACGATACATCCTTGACAAGTGGAGCCGCATTTTGAACAGTATTCGCCGTTTATATTCGAGTAGTGAATGTCGAATTCCGGCATTTGTTCGGAAAATTGAAGCATGTACATCGTCACGTAATTATACAGCTTTGATGAATTGGCTGAACAGCTGATGAGCGCCGTTATCATGAATTTTGTCTTACTTTTTTTGCTTATTCGAATAGAAAAGGGGACAGAAACAGATCGCAGCTTGTCGTCAAGATCCTCGCTTTCTATTTTTAATTTGAGAGAGACGATCGACACTTGCTCTTCGAGAATTGCCGGTAAAGCTGGAGCAACTGGGATATTAACTTTTGAGTCTATTTCGACATCGTCGTATTTTTCGATCTTTTCCTTGCACTTCATGCACTCGGTTGAATCCGCAAACGATTCAGCACAGCATGCGCAAATCATCACGCCACACGAGTACGGGCATGTCTTCATCTCTCCAACTACAGTTTCGCCCAGGCAAATGTTACAGTCGATTTTATCCTCTCCACTTGTCTCTTTCACCTCTGGCTCGTTTCGCAAGTCGACTGACTCCATCAGGATGAGTTCAGAGTTCTCACGCGTCGGGAGCATATACATTGGGTCGGATATATTTATCTGCTTTCTAATTTGACCATCGCTCAATTCGAAGAGATCCATATTTGTCACTTTTCTGTTGCTTTTCTGAAATTTCCATTTTCATTTTTGACTCTCTAAAAGGTAGGGCTGCTCGTCTGATAGCTTGTTATTCGCCGACACACAAAGTCACGGCTTCTGATTGGCCTACAACCTGGGCAACCTATATTCACGGGTCTACGGTCTTTGATTGGCTCAGAGCCATAATAACAGCTTCTGATTGGCCCAGAAACCAGCGCAATTATATTCGGAATATCTTACCTCTAAAAGTTCTTTGGTGGCGTCCGTAATTAACGAGATTTTATCAGTAGTTTTTTTGGATACTTCCACGGCAAGTTTGGTGAAATACGATTCTGTATGACAAGCATATTTGATAGCAAGCGTCTTTTTCTCAGGATTAGGAACTGGAACAATTAAATACATGAAGTTTTCGTAAGTAGTCGATCTAAAACACAAAATCAAAAAGGAAGATTCTCCAACTTGATGATTTTTACCTATTGTTACACATTTTACAGCAAAGTTCAGAAGCAAATTGACCTTGGAAGTTTTTCGAAACGGGCGATAAATTCTCTGCCATATACTTGTCCCATAGTTTCTTTGGATCGTCGGAGACAATTGTACATTCCGAAGTAAGCCGCGGCCTTTTCGCTGGCTGACTTGGTGTACTGCTTGTTGTGCTTCCAGAGGTACTGGCTTGGCTTGTCGAAGGCGAGCCTAGCTGGTGTTTTGGCGAGTCGGAGAGGGATACTTTGTGGAAGGCGTTGTTGATCGGACTCGCTGGATTAGGAGGAGAGTCCGCTTGACTGGAGCCACTTGATTGACGCTTGCGAGTTTTTGACTCAACTGATTGTGTTGCGCCTGCGTCAGAAAACGGGGAGCTTTGAGGAAATTATATGAAAAGACACACACAACACTTCAAAGATTTACTTTTGATGGTTGGTATCACTGCCAGCCGAAAGGAAAGCAGAGTCTGAAGAGCCATCGTTTGAAATCGCCCTAACAATGTTTTGGTGCTCTGAAGACTGAGAAAGGTCGTTTGCGGGCTTTGTTGCTTCCACGATTTCCTCATGCATTTTGTCTAAACGATCATGAATAGAAACTACAGTAAAATTTTCGGTAAAACATTTTGTTACTTACCTAACATTACGGCTAAAAATTCTTGTCCGTCCTGCTGAAAGAGCCCGGCAAACTGGCTGCATTCGACGTCAAGTCTGCTTTTGAAGTCATGTGGAGCGATCCAACTCGATTTCGATGTCCAGTACTGATTAAAAAGCTTCCTGATCTCCGGGCTAAATTAGAATTTTACTAAATTGCTATTTTGAGGAATTAATCACTTACGTAAGGGCGGTGTCTTTGAATCCTTTGCCATTTTCATTTCTGGACGCATTTTCGAAGTCGGCGAAGAAGTTGAAAAAGGTCGGCTCGTGAAGAAGACATTGCAGAGCCTAAATGACCCGTTGAGATATAAGAAATCAGAGAAGCTAACTTACAGAATTCATGTAGCAGGTGTTGCCGATGTTTTTCAACCCAATACAGCCAGTTTCTGGCGTATCGAAAATATTCCTGTTTGGGGATAAATTCGGACTTGACATCCGCCTCGGTCCTTCGATGGGCATTGTCGGACCGATAATTTCAGTGTTGGACGCAAAGCTCACGCCGCCGCGTCGTTTCGTCGGAGCTGTGACTGGAGAGGATTCTTGAGAAACAGGTTGAACGGAAGGAACAACAGAATCGTCACTAAGGAGCTCAGCATGATGCTGAGACGGGACGAATCTGACTTCACTATGAGACGTGTCACCGCCAGGCAATTTTCCATCGCCAGCACCGTCCATCTTTTAATGTGGCATTCTTCAATTACCGAAGTTTGGACAAATAAAAACAACAAGGACAATAAATAAACGAATAAGAAATAGAATCATTGAATCAGTTTATTGGAACGGAGTTTAATCTTCAAGGTTTTTCAGTTCAAGTTTCAGTGGTTAGTTCTTTTTATACAGAAATATATTTACACCTTTGTCTGTTAAGAAACATAACTTTGAATATTTTAAAAGTCTACTTTTCCAGGGATTTTCTAAGCCTTTGTTCGCTCGAAGGCTTTATTCCACTCTACCATTCGTTCGTCTTTTGTCCCATGAATCAGGTCTGTTACTTTTTCACCTCCCCACTGAATTACAGTTAAAAAAGGCAAAGGGATAAAAATCCAAACCTTGGTTGAGCGCAAATATAACTTGTAAAAGAACATCGCCCACATTTCTTTCTGATAGTCAAAATACAACTTCCACGAGGGTCGATCTAGCCTTTCAACGGCATACATCATCCTTAGACAATACTCAGACATGTGCACGAATGAACTTGCACCCGGACGACAACCGAGAGTCGTTTCCAAACCACGAAGAAGATCATTCGTTTTCAAAACAAGGATCATCTGCTTTGGGATGTTTTCGAGAACCTCTGACATTTCAGGGATCCACATGCTTATCTCAGCTTGAATAAGCTCGTCTTCCGTTTTCGTGATACTTTCAGTATTTTTCAATCCCTGTTTAACACTCTGCCAGGATCGCCCACTGACCATCGCCGCCAAAAGAGGGAACATTGACTCGACATTCAAGGCGGCAGAAGCCTTCCTCAAGCTTTTTTGATCACCACGAATCATCGATCGCCAGAGCATCGAATAGTTGTATTGGAAGTCTTGGCTGATCGTTTCGTAGAGCCCGTGATCGAGAAGAGTGATCTCGGGCTGACCATCCTTTCCTTTGTTGACTAGGACGTTTCCCGGGTGTGGGTCACTGAAAAAGAAATCGTAAGAGAAGATAATAAAAAGTGCGTCATACCAATGGATAAATCCATGATTAAAAATCATTTCTGAATACATTTCTGTGACGCGTTCCACAGTCTTCTCAACATCTATTTTCCGCTGCCTTAGCTCCTCCTTGTTGTTGACCATTGTTCCTGGAAGATACTCCATGACGAGTAAACGACTCGTACAGTAATTATGTAAATTCTTTGGGATTTTAAGCCAGGGAATATTTTTCATAAGCTGTCGACATCTGTCTGCATTGGAGACTTCTTGAAGGAAGTCAAGTTCGCGCGGTAGATTTTGACGAGTGGTTCTGGCGAGCCAGCCGAGCTTGAACTCTGGAAAGAGTCGTGCACATTGCATGACTCCCAGTTCCATGAGCATGAGATCTAAATGAGCAGAATGCTGGACAGCTGCGTGCTGCACTTTCACCGCAACAACTTCGCCAGTTTCTTTTAGCTTGGCTTTGTGACACTGAGCAAGAGAAGCGGCTCCGAGAGGATTCCAATCCCAATCATCAAACACTTCTTCGAGTTCTTTTCCTAATTCTGCTCGAACAACGCTACGAATTTCTGCTTCTGTCGATCTTGGGGCATCCGCATGCAGCGTCTTGAATCTGTCAACATACTGTATTGGGAGTAGATATTCCATGGCGCCGATGTGCTGGCCAACTTTGATGTAGGTTCCGCGATTGGCGCAACACATTTCGTAAAGAAGTTGAGCCGTACGCACGTGGAAGTCCGGCATACCCTCCTTGTATGCCTCTTCAGACAGCTTCTTCATTCCGTTGAAGTCCTTAACGATCTTCAAAACTGTCACACCCAGCCGACCGGAGCGAACTGCCATCTCTGGATAATCTGAAATGATTGCAGTTAAAACTGATTTGGAGACATAGAAGAGAACCTAAAGGGGTGAGTCCCCATTTTCCATAAGCATAGCTCGCACCGCAAGCGCCCGATATAGCGAAAGCCTTTGCCAGATTGCGCCTTGTTCGCAGCATTCTAGAGTCGGAAAAAATTGAAGAAAGAGATACTTTGAAATTTCATATTTAGATAAATGAGGCTGATAATTGAAGAAAATGTGTGTTTAACTAAAGCGTCAGTGTTTCTTTGATAAGTCTTGGCTAAGTCGGCGTGCTCGTAGTTTCTGTGCAACTTTTACTGTCTGTTGGATCTGCTAGGAAGAATAGGAGGAGCTTGAAGAGTGCTTTCTTCTACGCTTCTTTTTCTTGGACTTCTTGGAATGCTTCTTTGGCGGCGGCGGAGTAGGAGTCCTCGAAAAAGAGCTGGAACTAGAAGATCGATGCCGCTTTCTTCGAACAGAGTTTGAACGAGAATGGGATCTGGAATATTTTCGGGAGCGTTTTTTTCTCCGAGGAGAAGGAGAGCGCGATCGAGAAGATGAGGAAACGTGTTTTCGACTGCGCTTTCTACTTTTTCGTCGTCGTTTCTTTTCGCGAAAGTTTCTCGGCGATGGAGATCGAGAACTAAAAGAGCTGGAGCTTGGAGATCGCGAGTATTTTCGACGACGGCGGGAACGGGAAGGAGAGCGCGAGTAGGAAGAGCGAGAACGAGAGGAAGAGCGGGAATAGGATCGTCTGTAAGAGCGAGATCTGGATCGTGAATAACTACGCTAGAAAAAAAAAAGAGAGGAATGATGAGTTTAAAATGTCGTTGCTTACTCTTCGTTTCGGACGAGAGTCAATTCGAATGTTTCTGTCCTGTTTTTTCTTGTCATTTGGGTCTGGTGGCAAGCGGTCATCTATTCTGATTCTTGTGACGTATTTTGTTTGGTACTTTTTGGTCGCTTCCAGCTCCTAAAAAAATGTTGGCACATGTGTGTCTATGGATTTTTCGTACCGCTGCAACTTTGAGAAAATGCATGGTTCCTTTTACATTTGCTTTATTTGCTTGTTCTATTTTATTTCTTTCTTCGCGGACACATGTGATCTGTTCTTTTAGTCTTTTCAGTTCTTTATTTTTAGTCATCTCGAGAGGGGCTAAAATAATTAAAAAAATGTATTCGAGGGTAATTCTTACTTTTCTTTTCACCAGTTGAGTAATAAACTTGCACTTTTCTACCAAATAATATTTTGCCATGGACAGTTTCTCTTGCATCAATCGCGCTTTGGACATCCTTGAAGCTAAATGTTACGTAAGAATTATGAAATCAAGGAAGACTCCTTCGATTCTTACTCGATGTATGCAAATCCACGAGGCTCCCGCGTCTGAAAATCGACTGGAATTCTTACATTAAGAATCTCGCCGAATTCTTTAAACTCTTCCTTGATTTCATCTGGGCGAATTTCTGGACATAGGGGTCGCAAACAGACCGAAGGATGGGGCTCGCGCTTTTGAACCCCATCTTTTCCCATTGTCTAGAATTGGGAAGAGGATCAGAAAGGGTTTTGTATATTGAACTGTAGGACACGGCAAACGCAAAGAAAAAAGAGAAGTTTGAAGAAAAGAGGATACAGTTACACTTTTGTATCAAGATTGGAAAACTCTAAAACTCGAATCGAAAATGAAAATAAATAAATAAATTAAAGTCAACAGTCGTTGTGATTATGAAAGTGCACCAGCTTGGATGATCATGCGCGTGCCAATGAAATCGGCCACTTGCTCGTTGACATCGCGCTGCATTTCGAACGCCATCCTGTAGATCTCCGTGCTCGACGAGTTGTACATCATCGCGTTTTGGAAGAGTTGAAGAAGTTCGCGATGCAGCGTGGGACCGTCTTTGATCAAGCCAGTTTCGATTTTACGACGGATTTGCATCAAGTCCGTCGAGTTCTGAATCAATGACAGTAATTTAAGACTCTTACTGTCAGTAGAAAACTCACTTTTATACAAATGGAGTAGGACTTGGCTTTCGAGTCTTTCACGGGATTCTTGAAGACTGAAAAGGACGTTCATCACTTCTGTTAACTAGCAATAACAGTACCTGAAGCATACTTGTGCTCAGCGATTTGTTTCCATAACAACATAGCAGACTTTTTCCAAGCCGGATCCACTGGCTGAGGCTCCAAATCCGGGCAGATCAAGAACATTTTTCTTTCACAAAAAATTACATGATCTTTTTCAAAGCGTGGATTTGCCCGTGCCTTCGGAAGAAAGAGTTTGTTGTTGTTGCTGCCCAACTACTGTCGATGTTGTGCTACTACTGGCGGGCATGGTAAAGAACATTTGACTTGTGGAACTGTTTGGAACGGTCTCGATTTTGGCGTTTTGACCATCGACGCCGGAAGTGGTGATTGGGATGAGTTGCAGGCCTTGAATGTTTTGCGCCCCGTTGACTAGTTGTATTACATTCGACTGCGTTGGAGTTTTCAAGGTTCACATATTGGAATACAAAATGAAAAGAAAACCCGTGGCTGAGCAATTCGATGCTTTCCTTTCTGCGCTTGGCCAGATGTGACTCGTACATTTTGAGGAACAACGATTTGATTGGGGTGTCCGGCGTATTGCAATTGAACTAATTGAGAAGCAGGCTGGGAGAGAGCAGCGGATTGACCCTGATAAACGATCGAAACATTTGCTTGCTCGATTTTTGGTTTTATGAGCTGTTTTGCTCCGTAGATTTGATCTTTTAGTTGATTCATTCCATCTTCGTCCAGTTTTTCTTGGTCTAAAAAAGCTTCGCTTTATTGGTCAGACTATAGAGTGTACCTAAGAGTCTGAGAAGAGATTTAAGCCGATCAAGCTTCGCTTGTTTTTCTTTTATCGACGTTTTATGCTCTTGAATTCGTTTTTCTGAAGAAATTTGGAATGACAAAGTTTCATGTAATAGATCTTACCTTTATAAAATTCTGCCAATTGAGGGATGGACTCATTTTTCTGCTTTAGATCGTTCATCCGACGCTAGAAAATGAATAAATCATCAAAAATAAATGACTAACCTTGCAATTGTTTGGGCTGAAAAACGACTGTGGCCGGTTTTGCTCGGCAAATGGCGACAACAGTTCTTGGCATTTGAGAAAACCGGGATCGTAAGGAGCTTGCTGAGCATAGTTTATCAGCGCTAGAGTTTCTCTAGTCGTCCATTGCGAATGATCTACTGTCATTCTATTCTGAAGAATAAATGAAATAGGACGGTTGTCTGAAATAAGTGCTGATAAAGCAAAAGTTGAATTGGCAGTTATATGGAAAAATAACGGAAATGTTGAGGGCAGAACATTTAAACAATCAAGGCGTAATTTTATAATTTCAGCCTTCTTTACGGACAATTTTCTTGCAAAGAAAGAAAAGCAAGAAGAGGACTTAGTATTGAATCTGGCGACGGCGGCGGCGCGTGATACGGTCTTGATCCTTGATCTTTTTCTCCATTTCTTCGTTCGTCAGCGTCTCGATCGATGGACACCACGATTCGACGCCGTCCGGTGCTCTTAGCGGCTGTTTGATTGTAGCAGGAGGCGTTTCCATGAAATACAGGGTTTTGTAATGCCAACTTAGTTGCCCGCGGATTGTGTACGCGATCGCAGTAATAAATTCTCCACCTTCAAAAGGGAAGAATAATCCTATTTCTTTTCTTGTTGAACTTAGTCTTACCTAGCCCTAAATCTTTACAAAGGGTTTCGGCGAATTTCTCCGGACTATTCTCTGGTTCTGACAAGTCCCACTCGATCTAGAAAAGGTCAGATGTGCACTGGAATCTCTTCGTTTACCTGGTCGTTGAGGGAGATATTGCCGACGTGAATATTTAGCTTGAGAGTAACTCTTTGATCTGCTGATCCTTCAATAACCTACGAAAAGCGAATAGATAGATCTACAGTGGAGAGATCTACCTGTGTTTTGGGATGATCCTCTAATTGACTTTCGATAGACTGCGCAATCGGCGCTATAAAATGATGACCAGGAAGCTCCAAATCGTCACACAGAATCTTGGCAAACTCGGTCGGCGTCAGACACGACTCATTCTTATTCCAGGTGAATGAATCTCGCAGTTTATGGCCTAAAAATGAAGAGTTCCTTCTTTACTTTTTCCCAACCTTCAATTTCCATATCAAGTCTAATCGGAACTAAAGAATCGTCGGTGTTCGCATTCTTCGCTAATTTCTCCTCGCTATGGTCGAGGAGCATCGGAAACGTTCTCGTTTTCTTGCGATTCTTGAGACAGACACCGACAGGGGTCGAAACTGGAACAGCGTCCATGTGTTGTTGAGTTTGATTTTGTTGCGTTTCCACTGCTGCTGTTGTCGTTGCTGCTTCTAGGGATGGGTTAGGGAGGAAGAGAGGGGAGAAAAGGTTACTTTTTTCAACGCGTTTATTTTTTTTTTTGTCGACTTTTGGTTTGATGAATGGTTTTGGCACGGCGATGCTCTGCGTCGAGCAGCAAAACCTTTCTCCTCCCGTGGCAAAGAGCTCGTCGATTTCTTGCTGTAGGAGAATCTTAGCACCTATCCTCACATGCTTGTGATGCTTCTCGTTCGTTTGGCTCTTTAGTTACTAAATTGTCAAAGGGGTCTTAGATTTTGGACTTACAAAAAGACCAGCGACGTCGTTTTCGTCGAGCTTTCCGACCGTCAACTTTGGAAACTTGTCGTAAAGCTTATTTCTGAACATGCGCAAATAGTTGCCAACATCGCTGCCGAGGTAGAAAAGCGCCGTGCCCTTCTGGAACGGTTTGGGAGTTGGGCCCCAGAATTTCCATTTCGAGTCCGAACTCATTCTACCAACAAAAAAATGTAAAAATATAGATGATCGTTTTATTAAAAAGTGGCAAAATGACTGTAATTTTCGTTGACAGTGTCAGACAGAAAATGGCGGAAATTTTCATCTGGACTTCTTCAAGTTCGGAGTCCAAGTAGGATCGGGATCGTTCTTGTTTTTCTCAAGATCGGCCTTTTCGGCTTTTCTAGCTTCGGCGTTTCGTTTCAACCGCGCTTTTCGATCCTTGTTCAGTTTCGCCAGCTCACCGATTGTTCTTCGTAGTTCGATCAGAGCATCCTGATTCCTAGACAGCTTTAAGCAATGTTTTTATAATTCCAATAATTATGAATTACGTGTTGACTTGAAGAACTTCTTGAATCCCCTTCGAAAACCGCTCGTCGCTCTTGACAAGTTCCATTTTCACCAAGTCAGGAATCACATTCTCCGCCTGATCCCAGTTCATTCTCCTCTGCTTGAAATTCAGAATCCGAAGCACGAACCATTTCTTTCTTTCTCGAGAAGGAAAAATCAGCTTCTCCGCGCGGCGCTCGGCCAATCAAATTCTCCATGTCCAAGCGCCATAAAATAGGAGCACCAAGGCGATAATTTGGCGGAGTGGATAAAATTGGCGAGGAATTTATGTAATTTTAGTGGAAATTGAAAATTGGCGATACAATGATTGATGATTCTAAATAGAATCCAATTGGTAATTCAAGAGCTACTGTATCTTATATCAGATGATAAGGTTCGTATCTCAAGTTTCGAGAAAGCTACTGTAGCCATTACAGTACTTGACTACTGGTTTTCAATCCAATAACCACTTCTTTGTTGAGTCCTATTTACATGCATCCTGTTGCACTAGAATTACTCAAAAGATAAGTTGTTATTCCAGGCAAGTTCCACTTTACGGTTCAATTCCCACTGTCAGAAATTTAACAGTTGACTGAACACAAGATCGTTTTATCATGATTCCAATCTCAATTTTCATCTCTTTTCCTACCCGACAGGTTCTGACCTTCCTGACCTTCCTTGACCGACTGCGACGAAATCGACTAAATCGACAGGTGCGATTTACAACAAGATTTCAAACTTAGTTTTTATGGAGTAGCTCGTCTGAGCGTCGTCGACGATGATTTTTATTTTGACAAGTGTCTTTTCGAAAATCTCGTAAACCACCTTTTGCCAAATTGGCTCACAATGAAACGAGTTTTCGATGATTATGAAAAGTCTGCGTCGTTTATTTAGGACTAGTGAATGTTCTTTGTTGTGGCTTAGTTTTTTCATTGTAAAAATGAAAACTTTAATTGTTGCTCACCAGGACTCGGCTCGGCAACCTGTGTAGAAAACCTGAGTCAGGTTCTGATGAGCTTGAATGAAAAGCCGCGTAGCGGCTTTTTTAAGAACGAAGCCGCAAAGCGGCTTCGCCAGTATTTCAGAGAAGATTGAAATGGTAATGCTCCACGGCTTCGTTTTTAAAAATAGCCGCTGCGCGGCTTTTCATCTAAACTTTTCAGAACTTGATTCAAGTTTTATACTCAGGTTGCTAGCCCCAGCCTGAAAGACAGCATTGTGGCTGTTGAACATTGCGGCTGATTCAACATGACTAGCTGCGGTGCCGCGTTAACACCGATGAGCTGGTGCTGGTGTTGGTGGTGTAGTAGCTTGGTGGTGTTGAATAGTCGTGCCGCGGGGGGGATCTTCGCCGCGCGCGCTCTAGCTCAGTCAATTGGGCCCCCTCCGAAATTTGATAGTTTCCCACGTAGCGCGCTCAACGCCGATTTTCAGTCGATCGCGCAGCGCTACAAAGAAAGAGAAAATCGAGAAAGCACCGAAATCCCATCCGCACGTTCCATTATTGACCTAGAGATCATCCCAGAAAAGAAAAACGGAAATATCGAACGCCCAAGAGAGAAAAAGAAAGAGCGCACTGAATCATCATGAAGACGGCTCTTCTCTGGTCGGCCCTGGCAGCCGCCCAGATTAATGTAAGTCCTGCATTTTTTTGAAAATCAAATTAAAAACCTAATTTTTTTTTTATTTCAACTCAATTTTCAAAGCATTTTCGGCTCGAAAATCATATTTGTGATTCAAATTAATTACATATAATTGCTAGTTGAAATCAAGGAAGAGTACCAGTCTCAGAACTCCGAATTCCCAAAATTCTAGCTAGAAAAACACAAATGAAAGTTCAAAGACGCATTTTTCGAGAAAAATAAGCCTGCTTGGAAACAAGATTTATTCTGAGCCCTTTCACCTTTTTCGCTTGATCCAAAGGTCACTTCGCCTGATGAATCTTCTTTCCAATAAGGTACTGAGAGCATCTTGGCATCCTTTTTGAGCTTGAAGGAGGAATCAAGATGTTTGCTCAGTAGCTTCCAAGGTCCAATTATTCGATTTTCCAAGAGGCCAAGTCAAACATTTGAGGCCAAATCTATTACTATTTGGATTTTCACGCTTGGTTCACGGTCTGACTGATTCACTGAGGGGATCGTAAAATTGACGGGTGCGATTCAATTTTCCCTTTGAAATGGCCGATCTGATCGCCTATGAATGGCGCAAAATGCGATGCTTATCGCTTGCTTCCCTCTTTGAGGCCGGTGAAAGGCGGCAAAAGCGCGTGCCACTTCATTATCAAAACTTTATTTTGGGTTTTGTGCGCTTTCAAGGACGTCCTTGATTTTTTCTTCTTGATAGATGTGGCTGAAAATAGGACGAGCGATGATGTTTCGAGGCACTGACTGATTATTATTGACCTGATTAAATATAGATTTCGTACGTAATAAGGACGCACAGCTGATTTATTGAGAAGTAGGGACCTTTTTCAGGCCATAAATTTTCGTCTTCCTTAAATTCAGGCCTCGAAATTCGATAAAGACGCCCAAGAAAATTGAATAATATGAATTAGCGGAAGTAAAAAAGACGCCGTAAAACCTTATTATTGAATAAATATGCAAGCAATTGGTCAAATATGGTATGATCAATCCCATTTTGTTTCCCAGCTGGATAGGCCATCGATTTTGCTTCGGCTGAAAAAGAAAATTTTCACCGCGGGGAGCCGGGAAACCACAGCGTGTCCTGCCGCGCCCTATCTCCGCTCCGAATTTTGAAGTTATTTTCGCACACTTCGCAATATTCAATATTGTCATAAGCCACTATTGAGCACCAACGAAAGCCTATTGTCCCTGTTCTTTTTTAACAAAAAAGGTGCCTTGTCCGGAGCACTTGAAGCGTGCTTTGAATTTTAATACGAAACGAGTGAATTTTCTTTTGGACCTCTTTCTTTTTTCACAATTTGTGTCAGTCGAAATTAGCGTAAATATGATTAGAAACGTAAGCAAACAGGTTGATTTTATTATCTTTTGGCGTAATCTTATAGCGGCTGAATAAATTACCGTGAAATATTTCAACATGTTTTTGACAGGCGCGTAAGATAAATTGCCGACGCACGAAATAACTTTGCACTAACGAATCTTGTTTCTAATGAAAATCGTTAAGAACGAAGTGACCGTCGAGCTCGGGCAAAATGCAACTCTTCGATGTTCACACGACCAAGCGATTGAGCAGACAGTTTATGTCGATTTCAAAGCATTAGATGGTGTACGAGAGCATACCGTGCTAGAATTTGATAAAAGCGCTGCTGGACAGATTGAAATTAAATATCATCCAGACAATAGATGGATCATCGATGGTAGGACCGTCAAACTCTTCAACGCCTCCCTCGACGACGAAGGAACCTATACATGTACAATCAGACCAACAGGCTCCAACAAAATCGTTATCATTAATCCTCTCGTTGTGAATACAAAGGTTAGGAAGAAATGCTCCGTTTGAAATCAACAAAAACTCATTTTTCTAGCCAACAGAACCTGAAATTACCAATGAAGTTCCTCAATCCAGGCCGCTTATTGACGTCTACGATGATGAAACCGCAGACAAAGATGGTCTCGCCAGCGTGGCAACTTGTAAGGTCGACGGAGCCAAACCTCCTGCCAAAGTCACCTGGCACTTTGAAAATCAAGGTAAACTATTCAAATCGCTTTCTTGTCCAAAAGATTTCTTCAGACAACGAAGTTGGCGATGTGATTCCAAGCTCGCAACAAGTCGGTTACAAAGAAAGACAAACCCAGACGTCGAGTACTCTTCAAATTGTCCCAGTAAAATCGTACGATAAACAGTCTGCAGTCTGCCGAGTCACCTGGAATGGCTCCGTTCTTTATACGTATGTTTATAGCAAATCCTGCTTTCAACGATTAACAATCCTCGTTTAGTAAAAGTTTCACTATTGATGTCCAATACAAACCTCACACTCCTATCATTCGCCCTAACAAAGCTCAGCAGAAAGCTACTTGCACAGCAGAAGGAAACCCTGAACCAGATATCGTTTGGACTCTCCCAGATGGCACTACTGACAGCAATCCTACTGTGCTCATGCAGGTATTTTATTCATTAAAAGATGTTCTCTTACAATCCGTTTTTGCAGGAGATCGGAAATCCCAATGCAACGTATGTTTGTATGGCTCAAAACACACATGGAAAGTCAATCCTGGAAACGACCAACTGGGATCTTGACCAGTTTGTTGGGGTAACAGTCAAGCTCGTTATTTCTCATATTCACTCTGCTTTCTTTTAGCCTGTTTCTACTGGAAACATTGGACTCATTGTTGGCGTCGTTGCTGGAGCGATCGCAATTATCTGCCTGGCTGGCTATTTGATCTACAGATTCTGTCTTGATCCGACGATGACGGAGAAGCAGGCCGAGTACGATTATCATGGTGGTCAGCGTGATCACTACGTTGGCGGATCCCAAACTGGACTCAACAGGTAAATCGTGATTTACGACGCGGGATCTTCCGTTTTTTTACCTACAAGTTAAAGCCGCCGTAAAATTCTCTACTTCCATAAATTTAAACTCATAAAAATATTTAGTGCTCCTCAGCGTAAAACACCCGATTACGAGCCGGAATACGACACTGACGATGAGCCCGGACAGATTGTCTCGCAAACCTCCTCGCGCTACCATCAGACAAGAAGGTCAAATTCAAACATTCGAGCGACTCCTCAGCGCAATGTACAGTACGACGGCGCTCAGGCTGATGTCGACCTTGTAGATAACGCCAAAGATAGATATGAGCACGACTACAATCCATCTTATTACACGAGAAATACCGTTCCTTACAAGGTATAGTAAAAGGTGATTACAAAGCTATTTCCATTCATACGAATGCTCATGAATGGAGCTTGAACTCTAACGCCTATTTGCAGTAACCCATTCTTCGGCAAACTCCGTCTAAGCTTCCATTCAGAATAGACAATCATCAATGATCATCCGCTCTCAAATAAACTTCTTTTCAGGACACCTACATGTCAATGGACAACTACGACGGGAGCGACTCCCAGATGGTCTGAAAACAACGAACTACCTACCATAGCATTCCTAAAAATTTAATCCAAAGAATGGTTAAAAGTCTAAAAACCCCAACTACTCCTCAATCCTGAAAAAAAGCTCTGCCGTCTGTTCCAACTACTATTCTATATAAATATTCTTTTTCCGATGCTTCCAATCTTTCATGTCGAGTTAAACAAAAATGTTCAAGAAAAAGTTCATGGAATTTCAAATATTCTTATTCTTAGTGGAAATTTTTAAAAACAATCTTTATGACCTTACTTATAAAAACTGAATTCTTTGTACTGAATATACTTTTCGCCTTAAAAAAGACAGAAAAAGATGATATTAAAATAATTATTGAAAATTGCGCCTTTCTTGAAAACTACTTTTTTTTTCTTCTCGCTAGACTAACTTACAAAAATTGTCTATGTAAATAAAGCTTTCAAAACATAACAACCAAATGCTTGTCATTTCTTGCAAAACGGGAGTCTGGGATTGACAACCTGTGTCCAAAACCTGAGTCAGGGCCTAATTAAAGAATTTCACGGCCTGACTCAGGCTTTGAAAACAGTTTGCCGAGCCCCGACGAAATTTATAAGAGGATGAATTTATTCTTGGGATTTTCCTAATAAAAATAACAGGGGACAGTCGATAACTAATTTGTAAAAGCAGTTTCTAGCCATGGATAAGTCAGAATTTCACGGATAATTTTCAAGATCGGACGAGAGCTTTCCCTCTTGCCTTGGGGTTGTAGCTGTTGGGTTCGCTTGGGTCCTGGGTGGTGGTTAAATTACTTTATATATTTACATGACTGAGTCGTTAATTGATGCAGTCTATCAAGGCTAGAACGAAAAGCTCTTTTCCTAAAGGGAAAATTTTCCAATGAAATGGTTTCGAATCCATGGGAAACTCTACGAAAGGATTGGCTGATCTTTTCTGATAACATCGATTATTAATAATAATAAAATTTTAAGTTGTAAAAGTTCGCTCCTTTTTCTTTTCTTCGTTTGACCGTTTCGGTATCAGAAAAGATCAGGCAAATGAAACATCCCCTCATAGAGCGTATTAAAGATAAAGCTTGTTCAAATAAACCGGATCAGAACAAGCGGGAAACGGGGGAAAGAGGATAAACAGTTTTTGTTTTGTTTTAACGGTGAAAGGGGAAAACGACAGAGAAAAGAATTTCAGCACGAAAAGCGTTTATCTGTTTGGTGGAGTTCGAGAACTGAGTGTGAACAGAACTTGATCTGGACAAGCGGTAAAAAAGTAGAAACGGTAGATTTTCAAGTTTTTGAACGGTTGCTGCTGATCGGGGAGGGGAAGAGAGAGAGTGCGTGTGATTATGTTTGAGTAAGTAAGCGCGCCTTTGTTTTGCCGTGGTGGTGGTTCTTCGTCGATTTCTTCTTTCTTCATTCGATAGTCGATGATTTAGTAGTGGTAGTTCTTCTGGGAAGTCTGCCATGAGTAGGAAGAGTCCTGAAAGATATTCTTTATTGAGGAGGATTTCAACATTCGGAAATGATCATCGTGATGATGTGTCTGTGTGGTCGAAAAAAGGCGTTGAAGCTGTAAATCACGAACAGCTGATGGGGGGATGCATCAAAAGGGAATACTGGGGTGTCATCTTCCGCAAAAGGAAATGCCTTTTGGGGCGAAAAGACCTTATCAACCCCTTTAACTTCTGAAGAAACTGATTAGTTATCTGACGACAATTATTTGCTATTTTGATATTTTGGATCAGCGAATTTGGACATTTGCCAGCTTTTATTTCAAATTTCGAAGCAGAAAGTCAACGAGGATTTGAAAATTTAAACCGTTGATGTTTTGAGAAACAGAAAACCCGGAAAAAAGAGGGTCAAAAGGTCGAAAATCTCCTTCTTTTGTACGAAAAAAGCTCAAACTCGTATTAGCATAAAGCAAAGATACAACGAAAATAATTCTATGGGGGATTCATTGTTTGCCATTTTTGTTCAAATAACCGTCTCAAATTTACTGGACCTTATCCAAATCGAAAAGTTACGCAAAGGCGTGATGAACTGTAGTTCATCAAATAGAAGGGCTGTTTTCTGCCGTAAAAGCAGCTCCAGTCCGCGAAATTCCAAATAAGGAACCGCCGCGGCACGAGGAGAGAAGCTGATCAACTGTGATTGTGACTGTACCTTTTCTGTGTGTGTGGCATCGTTGAGGAGTTCCATTTGTCTTCGTTCGAAGATTTGCTTCTCTGCTTCGAATTCTGCCAAGGCTCCGCTGCTAGCTGTGCCCTTCAAAACCTAAAAAAAATGAATTATCGTAATCGTAATCAATTAACCCCTGGCCGTAAAATAGCCCCAATTATACATCCGAATCTGCTTTTACAGCTATACTTAGTTTTACGAGGCTCAGGTCACGCTCAGTTCCAGCAATAAAAATACAGTAAGATAGCATTTGCACTGTCTCAAAAATACGTCAAATAAGGCCTGGAAAATATTGACACGGAGAGATAGTCTGATACTTACTGTGTATGCAGGTCGGGAAAGTGATCTTGTGAGAGTCAGAAATTTGCCCATGTCTTCTGTTTCTTCTGTTTTTGGCGGATGAAAATTGAAAGGTGAAAGTCTGTGGCTGGGTCGCCTGCCGGAAGAGCCCTAAAAACTAATTTCAAAATCGAAATAACAATTTCATCGCTAATTCCGCGTTCTAGCGACTCTTCAAGTCTCTCATCTGACTTTCTTTCAATTATCAAAGTTTATAGGGTGGCTATAAATTCAAATTTAGGGCCGAAACAACCTAAAAAACTACTGAAATTGTGAACTTTGAACCCTTCAAAAATCGTTCGTCCGGAAAGCCACTCCTAATTTCCATGGATAATCATCCGTAGTAAACCCTCAGGCTCCGGTAGTTAGTCAAAATTTGCGAAATACGAACTTATTCTTCAATAAAATTTTCTCTCAAATGGACTCGAACTGAAAGTTGATCGATTTTTCAATAATTAATTCTCGCACCTTTTTCGGGACTTTCTCTGGTTCGATGTGAATTGTTCGTTGAGTTTGACGAGAAAAATTTTTTGGCTCCAGACAGAGGGCCTCTTACGTAACGGCGCTCGTGGAGTGCTGCCCACGCCTAAATTTACATTGGCCAGAAAAGCACATTTCAGTGATTCTTATCAGAAGCAGATCAAGGTCGACGATAAAGAAAGCTCCCACCGAGAGCTGAGGAGTACAGCTGATCAAAAATAGCGGCGAAAAAGGCAGATTCTAGGTGAAAAACAAGTTATGTAATCGTTGCGTAAGAGGATGAACTGTTGTGACCGAAAGAATGAACTTGTGACGATCTTGGGCGTTTTCGTGACAATTTGAACCCTCTGTCAAACTCGTATTAATCAAAACAAGGCCGCTAGAATCCCCATACAGCAAAATAATCACCGGAGGGTTAAATTCTAGCGAAGTAAGAAAACAGACAAAAGCTACGCTAGCACTTTTTTACCGCTTTTCAGGTCAAGGACGTCAACTTCTGCAAGACAAGAAATAATAATTGTAAGATAATGAGCAAATCAATCTCAAAATGATCACTGATCAGCAAATCTAAAAAACAACATGGTCTGCCCTGATCGATGCGTCTTGACATCTATGTTGGGTTCGTCTTTGACCTCGGTTACTCAATAACAGTTTCTGCGCTCGAGAAAATTCGCTACTGAAATTTGGAAATTGATGATTTTGCTAATATTTTACAGATGCACAATTTCAATCTTTTTTCATATTCTACACTGGTAACCGAGCCCGAATTGGCCTGCTTTTGAAGACTTTTTGTATTCCTGCGTAAGAAGTTAAAGACAACAACGATTATTCGTTTTACTTGGTCTTCGTTTATTTTAAATTTTAGGCCAAGGCAGTAGGTGAAAACTGGGGAATGAAAGAGTAGGAATGTGAAAGTGAAATTTGGTGGGTGAGTGGTGATAGTTAGGTAGCGTGAATTTTAGGGGAGGAAGGTCGTGACATGTGAGGGTGAATATTGTGAAGGTGAAAAGTTATATACAGTTTTTTTTATCGTTTTGTTGGTGTTTCCAACACGGCGGAATCGTCCAACGCTTTGAGATGTCTTCGCGCTGGAGGATCGAAGAGGCGGCCAGCTCTGCTCGGAGTCATTGGCTAAAAGAATGGTGAGACATGAATTCGACGGAGAGCGTTTTCGTACCTCGAGTCGGTTTTCCCCGAGTCCATGGAGAGTAGTGTCGAAGCGGTGCACTTTTGTCTCCGTGGGGTTTTCCTGAAAAAGGTTTTAATAAGCTTGGAATCAAGTTTACTCTTACCTTGTATTCGCCATCGCTTTCAATCGTCATGGGCTCGAAGTTCTTACACTTGGACTTGTCGCAGCCGCAGGTATCCGAGCAAATTCGGGAAGACTTGCGGCAGCCACAAATTTTCGTGTTGCAGAACCCTTTGCACTTGCACTTGTCGTTGTTAGTGCGTCGGCGCTAGAATTTATTTGAATAATCGTTGAAGATAGTTGAAGAAAGAATACCTTTGGTGCGATTGATTTTCTGGCATTGCCTCTATTGTTGTCGCCAGTGGCATCCGGGAGCCTGTTGAGAGCGTTTTCAGGGTTGAAATCGGGGTCCCGACTGCGATCGTCCTTTGGAGTCGCCATCATCATCTTCGCGTTGGGAGTCTCGAAGATGCGAGAGTACTCCTGCTCAGTGAGATGACGCTTTCCAGACTTGGCTTTTGCTCTGGGCACTGGGAGAGCTGTCTGCTGCTGGACTTCGTAGGTCGTGTCCATCGAGTTTTCCTCGTCAGAAAATTCCTCTTCGGTTTCTTCTTCCGAGGCTTCATCTTGATGAGCAACAGAAGTCTGCGCAACGTATTCTTCGTGCTAAAATTACGAATTAATAATAAAGAAAATTATCTAATTATGCTTTTGCTACGATAAATGAACAAAGTGCTCACTTTTTCGTAATCTAAAGCTTCCAAATTATACGCAAGGATTATATTATTAACCTCGAGCTTCATCAATCGCATTTCTTCTTGATGCTTGTTCTCAAGGGCCATGTATTTGTTCTGGAGGATGTTGAACTCGTCATGGATCTCCTTGAGATTCGCTCTCTAAAAATGAAAGTTATGATTGAGTTTTTATTTGAAAGTGACTTACCAATTGGTCAGCATCTTCGGTCTGAATGAGACAATCTCCGCCTTGCTCGATCAATTCCTGGACGAGGAATTCGATCAGCTTACGAGCTTCCGCAGTATCTTTGATTGGGAGTCGCTTCGCAGATACTGGGTTCTCGTGCGATTCGGCAGAGTTGATCTGCTCCTGAAAAAAGAGAGTAGGATTGAAGGAAGGAAGAAAAATAATTACCTGAATTGTAGCGATTTCAGCATCTTTTCGCTTGATTTTGTCCTTCAGGAGCTTGGTCATCTTCTCAGAAGCGCCGGGGAGCTTTGTGCGCCGCTTCATTTCAGCTCGATCCTTATCGCAGAGTTTGACCTGATACTTGAGTCGTTTAATCTCCATTCGACAATCCAGGTCGTTTCGAAGCTGTTCTTTGAGATGACTAGAATCAAATGATTAAATTTGTTTTTGATAAAGAAGCTGGCTTACCCAAATTTAAGAGATCCATGCGCCTTCGCCTTTGCCGAGTTCTCTGTTCTCTTAGCAAGGAGCATCTTGAGCTTTTTGAGTTCGGATGCATCCTTGGCCGACTGGATTTTGAGTCTGTTGGCGACGCGCTCATGCTGCAGTTTCATGCGCATAATGTCGTTCGCCTTTCGACGGTCGGCTTTCTGAAGAGTGTTGATCTCTTTTTTGAACTTTTTCTCTTCTTCCGAGAACTTTTTCTGGTCATTACGGGCTTTCTTCACCAATTGAATCTAAATAAAAAAGTAAGGAAAAAAGAAGGAATAAAAAATTTTACCTTTCTGGATTTGAGATCCTCCAGCTCCTTTTTCAATTTTTCGATGAACTGCTCCTTTTCCCGTTTTTCTTTGACCAGTCGCTCCTTTTCTTTCTTCGCCTTTTTCAGCTTCGCGATCTCTTGTTCAAGCTCCCTCTGTCGGTTCAATCGCATCGCCTCTTGCTTCTTGTTTTTCTCTTTCGCCCCGTGCGACTTCGAGGCGAGAGTAGCTTGCCGCTCGTTCTCAAGTCGTTCGATCTTCTCTTGAAGCTCTGTGACTTGTCGTTCGTACTTGGCGCGAAGCAAGTGCGGGTTGTTCTCGTCCAGACTGAGGCATTTGATGTTCTGCTCTTTCGTTTCAATGTCCGTCTGCAGCGCGAAGAGATCTTCGTTGATTTTGTGCAGACGCATCGGCGTGTCAAGAGCAGCTTCACCTTCCTCAACGTCGTTCGAATCGTCCAACCCGGAGCACTCGTCGATGTCGGTCAGGTCATTCTCGTTCCCATCATTCTCTTCGTTTCTCACAAGCGCGTAAGAAAGCCGCTTCGACTTCTTGTGCGTTTTGTCCACGTCGAGAATGAGCCGTTGAAGACCTCTGAGCTCCTTGAACGCCTCGGCAGCGTTCTCGTCGATGTCACGATTCTCGGCCAAGTTATCCTCCATAATTGTCATGTTGTTGTGCTCGGCCGAGAGTGCCTCCGCAGCTTGTTTCAGCTTTTCGAGTTTGTTCGAAAGAGCAGTTTTGTTGGTGCACTCGTCCTCGATCTGCAGCATCAGGCGACTCTGCTGCTTTGACGAGTTCGACAAGGCGAGCTTGTAGTCTTCCAACTGCGACTCCAACTGCTCCTTCATCTCGACGTACTCGGGCGTTTCGCGAGGATCGATGTTGACCTCGGTAGTGCCGCTCGCTCGTAGCATCTGAACCTGTTTTCGCAAGTTGATCAACTCCGCTTGAACAGGGTCTCGGTTCACGATCGGCTTGTTTTTGATCTTGCGCGCGCGATCGGCGTATCTCAGGGTTTGAATCGTCTCGTCATGATTCGTGTCTACTGGAGAGACACAGGCGATCATGAGAGTATGCGAGTTACCGCCCAAAGAATCCTAGATTGATTGTAAAAAGACTGTTTATTAGAATATAGCGCTTACCTTTAGGATTCGGGTCAGCTTCGAATCTCGATACTTGACGTGGCTGTCGCCATCAGACAACGCGGAGATAACGTTGCCCAACGCCAGCAAACCCATGTTGATATTGACGCCCTCCTCTTTTCGCTGTCCCTCTGCGCCAGTTCGTTTGAGACGCTCGGAGCCAGCGAGATCTACAAGTCGCAGCACAGCCGATTTCGAATCATCTGGATCTTCATGTGACTGTTGCTCCAGATGAATGTTGAAAGCTGCGTGCGAACGAGAGGATGTGGCGTTCATATTTGTGCTACCGACGGAGCGCTGAGTGTTGCCCTCTTTTAGCTTTTCCAGAAGCTCGGAGGCGGAGTTTACCCCGGTTCTGGAAAGCTCGGCGACGATGGTATCGCCGTTGGGGAGCTCTCGGACTTGAAGGAGCTTGGAGCTTGTTTCCGGCTTCAGCAGGTCCCGGATCTCTTCTTTGTACAATTCAAAGTAGCTGACCTGCAAGCTACTTTTGTACTTGTCCGCCATTGAGGCAATTCTGAAAATTTACTGTTAAAAAACTGAAAGACGAGTAAATTTACCTTTCGAATAAGTCCTCGGCGACACGTGGGAGGATTCCATCGTGTTCTCGGTCGCGCTTTCCGAACTCTCCTCCCATCGTGTACGTTTTGCCCGAACCAGTCTGTCCATAGGCGAAGACAGTCTGGTTGAACCCGTCGAGCAAGCTGGCGAGCATCGGCTCCACCGTTTGGTTGTAGATTTCCGTTTGCTCGACGGAGTATCCAAATACTTTGTCGTAGGTAAACTGGCTACCTCGACAGTCGATTTGCGGGCCCGCAGCGATCAGGCACTCTTGTGCGCCTAAAAAAACAGGTTAAGAAAAATATCTATATTACAATAAATAATATCTCCTTTGACTCTCTCTCTTACCTTCATCGATCTCTTTCTTTGAGATCGGGCGGATTCGGATATGCACTCGCACGTTATCCGACTTCATTCTGGAAAAAAAATAAAATTAACTTTTTGCTGCGTTCCGTTTTTGAAAAAAACGGTGAATGAGGCAGTCTGCGAAAATATTTTTCAGCGCGCCGTTGTTTTTCACGTACTGATGGCGTGATTTAACGAAAACGGTTGGTGATGCTGATCAAAATCAAAATGAACTTTGCAACGAAAAAATATTGCAATACCGTTCATGCTCGCGAAAGACAATAATATCGTCAAATGGCTTTAAAATCAACAAAATATGTATAATGAGAATTTATTTGGATCAGTGTATGGAAGTTCACTATAAGCAATTAAAGTGGGGACAGTAACAGACTTTTACTGAAGGACACATGCCACTGGTTGCCCAGGGTAATTCTCGGGGGAGGGGGTACAGAAAGGGGATAACCAAAACATAAGAATAGTAAAGGATAGAAAAGGTGAACTAAAAAGTGTTCAGCGGTAGAATAATAACTTAATCTCGGGACTTGGCTCGGACCTTGTTAAGAGTGGCCTCGGCCATCTCAGCTCGCTCTTCAGATTCGTCGAGCTCGTGCTGGACCTTTCGGAACTTGGACATGTTGACGTTGGCGGCTTCTTCAGCTTCTTCGGCCTGTCGCTTGTAGGTCTTGACCTTGATCTGGAGCTTGTCGACGAGGTCCTGGAGTCGGACAAGGTTCTTCTTGTCTTCCTCAGCGGAGTAGACGACTTCCTTGAGCTTTCGCTCGAGTTTCTTCTGGTTCTTGAGGGCGTCTGCAGTTCGCTTCTGCTCAGCATCGAGCTCGTTCTCGAGTTCTCGGACACGCTGGTCGAGCTTCTGGATCTGCTTTTTGCCACCCTTCATGGCGACCTGCTCGGATTCGTCGAGTCGGAGCTGGAGATCCTTGATGGTGGCCTCCATGTTCTTCTTCATTCGCTCAAGGTGAGCGGACTGGTCCTGCTCCTTCTTGAGTTCCTCAGCCATCATAGCGGCGTCAGAGATAGCCTTCTTGGCCTTCTCCTCAGCGTTTCGCTGCTCAGAGACGGCCTCTTCGACTTCGGACTGGGCGGACTGGAATTCCTGCTCGACCTTTCGCTTGGAGTTGATGAGGGCGGTGTTCTGGGTGTGGAGGAGGGCTGATCGCTCGTTGGCTTCGAGAAGCTCGGATTCAGCGAGCTTTCGGCCTCGTTCAGCCTGCTCAAGGGCACCTCGGAGTTCCTCAAGTTCGCCCTGGAGAAGGTTGGCTCGTCGGTCAACAACGGCAACCTGCTCAGCGAGATCTTCGGAGTTTCGCTGGGAGTCATCAACGGAGACCTGGAGATCCTTGTTCTGCTGCTGGAGAGCCTTCAAGGCCTTCTGGGCTTCGGAGCACTGTCGGTTAGCATGACCAAGCTGGATTTCAAGATCGTTGAAGTCAGATTCCATCTTCTTCTTGGCTCGGATGGCTTCACCTCGGGCTCGGATTTCGGAGTCAAGGGTGGTCTGCATGGATTCAACAGCTCGCTGTCCGTTTCGTCGGCAGTTGTCGACTTCTTCGTCCTTCTCAGCAAGTCGTCGCTCGAAGTCCTGCTTGATCTGGGCAACTTCGACCTGGAGTCGAAGGACCTTGGATTCTTCGGATTCGACAGCGGCTTCAGCTTCCTCGAGGGCGGCCTGGAGTTCGTTTCGCTCAACATCAACAGCTCGCTTGTTCTTCTCGAGCTCGTGGATCGATTTGCCGGATTCAGCAAGCTGGTCGGAGAAGTCAGCGATTTCTTCCTGGAGGTTCTTGTTCTCTCGCTTGATGGTCTCAAGGGCGTCGAGGGATTCTTCGTAGGCGTTCTTGGTCTTGAAGAGCTCGGTGGAGAGGGATCGGGATTCTTTCTGGGACTGTTCGAGTTCGGTCTGGATTTCTTCCTGCTTCTGCTTGGCCTCGGCAAGGATCTTGTCGAAGTTTCGCTGCTTCTTGTCAAGCTGGGAAGCGGCCTGGGTGGCTCGCTCGAGTTCGATGGTGAGGTCTTCGATTTCAGCGGCCTGTCGAGACTTGGACTTCTCGAGAGAAGCGCACTTAGCCTGGGTGGCTTCGACGGTCTCTTCGGCTTCCTGGAGTCGAGCAGCAAGCTTCTTCTTAGCTTCCTCGAGCTCCTCGGTTCGCTGGATGGCATCGGTCTCGTACTTGGTTCGCCACTGAGAAACTTCAGTGTTGGCCTTGGTAAGAGATCGCTGGAGTTCAGCCTTGGCCTCCTGCTCTTCTTCGTACTGCTCCTTGATGAGCTCGTTGTCGTGTCGAGCGGCCTGGACGGCGTGGGCAAGAGCACCCTTGGCCTTGGATTCTTCGTCGAGGTTTCGCTTGAGCTCCTCGATCTGCTGAGCCTGGGAGTTCTTGGTTCGGGTGAGCTGGGAGACGAGCTGTTCTTTCTCTTCGATCTGTCGGACGTTCTCCTGGTTGTCAGCCTGGAGTCGGCCTCGGATGGCGTTGAGTTCGTTGATTTCTCGGGCGAACTCGTCCTGCTTGGCCTGGGACTCGTGGAGCTGGTCCTCGAGGTTTCGGCACATCTTCTCGAACGAGAGCTTGTTCTTGGTAACAGTCTCGACGTTGGAAGCAAGATCATCGATCTCCATCTTCATCTCGGACTTCTCCTTCTCGAGCTTTTGCTTGACTCGCTGGAGGTTGTCGATGGTCTCGGACATTTCAGCGGCGGTGTCAGCGTGCTTCTTTCGGAGAGTAGAGATCTGGGCCTCGTGGGAGAGATTGGACTCTTCGAAGTCTCGTCGGAGCTTGGCCATCTCGGCTTCTCGTCGCTTGTTAAGCTCGATCTGAGCGGCAGTCTGGCCACCAGCTTCCTCAAGTCGCTCGGAAAGTTCCTCAAGTTCTCGGGAGAGATCAGATCGCTGCTTCTCAACCTTGGCTCGCATGGTTCGCTCAGATTCGAGTTCTTCCTCGAGCTCTTCAATTCGAGCCTGGAGCTCCTTGATCTTCTTCTGGAGCTGAGCAGTAAGGGCCTGCTCGTCTTCAAGTCGAGTGGAAAGCTGAGAGTATTCGAATTCGGACTTCTTGAGTTTCTCTTCAAGTCGCTGCTTGTCGTTCTCAAGATCCATGATGGTCTCGGCAGCCATTCGGCCGTCAGACTCGAGCTTTCTCTTGGCTCGCTCAAGATCCATTCGGACCTTCTTCTCGGCCTCGAGGGCAGATTCGAGGTCATCGACCTGCTGCTCGAGCTTGTTCTTCATCTTGGAGAGAGAGTTGACCTTGTCTTCCTCGGCCTGGAGGTCATCAAGAGTCTGCTGGTGAGCTTCCTGGAGAGCCTTCTTCTCCTTCTGGAGCTTAGCGATGGTGTCTTCAAGAGAACCAAGTTCCTCAGTGAGGTTCTTGACCTTGTTCTCGGTTGCGTGCTTCTCCTTTTCGACCTTGGCGAGGGTGAGTTCAAGATCATCAATATCCTTCTTCAATTCGGAGCATTCGTCCTCGAGCTTTCGCTTCTTGGTGACGAGCTCGTTGTTGAGTTCTTCCTCGTCTTCGATTCGCTCCTGGAGTTCCTTGATCTTGCCGTCGAGCTCGACCTTGGTCTTGATGAGGGAGTCGCATCGGTCCTCAGCATCTTCGCTGGACTGGATCTCAGCGTTAAGCTGGATGACGAGATCGTTCTTGGCCTGGGAGAGCATGACGACCTGCTCTTCGAGGTCCTTTCGCTTCTTTCGCTCGACCTCAAGATCCTTCTTGGTCTGCTCGGCCTCCTCAAGCATTCGCTCCATCTTCTTCATCTCCTCAGCGGTCTGGAGAAGAGGCTTGATCTTGTAGATGATGTCCATCCATGGCCAGGACTTGAGCTTGATGAAGTTTCTCCAGTTGGACTGGACAGTTCGGAGGGCTTCACGTCGCTCGACGAGCTTGTTGAACTCGACTCGCATAAGTCTACCCTTACCACGGGCCTGGAGACCGGAGAGAATGGCGGAAAGTCGGTTATCTCGAAGATCCTCCATAACACCAAGGAAACCAGCTCGGAAGAAGATCATGGTGTGACCGAATCGGTACTTGTCGTGATCAACGGGAAGGGAAGCCATGAGCTTCTCGCAAGCCTTCTTGTTGTCCATGAACTGACCCTCGGGGAGCATAGCAGGGTTCAAGATTCGGTATCGCTGCTTGACGTCACCGTATGGCATACGGTTGGGGAAACCAAGTCGGCAAATACGGATACCTTCCAAGACACCGTTACATCGGAGCTGATGGAGGACGAGGTGAGCAAGCATGACACCGGGGTTCTTGGACTCGTTGGGGACGACGCAACGGACGAAGTGAGGAGAAGTGGATCGGAGGGTGGTCATGAGCTTACCAAGGGATTCCTTGTGAGCAGCAGAGACAGTCTTTCCGCCACCCTTCTTCTTCTTCTTTCCGCCACCGCCGGAGCCTTCTTCAGCGGGGTCAACCCAGGTCTCCCAAGTGGTCTTGAGGAGAGGAAGGGAGGACTTCTGATAGAGAGCAGCAACGGAAGCGTTGACGGGATCCTTGTTCTTCTCGAGCCAGTCAGCGATGTTGTAACCGACGGTACCAGCGTAGTGGTGAAGTTCGAAGTGGACATCTCGCTGTCCCTTGGACTTCGGGCCAGCCTTGCCAAAGGCGTTGGTCTTGCCCATGTGGTTCTGGTAGAGCTTGTCCTTGAAGGTCTGGTCAGAGGCCTTGGGGAACATACATTCTTCTTCGAGGATGGCGAGGATACCCATTGGCTTTTCAATCAAGTCAAGAGTAGCGGCCAAATCCATACCGAAATCGACGGTTTCCCAGTCAATACCTTCCTTCTTGTAGGTTTCCTGTTCGAGGACGAACATGTGGTGGTTGAAGAACTGCTGGAGCTTCTCGTTGGTGTAGTTGATGCAAAGCTGCTCGAAGGTGTTGAAGTCGAAAATTTCGAAACCAGCAATATCGAGGACACCAATGAAGTAGTTTCGGGGGAGAGTGGAGGAGAGGGCATCGTTGATCTGGACACAGAGCCAGTCGAAGAGTCGGGCAAAGACGGCCTTGGCGAGGGCACCCTTGGAGTAGTGGACCTGGTTGACGGTCTGACCCTTGGTGACGAACTCAGTTCCGACCTTGACTCGTGGGTTGCAAATGTACTTCAAGAACTCGGAGGAGTTAAGACCGAGGAGGAAGCAGCACTTGTCAGCGTTTTCAGTTCCATCGGGCTCAGCCTGTTCTTCTCGCTGCTTGTTTCGGAACTCCATGTTCATGTGGTGGAGGATGGCAGCGGAGATCTTGTAGATACCGTCGATCTGTTCCTCAGAGAAGCCGAGAATATGGAAGGCTTCGTCGGTCAAGAGAAGTTCTTCACCATCATCGAGGTTCTTGACAGTGATGACACCCTGGGAGATGGTGGGGTAGTCATATGGGTCAGTGGAGACAAGGAGCTTCTCAGTAAGAGCGGGGATCTTGTTGGAGATGACCTGGTAGAAGATATGGTAGTTTCGCTCACCGCCGAGCTGGAAGGTGACTCGAGACTTTTCGAGAAGATAGGTCTCAATATCACCACAGGAGAGCTTGCCAGAAGCGCCGAAGTGAATTCGGATGAATTTACCGAATCGAGAAGAGTTATCGTTTCGGGTAGTCTTGGCGTTACCGAAAGCTTCAAGGGCAGGGTTGGCGGAGACGATCTTGTCTTCGAGGGTCATGTCCTTGGCAGACTTGGCACCCTTGCTGTTGCCAGAAGCGGGAGCGCCAGCGGCAGCGACGAGGGCGAAGTACTGGATGACCTTCTTGGTGTTGACGGTCTTACCGGCACCAGACTCACCAGTAATAAGCATAGACTGGTTTTCTCGGTAGGTCAACATCTGCTGGTAGGCAGTATCAGCGACGGCGTACAAGTGAGGGGGCATTTCGTTTCGCTTACGGCCACGGTAGGCGTCGATACAGTACATGGCGTACACGGGGAGCATCTTGTATGGGTTAACAGTGACGCAGAAAAGACCTAAGAAGATGGAGTTAAAATTTGATTGAACCTAGAGCGAATTACCAGAATAGGTGTAGATAAGGAACTCAGTGTATCGAGATCGGAGAACGTCGAGGACAGAGGCTTCGTTGAGGTAAGTCAAGTTGGCCATGTCTTCACACTGGTGGTACTTGGGAGGGTTGCATTCCATAACATCTTCCTGTGATAGTCATTTAGTTCTTGCTTCATTAAAATGAAATAGAACTCACCTCCTTGACCTGGTAAACTTCTTCGTTGTCGTCTCGGACGAGCTGGGCCATACCGCCCTTGGTCTCGGACCATTTACCTCGGGTGTAACCCATATCGGCATCCTCGGGAGTAGGGACCCAGACGGGCTTGGGGCCACCGATCTGCTTAGCCAAAGCGATCTGCTTGGCCATGATCTCCATCTTTTTCTCCTCGGACATTCGGAGGTACGGGGCCGCATCCTGGAATATGCTCAGGTCCAACGACATTTTCGTTGGTTTTTATCTACTTTCCTAAAGAGAAAGTATTAGCTTTGGTCTCTCTCAAATCTCTATCGGAAAAATCGGAGGAAAATGTCACTTACCCTAGTTGATAAAAACGCACTACCGTTGCAGGGTAAGTGAATGCTGGACATCTTGTTTTATATAGAAAGGTGTCAAAAACTCCTCCTAGCCGGGTGCTAAGAAGGTTGGCAGCGACAGTTGACTCACTACCCGTACAGGAGGCGAGGTGTGTACTTTTTTCGTCGTCTTTGCAGGAGGTCTTTGCACCTGAGCCTTGAATCCCGCGGAACAAGCCATAATTGGCAATAAAAAAGCAAATGAAGAAGCTGCTAGAAGCAGCTGTAAAGCCGATTTGACGTCTGAAAGAAGTTTATCATTATAATTCAAATAGCGCTATTTTATTAAATAATAATTGAAGACATAACTGGCAGCATGAGAAGAGTAAAACTGAACTTTTCAAAATAAATCTAGACATAAATATTATCTTTAAGCCTATCAGCAGTAGTAAACTTGGATAAATTATCAAAACGAGATTTAGTTTGCAACGACTTTGGCAAAATCGCATCGTAAAGAAGGAGATCTTCGATTTGGGGACTTCGGAGGTATTCTGTGAAAAGCATCAAGCCGCGCACTTTTGTTTTAATTTTTCCGAGGATACTTTTTGTCAGAAGGAAGCCTGCTACGTCTGAAAAGGATTGAGTGAAGGAAGGGTTGATAGAAGGAAGGATTGAATAAACGAAACTAACCTTGAGCCGCGCAACCAATTGGAAGTTCTGGAATTGTCAGATCTCCAGCGCAATCACCAATTTTGTAAAGTCCTAGAATAAAACTCATTTTCACGAAGAAATATTGACAAAATCTAACCTGGGGGTTGAAGGGCTAACTGACAAGCTTCCGCTTCAATAATATCGATCTTTTCAAAACCGATTTGCGCGATTTTTTCGCCCACAAGAACTGCTGCTTTGCCCGTGAATGGTTTTTCAACATGCGCCCAAACGAACTTTTCATCCGTCGTCGAAATCAGTTCGAAAGTCATATCGCGCACGAGAGACTTTTCCCTAGAATTTTCTTTATTGCCAAGTCATTAAAGTCAGGTTCTTCAGAAAGGGTCAGGGGTCAGTGGGCGACCTGACAAGTGCTACTAGATCCTCCTGCATCTTAAAATAGGCATCGGGCTAAATGACTTTTCCGCAGAAGTGTTAATTCATCATCTTTTTGGTCTTTTTACCTTAGTTTAGCAAAAGGTGTACGAGTTACTGTAGATTGGTTGACTGCTGCTTCCATCGCTTTTTTCGGGAGAAGTCCATTTGTGATGATCAAAAGTGGGACTGAATGGGAACTTGGTAAAAGCTTCTAAACGATACTCTATCTACCTGGAGTTTCTTCTGGTTCTTCAATCCAAACTGCCTCGGTGTAGTCATCTTCATCCTCAGAATCGGAAGGAATGACAACTTCGTATGGATTCGCCAAAGCCATTCTAGCGATTTCTTGTTCAAGATTTTGAAAAGAAGGTAAAAGAACGTTTATACTAGAACTTAGAAAAGACAAGATCAATGGCGTAGGAAAGGAGTTTTTTGATAAAATTCACTAAGAATAATTTTTCTAAGACTGAAGAAAATTGAATTTCAAAGATTGAAAATTTCGGAAGGAAGGTTTTTTGTCAGTAGATTGTTTTTTCTCTCAAATGAGAAGAAAGTGTGTCGTTTTTTTCATCACAGTGGAATGGATTGTTTTGATATGGTTGGTTGAGCCTTGCTAGAATGAAATAGGAGCAGTGTGGAGGAGGAGTTTTTGGCAGAGAGAGTACTTACGGTCTTGACCGTTTCAATTTCACGCTCCAGCTAGTTTTTTTAGACCTTAGTTTTTAAGAAGTAGGTCAGCTGTTTGAGTCCGGCTTTACGTCCATTGAGTCTACTTTGAAAAATTTATGAAGTGAGTTCAATACGTCAGGGCTAAGTGTACCAGAGTTCATCGCTTGCTGCCCGAAGCGCTGCGCTAAACCAGGCGGGAGATTTTCCCAATTCGAAAGGGCCGATAATTGGGACGGGAGGAGGCGGGAGGCGGCGGATCCGAGGGATTGGTTCAGCAACTCTTTCTGAAGGGTGAAGATGGTGATTTTTGAAAACAACAAGGAGTATTTCGGGGAACTCAAGCTGGGGGATCGAGCTGAAGCGGGCAATAAACGCCATAAATAGCGATTATTGAGTCATTGTTGCTTCAAGTTCAGAAAAAAGGAGCTTCAAAGCCGTACCTTATTCACACAATTTACACTTTTCTCAGCTGTTGGGTTGTCTAATCCATGCAAGGCGAGGCGCATCTCTGTCGCCGCGTTTTCGCGGACTTCCTGAAATGGGATTAGAAAAGGGATTAATTGTCAACAGCAGTCGTACTTTTAGACTTTGATCGCTGTACCAAGCGCTGTGGGGAGTAACGAATAGATTTGGGGAATCTCGAAGCGGCGATTTTTGAAAATCGAAAAGTTCGGAGCTCAGGACATCAATCGCTGCTGCTTTGACTTGGCCACTCTAGAATCATCGTAAAAGGATTGTTCAATAATTTGACCAACCTTCAACGCTGCAGCGAGAGCGGCTTCGTCGACCAGTTCTCCTCTGGCGGTGTTGACGAAAAACGCTCCCTTTCTCATCTTCTGGAAAGCAAAAACGTCGAACATATTCCTGCTGCTTTCATTCAAGCTAAAAAAGTCGCGAATTATTTTTCTGTCTAATCAGCGCTTTTCGAAATTTCAAATGATGCGTCTTATTTGTCAAATTTCAAAGAAAAATTAAAAAAAGCAAACCTTGCGTGGAGCGAAATACAGTCGGCTTCGTACAGTAAATCCTGCAGTGATCGTGCTCGCTGAAGTCCGAGCGCTTGGCCCTTGCCGTCTTGAATGTGTGGATCGTAGTAGATAATTTTGAAGCCGAATACTTTTGCTCTTATCGCCACTGCAGTTCCAATAGCGCCAAGGCCGATGATTCCGAGTTTCTCTCCTCGAATGCGCATACAACCATCAGCCAGTTCTCGCACTTGTTCCGCATTTTGAGGCTTTTTTCCTGAACGGAAAAGGGTCAAAAACATACATCAAAGGGAGTTTTACCTTTCTGCGTAATGGACTGATGTAAATAAGTAACTTTTCTGTACAAATTCAAAATGTGGCACATCGTCGTGTCCGCCACTTCTTCCGTACACGCCCCGCCGACAGAAATGACAGAAATCCCCATATCTGTAGCCGTAGGAATGTCAATATTGTCCAGCCCAGTGCCGATTCTGACGATAATCTTCAACGCTTTAAACTTCTCCAAGTCGTCGCGGCGCAGTGAGATATTGTGCCAAACTAACGCACCGACTGCTTCCGACAGGACTTTTTCGTGGATTTCGGAGGTGCTTTGAGCATCGCAAAAAGCAACCGTCGCCACATCTTTCAGAATCGGCATTTCAATCGAGCAGTCGCGGCCATCCAGCAGTGCCACTAGTGGCCGGCTCATTCTGAATAAAAAATATTTGTAATCGTAACTTTTTCATTATCGAAATGAGGTCAGCTCTTTCGAGATGTCTAAAATTTACTCAAACCGGAAGCTCATTTATTAAAAAATCTCTATCATGTCAAAAGCACCCCCTTTTGAGCTCCCGTTGATTGATACCGAATTGTTGAGAAATAGAGACAAGCCTACTGAAGATCTCTTTTACAAAGCCCTCACGGATATTGGCTTTCTTGTACTGAAGAATCATGGCGTTCCAAAAGAGCTCACCGATCGAATGGAAAAGGTTTCGGAGGATTTTTACAAAACTACTCACGAGGAACGAATGAAAGTGCAGGCGTACGAGGGAAAGATGATTTCTGAAGGTTCTGCCTTTACTGACACTCCTTTCGTTAATTCACCGTAAGTCGATACTGTTATTATGAAATAATTTTGATGAAAGAAACGACGCTTCGATAAAGCTGGATTTTGAAGAAATCGACAACGTTTTCTACGATTATTTGGAAGAGCTCTGCGTCCTGGGGCAGGATCTTTTGGAATGCTGCGAAAACGTTCTCGGGCTCCGAGAAGGCCGTCTGCTCGACAACTATGAAGCTGCTGGATCAATTGTAGATGCTCTGTTTTATGACAAGACTCCACCTGGAAAATGGGGGACAAATGCGCATTATGATAACTGCATGATGACGATCTTGCGGCAGGATATGGTCGGCGGGCTCGAGTTGCAACACAAAGGCTTGTGGTACCCAGTCAAGCCGATGGAGGACTGCTTCGTCGTGAATTTCGGAAAGATGATGGAGCACTTTACTTATGGCGTCATTAAAGGTACATTGATAAGGAATCGAGTGAACCCATTTTGATAAGCAACGTACCACCGAGTTAAAAACAACAAGGACCAAATGCGAGTATCTTGGCCGATGTTTCTCGGACCCAATCTCAATCGAGATTTGACCCAGTTGATCGAATTCAAATGGAACGAAAAACACTACATCGGTAAATCAAAAAAATAATTCCCCGAAATTGCGAGTATTTTTCTCAAGATATCGAGCGAGAAAGAATTGCGGAAGAGAACAAAGAAATTGAAGAAAACGCGGCTCATGTACACTTGAACGTCTCGGAAAAGGGTCATCATGTTTGGGAAATGATCGAGCGACGCCACATCGACCGATACAGAGACTTGATGCTTGTTCAAAACAGCAAGAAGCGATTCTGGATCAAATAAGACCTAACAAATGTAAACCACTTTTTGTACAACTGCACAAGATTTAACAAGAGAGATGATTGATCTTTTGGGGAGTTGGAGTTTATTTGTCAGGGCACGATTTAAAAATTGGAGCGCAAGGGAGCAAAAAGAAACATACAGAGTTTAACCTTTCGTTTATAGTTAAGTTTGAGCAACTCAATCGGAGTCGTCAAACGTCATCTTCTTTCCAGCAAAGTCCTGGATGGCACCTTTTCGGGCAGCCGCGCCAGGAGTGCTTCCACCTCGTCCACCTCCACGGCCACGACCGCCACCTCGGCCGCCTCGACCACCACGGGGAGTGCCGCCGAAAGATGGTCGGTCGCCAGCCATGTTGACCGTCAGGTCTCGTCCTTCCAAAGAGTAAGTGCCCTTCGCTGCGGTCTTTGCTTCATCAACGGAGTTGAACTCGACGTATCCGAAGCCCTTCATTCGTCCGGTTTCTCGATCAGTTGGCAATCGTACGTTCTAACGATAAAAATCAATCCCTTTTCTTGTATATTCCTTCTTACCTTGACGTTGTCGCCAAACATTTCCCAAACACTGTCCTGGGTTGCGCTAAATGGCAAGTTCTTGACGAAAACGGTCGCTTCGTCGTTTCGCTCCTTTCGTTCTCCGAACGACTGTCGGTCGCCGAATGACTTTCTATCACCTCCACGTCCTCGTCCGCGGCCACGACCTCCCCGATCGTTTCCACCGAACGACTGTCTTCCTTCTGGCTTGGGATCGGCAGCGCACTTCACAAATGCCTGTCGGTCGCCAACATACAAGTTGTCGGCATCAGCTAAAATTTAAGATGATGAAAACAAGGTCTTGAATAGATAATGACTCACCAATAGCTGCCTTCATTTCCTTGATGGTTTCGTATTCGACGAAACCAACTCCCTTTGGCTTTCCAGTGTTTCTGTCGGTCAATAATCGGACTTGGCAAGTACCGTAGTTATTGAAAAGTTCGTACATCTAAAATCAAATATAATGACAACTCAATCAAGTCAAAAATAACCTGGTCTTCGTCGACGGTGAAGGGAAGATTTCGAACAAAAAGAGTTCGCTTGTCCTTGTCTCCACCATCGTCTTCTTCATCTTCATCAGCCTTCGCTTTCTTCGCGGCTGGACCTTCGTCTTTCTGTTCCTTTGCCCGCTTCTTGGGGGCGTCAGTTTCCATCTCTTCGTCAGAAGAGCTAGATTCTCCAGAGGAGCTCTCTTCCTTCTTTGCTTCGGCTTTCTTTGGCGCTGCCTTTTTCTTTGGCGCTTCTTCTTCTTCCTCTGACGAGGATTCCTCGCTGCTGGAGGACTCTTCTTTCTTTGGAGCGGCCTTCTTCGCAGGAGCAGCTTTCTTGGGGCTGGCTTTCTTCTTTGGAGCTTCTTCCTCTTCAGAAGAAGAGTCCTCAGAGGAAGATGATTCCTCCTTCTTAGGAGCTGCCTTTTTAGCTGGAGCTGCTTTCTTGGGAGTGGCCTTCTTCTTTGGCGCTGGTTCTTCCTCTTCGGAGGAGCTGCTATCGCTCGAAGAAGATTCTTTCTTCACAGGCTTCTTGGCGGCGCCATTTTTAGCCTTTCCATTTTTGGCAGCTGGGGCCTTTTTCGGGGCGGGGGCCTGAAAATAGTGGTAACAGATGGGATCAAGAATAAATGATAACCTCTTCTTCTGAAGAAGAATCCGAGGAAGACGATTCTTCCTTCTTAGCTGGTGCCTTCTTGGCAACCTTCTTTGCAGCTTTGACCTTGGCGGCGGCAACCTGCTTCTGGACGGTTTCTTCTTCAGAAGAGCTGTCGTCTGAAATCAGAATTGATGATTACGTCATAATAAGACAAATCTTACCCGATGACGATGTCTCTGCTTTCTTTGGTACCTTGACTGGCATTATCCGAATTTAATTTATCGTTCTGAATAAAGAAAAATGGTTATTTCAATTTATCTCTAGAATTTTAAAAATGAATGTAAAATAATTTCCAACGGAAAAATAAAGAAATAGGCCAGAATAAAAGTAAAAGTCTTGTCTCTAATGAATTCCCGAATGCGAAATATCTCTCCTCAAAGGTAAAATAAAAAGAAAGAAAAGTAGAAAAGCACAAGACAGAAAATCCGAGCGCCGCGGCCAATGAGAATGGAGCATTCGCGCTGGGCTTGACGAATAGCGCCGCGCACCATAATTCTCATTGATCCGAGGTTTCTCGCTACTACGGGCCCTTCTTTTCTCCAATTCTTTACTTACAGACTTACAGTATGAGTAGTATAGAGCAGACGATCGAGGAAGAAATCGCTAATTTGAAGGGCCAATGGGATCACTGGGCGGAAAAGTTCTCGATTGAAACGCTGGGCCAAAGGGATGAAAGAATTCGAAGCGAGGTCAAAGTTCTACTCAAAAGGGTTGAAGAATCTGAATTAGGTATGACGATTTCAAAAATTGAGAATAGACCAAAAAGCACAAATTAAGCCATTTGGCCTTTTTTACACCAAAAATAGTGGATTTTCGGACCGAAAAACTAGTCAAATTTGGGTTTTGTGCCTTCATTTGTGATAATTCAGCGATTATATTTTAAAATATACTTTGAAAACGCCTGTTTATCAAATAAACAAGCTGTTTGAAACAGCTGCTATCTCAATCAGCAAATGTTTAGGAAATGTGGCGAAGCATTACGCTTTGGCGCGTTTGCGAAACATCCTTCCGGAATTCGACGAAAAAGCGAAAGAATCAATCGAGCGGGTTCTCAAACTCGACCCTTTGAATTTCGACGCTTGGACATTACTTGGCGAGCAGTGCTGGAGAATGGCAGTCGAAGGCAAAGGAGATCCAAAAAAGCCCTTTGATGGAATGGTTCAAGCGAAGAGGAACTTCGAGGAATCGTTGAAAAAGAAGAAAAATGTTCACGCCTTGTGTAATTTATCGATGCTTCTAAGATCGTATCCTTCGAAGAATTCAAAGGAGAAATATGATAACCTCCAGCTTAGCGTTCAAAAAGCCAAAGAAGCCGTTTCATTAGGTATTCTTTCATCTCAAAATGTCATTTTCCAATTTCCATTCTCTTAGACGCAGAAAGCGGTTTGGCTTGGTACAATCTTGGAAACGCACATCTTCAATTATACATCCTCACCTTTGAAACCGAGCCGCATGTGAAAACCGCCCTTGTTTCCTACGAAAAAGCGCAAAAATACGGACAGTTCTACAATCCAGATGTTCATTATAACAAAGCCCAGTTAGAAATCTTTGCGGAAAAATGGTCCGATGCCTATGATTCGCTCCTCCTTTCTGCGAGGTTTGGTAAGAAAAAAAGCACATCATAGAATTTTTCATCAACTTTGACAGATCCAGAATCAAAGCGAGCAAAAGAACGATCCGAAGTTCTGGTGGATTTTTGCTCCAGAGCTGCTCTTCTCTGCAAGAATAAAGGAAAGATGCGGCCGAAAAGACTGGCCGAATTGTTGAAAAAGTGCGAGAAAGATGCGAAAACTAGCACTGATCTGGTCGTCGTCGGACATTTAACGCACTTTGACTACATTCCATTCGCCTTTGTCGGCGTTGACACATCGTCCGAAGCTCATTTAGTTACCGGTAAAGAACCAAGTTATCCGTCTTTTTTCGAAAGGAAATTTCTAGTCTACAACATGGTCAAAGGTCAGGGTCCGCTGGTCGGCGACATCGTCACAATACCAACTTCTGATATGAAAATTTCCAAGTCCAATTTGTCACTCACCAAAAGTCAAGCTGAAGAAGAAGCTGCTGCTATTGAATTCTCTTCCATTCGCGTCGAGCGACCGTCAAAATTAGCCTTCAACAAGAAAATCCGCGGTGCTAGCTTGGAAGCGAAGCTTTTCTGTCGCACTGAAAATCTAGAATAGTTCAACACTTTTATATCCACTGCCTTTATTCAATCTTCAATCTATTATTACTTTCAACAATGTTTCAATTGAATTTTACTATTTAATATATTTTACACTTTTTGAACCTTTTTTCGTCATTCTTGCATTTCAGAAGGGAAATATTCTAGTTGCTTGAGAGGTTGAAGTTCGTAATACCGATTGTCATGACTTTATTTGGCGGCGATCCTCTTTTGTTCGGGTTTCAGGAATTCACAGGTGGTTCTCTTCCTTGATTTCAAAGTCGAATTTTGATTGTTTCAGACAAAAGGAGAGACAATGTGCCAGCGTTTTTATGCTCAATGTGGTTTTGCGCTTCGATGTGTTGCGCCCTCATGTGGAGACACGCTCTCCGCGACGTCTTAAAATATCGGCTGGCAAAGGCAGATGTTCTCCAGCCACGGTTGTACTGGTTTTGCTACTTCTGGGCGCTTGAATCTGCTTTTGGCTTGTTAGCCTGTCGGAGGTGAAGAGTTCTGTTGTATTTCAAAGACTGTAATGTCCCTGTAGTGTAAATTACACGGCGGAAGAACTGAGAGGTGAAACAACCTCAGCAGTGGCGAAAATGGTCGTGATTCTGACGGCGCTAACTCGTGAATTCTTCGCAAATGCAGCTCTTTTGACAATTATTCTTCCCTGGGACTACAATGTTTCTCCGAAGTGGATCTTCATCACTTCTTGCCTCGGATCAGGCTTGCTTGGACGAAGCTTTTCATTCACAATTTTCTGTGGCTTCTGTTTGACGTTGTATCAAATCGTTAACAACACCAAAGCATATCAAGGTCAAGAAGCTGTGAGCAAAATGTTCAAGTAAGCAATATTCAACCGAACCTTCGTCTTAATTTTGCTAAAAGAGCATTTACGATATCAGCAGTTTTATACGGCCTTATCTTCCTGACTGGAAACTCAGTACTAGCTGTCTGGTTCAATTTGGTGTGCTGGTGCACTTTGAAAGTCTTAGTCAACTCATTTTGGCAGCTGGACTCGTACTACTGGGATCAGCATCAATCCAATGACCACAAACTTCAACGCCTTCTCATTTCAAAATTTTCTTCAAAAAAGACCGATTGAAACTTACACTTTTCGAAAAAAAAACTATCACTGTCTTCAATTTACGAACTTATCGCATGTCTAGGGTTCGCGCCCAAAAATCAAGTGCCCGAAATACTTATTCTATCTGTCTAACTTTCAGATATGTTTTAGATAAGGGCATAAAAAGAATATATTCTTTTGAAAATTTTCTAAATATAAAAGGGTTGAAGAGAAAATGAGGTCCAAAAATGGCGAAAAATGGGTTGAGCATGTTAGTCAACCCAAAATTAAAAATTTCAAAAAGCAGGATGATCAGCAGACTTTTCTGATCAAAAATTGAAGAAAAAATTTTGGGAAGCATCTATAGTTTCCCTAAAATTTACAAAAAACTACCTTTTTTGGCAATATTTTTCTGTTACGTAATCATGTGCGCGCACGCGGAATCGCGCATGATAGAGGGTGGCCACACAAAATTCTATCCGATTCCGCCAAAATATTTTCACCCTTCGATTTAATCAAAATAAATAAAAGATAAATTACTTTATTAAAATAGATAAACCGTATATAATTGAAAAATTCCTAAAATCAATATAAAATGATAGATGATAAAAACCCGAAGGGCCGTCAAGCCCATTTAAATTTAAAAGCCAGGGAAGGGGCTGAGACGGCCCGAAGGGCCGTCAAGCCCATTTAAATTTAAAAGCCAGGGAAGGGGCTGAGACGGCCCGAAGGGCCGTCAAGCCCATTTAAATTTAAAAGCCAGGGAAGGGGCTGAGACGGCCCGAAGGGCCGTCAAGCCCATTTAAATTTAAAAGCCAGGGAAGGGGCTGAGACGGCCCGAAGGGCCGTCAAGCCCATTTAAATTTAAAAGCCAGGGAAGGGCTATCCCATTTTTTTTAAAAAGAAGACTAGAGAATTTTTTTTCATTCAAAATAAAATTTTAGTTTTATTTTTATCAGAAATTTTATTTAAATCTATTACTTTTTTCAATATTTATTTTTACGAATCTTTCTTCGAAAAGAAAGAATTTCTTTGTTGTTTCGGTGGTGTCCACCCTAGCCGCGCCCTGAGGGCGAACGCGGCGCTGTGCGCTGCGCAACGCGCAAAATAGGTCCAAAAATGTCTTTCAATTGTAAATTACAGTATGTTAGTCATCTGTTTCCCATAATTTTACGACGGATTTCTGTTGTTCTTTGTCGAAATTATATATATTTCAAAAAAATTTCTGGGAAGCATTTGACTAACATGGTTTTTCAACATTAATTTGCCTATATCTCTTCAACCCTTTAATTGTTTTTTCTCAAAAATATGTTTTTTTATTTTATAAACAGATCTATTTCACCTGTAGAAATTTGGGAATAATACGATTTGTCTATCAAAAGATAGTTTTTTTGGGCGCGAACCCTACGCATGTCCAAAAAGAGATGAGAGGGTCTTTCCTTCATTTCAATTCAATTGTACTTCTACCTTTTTTTCTTTTTCCTGTTGAATCTTCTAAGAATAACAATATTGAATAAAGATGTTTATAAAACAAAATTATGCGTGAGTCACCCTTTCAGTCTTGCCCTTTTTGTTCTGATTTCGATCTCCGGCTTGTGAGGGCCGCTTTCAAGGGTTTTTGAATTTTCAATTTTGACCAAGAGAGAAACTTGTTGTTTCAGAAAGGGCTTTTCGGAAACATGGGATTGATTTACGGAGCAGCTTGGCATAGTATGGCGCTTTTTATCCCAGCTTCGATTACGATGAAAATTGCTCAAAGGTGAGAAAGTTCCCTTCCCTCCGTTCTTACCACTTTTCTAAGAAATGAAGAAGAAGAGCGATTTTCAGAAGCAAAAGATTTTTGGCTGAAATATTGGGTCGTCTTCGCGCATTACTACTTGATAGAGTACTTTGCCGATTGCTTCGTTTCTTGGGTCCCTTTTTATTCAGAGGTATTCGTCTAAAAATAGGACTGCCCTAAACTTATCCAAGTTAAAATTTCTGATTCTGGTCATGGCCTGCCCAATTACTCCCTTCGGCGCTCTGAAAGCTCTTGGTGGAGTGCCCCTCGATTCGCTTGAACTCAACAAGTCGCCAGTGGAAGCCATCTTCGACATAATTGTCTTCACCAAAACCTCGTCAAGTGATGGTGCTGCTAGACTCGGAATAAATCGCGACGCTCTTCGAGAAACTACCACCGTGCTGATTGAAAAAGCCGGTGCGACGCTGCAGCTAGCCGGATCAGCTTTGCAGCTTCTTATGAACCTCGCTCAGAGCTCCCAGCGAGCTCAAGAAATTGAAGGTTCGTAGTGAGGAACTCTCGAATATTTCTGTAATAATAAAAAAGAAAAGGGATACTTCTTTACTTATTCGAACGAATTCATTGAATTCTCAAGCAGGGGCTAAAATAAGTTCAGATGCTCCAACTTCCCGGCGAAAGAAAAAGTAAAGGTGCTTGAGGAAGTCTGAAATCGTCCAGTTCTGTTCTTCGTTGCTTTTTACTGCCATCTTTTATGTTTCTCTTTTTTTTTCTTGAAATCACTGCAGGTCCTAGAAATACCCTTCAATTCATTCAAATCTCCAAAGTAATTTTTTTATTTCTGTTAACTCTAGCTTTATGTATCTTTATTTTCTTTATTGAACACATTTCTCGCAAGACTTTTAAAAATCTCATATCAGTTCAAAAATTCAGTATAATTCAATTCTTCAAATAGAGCAATTTTAAATTTTCATCTTCAAAGGCGCGAAATGGATGATTCTGATGAATTCGATGACTTTGCGCCAACGATTCAAACTATCCGAATAAGCGAAAGTAGAATTAGCATAAACAGTAATGAGAGGAGAAGACAGCCTCGACCTCTGATTTCACACGGTCATCGGACTCCTCATGGACAGAGGTAACTGTATATCAGCTCGTATTTTATATAAATTGGACATAAGGTCGAGCAATCTCTCTCATGGAAGCTCGGTAAGCAAAAGCTCGAGCATAAGCTCCCGTTCCGCGCGAACACGATCTTCGAATGTGAGTAGAAGTGGCTTCGAAAACTATTCCAGCGGCAACACTGGCAGCCGGAACACTGGCAGTGGCGGAATGAATGATTTCGATGAGAATAATCTGCTGCTTGATGAAAATCAGGGTGGCTCGAGTAATCTCAGCAATCAAAACTCGAGCATGTATCACAACTACAGCAAGTTCGGATCGGATGCGAATTCAAGAGCCACAGCCTTCCAGGAATCAAAAGTTCAAGCTGCTCTTCGCCATGGAAATGAGAGGCTGGCAAAGGCGGCTGACAGTACAGAGATCTACAAAAAGTACTATGATGTCAGAAGAGGCGCTGGAGGCGTCGCGACTGGAGAGCTCAAGATTCCGGATAATGTTGGATATGACAACAGCGGAAGACATCTTCCGATCATGGAGAGCGCTCAAGAGATCATTTCGAGCTTCGATCGGCAGCAGGTGACCCTGATCTCGGGCGAGACTGGAAGTGGGAAGAGTACTATCGTCCCGCAGTTGATCATGGATCACATGGTCAGGAATAACCAAGGCGGGTGCATTTGGGTGACACAGCCGAGAAGAATCGCAGCGATAACCATCGCAGAGAGAGTTGCGGACAGTAGAGCGCCTCTATGGAAACATTGTGGACAGGGACTCGTTGGATATCATGTTGGACTGGACAAGAACTGTTCCCAAGATGCGAGGATCATTTACATGACTCCCGGAATCGTGTCGAATAAAATGCAATCAGATAGAGAACTGAGATCTGTCCGATGCCTCATCATCGACGAAGTCCACGAGCGAGATGTCGAGACAGAAATGCTCCTTCTTCTGGCGAAGCATCTGATCAGCGTCAACAAAGACATCCGGCTTTTTCTCATGTCCGCTACAATGACGCCTGAAAAATTTAAGAATTATCTGACAGTAAGACAAGTCATTCCAGCTGTCATAAGTGCGAGAGGACGTCCTTATGCCGTCACAAATGAGTACGTTGCTGATATTCAGCGACGATTTCCGAACAAAAGCGGACACGAAGTGCGATTTAAAGCGCAACTTGAGCAGACAGAAATCGGCCCTGCGCAGCGAACCCTTTGCATGGATATTTTGAGAGGACTGAACGATTTTGAATATCAAACAGGAGCCGAGGCTCCTGGAGCTGTATTAATCTTCTTGCCAGGCTTATACGAAATAAACCAAATGAGGAGGTTAATTCTAAATTGTTCGATGCAGCGAAATGGCCAGGAAGAACTTGATGTCGTTGTCGAAAGATTGCATTCAAGTCTGCCAAGAGACCGAAACACAATGAAGAAGATCATCGATCCTCTGCGTCCGTTGCCGGGTCGTTGGCGGCGGAAAATCGTTCTGAGTACGAACATGGGGGAATCTTCAATTACTATCTCCGATTGCGCTTACGTGATCGACTTTTGCCTAACAAAATACACAACAAAGCATGATACAGCAAAACTGACCCGACTGGAACAGCGATGGGCTTCGCAAGAAATGTGTGAGCAGCGAAGTGGACGAGCAGGAAGAACGAGGGAAGGAATGTGTTGGCGAATAATTGACAAGAGCTTTTGGGAGCTCGGCATTCCGAAGACGCAGACAGAAGAGATTCTTCGAGTTCCATTGGATAACTGCGTTTTGCTTGGAAAATCTGTTTTCCCATCTGTCAAGCCTGTTGATTTCTTGAAAGAAGCTTTGGCAAGACCTGATGATAAAGAAGTTCTTGAAGCAGTCAAATCGTTGAAAGAAATTGGCGCATTGACGATGACGGCTTATGAAAGACCTGATGTTGATGAGAAAGGCAATCCTTTGCCGATGGTAATCACGAGAGAAGATCTTGAGGATGGAATACTTACGCCTTATGGGAAGTTGATGAATCTCTTGCCTATGGATCGAAATTGTGTAAAATTGATTCAACTAGGCTACATGGTCGGTTTGACTTACGAATGCATCATCATCGCAGCTTGTTCAAGTGTCGAAGCATTCTGGAACTATAACAAGGACGTCAGCGAAGACGATCGAGATCAAGCCGAACACATTAATGCTTACAAATCACGACTCTACTGGGCAAGCGGAACTTATTCCGATCACATAGCGATGATGAACGCGTTTCTCTCCTGGTTTCAAAAGATGCCAGAAAATTACAGAAGAGATTATAGAAAGAAGGAGCATAAATTTCCCAAATTCATTACAAATCCCCACCATCCCTCAGGAATAATCGTTGATCAAAGAAAAGAGCTGGAATGGACGCAAAGAATGGGCATCAATGCTAAAGCGGTGCGGGAAGTGCATATGCTCTGTGAGGACATTATCAAACGACTACTTTCAGCAGGATATCATCTTGGAGATGGGGTAGGTTTAAAAATTGTTGCTTGTAAAAAAATTCCTTCAGAACACTTTTCTCGATCGATTGAGTACTACAAGAAAGAAGGCTAGATCTCATCCAGATTCGTACATCTGCTTGTTGAAAACGATCATTGCTGGCTCTACTTATCCGTTCTGGTTCAACGTGAGTCAAAAAATAACGCCGACAATAATGATCGTTCATTTCAGCTTGCAGATGTGGAGGAATCAGAAGCCACGAAGGATTCCAACGCCTTCAATGGTACTACAACTGTCTATTTCAAAGGCGCTCCACCACATGAAAACTATAAAGTCGGGAAAAGCATCTTGCATCGCTTCCGCCATTGCGGTCCGATTTCTCGTATCTACTTTGACGATACTCGAATATTCGTCGAATTTTCTCCGGAACTCGACACGCCAAGCATATTTCCGTCGAAAAATTCGTTGAATAAATATGTTGAGCACAAAGGCTCTAATGAGTTTAACAATGTTACGCCAGCTGTTATATGCGCGATGAAAATGGGCAGGAGAAGAGGGGATACCTCATCGTTCCTGAATGTAAACATGAACGAAGACTTGCAGCCGGCTGTTCAAACGAATCAAGATTCCTTCCAGGGCTCGAGATTTTTCTGGCTAGACGTTCTGAAATTCGGCAATAAGCGGGCCACGCCAAGCATCAAGGAACACAATAGATTATACTTCGCCACCATTTCCTACGTTGAGAGTTTCACTGAATTCTACGCTGTCGAGCAATCTTTTGAAAAAACCCGAGATACACTCGAAACTGCCATTAGAAAGCTTGACGAAAGAGGCAAGCTGATGCCATTTACTTTTCCTGTGGAAAGGTTGGCAATGGTTCTAGCACCCTTTGGAGATGGAGAATATCGAACTTATCATCGAGCAGTTGTTCTGGCGACCGATATAGACGAAGGAAATGGTATTCAAAAAGTGCTTGTCCAGTTTGTCGACTATGGAAACATTCATTTATTGAGCAACAACGATCTTCGAATGCTGGACGAAAAAATTCACTACAAAGACAGAAATACCGGTCAACAATTGAATATCGCCCACCAAGTATGGCTGGCGATCAAGTATAAAATTCGTGGACTTCAACCTATCAAAGACATGCCCGAGCGATATGTAAGCGGTCTTGTTGAAGGTGCACATTGCGAGATTGAAATTTACTCAACTGTGCGTGGCGAGTACGTACTTGCTGATGTGAAAGTTATGGGCGAGAATCTTCGTGAAAAGTTCATAAAAGAAGGTTTCTGCCAACCAAAAGAGGAAAACGCTGCAGATGTAATCAATGCACTAAATTGGCGAAATGCGGCTGCTGCGAAGAAATCAGCGAAAACACCGCAGCAACAAGGAGGACAGACGAGAACTTCTGACTCAGGATTGCCGAGATCTCCAGGAGGAACTGTTCCTTCTGAATCCAATAGCTCACCGGAGGCGACTCAGGGAAAAACTTGGATAGAAGTTAAAGATGTGTCAGACCCGAATCAAGACGAAAGAGGGCGTCCAAGGAGAGAAAAGAAACTTCAGGGGCCATACAACATGTACTCTACGAGGATTCAGCCTCTTTTCCAGGTATTTTAGCACACTTAATAGCTGCACATTAATAACTGTCATTTCAGACAACATGTTCTTCTGATGTTCAAGCAAATTCGATCAACAGCGTGATCATCAATCCCCATCCAGAATCAAACGATCGAACACTGATTTGCGGCCAGGATGTGTCCCTCGTTTCTGGGGAGAATATGCAGGCATCGTTTACGACAATGATGCCAAATATCAACGGCATCATTGAACTTTGCGGATTACTCTTTGCGCCTTCATACCAAGTTCGCCACGTAAAAGATGAAACAGAGAGAATTCGGCGAAAGCGCGCGGAGGAAGGGTTTTCTGATTTGAGCAATATTGGCGCGTTGTTTGGATGCGGCGGGTACAAAGTCAAAGGAGCCAAAGGAAGAGACGAATTCGTAAGTTTATTAAAGCTGAATTTTTCCTGATTGTTTTTATTTTAGTTGCCAATTTTGAAGGACCACGACGTAGATCGTAAATTCTCGGTGGAAATTGACAATCATGATCTCGATATAATTTCAGATATTCGTGAACAATTCAACCAGTTTCTCGGTAAACCGGTATCTTTTATCTTTGTTTCCATTCAATTTTAGGGAGTAATAACCAGTTCTGCGTTAGCCATAAAAGTCCAGCGCAAGTCGTCTCAGCTCAAAAGGAGATTTCTCGCATGATCATAGACCTTCTCTATCGCCCTAGACAGAAACTGGAATCCAATCAACAAGTAACCACCTTGGCTTTTCTTCAAGTAATAATTGATCATTTAGTACATTACGAATCTTGAATGGAAGAAATCCAGCGACTCTGCTCATTTTGTCCCCATATTCAAGAGAGACACAGCCTATGCAGTCCCTCGAATTCCAGAATAACCTGCCACTTGTTTCTTACAAGCCTTTCTCTTCAAAAAAAGACGGTAGATATTGTTTTTTTCTAACTGATAAACCCATTTCCAACTTTAGCTGCCACTTTCGAGATTTTCCATATTTCTTTCTATTCTTATTGAAAAAAACCACTTCATTACCTCTTTCACAGAATTCACTCAAACTTGACCTTCAAAATGATTGTAATTATGATAAATCAATTCATATACAATAAGATTATCTTCACTAGCGGATTTTCAGTTAGATGGGAAAAACAAAGGTCCATATCGAGTACTGCGGCTCGTGAGGGTACGAGCCTAGGGCTAACGAGCTCCGTCAGGCGATCCTTGCTCGGGCAAAGGATGTCGAGGTCACCATGGAGGTCGGAAGGCCCTCTTCCTTCGAAGTCAAGCTCAACGACGAGCTTCTCTTCTCCAAATATGAAACGACAGGTGATAAGAAAGCCGTACTCGAGTTTCCAATTCGAAATTTTTCAGGTTTTCCAATCGTCGATGAAATTTTGGAACAAGTGGAGAAAGCAGTCAAGGGCGAAGAAGTCGCCAAAGTGACAACAAGTGCTCCTCCTGTCGATATGGGCAACTTCTTTATCATCTTGATTGCAATCGCCCTCTACTTGTACGGAAAACCACTCATTCAGGAACGATTGAAATTTCTAATTTCCTTTTTTGAAAGTTGTTGATTCAAAATTTTCAATCGGCAAAAAAGCTCGTCCAGAGCCTTTTCTCCTAATTCTTTCCACCATTTCGAAAAGCCAGTATTTGTGAATTTGCCCCCACAAAGAATAAACTGTTGACGAAGCGAGAAAAACGCCGATTCAGGCCAATGACGCGCCCAATTCAAAACCGCTCTCAAGGAAGATTGGGTGCCGATAAACAAGATTTTTATCTTTGTTCCTGCAATTTCTGTTCTCCTTTTTCCCGTCTCAGACTGTCTTTTCGCAAGAGTGATTTTTAGTTCAACTTGATTTTTAGCATCATTCTTTTTTTCTTCATTCAAATTAATTAAAAAAAATAATAGATAGTTCATCAAGCTAATCGATTTTTTTTCATTCAGCAAAGTGCCAAAAAAGAGAGAAAGAGGACGTCATCTTCGCGTAAGGAAAGGGTTGACTCACGCATTTCACACATTCATTTTTTTTTTCATTTTGATTTTATTTTCAAAAAGAGCGTTTTTTAATCGATGGAAGTCGCGGATCGCTGGCGGCATCGATTCAATTCCAGGCCTCTCAGCTTCGATTCACGGGGTTAAGATTTCCCGCATTCATTTTGTGAACATCTGTTCGAAATTCATGCAGTTTTGACAAAAACAAAAGTGGCATGAAATTCCGCGCGATTTCACTCTTTTTCGCTTTAGGGAAAGTGCCTTTATATTTTCAAGCACTTTTCCTAGTTTTGTGCTTTTTTGAAGGAAATCAAGCTGAAAATGTTGACCCTTTTGCTAGAGAACACAGAATACCGATCACCGCAATCGGCGCTTCTGGCCCGTCTGCATCCAGTTCTGCTGATGGAAAGCCCGACTTATGCGCTCTTTCATGCGGTGGAAGAGGGAAATGTGGACAGGGTCAAAGCAGCCATGGAAAATGGCGGAAATGCCGACCCCGATGATGACAGAAATGCATTTCAAGGTTCGACAAGCCCATTTTTTGATTGATAAAAATTCTAGTGCGTCTTTCTGCGGCGAATATTGAAATGGAAATCCGCTACCATCACTTTGCTTTGAACATTTCTGAGAGACAGAAAGACAAGTTCTTCAAAAGAATCGAGTACATGGCCCGAGTCGACAATGACCCAATTTGGATACAACGAATTGAGGCAATTTCAACCATCGACGCCAGTGAAGAACAGCAAGAAGATCTCATCGATGGGATTTACATGGACCCCGTTTGTAAATACTTTATTGACGAACACCCCAAATTGGTCAACAAAGACACGCTCATGTTGTTCAATACCTACGAGTACACCCTCCCGCTTCTCTTTTACACTGTCAAGGAATTTGACAAGAAGGACCTTTGGAACAGCGTATTCAAAGCGACGAAATTGAAAGTTCTCAGCGACCTATTTTGCGATACATTCATCAATGTAAGTTGCCATCAATTGAGAATGCGAACCTTTCTCGATTGAGAATTTGTTTGTCGATAAATATTTTTTCCCATAGAAATGTATCAACGAGCAATCGCTAAAAATCCTCCCGCTGATGGTCGAAAATGGCATCAGCCTTCATCAAAAATTCAAGATCCAGGTCGTCGAGCCAACTGATTGGAGGTACGCTAGAATTGTCTTTTTCCTTAAAAAAATCGGGTTCAGTCTTTACGACCAATTTACACAGCGCGTCGTAAAAACGCTCAATCTTACTGGCTGTCGTATTTTTCCGTCGATGGCGATTATTCTCAAGAAAATGCTGGAACTTGGGCTGAGAGTAAATGAGCCATTTGCTTCGTTCGAGATTTTTGATGAAGGCTGGCCGGCTGAGAACGTTCCCAAAACCCTCTTCAACTACTTGGTTATGCTCAGAATGCGCATAAGGTACGAAAAATGGAACTAGAACTTATCTTCATGCTTTCTACAGGCACAAGTCCGCTGAAATCTACAACGGCAGCCTGGAATTCTATCACATGAGAAAGCGAGGATGTTTCGAGCTCGAAAGCATCGAAAGCCTCATTGAAAAGATAGATGAACTACTCGCCGTTATTTTCAAATACCGTCCCGTAAGAGCCCTATTTCCAAGCCCTCCTTTCAACCCGATTTTCAGCTTCACTTTACGCTCCTCAACAATGAAATGCTATCAGAATGTCTAGCTAGTTTGAATCTTCAAGCCAAGAAGGAAAACGTCTGCAAGCTCCGAAGAATGGACCTTGTTTTAGAACTCGTTCAACGCAGCCAACCTATTCCTATTTCACCTGAACAGACCAGTGACACGAATAATTCTTAATCCGACTTTCACTTTTATTTTTACCTCCACTCCTTTTCTGTAAATTTTCCTCACCAACTGGACTTATGTTTTAGCTAAATGTTTATTTTAGACGGTCGAATTCGGACCTGGGATCAGTCAGAAAGAAATAATGAAAAATGAAGAATGATAAAATGAAGCGAAACCTACCAAATTGAAACATTTACTATTTAAACTGTCCTCTTACAGTTATGATATGAAATAATGAATTATTATAAATACAATTATAAAATGAAGCATGAGCGAATTTAGTTGACACCTAAAGGCCTAATCTTAGCGCAAGTAATAAAGACTTCCTATACGTTTGAATAACTTAACCGCGTGGGACGAATCCCCGCGTATGAGCGCGGGACGAATTGATCATTTTGATGTCGTTTAAGCGAAAGCTGCAATAACTCTCAATCGGGTCATCCGATTTTTCTCAAATTTTCAGAGAATACTAATAGCCATATGTTCTATTTCTCTACTTCATTAAATTTAGCAATTTGAACTGTTTAAAATTTAAATAAGTGTAGGTTCATTCACAAAATTAAAATTATCAATCGTCAAAAATGAATCTTAATTTGACCAAAAACTATCTCATAAGAATAAGCGTCATCGAAAACATACTTTTAGATTTCAGAATACCTAAAACGGACAAATTGGTTCGATTTGACAGTAAAAATCTCAGCGGGCGCTCGAGTAAGCCCACCTTAATCCGCTGTCAGGTGCAACTGGAACGTGATAATGACTCCATATTTGCAAAAAGTGGTCACAAGGGATGAACCAAGATACATTTCAATTTTGAGACTTTTTGGATATGCGGCTTAGAAATAACGGACATCCTTAGTCTTAAACGACATCAAAATGATAAATTCGTCCCACGCGGTTAAGATTGTCTAGATTTCTTATTCAAAATAGTGCGTGAAAAAGAAGCATTCAATAATGCGAGAAATAATTCTTAAGATTCGTGAATGAATGAAAGATGCTCCCCGTGTGGCCCTCGTGTCGGACTATTTTTACCCGAAGTTCGGCGGCGTTGAATCCCACATTATAGGCCTCGCATCCGGCCTCCTTCGTCTCGGTCTCCATGTTATCGTTATCACACATTCGTACGGGCCCGAGTTCTCAGGAAAGCACGAGCTTTTTCTCACGCCTCTAGCAACCGTCAGCGATGTTGAAGACGAAACAACCATCACACTGACTGTTTATTACTTGCCAGTTGGAATTGTCGCGCAAAATTGTATGTTTCCTTGTCTTTATCCGACTCTGAGATTCTTTCCGGAAATTTTTGAGAGGGAAAAAATCAATCTTGTTCATGGGCACTCTTCTATGTCTGCAATGGTTCATGAAGGAATCGGGTTCACTTTCATTTATGCAGATAAGAGGCTTTTTTTTAATAAAGAGGGATAAAACATACGAATACAGCAACAGAAAAGGCAGGATCTAAGGCTAACCTGATGTAACAGCTTTAGGAAAAGTTCGCCTTCCAATAAAAAAATTATGATGGATTGAGAAATTAAAAGAAAAGTGAGCTCTTCGAGGATTCGACAGTTTCACACTAAATTATCTGTGGGCCTAGACAAAGAAGCTCATTTTTATTTTAGTTTCACATCAATCAACCATTTTATCGAACTGAACTTTTTGCCAAAATTGTTACCTCAGGCTGACCTAAGATACAACCTTAATTATCATCTCTCATTAGTCCAAGACAAAAAAATCATTGAAGATTCATCAGAATCACCATATTGTCATCAGCTTAGACTTACAAGTGACCCTCAAGGAAAGCAATTTGGCACGGAAAGATGCTCGGCTTGTCTACTGTTATCACTGACCACTCGCTAATTGGATTCTGTGACGCAGGAGCCATTGTAACAAATAAATTACTGGAGGGAACCCTTTCAGACGAGAGCACCCATGTCATCTGCGTTTCCTACTGCTCGTCAGCGAATACTATCATCCGCTCGAACATTCCGCCACCCCTCGTTCACGTTATTCCCAACGGGAAAGGGTTCAAGCGCGGTCTTAAGCTTTTAATAAAGTAACTATTTTGATCCCTTTAAAAGAATCTCAGCCTCATTCAACGCCGCACATTTCCCCCCACTCACTGACACGAAAACCGTAAGAATTGTCACATGCTGTCGTCTTGAATACCGTCGCGGGATCGACCTCCTTTTGGCAATTATCCCCCGTTTTTGTGAAGAATTTCCATTTGTCAAATTTGTAATTGCTGGTGATGGACCGTACCGAGTCAGGCTGGAAGAAACGGTCAGAAGACATTATCTGTCCGATCGCGTCGAGTTAAAGGTAGAAAGATGAACATAGAAGAGGATCTATTGAGGATGAAAATTAAGGGTGTCGTTCCGCATAAGGATCTTCCTGAGTTACTATCGACGTGTCATGTTTTCTTGAATACAGCATTGACAGAAGCGTTCTGTATCGCGATCTGCGAGGCTGCTAGAATGGGTCTTTCGATTGTTTCCTCGAATGTTGGCGGAATTCCGGAAGGATAGTTTTTAAAGCAATTGGTTGTTTGGGATATAAAAAAATAGCATTCGAAAACCTAAAAAAGTGTTGCCAAGGGACTTGGTTCGCCTGTCAAATCCTTCTCCAAAAGAGCTCTACGCATCGCTAACCGAAGCGGTCACCAATATACGCGAAGGACAAGGCCCGTCGAGAAAATATATCTCCGAGAAAGCCCTGACAAAATATAATTGGAGCGATGTTTGCACACGAACAGTAGAAATATACAGGTACAAAGTTCATAAACTTCTGCAATAATCTATCCTCTTTTGTAGGAAATCCCTTGGAGAACGAAAACGGACCTTTGAAGAGCGACTTTTCAAGTTTCGAAAGGTCGAATTTGCCGGCTATTTCTACCAAGGAGTTCTTGTCGTTCATCGGTCACTGTTTTACATGCGCAATGAAATGCAAATCAACAGATTTCATGTCTATTTCTTTCTCTCTTTCCTGATGCCATCTTTCTTTTTGTATCATATTGTATATGCCTTTCTCCGCCAATATCTTTCTGTAGCCTAGCCTTTATTAATTTTCATCTTTCAATTAGCCCAATTTCGAGATTATTTTTACTTCAAAATAACACTTCTTTTCTGCCTTATACTTCAATTACTTTCCAAATTTGAAATTATCAGTTTTACATGATTGATTTTAAAATTTAAGAGATAATGGCTGGTAGAGCAGGGCGCCCAGGCGAGGCGAAAATGGAAGGGGAGCTTCTAGCGCTCACATACGGCGCCGTAGTGGCCCGAGTACTCAAAGACTATGAGCGTACAGACGAGGTCAATGCCCAGGTTCGTTCCGATGCACCTTGATTTTTGATTTAATCTTGAGTGTTAATTAAAACTTGTTGAATTCATTATGGCCATAGTTCATGGTCAATGCGTTTTGCCCTTGCCCATTTTCAATTAGTTGCTTTTTAGTTGGACAAAATGGGCTACAATGTTGGAGTGCGCCTCATTGATGATTTTCTGGCAAAGAATCGACATGGGAGATGCAAGAATATGCATGAAACAGCAGAAGCTATTCAATCCGCGTTCAAGCAGTATATAAATGTTCAGCCTCAAGTTGGAAAATGGAACGACGCGCAAAACTCATTCAGGTACCAATTTATTTGTACATGTATTTGGTGCTTTTTGGTTTATACAGTGGGAGGGAGAAGGCTTCCATTTTGATTATTTACAGAAAAAACGCTCGTGTTTTGAAAGAAATTGTTGTTTGAGGCGGTCATTGCGGGCTTTACTTTTTTCCGATCCAGAACTACTACTTTCTCTATGGATTAAATAAGGATGATACGGGCAAAGCAGTATGTGGACCGTTTCCTAAAGAGAGCATAATACGGCTGAGAATGCCAGCTACACCATTTGTTCCAGTCATTGTATGAATTATATTTTGCGAAACTCTGAATGAATTTAAAACTCATCGGTGTAAATAAGTTTACCTTCTAAAAGCACTTTTTGAGGATGAATTCATTTCTCTTTCCGACTGGTCGCACTGTCTCTTTATTCTAGTTCTGTTGCATTTCTGGCAAAAGCAGTACTCCCCAAATGTGTGTATTTTCTTGATGTTTTTCATGTTGTTTATTCATCACTTGAAAAATTTAATTTTCTGATCTTTCGCATTCCCGAGCTTGCAGGTGCAGAGTTCTTGTTATGATCCCCTTCTTCCCTGGGCGTGTTTGAATTGTCTGGCGCCTCCTGTTAGGTTTTCGTGCGCCACCTTCGTCTCACCTTTGACCTTGAGGCGTCAAAATAGAAGATCAATAATTATTCTCCTTTAAAAACTCATTATCTCATCTTCTCATGAGTTTTATCCAAACTCGATTGAGACAATCCCGCTTATTAGTAATTGCCACTTCTTATTTAGCTTGACGCTGGACACAAACCCACTAACAAGCTTTGTCGAACTACCTGCCGAACTTGGCGGACTATGCTACTGTCAATTCATCTGTGGAATCCTCCGAGGAGCGCTCGAAATGATCCAGCTAGAAACGAAAGTTCAGATTGTAGCGGTAAGTTCTCAAGAAGATAGGTTCTTGTTAAATAATTAGAATTCAATAAAAGGCTTTATTATGGAAGCATTAGCTGTCTGTTAACCTAATGCGTTTCAGGACAATCTTAGGATCAATTTAGGACAATCTGAAGGGATCGTCTGTTACCGAAATACGAGTTTCTTTCATCAAAAAGCTCGTTGACGCCTTGCCAGTTGGGGAAGATTGAAATTGAGAGTCAAAGAATCTCATGCTTTGAGCCCATCTTTCTGCCCAATTTTAATTGTCTGCACTTTCAGTATTCAAAATATCCTTTTAACATTTTTCATCTGTGCAATTTACAATTTATTAATATTTCCATGTCTGTTTATTATTCATCCCTTGACCCAGTAAAAAATCAGGAAAATATCGTTTTGTGAACTCATTAAAATGGTTCAGATTAAAAAAAAAGGTGGTTGAAATTGTGAGAGATGAAAAAGGATAAAACAACAGGTCGCGGTTTTTTCATCAAAATCATTAAATCCAAACTTGATTGACAGTAAACACAGTAAGGTCGTTTGTTGAACTGTAATAAGACAAGAAGGTTTTTGCGGTAGAAGTCAAGGAGAAAGAATTTCTTCAGAGGAAGAAAACAGTGCTTGGGAAGGCGGATCTATCCCGTAAGGAAGCGGATTCGAGGCTTAAAAAAGGGTTGTTTTGGGAGAAAATTAATTGAATCCTCAATGCAGGGAGTATTGATGAAGCGATGATTCCACTGGTGGAATACTTAAATTCAAAAGATGAGACGTTTACGACGAGTTGTTGTTCGGGAAGAGTCAGTATAGGAACCAGGCTCCAAATAAGCATCCAAAGATAAAACATGATGATCTATCTATAATTTTTGAAGGTGTATGTACTGTAATTTTCTTCCAGAGCCAAAATTAGTCAGTCAGGCAGGCTTCACGGATACAGTAAAAGAAGGATGTCCGTGGATTTTCATGAGCCACGAAATCATTGTTGACGTGGATAATGTCATCAATATCGTTAGCAAGGGAATCGATGAAAACGAGGAGAATCAAGTCATTATCATCAAATTTGAAGGAGCCATTGCCCACTTTATCGTTAGAACGCTCTCATTAGGTATGCAAAAATATCCAAATCTGCCGGCAGTTTTCGCTTGTTTAGGGAAGAAGCTGCTTGACGCAGTGAGATTTGTGGGCTTTCGGGATTCGGGCTTGGCTATCGGCGCCAACGGAAAATTCACAGTGCAAATCAGGTCGTTTCATTAAATTAAATTCGCAAGATGAAATAAGGTAATTTAAGAGGCTCCAATTCGCTCGAAGTCCCAATTTCCCGCGGTAAAGATAAATTAGTAACGGATGAGTATTTGCGCTTTCTACTCAACGCGTGTAATGAGAAGATGGAAAAGAATTTCAAAATGATCGAGAGACTGCATAAAGCTATTGAAGCCGTTCTAGAGGCTGAAGGCTGAAATACCACTACTTTATCCTTTCATTTTTAGAATGTCTGTTGAAGATGATGATTGGGCTACTGCAGTCGACATTCAAGAAGGACTGACTAAAGTCGAAATACAACCGACAAAACCAGCGAGCACCGGGAAGAATAGTGAACAAGATGAATTTACTACAGTAAGTTTTCCGATTTCCTGGCTTCTCTACTGATTTAATTCAAGTCGTACGGTGATGAGCAAACCCCAACGCAAGGCGATCAAAGCTTTTTACGGAAAGTACTGCGTCAAAAACTAGTCACAACTCAGAGCGAGCTAGAAGTACAACAGCGCGATCCAAACTCACCTCTATACTCAGTCCGTAGCTTCGAAGAGCTCAATCTCCGCCCTGAACTTTTAAAAGGTTTTTTCGTCTTTCAATGTTGGTTTATTGACTTATCGAACGTTCAGGAATCTATCAAATGGGGTTCAATAGACCTTCGAAGATTCAGGAAACCGCGCTGCCGATGCTTGTCTCGCAACAGCCGCAAAATCTGATTGCTCAAAGCCAATCGGGGACGGGCAAGACAGCAGCGTTCGTTCTTACTATGCTGTCGCGAATTGACACGAGGGATGATACGCCTCAGTGTTTGTGTTTGAGCCCTACATTTGAGGTTTGCAAAGTTGAAAATTTCAAAGAAAATTTCTAGAACAAAATTGTTTATTTTTAAAATTTAATAAATTTTAAGTTTTCGTTTTGTTTTAGTTGTAGCTGTGAAGAAATTAAAAAAAACGATCCTTTTAGTAAACAATTTGTTCTAGAAACTTTTCTTTATATTTAAAATTTAAACTGATGTTCGTACAGTGAAAACTCGAAAATTGGCCGGTTTTCAGCTCCAAATTTCCGAAAAAAGCGGCCAAATTTTGAGTTTTTTGCCGGGTAGCCAAGCTTCCTCTTCAAAAAAGCAAAGTTTCGAAATTTTCGAATATGGGCATGATTTTCACGTTTTTGATGAATTTTATTCAATTTTTTTGCTTGTTCTAAGTCATTTTTATCAAAATAAAGTTATTTTAGATGATTTAAACGCTTCAAAATAGCTTAAAATGGTCAGAAATACCATAATTTGGGTCTATTTTGATGCAAATTTTTTTATTTTTGAAAAAGCGGCCAATTTTTGAGTCTTTTTCAGATTCAAAATTCAGCCAATTTCGATCAAAACCGGCCAAATTTAGAGTAGGCAAATTTTGAGTTTTCACTGTATTAGTATTTCATAGATTCATGATATGTTTAGCTCGCTCTTCAAACCGGAAAAGTAGTAGAAGCGATGGGTGCCGCCATGCCCGACTTGAAAATTTGTTATGCTCTGAAAGGAATCCGCCTGGGACGGGGAGAAAAGGCACGGGGACAGATTGTAATTGGAACGCCGGGAACAACAATGGATTGGACTGTGAAACATAAATCCATCGACCCAAGCACTATCAAAGTAAATTTCAACTACACTTGGACATCATTGTTTCATTTTGTAGGTTTTTGTTCTGGATGAAGCAGATGTCATGATTGACACGCAAGGCCACAAGGATCAGACTATTAGAATTCACAAAACGCTCGACAAAGAAAAGTGCCAGTTTCTCTTCTTTTCCGCGACTTATGACGATGAGGTATAAAAACGCATTCATTCCTGGAAATTATGGCATTATCTAGGTCATGAGATTTGCTGAGAAGATTGTTCCACATGCAAATATCATCCAACTGAAGAGGGAAGAAGAAACTCTTACGAATATCAAGCAATATCAGGTAGATCTACTGTCAATTCTGTTTGTAAAAGTGCATTTTAGGTTCATTGCAGAGATATGGATCAAAAATACGATGCTCTTGCGAATATTTATGCCACACTTTCAGTCGGTCAGGTGAGTTATTTATTCAGACGTTTATCGTCCTTACTAATTTATCTCCAAAAGGCTGTTATATTCTGTCACACGAGAAATACGGCAAAATGGCTCGCCGAGAAGATGCACTCAGATGGCTACATCGTTGCTCTCCTCAGCGGCGAACTTGACGTTTCCAGTCGAGCTAAGATTCTAAAAAGGTAGACCTCGTGGTTTCTGAGTGAAAACAGTCTTGTCGAATTATCGTTGTTAAAAGTTAATAATTTAATAGATTCCGAGAAGGCAAAGAGCGTGTTTTGGTGACGACTAATGTCTGCGCCAGAGGAATAGACGTCGAGCAAGTCACATTAGTTGTCAACTTTGATCTCCCCATGACGAAGGTTACGCCGGTTGTTTTCGAATTTTTATGTAATGAGCAATAATGTAGGATCGCCACGCCGACTTTGAAACATACATTCATCGAATAGGACGAACTGGAAGATTTGGAAAGTCTGGCGTCGCCATCAATTTTGTCTCTGATCGCCATGACGAGAAAATTATCAACAAGGTATGAAATAAAGCTCAAAGCCAATTCTATTTAAATAGATCGGGGACCACTTTTGCTGTTCGATCCCAGTCCTGGACGCGGGCGATTACGATGACTTGGAGGACAAACTAGCGGAAAAATGAAAATAATGACGAATCGACGCATGTTACTTGTACTACATCTGTATCTCTGCTGCGTGCTTCAACACAGAAGTTCATTCATTTTGAAAATTTTGAAAACAGAAAACTGAAAATACTGCCATCAAAAAGCTGCGGGCCCTAATCATTAATTAAAAATTACCGCAATCATCAATTTCAATCATCGACAACTGTTACAGTGATGATTAGGACTAAAAGTTCAAAATACAATACAAATACTGCTCCTTCTGAAAATGAATGCTTGTAGAATGAACTATCACGTGAGCATAGTTCATGGGGGCTCTTTCGAAAACGTAGAAGCTCCGCTGTCAATCAATGCTACATCTCACCAAGGAATCATTCAAGCGCTCGAAGAAATTGCAGGTTCTAGCGCTTCAGCCTATTGATTCTTTCATAATAATTTCCAGGGCTAAAAAACATCAAAATCTCCCACCGTGGTCGAACGTTAAAGCCTACTGATCGTCTCCCTCCAGATGGAGCGCGAATTTTCGTTTCAGGAGAATCTTTACCGGCAGAAAAAATGGAGGTCGAATTCCCAACTGTAACACCAGAGCAAATGAACGAAGCAAAGAACATCATCAAAACTTACGGCAGCTCAAGAAACCCAATCAGACACGATTTTAACACGCTAGCAAGTGAAATGATGAGAAGTGTTTACAAAAACTACCCAAAATTAGCGAGAAAAGATCCGATCGGTGCAAAGATATGCGTATCCGCAGGTTTCTAGCGCCATTTGAAGCCCTTTTTATGAATGGAATTTAGGACAAGCTGATGGTGCACTTTTCATCGATTGCCTGAACAAAGAACTGTACAAAAAACACCCTCTCATCCAGCATGTTTTGATGGACATCGCTAAGAAGACCAAAGAGTCATCCGCTACTTTTGCAAGAAATATCGGAATCGACCCGGCCATCCGTAAGCCCATCCTAATCTTCAGTCGCCATTCGAACATTTCTAGTGCCTCAAATCCTTGCAGCTTCTGCCCCAGCTCATCTCCGCGCCCAGATGCGTGCCCAACAGCAAGCTAACGCCGCGCATGCGAGAGCCCGTGTAGCTAGGGATGCTCGATTGAAAATTTTGAACCTCGCCAGAATTAAGTCTCGGCTAAACATCAATACACATCCCCCTTTGAAGCGGCCTCGGCAAATATCACTCAAGATATGCTCACTCAAGCTATCGCTAGTGCTGTTTCAAACCCATTGCCTCCTCCTCCTCCAAACCCTTCTAATGCTCCTTCTACTTCTTCCAGCAATCCGCCTATTCCAGGGACGGAAAACCTTCAAAATATTCTAAGCCACCAAGTTCAAGCAATGAACAAAAGAATCGAAGACGGAATGGCCCAGATGAGGTTAAACCCTCTTTTTTCACGGTTCTTTACTTACAGTTATTTACAGGGAAATGGGAATAATGCAACAAACAACAGAAGAAGTAGCTCGAGCATTTCTGATGCGATCTGGTGGAAATGTTGAACGGGCCGTTCAACTCATTTTTGAAACGATGCAATAAAGATAACAAAGCTAGAATTTTTCAATAGGTTTTTGGTGATCCTTCTTATTGACATGTAAAATTGTTGCCCAGGAAATTGCTTTCGCTCTTCTGAAAATCACTAATCTAATCAGGAAACTCACCATCTATTATATTAATATACTCTTTTGAATCAACGCTTGATCATTCTTCTTTTGCTAGAATGGCTCATTTTGTCTGTGGAATCGGCGGTGCCCCTTGCGGAGATCCCTGGGTAACTCCATCCGGCGGCGTTTATGAAAAGAAGAACATCGACCGGTGGATAAGCGAGCATGGAACTGATCCGCAAACAGAACGAGCGCTCAGCAAAGAAGATTTGATCAAAATGATCCAAGCACCTGGTGTTCGTCCGCAACCTCCACAGTCCATGTCTGTCAGCTCGATTATCAAATCAATCCGAGACGAGTACGACGCAATCGTCCTCGCCAACGCGAAAATGATCAAAGACAACCACGCGAATAAAGACCAACTTCGAGATCGACTGTACAATCAAGACGCGGCCGTGAGAGTGATTGTGCGACTCACTCAGAAGCTCAACAATCTTCGTCTTGAACTACAAGAAGCAGAAAAAGAAGAACAAGCGAAAATCGAAGCAGCTGGCGAAGCGATGGAAGCGGAAGAAGTGGCAGAAGACGACCTTCATTTGGAGAAGGTGATGCAGCGACTCAAGGAAGAAGGAGAAAAGCTTTCCTCGGCGAGAAAGAAGCGAGGAAAGAAACCGCCCGCTGAACTTGTCGATACTGGAACGCTTTCGAACTACGTCGTTCAGACAAATTATCCTGGTCTCCATTCCGCCTCTGTTCCTGGTAAAAAAGGTCGTTAGTTACTAGTTTTTTATTCTTATTAGGAATCACATGTCTGGATGTGCATCGGCAAAGCGGTATCATTGCGACAGGTGGAAAGGATAAATCAGTTGTGTTATTCAACCGCCAACACGAGGAAATCATCGCTCAGTGCAAAGGTTTTATTTAAGCTTCTTTTTCATTAGTTACAATTAAATTTCAGGTCATACAAAAGCAGTTACGTCCGTTGCTCTGCATCAGCATGGCCCGATCGCCGTTTCTGGATCGAATGATAGTACGATTAGAGTTTGGAACTACGAGGATGAAGAAAAGGTACCTTCTTATTGATTTCATTCGCTGATCTTTAGGTTCGTTCATCAAAACTCAAAATTCACAACGATGCGGTCACCTCTCTTTCCCTCCACCCGACCCAAGATTTTATCCTCTCCTCGAGCAACGACAAGTCGTGGGCATTCACCGACATCTTCGCTGAGCGAGAAATTGTCCGGGTTTTCGATGAGGATCGCGTTTCTTGCGCCCAGTTCCATCCTGACGGTCTCATTCTTGGAACTGGAACGAGCAGAGCCGAAGTTAAGATTTGGGATTTGAAGTCGTCGTCGAATGTAAGTCTTTTTTCATCGTGAAGATTAATGTGATAAATCTTAAAGACTGAGAATGCCAAGCCCGCTGCTTCGCCGTTCAAGGGCCACTCTGGACCAGTCGAAACGATGTGCTTCTCAGAAAATGGTTATCACCTGGCCACGGCGTCTCGGGATAATGAAGTTCGCATTTGGGACTTGAGAAAGCTCAAGCTCTTGAAGACGATTACCTTGTCCGACTCTTTCAAAGTCAGCCACGTCACTTTCGACCAGTCGGGAACTTACTTGTCCGTTGCTGGCGGAGATGTGCGCGTTTTCAAGGTCAAAGAATGGAACGAGGTAAATGTCGCTTTTCATTCCATTTGATTCAAATCCGCTAGATTTGCCGATACACTGCGCATACGGACGATGTCACAAGCAGCTCCTGGGGCGCTCTTGCTACAGAGCTCGTGACTTGCTCTCTTGACAGAACTGTCAAGGTCTTCTCCCTCGAAGATAACCAGGGATCGAAATTCGCTTGAAACTCTGAATTCTGAATCTAGGAAAATTTCATCCTGCCATTGAACGTAAATATCCTTAATTACTGTCAATCCAAATGAAGTCAGAATTTCGGACGTTTTCAGAAATTTTGCGATGCTCTCAAATTTTGATGCAGGAAGCAGATCAAGATCAGATTTTTTCTTTTCATTTTTTATTAGGAGATTTTTTGGCAGTTTGCAGCTTATGGAGTCTTTGAGAAGATTTAAGTTGAAATTGAATAAATTTACAGCTAAAGTTGAGAGAAGTGTTTTTGAAAGTGATGACTTGATTGATTGCTTTGATGGATTCGTTTCAGTGGAGTTTACTTGAATTGTTTTCCAAAGAAGAGAGAAGGATGAATGGCGACTTTGTTTGTTCGCATGTAGTGATCGTAAGCCATGGCAGCTTGGAAGTCTCGGACCATCTGGTTATGGGCTGCGGTCATGTTCACCATTGTCGTTTGGTATCGGGTGACCATCTGCTGGAGCATTCCTGAAAAATGACTATTAGAATCTCTTATAAAACATGAACATAATCAAAACGAGAATAGAACTTACGGATTTCTTGCATCTGGCTATCTTGGAAGCCCTTTCGAATGTCGTCCTCGTTGAATGTCGCGCCTTCTCGATCCTCTTCCTTGATGTCTTTCTCCTTCAACGGAGGAAGCATTGTATCGCAGTCAGCTGGAGAGTCTGGCAGCTTCTCGACGTCGATGATTTCGTCGGTCTTTTCGGCCTAAAATTGTGAATTAAATTTTGATAAAAAGTTGTTTGAATTATGATTAGTAATAAAAATTACCTTGAGCGGATTTTCTTCATTGAATTTTTGGACGAAAGAAGCCACGATTTTCTTCTTTTCTGGAGCCGGGAAGGGTTTCTTTGGAACGCTGGTCGACGATTTACACGAAGCAGATGGCTCTGGCGATGAGATGAAACTTTCGTCGATCACCAAAGTGCCTGGCGAAGTGGGAGATCGTGGAGGAATGGCGGAGGGTGACGGTGCTGGGAGCTCGGAAGCGCTGAAACTTGATGTTGAGAACCGAAAATATGGAAAGAAGTCTTACCTTTGCTCGTTGATTGCGGGTAACGCAGAGACACCAATTTGTCGTCTGAGCTGAGGGCGACTTTGCACAGTGACTTGAGGCAAGGCAAGCTGCGGCTTCCAGACTCTCTCAGTTTTGACGATTCCTCTTTGTGGCTTCATTGGAGGAGCTTGAATCGCGAGAGCTTGTCGGAATTGCGGGTGGAAGTAGTTGGGAGGGATGACTGGATAGGCTGGCAGCGGTGTCGGGACGACGACCGGAGTGGTGACTCGAGTGTTTGGTGGAGTCGGCGGCACTTCCCGGCGAGGAGCAGGGGTTGCGGTCGACATCTGACGACGGACTCCATCCAAGTTGGTCTCTTGCAGCGGCAGCTCTTTGTTGTCTTTTCTGAATTTAAATGTAAGCTCGAAGATTTCCACATTGAAAATGAGTTCTTTAAGTTTTCAAATTTTGAATTAGACTTACTTGTACTGGTTTCGTTCTCTCTGGAACCAGTTGGTGACGAAGGAGAGCGGCAAATCAAGCTCAGATGCGAGAGCTTGCTTCTCGTATTTGGACGGGTAGGGCTTCGTCTTGAAGACTTGGCGGAGTCTCTGTGCCTGATCTCTGCTGCATCGAAAAATCATCTGAGGGCAATCGCTGTTGTGCATTTTCAATCTTGTTTTGTTGTTTACTGATTTGATGATTTGCCTTCCGGCGCGGCGCCTAAATACGCCCCGTGTTGATAGAGGGCGCTGTCAAACTCGCGACCGCGAACTAAGCTAGAAGGTGTTAATCCCCGCCTTCCAAAAATACCCTCCGAGATGACCTTGTTTTTCAATTTGAGAAGAATTCAGAAATGTGTGCATTCCAAAGCTCCATGTGATAATTGCAAAATTTTACTGGATTTTCAGCCTCCCTGCCAAAAATAGACTTGGTAAGTCCTGAACCAAACTGGTAACCGTTTTGGAAATCGAAATATTTTATTCGATTCATCTCTGTTTTCAAGGTAAAGTCGCTAAAATTAAAACAAGAGTTTTATTTCTATTGAAAAAATTACGCTCTGCAAATATTGATCAATTAATAAATGAGTCTCCACTCATCTGCCATTTTTGGTATAATAGAGAAATTTTTAATAATGCATTTTATATTTTGTATATTTTTATTATCCTCAGTAAAAGCAGAAAATTCACTAGAATTCGAGAGAACTATCGTTGGTCCTTTATTTTCAAACTTTACACAGAAAAAGTTAGTCGTTGAATTTTGAAGATAATCCTCGAAAGAAATTCTAGTTTTTGCCAAACAACAGAATGTAACGTCGTTCGAATAAAATGCCCACTGAAATCAACATCGATAACTTGGAAGTTTCGGCACATTGTGGCGATTACAAGGGAAAGAGCTCCAGTTTGGGTGGAGTTTGAAGCGAAAAAGGCTTGTAATCATACGTATTTACGGCAGTGCGAGAATTGCAGAGAATACTGTTTTTGGTCGCCCAAGGAAATTGAAATACAGGTCTTTTTCTTACTGTACCTGAAAGCGGAGAGATAATCTTTTAGAATTATTACGCCTTGAAAGACGATGGGCTTTACAAATGCTCTGATGGACTCGAAGAAGCTACCGGTCACTTGAACTTCATCAATCGTAATTCTTTCATCTCCCATTTCCCGGATCAATTAAAATGACTGTAGCTAAGTGCGGATCAATGTGCGTAGCTGCAACGACGATTGTTTTGCTGTTTAGTTTCGCGATTGTCGCTGGATTAACGTTTCCCTTCATTTTTTCAAAGGTCCTTGTGTTCTGAAAACAATGATTTACATGCAGTTGATTTTTCAGGCGACAACGAACGTTGGAACTTGTGATAATCCGCGAAGAGTTACCAATTCAAGAGACGAGTCATGAATCTCTATTTCTGCTTTTTTTTTATTTCAATAAAAGCCTATTTGATCAATCAAAAAAAAATCAAAATGCTTAGCGCACGAGGTATTCCCAACCGGTCACCCATGTAAGTACTAACCCCGCCCGTCGTAGTTTAACTTCAGTGATCGGACGAGAACTGGTTCATTCTACGCGGTATGACGCTAAGCGACAACTGCTCACTTTAGCCACTTTATAAATCAAGTGTGTCGTAAGCAGGATACGGTATGCAGCATACCGTATGCTGTTGCTATAAATACGAATAAAAACACTCAAATCATGTAGCAAATACTCAGCAATAATTTAAACAAGGTTGCCCTTCTGTTCTCTTCCTTGATTGCAATTTGAATAAAATCGACTCAGCAAGTGACCCGAAAAAAGATTCATATCAATGATATCATAAAAGATTTTATTGAGAAAGAAGCACTAAAAGTCGGTTCAAAAAGGTTTCGGTCCAGGAGCAATATCTTCTAAATAACTAAAGTGAGAATAATTGAAAGATGATTGTCTTTTTTTCAATACCTTTTCCGGAGTTGACTGCAGCTGAAGAGGTCGAAGAAGATGATGCAGTTGAAAGACGATGAGGAGGGCATGGGTTGGCTCGGCGATCATCTTTTTTCAGGCTTAGAACTTGTCACAAATTGCTATTCAAAAATTGAGATCTGTAGCCTTTCCTTCGCAGTAGCAATCAGCCTCAACTTCCACATCCAAAAGGCGCACATTAGTTCGCACCCGAATTTTCGCCGCAAAATCGACACTATAAAATGCCACTGAACTTCTTGCCTCTCAAAGTTTACTAGAATTTTCATTGTTCTTGTTAACTTTTACGGTAGTGCCTGCAAAAAATGGGCTTTCAAATGGCAAGTGAACTTACACTTGTTTGCTCATGACGACTTTTTGTGGGAGACAGGTTTCTTGGGTCATTTTGGAATTTAAGAATTTCAGTCTGAAAGCAATCGAATTGAAATTTTCGCTAGTGAAAATGTTTTGTTGCAAATGGTCAGTCTTGACTTGGTTATTTTTCGAAAGTAGCTGTCTGGATGGTCTTTCCAATTCGCTGAAAGTGGAAGTCAGAGTGCACTTCATCAACGTAGAATGCGTCGGTTTTGAGTCCGGCATCGTGGAACATTCGTGAAACATTCGGCTTGAGGATGTCAGCCGTCTTGAAGATCACCGGATAAACAGTTTTGAAGTGACTGAAGATCGACATTAAGCTCAAGTCCTTTTCGTTCGAAATTCTACCTGTAGACCATGTTCCAAACAGCTTGTTGCTTATCAGCAGCATCTGTCAAGTCAGGTTGCCCCATCACTCGCAAGTTTTTAATTTCTAAAAGAAAAAAAGATAAAAATTCCATACAGAAAAGTTCATCTTACCGGAAGCATCAAATGCTTTATCGTCAGTAATGACAATGAGCACTCTGTCGACGTCCTTCTTATTTGTCTTGGAGGCCATCAGTTTGCTCGAGCTTTCTTTGAACTCCTTAGTCGTGATGTCTGAAAAGAACAGTATGAAAAACGCCCGGAAGAGGGAAACAATCTAAGCCGGGAGAAGCAGCGTCGCTCAGCTACATTGTTCGACTCTAGAATGAGAACAATCGTAAGTTTTACCTTGAAGAGCGAGGAATAAGTTAGAGGATCCTTTGAGCAACTCTTCCGTGTTGAAGAAGCCGTCCAATTGCGTGTATGCGTTTTCGCAAAGAGCGCTTTATTTCATTATTATTTATCAACACCGAAATGAAATTTACCTGGAGCTAAAGGTCGGTCCCATTTTCCAATGAAACTGTCCAGGGGCTGCCATACCCAGTCGCCCCTTCCAGAATCCAGGCTTCTTGGAAACCTTCTCAAACGCCTTTTTGACATCTCCTTTCGCCTCTTCCATTTCCTTGTGCTCGTAGTATCCGTAGCCAGGCTCGTAGTTCTTGATCAACTGGTCGCAGCCGGAGAATTGGACGAGAGTAAAAGTAATTGGCTCTTGAGATCGATCTCGCATGAGCTTGTAGTCGACCAGTTTGATGGTGTTTTTGATGAAATCAAAGATTTTCTCCTTGAACTTGTCTTCCATCGATTCCGAGCCGTCGTAGAGAATGACGACTTCCAATGGCTTGTGACATCCCTGAGGAGTCTTGATATCGCAAAGACAGTTGTCCTGAATTTTCGATATTCTAGTGACTCATTTAAAACATTTTCTCGTTTTACCTCGTAGATGAGATCCTCCAGTCCAGTCAGCGTTCTGACTTCAAACTTCGCCCTGACCGTGAAGGTCTGATCGGACCAGGAAGATCCGTCTTTGACGCAAATCTCCTTCTTGAATCCCAAAAATCTAGATTCCTTCGACATGCTGATCGAACTGCTCTTTCAGAAGTGAGTGAGATGTTCAATGGAAAGGACTGGTTATATATAGTTGCCTCGCCAAATACCGCCTCGACTCGCCAAACAGTGCTAACAATGAAACTCAGATGGATAAATTTATCCCACCTCGCAGATTTTTTTGTTGAACTAGGATGTAAATTCGGAAATACGGTATTTCAAATACCGGAGTTTATATCGTTTTCATGACCTTCTGAATAAATTGAACTTTCGGAAGTACAATCGGGATTCCCATCCGAGATGAGCCACCTGCTTTCAAATTATTGTTGAGAACACATCATTTTTTGAAGAATCAGTCAATGAAATCACTTCTGATTTGTAAAGGGTTGAATGCTTGTTACATGTTTTAGGCGCTTCTTTCGTAGAAGGAATCCTTCATCTATTCGCTGAGACTCTCAGTGAGAGGGAGGCCATTTTTAAAGGAAATCATTACCAAAATTTTAGCTTAGTGAACACTGCTAGGGTCCGGCATGATTAGGACCAAAAATTTAATTTCAATGAAACTTCACGATTCCACTAATTCGACCCTAAGGAATTCAATTCCGTTCACTGATTCTCCCAAAAGCCCCCCATTCAGCCCTTTTCAGGGCTTTAACCCTTTGGGCGAGCGTGGCGTTTTTAAACGCCACGGGGAATTTGACGGGCGATTTCTCTACGAATAACTTAGCGAAATGTAAAAATTTTTACTTTTCTGGAAAATTCGGACATTTTTCTACCTAGTGATTGTTTTAAAAAAATAAATTTGCTACAAAAACTTGCTCTAAAATCAAAAAGAAAAAGTCTGACTCGGCCGAAATAGGCGTTACTCACGCGCTTTTCCCTTCAAAAAGGGAAAACAGAGGGAGAGCGCGCGGCGCCTTCCTGTTTTTCGGCCAATCTTCAATGGCTATTTACAGTTATTCCCGACGGAGATAAAAAATAAAATTGGGATCAATGGATAGCCCAAACGATTTTCTTTTTAATACTTCTTTTTAAATTAGAGAAATTTATTAAGAAATGGCTCAAAATTGAGAAAAACTCCGTGGCGTTTTAAAGCGCCACGCGGTTGCCAACGCATAGGACCAGGCTCGCGCCCAAAGAGTTAATGAAAATTTAAACGGAGAGCCAAGTGCGCTCTGATTGGTCAGCTCCGCCGAGCGATTTTAAATACTGCCCGAATGATTCCCTTGGTGGCTCAAATGTTAGCGCTCTCGCTTGACAAGCAAGAGGTGGTGAGGTCGAGTCACCAAAAATCAAGTTTTTTTTCATCGAATTTTCCTTCAAAAAGAAGACCATAAAATGCAAAGTCACACTTTTTTGAGCAGAAATACATGTTATTGAATAAATCTCGTTATTAAAAAAAATTAATTGTAAGATAATAACCATAACAAACCTAGAAATAGGGATAATTTTAATTTTTATGTAAATGGGTGTGGGTGGGGTTGGGGACAAAACTGAGATTGATCACCTCAGAGTTAAATGCCTTTGTCAAGCCCCTTAAAATTAAAAATCAAGGAACGGGGCTGAGACGGCCCGAAGGGCCGTCAAGCCCCTTAAAATTAAAAATCAAGGAACGGGGCTGAGACGGCCCGAAGGGCCGTCAAGCCCCTTAAAATTAAAAATCAAGGAACGGGGCTGAGACGGCCCGAAGGGCCGTCAAGCCCCTTAAAATTAAAAATCAAGGAACGGGGCTGAGACGGCCCGAAGGGCCGTCAAGCCCCTTAAAATTAAAAATCAAGGAACGGGGCTGAGACGGCCCGAAGGGCCGTCAAGCCCCTTAAAATTAAAAATCAAGGAACGGGGCTGAGACGGCCCGAAGGGCCGTCAAGCCCCTTAAAATTAAAAATCAAGGAACGGGGCTGAGACGGCCCGAAGGGCCGTCAAGCCCCTTAAAATTAAAATCAAGGAACGGGGCTGAGACGGCCCGAAGGGCCGTCAAGCCCCTTAAAATTAAAATCAAGGAACGGGGCTGAGACGGCCCGAAGGGCCGTCAAGCCCCTTAAAATTAAAATCAAGGAACGGGGCTGAGACGGCCCGAAGGGCCGTCAAGCCCTTAAAATTAAAATCAAGGAACGGGGCTGAGACGGCCCGAAGGGCCGTCAAGCCCCTTAAAATTAAAAATCAAGGAACGGGGCTGAGACGGCCCGAAGGGCCGTCAAGCCCCTTAAAATTAAAAATCAAGGAACGGGGCTGAGACGGCCCGAAGGGCCGTCAAGCCCTTAAAATTAAAAATCAAGGAACGGGGCTGAGACGGCCCGAAGGGCCGTCAAGCCCCTTAAAATTAAAAATCAAGGAACGGGGCTGAGACGGCCCGAAGGGCCGTCAAGCCCTTAAAATTAAAAATCAAGGAACGGGGCTGAGACGGCCCGAAGGGCCGTCAAGCCCTTAAAATTAAAAATCAAGGAACGGGGCTGAGACGGCCCGAAGGGCCGTCAAGCCCTTAAAATTAAAAATCAAGGAACGGGGCTGAGACGGCCCGAAGGGCCGCTAAGCCCCTTAAAATTAAAAATCAAGGAACGGGGCTGAGACGGCCCGAAGGGCCGTCAAGCCCCTTAAAGTTAAAAATCAAGGACTATCAAGGAAATCAAGGCCCTAATTTGTGATTCCGCAACAAAAATTGAAGAAAGCGAATTCTAAAAATTATTTCCACAAGAGTACAAGACCCTCGCCCAAGTCTAAGTGAGCGTTCTCCAGTTTTTCCTTGAAGAGCAAGCTTGGAGGGTGTCCTCCGTGTCAGCCAATCAGAGCGCCGCGCTGCTTTCCCAGGAAAATCAAAATAAAGAGTCGGACTTTAAAATCAATTCACAAAAAAAGTCCAGTGAGTTAGAAGAAGTTAAAAAAGCAAAATTTCTTATTTTTCTATAGTCTTTCTAAAATGACTAGGCCTGGAATTGTGAGCGACCTAGAAACCCAAAAAACCGAGAGAAATCGGCGATTTAGAAGATTTGCCGGGCTTTAAGTGCCGGCATATTTTTCGCCGTATTCGATAACCTAGGTTATCCTATGATTTTCTTTGGGGGTGTTGTTTATTTTGCCCTTTGAAAAATCGAGTCCTCCGATCGTGTCGGACCCTAAACACTGCTCTCTTCCTTGATTGCGGTGGCAATAAAATCGACTGTAAGTAATAAGAGATTCGTATCATGAAATATTTTATTGAAAAAGAAGCACTAAAAGTCTGTTCAGAAAGGCTTTGGTCCAGGAGCGATATCTTCTAAATAACTAATTTAGTGAAAATAACTGTAAGATGATTGTCTTTGTATCATTACCTTTTCCGGAACGGATTGTAGCTCAAGAAGTCGATGAAGAAGATGCAGTTGAAAGACGATGAGGAGGACATGGGTTTGCTCGGCGGTCATCTTTTTTCAGGCTTAGAATTTGTCACAAATTCTTTCTCAAAAGTGCGATCTGTAGCCTTTCCTTCACAGTAGCAATCAGCCTCAACTTCCACATCCAAAAGGCGCACATTAGTTCGCACCCGAATTTTTGCCGCAAAATCGACACTATAAAATGCCACTGAACTTGTTGTCTTAACTTGTTGTCTTAAAGTTTACTAGAAGTTTCATTGTTCTTGTTAACTTTTACGGTAGTGCCTGCAAAAAAAGGGCTTTCAAATGGCAAGTGAACTTACACTTGTTTGCTCATGACGACTTTTTGTGGGAGACAGGTTTCTTGGGTCATTTTGGAATTTAAGAATTTCAGTCTGAAAGCAATCGAATTGAAATTTTTGCTAGTGAAAATGTTTTGTTGCAAATAGTCAGTCTTGACTTGGTTATTTTTCGAAAGTAGCTGTCTGGATGGTCTTTCCAATTCGCTGAAAGTGGAAGTCAGAGTGCACTTCATCAACGTAGAATGCGTCAGTTTTGAGTCCGGCGTCGTGGAACATTCGCGAGACATTAGGCTTGAGGATGTCGGCCGTCTTGAAGATCACTGGATAGACAGTTTTGAACTGACTGAATATAGAAAGTAATCTCAAGGCACCTTTACCCGACCCTACCTGTAAACCATGTTCCAAACAGCTTGTTGCTTATCAGCAGCATCTGTCAAATCGGGTTGCCCCATCACTCGCAAGTTTTTAACTTCTTCAGGAAAAGAATAAAATTAAAAACAGAAAAGTTCATCTTACCGGAAGCATCAAATGCTTTATCGTCAGTAATGACAATGAGCACTCTGTCGACGTCCTTCGTATTTGTCTTGGAGGCCATCAGTTTGCTCGAGCTTTCTTTGAACTCCTTAGTCGTGATGTCTGAAAAGAACAGTATGAAAAACGCCCGGAAGAGGGAAACAATCTAAGCCGTGAGAAGCAAAATCGGTCAGCCACATTGTTCAACTCTAGACTCTAGAATCGTTAATTGTACCTTGAAGAGCGAGGAATATGTTGGAGGATCCTTTGAGCAACTCTTCCGTGTTGAAAAAGCTGTCCAATTGCGTGTATGCGTTTTCGCAAAGAGCACTTTATTTATTCATTATTTATCAATCCCGGAATGGACATTACCTGGAGCTGAAGGTCGGTCCCATTTTCCAATGAAATTGTCCAGGGGCGGCCATGCCCAGTCGCCCCTTGAATCCGGGATTCTGGGATACCTTCTCAAACGCCTTTTCAACATCTCCTTTTGCCTCTTCCATCTCCCTGTGCTCGTAGTAGCCGTAACCAGGCTCGTAGTTCTTGATCAACTGATCGCAGCCGGAGAATTGGACGAGAGTAAAAGTAATTGGCTCTTGAGATCGATCTCGCATGAGCTTGTAGTCGACCAGTTTGATGGTGTTTTTGATGAAATCAAAGATTTTCTCCTTGAACTTGTCTTCCATGGATTCCGAGCCGTCGTAAAGAATGACGACTTCCAATGGCTTGTGACATCCCTGAGGAGTCTTGATATCGCAAAGACAGTTGTCCTGAATTTTTGATACTCAATCGAATATACAGTATCTCGTTTTACCTCGTAGATAAGATCCTCAATTCCAGTCAGCGTTCTGACTTCAAACTTCGCCCTGACAGTGAAGGTCTGATCGGACCAGGAAGATCCGTCTTTGACGCAAATCTCCTTCTTGAATCCCAAAATCTAGATTCCTTCGACATGCTGATCGAACTGCTGATCGACTGCTTTCAGAAGTGAGTGAGATGATCAATGGAAAGGACTGGTTATATATAGTTGCCTCGCCAAATACCGCCTTGACTCGCCAAACAGTGCCAACAATGAAATTCAGATGGATAAATTTATCCCACCTCGCAGATTTTTTTGTTGAACTTGGATGTTAATTCGGAAATTCCGGAGTTTTTATCGATTTCATGCTGAATAAATTGAACTTTCCCATCTCAAATGGACCATCTGCTTTCAAATTATTGCTGAGTTCGCTAGATGCTTTGGGTGTTTTTTATTTGTATTTATTAGCTAAAGAATCAGTCAATGAAATCACTTCTGATTAACATGGAGCTAAATGCTTGTTGCATGTTTTAGGGCCTAAAATTTAGGCGCTTCCTTCATAGAACGAATCTTTCATCCATTCGCTGAGAGGGAGGCCATTTTCGCCTTCAGCAGCATCAATTTTGTTCATGAAAGCTTCCTGCTCATCGAAATGTTCAGGCGCTTCGAAGCAGTTTCGGCAGACAGAAGTTGTTTCTGCACCGTTTTCTGAATAATAAATATGAAAATCAATAAAAAAAAGTGCGAGCAAACGGTCTCTCTCCATTCGATTGCATTCGGTAGCACTAGGCATTTGCGGGCAAGGACGAAGATTGTGCCATCGCTCCATCAGGCAGACATCGACCTGTTTGCACCGCGACTCTACTCTGTAGATCTTCCCTCCTCGTCGTCGTTCGACCATGCTGCAGACCTTGTCTTCTCGGCAAGACACTGGGCCTCCTTCTCGCTCCCAAGCTTGCTCTCTGCATTCTTTCCAGGAGTTGCCTTCGCACTTGAAGCACATTGGCCCGGTCATTTGCTTCCCCCAACGAGCGGTGTTGAAATTATTGTCCTCCAGTACTTCGATTTGAGCGAAGACGACGGTGCCGAAAACGAGTCCGAAAAGTTTCATGTTTTTTTTTTACTTTTGCGTGTTTCAGAAATTGATTGTCTGATGGTCTAAGAGAAAAGTACGGACTTATTTATGACCCATTGAGATAGCGCCACCGCTGGATTAACTTATGCAAAAATATACGAATTACGCAAAACCAAAAGCTCATTTTATTGTTTTAGACATAACTTCAATTTGCTAAAACGTCGTTGAAAGTGACGTTGGACCACTAAGGACGCGGAAAGTCTCCTTGCGATCATGCAAGTTCAACTTTCATTTTGGATATTTCTTTTCTAAAGAGTACAGTAATCAACAGGAGCGACATAAATGATTGGGAATCCATATTCAGCCATTTTATGGCCACCAATAACATTAGACGAGACAATATTCTCTTCTAAGTCTTTCTAGAGCTCAGAATAAATTTGTAAAAACTAAGAGGTAATATTTTTTCCCAAGAATATCCGAGAATCTAACATTTTAAAGCTCTTTACTAAAATAACTTTTTGAATTGATTTTGATTGTGATAGCTCGCCATGAGTTCCAGGAAATATGATGATAGAATCATCGAATAATATGGTTGATGGAGAATAAACAGCCTAAAATTAGGACGCGACGACTATTGTTGATAGTTATTTTACCTTGAAAAGATAGCCAATAACTGACCACTTATTGTTCATCAATCGCCAAATTTCATCCAGTGGGTTGCCGATTTTACTATCTAATCCTCCGATAGTCAAAAGGCTTCCAGATGGTAACCCGACCGCAGAAAAGGAGTGAATCCACCTAAAAATTAATCTTACTTATCATTTTTTCTCGTTTACTCTGGATGCATTTGTAGCAAAATCCAGCCATCGTCAGTCAATTTCTCAACTGCGCCGTATGCATATTTTCCTCCGACAACAGTAGGCCGACCATTGTAGAAGGCTAATTCGCCCATCGAATGGATCCCTTCCGGAGCACTAATTTTTGCTAATGATTGTCCATCGTACAGCTCACAGGTTTCAACAGCATTAAATTCATCAAAGCCAAAGCAAACCATTGCTAAAAGGGGTTGAATGTACATAAAATTTCATTGAGAGTAACCTTTACTGCCTTCATTAATAGCTAAAACTGCATGTCCATAGTTATAACGATAAGAAAGCCGGGCAGGTAGTTCTCTGAATTCGCACCTTTCCAATCGAGCAATCTATAAAATTTTAAAGCCCTGTCTTTTTGCTTGTACTAATTACCCTATGTCCATCATAATATCCTCCAAAGATATGGAGCTGGTTATCAAGCAGCGCATGTCTGGAAAAAAGAATGTTAAAAAACGATTCCTCGAAGGCTACTTTTTTATTGATCGACCATCCATCAGCAAGTAATGCATATGGACTCATCGGTCCAGAACCAGCACTTTTTATAGGCAATATCACATTCATCTGGAGCGATGAATCAGAAGAGAAGATAAAGTTTTGAACCTCCACATTTCCAGACTTAAGGGATCATCCCCCGATTTTTCAAAACTTTGGCACCGGTCATTATCGCCTATGATTAGATTCCTCGTGTTCTGAGGATCATTTTGATGTATGATAGTACCCCTTTTCATAAATGCATCCCCGAAATTTTGGCTCCCAAAGTTCGGGAAAATGCATGTAAATTGTACTTAGCGTGAAAATCGCATTTTTTTTTCGATTTTTCATTGTCATCGAAATAACACAAACAAGGGGAGGGGGTCGAAACTATTCTGCATGCAGAATTATTTCGTCGGAAAATAGCCCTTTTTTCGACGAAACTATTCTGCATTTTGCAGAACTATTCTGCATGCAGAATAGTTTCGAAGGTTTCCCCAAACAAGGGCTCTTTCGAAAGCTTAGAATGTGAAGATTACGAATATAATAACCGCATTAAAATTTTCAGCCAATTGTTGGCGCTAGAGAGCATTCAAACCCCCAAATAACGCCAAAAATCGTTTCAAAAAGTTTTACAACTATAATTTTTTTATTCACTTATCCGATCATGCTGATTCTACCAAAAAATATAGATTAGCGTCTATACTTTTAGATAAACCAAAAAGATTTTGGATCCTAAAGCCCAAAAAAAAGTAGATACGATTTGAAAATGACCTAAAATGGCCATTTTTCAAAATGTTAATCACTTTGACGGCCTGTAATGCATAAGCGAATGATTCTACCAGAATTTGCTCCTTTTGAAGCGGGCTTTCTAATGCGGGGAGACGGACGGTGCCGGTACCAAATTTAGTACCCGGTACCAAAATTGGAACCCGGCACCAAAAATTGGTACCCGGTACCAAAGTCAAACATTTTTTCTGACTCATCAAAAAACTAATGTCCGCTCCGCGGCTGAAGTGTAAGAAAACTTCATTTATTGACCGAATACACCTTTTAAAATCAATTTCGGCTCGGTATCCTGACATTATTTTGGTACCGGGTACCAGAAATTTGGTACCGGGTACCAATTTTGGATTGGTACCGGCACCGTCCGTCCCCGCTAATGCGCACAAAACCAGCTTCCTACGTATGCTCAAAAAAGTAGATAGAGGTCAAAGTTGACGAAATGGGGGATCCCTTAAACTTGAAGATCCTGATCTTTTTGTTTTTGAATGTTTCAAGTCCTTTTATATTTTTTATTTTTCGTTGCTTATTGAATTCGATAAAAGATGATTTTAAAAGAGAATTTGAATTAATTTTCAATTCTGTCGATCCTGATGCATTTTTTGTGAAATAAATCGTCCGTCAAAATAATCTGAATCCACCCAAAGGGAGCTCCTATGAATGCCAATCGTAAAAAGTTGCTTCCGTTAAAAAATTGGGCTTCGATGATTTTTCTATCTTTTGAAAAGCTTAAATTCTTCGGAAAATAGATTTGCAGCTCAAAAGTTTCTGTCACATTAAACTTCATTTGAACAGTCGAAATGTGTTCTAACTCTTCGAGAGAAGAGAATAAGTTGTTTGGGATGATCGTTTTGAAGAAACAGCTGGGGCGAGGAAAACGTGGCTGGGAGACAGCATTCTTGGCGAATGCTGGAAAAACATCGTCGTGGAAGGCGAAAAACGGATTGCTGGTCACGTGCATTTTCTTTTCAGCCTTTTGTTGGACAAATTCTAGCTCTACTTGTTCTTTCAGTGGGATTTTATGCCAGTAAATTCAACGCCAAAATGTCTAACATTGTCAAAATTGATAAATCCCCAACAAAATGATAGACAATCTCAAAAGTAGCATCAAAAACGTAGTTCTGAATGTAAATTCGTTCATTATTGACTATTGCATTCGCGAAGTACTCGCATTCATCGTTGTTGATTCCACTCTGATCCGTGTATAAAGGATCATTTGGAGCAAATAAATTCGAGGTACAGATGGCAGGGTTCGGTAATTTGAGCTCACGCTAAAACTCAAGGAAACAAAGCTTGAGACTCACGTTTTTAATTTGAGTTTTGAGAACTCAGAGATGAGAAATCAATTCTGGCGATCCATGAGCCAATCAAGGAAGCGCTCGCTTAATTTGAGTTTTGAAAACTCAAAACTCTCAAATCTCCCAAAACTCAAAGCTCTCAAAATCTCAAATCTTCTCAAAATGATTTCTCAAGTCACTTTGAGTTCTCAATTTGAGGAAATTTGAGCGTCTAGCCAAAATGAGTTTTAGCTTGAGCTCAAATTACCGAACCCTGACAGATGGACACTTCATCGTATTCTACAAGAGAGCCTATCCACTCTCTGGCGAGAGTCAGAAATTTTCCATCTGCTTCTAGCAATACTGAATACAGCGTGTTTGACAGGGCGATACTTCTTGACACGAGAATCAAAAGCAACTTTCCCGAATCGATCTTTTCGGCGTTGAAAATATCATCTTATACCATTTCATCTTATCAAAAAATTTCCAACCCTTTTCAAAGGAACGACATGGACCGGGTCCAAGTCTCTTAATTCCGCAGGCAAGCCAACTTCGCCCTTCTTCCATCCTCTCTCCAATTCTTCACTTCTTCTTATTCTGTTTAAAGCCATCGTTGTCGAGAGTTTGATATAATGATCACCCATTCTGACACTCATCAGATAAAATACGCCATTAAAACTGGCCGACGAAACTTTCGCATTGAAATGATTACTGGCGATGTAGCCCTGAGCTTCTTCAAAACGATTCAAATTGAAATCAGGAGCGTAGTAGAAGCATTTCTCCGAACGTCCAGTTGGAGCGCTTTTCACGGTCAAAAATATCGGCAATCAATTTTCTAATCCTCAATTTTCATCTCCCTCATTTTTGACCTTTTTCAAATTGCGACGACGGGGAAAATGTTTCTATCCTTTTCTTTTCGGCGTATCTGAATCTGATGAGTACCAATTGATGATCCAAAATGAAAAAGAAAGAATCCTCTTTAAAAATATCAGTAAAAAGGACGATAAGAAAAATGAACATACACTCTTCTGTGGCGATTAAGAACAAAAAGTGAAACATCACCATTTTCCCTGAGTATCATTAAATTTCCAATCGCATCGACCAAGTAATGCTCCCCAGAAAGAAAAGTAGCACCAGTTGACTTCGCTGTTTTTATTGATCTGTTAATTGTGAGCCAGTTTTTCAATAAAAACGTTCATAAGGAAGCAAAGAATCTGAAGCTTTCAATATATTTTGCTTTTTCTTTCCACTAAAATCGGTAAAAACAATCGGGAACTCTTTTTGTTCCTCATTTTTTGAATTTTCCCAGCGACCAGTTATCAGTTTAATGTTTTCTTTCCCAAAAGTTTGTGCGGCTGTGGAACTCTTTTGCAAGTCAAAAGCAGGAATCATTTTCTGTCGCGATCCAAGTTTTTGGCATTCGTAATAAGGACAAGGACAGCCAAGAGGACAATACTTTTGAGTTGGACAAACTTCTCCAGCGGATTCAGAAGTTCTAGTCAGCTCGAAGCAGATCGACTCACAGGGAGCAATCGGGTAAGTCCTTGTTGATTCCAAAACTAAGGTTTCTGAACAAAGATGTCGGCAAATTTTCTGATCGTAAAGCTTTTTCTTTTGACAGCGGCGGAGATTCACTTCGTTTTCTTCGTCAGAGTAAACGAGATGCTTTTTTTCTTTTGATTCGATTTTAGAAATCGGGCCTGGGAGGCTGAATTCTTCCGTTTCATAGCACTGCTTCATCAGGTGCCCACAGTAGTCCATCGTGGCAATTTGAACGCATTTCTTGTAGTTTCGGTTACAAGTTGTTGTCAGAAAAGTCGAAACACCGCGAGATAGCTTCAATGAGTAGAAATTCGCTAAAAATATCAAAACAAAAAGGGAACTTATAGCGATAAATTACCAATAAGCATGATCGTTATCCAAAAAACTGACCCAATTCCAAGATATGTGACCCTTTGAGGCGTTGTCGAAAAACCATGGCGAGCAAAGCTCAGTCGGGCGTTGACTTTTTTCTTCCATGTCTTCTTCTTTTTCAAATCTTGTTTCTGCGTATGAATGCTTCGGATTGTTAGAATTTCTTCTGGAAGCAAAAAAACTTGGCCATTCATCTGATGAAGAAAACCGATGCAATGGCAATCCAAACACTTTGAAGAAATAGTCAATTCCAAATTATTTTATTAAATTTATACCTGAATTTTCGCCTTATTAATTTCACTTGTATTTGTTTCCGTTTCTTCTTCAATAGTCATGGTAAATTGGAATAATCTCTAGCTGCGCAAGGAAATTTTTTTTAACAAATTGTAAAAATGGCAAAAAAACTCGATGGTGCGAATCGCGGACGGTACTTTTTCTGACAGCTCGACATTCAAGTCTTCCCTCACGACTTAGCGTCATATCATATGAGTTTCTTTTCGGGTCACTTGCTTTGTCAACTTTATTCAAAATACAATCAAGGAAGAGAACAGTGTTCACTAAGATAAAATTTTGGGAATGATTTCCTCGGAAATATTGAGCTGCGACATTTTGTTGCTCATCTTTGTCGCTAAGCAGCTTTGGTGCTGATCGCTAGAAGTCGCCGAGCAGTTTTTCGGATGCCATTTGTGGAATAAACTTGGATCGTGAGCGCGGATTATGTTCAACTGAAAATATTATTTATGAAAAAAATTTTTTCGTTCATTTACTTTTTTGGAAATGCACTCGTCTGCGAATTCAATATCTTCTCCTCCCCATCCTTTCAGGAAGGTGTTGAGTCCATTTGTGAGTTGGTATGTTTTCTTGCTCATAGCAACCATTCCGTAAGAATACAGTCGCCAGTAGCCGTTTTCGTCGGTTATATTTTGACCAGCGTTGATTTCAAACTGACTTCAAGGGAAAAAATTTTCAAAAATACCAAGAAAAATTCTTACCTGAAGAAAACGGGGAAGAAAACGGAGTTTTCAACGGTCAATAATCTGACTCGATCGAGAATGTCTGCTTTTAAAATGAGATCCACGTCGGAAACGAAGAAGACCTCCTCTTCTTCCAGCATCGATATTCCCTGGTTGATGCAATCAGCTCGATTGAAAGGCAGATCTTGACAGGGCACCGTTGATATTTGCTGGTTTCCGTACTCAATGGGAAGTTTGGAGGCGAGATATTCGGAGATATCATCAAGTTCGGCGTTGACCACGGCGACCACGAGCTTAAGATTGCCATCTTCTGCAGAAAGCTCTTGATACTGGTCTATGAATCGATGAAATGTGTCTCCACGGCCACTTATTGGAACGATAATTGTCAGAGATCTTTTTTTGATCAGAGAATCTTTCGTGATTTTACTTGGTTCTGTCATCCAGGTCTTGCAGTTCATTTCTTGAATGAAGACGTCAATCGAGTCGCTGAATTCATCAGAAAATTGGACGACGAAATACTCATTGTTATGCCCGTAGTAGACATTCTTATCTGTGATTTCATTTCCCCAGCCTTTTTGGGTAAGAGCATTTTGCAGATTTCTCGGCGGCCGCATGACAAAAGCCGGCGCGACTTCTGAATATCGCTTTTCCCAGTGCTCGCCCCAATCTTCTATTTTTCGGTAAAGAATTTTATTCAGCATGCTGACTTCCAATTCGCCTTTCATTGAACTTTCCTTGAATCTGGAAATGTACAATGACAGATTTTTGGCTCGATTCTTGAGCAGTTCTTTTCTGATTTCTCGCTGGTTTTCTGGCGTTTTTGCTGCATGGAGAGTTATTGCTGGTTCGATGATATCTTCTCCCAGATCATCTGGGACTTTGAAATTATCGCTGTACCCGACATCGCCTGGTTCGACGTTTTTCTTCCAGTTATTGTGCATGAGCGCGTTCATTTCATAACTCTTGGTGCAGTAGACATCGAGTTTCTCCCAAATGCATCTGCAGAGCTCAATATCTTCATGATTCGTGTACAGCTGTTTCGTACAAGCGGGAACATGTGGTTTCATGTCCCTGACCAAAGCGCTGGAAAAGATCATTCCCGGGCCTCCCATGCAGTAAAACTTGCCAGGTGGGATGAAATCATCGGCGTCGCGGCCAAAACCTGGGCTTCCGATGAGATGATGTTTTGAAGAGTCAATTTTTGACAGGAAACGAGAAAGATTTTCCCACTGAATAACAGAATCGTCGTCGATTCTCATGAACCAGTCGTATTCGTCAGCCAAAGAACCGAAATGAGCTAGAAAGATGAGTTTAAAGAATGGTTACTGTTTCTTACAGAGCATTCTGAAGGACTTTTCTTGCGGTGGATAGATGTAGTCATCGACAGAAAGCGTTGTTGTCAACCCTTCGAAGCCTTCAATAGGGCTGGAGAAAAATCGAAGAGTAGCTTCTTCCTCATTTATCTCTTTTAGCCAAGTTTCTAAAAGGTTCTTCTTTGATTTCTTCTGTTTTAAAAGGTACCTTTTATAGCAGCGCCGCGAGTTTTTAGATAATCAGGAGTAGTCATGATTCCGATGAAGACTTTTTTCTTTGGCCATTTCTCTTGTTGGGTGATCTTCGATGCTCTCGATTGATTTGAAGGTCTCTGCCATTCTCTAAAGTTGCAAGAAGAGAGTTTCAAGAACTGGAAAGCCTCTCCTATCACAAAGCCAATAACGATTGATAGAAAAAGGTTCCATTTAAAAACGCGGAAAAACTGCCGCATTTTTTTTGTTTTGAAAGTTCGCTTGACAGACTGGAATTTTGAATTCACTACTCTCGCTGTTTTATAGCTGCTTCTGTTTATAACAAGTGACACTCGCGAACTTGAGGTCGGCCATTAGATTCATTTCTATTTTCTGACGGAAAAATAACAACGATGTTTTTTTGCTTGAAGAAGCCAAAACCGAGCATTTCCATATTCCCGGCGCTCTTTTCCTACCGTACTTGAAAAATGAACGTAAAACCTCGGTTGCCCAGGGCAATCGCCCATATTTTCAAATATTTGTTACAAGGTGTTTCCCAAAATCCAAATTCGAAAATTGTAACATTCGATTTTTTCTCTAGATCTTTTGGAGGCGTGCTCGTTTTTGCCCCAAGCGCGTGTCAGAAGGAAAAAAGATAGAGACAGAATTTTTTTCTTGAGATTTTTGGAGAGCGCAATTGTCCGCGCCCTGCACAATGACCCTTAATTAACACCGCCTCAGCAAATAAGGAGAACTCAGAAATCTGAATCAGAAGAACTGCTAATTAGAAAAGATGCCGGACGAAACGGTTAAAGTTATCGTGCGATGTCGGCCGATGAATTCGAGAGAAAAATCGCTGAAATGTGATGTCAGTGTCGATGTCCATTCGGATATTGGACAGATTCAGCTGAAAAAGGTGGGATTTTTTAGTGAAATTTTCTTTTGAAAGACATTTTTTTTTAATTGATATTTTTTTTTCAGTCTGCGAATTCGTCAGAACCGCCAAAAGCCTTCACATTTGACGGATCCTACGGAGTCGATTCGGACACAGCAAATATGTAAATATGCGATAATTTATCGCCGATAAAGATGTTTTCATTGAGCGCTAAAATAATATTTACAGCTACGAGGATGCCGCTTACAATTTAGTGGAAGGGGTAATTGAAGGATACAATGGCACTGTGTTTGCTTATGGCCAGACTGGATGTGGAAAATCCTTCACAATGCAGGTAGCTTACGTTGCAGTTTCCCCAACAATACTCAACACTTGAAAATTAAGGGTATCCAAGCTCAACGAGGCGTGATTCCACGAGCCTTCCAGCACATTTTTGAAGCAATAGCCGTCGCGGAAAACACAAAATACCTCGTTCGCGCGAGTTATTTGGAAATCTACAACGAGGACGTCCGCGATTTGCTCGGAAAAGACATCAAAACGAAGCTAGAACTAAAAGAAAATCCAGACAAAGGAGTTTACATCAAAGGCCTGTCGAATTCGATCGTAAATACTGTCGAAGAGTGCGAGAAGCTGATGGAAAAGGGCTGGAACAATCGATCAGTCGGGGAGACGCTGATGAACAAGGACTCCAGTAGATCTCACAGTATATTCACCATCAACATCGAAGCAGCAGAGCAAGTCGAAGGGCAGAAGGACAAAATTCGCGCTGGAAAGCTGAACCTGGTCGATTTGGCTGGCTCTGAGAGACAAAGCAAAACAGGCGCTACTGGTGCCCGGCTGAAAGAAGCGACGAAGATTAATTTATCGCTCTCAGCTTTGGGAAATGTTATTTCAGCGCTGGTCGACGGAAAATCTAAGCACATTCCTTACAGGTAAACTTCGACATCGTCTTTGTTTAATCATCTAATTCTAGAGACTCAAAACTGACCCGTTTGCTGCAGGACTCTCTCGGTGGCAACACGAAAACGCTCATGATCGCCTGCATCTCTCCTGCTGACAACAACTACGACGAGACCTTGTCTACTCTGCGATACGCCAACAGAGCGAAAAATATCAAAAACAAGCCTAAAATCAACGAAGATCCAAAAGACGCCCTTCTCCGGCAATACCAAGAAGAAATCGCCCAACTCAAAGCTATGCTGGAAGGAAAACCGCTGCCAAATATGTCTCCTGGTGCAACTATCGAATCGTCAGGCGATGTTAAAGCTGGAAGAACAGATTCTAGCGTGGATTTAGACGAAGAAAGAGAAAAAATACGAGAAGAGCTGAAGCGCGAATTCGATTCTGAGTTGAAAAAGCTGAAATCGGAGGGAAAAACGGAAATGACCGCAGATGTGATTCACAAATTAGAGGAGCGCGTTGGAGGAGCACTCGTCGGCGGAGAAGACAAAAACAACGAAGAGAAGAAGAAAAAAGTCAAAAACAGGAAGAAAAAAGCTGACGAGCGGAAAGAGCGAATCAGGAACTATGCTAACGATGTGAGTCTTCCTTGATTTCAGAATTTTCAATTATAAATTTTAGCTTCGCTCATCTTGGCAAAATAAGGTGAAAAATATAGAATCTTTCATATTTTTTACGTACTAGCGCTTTTTTACCGCAAAATACCAACCCTCAAACATAGAAAAACTAAAATTAAGGATGATATGGGAGGCTTGCTACGAGTCTACGACGATGTGAACGATCAGGTTCGAAGACAAGCAATCGTCATTGAGAATTTGAAAATGAGGCTCAAGCAGAAAGGTTTCCATTGATCCTCTTTTAATCTCAAAGATGGATTTAGACAGCGAAATCAACGATCTAAGCAGCGAGTTCCAGGAGACAAAAGAAGAGTATCTCGACGACATCCGCGAAGCTACCCGAGAAAATGACTTGCTAGACGCTCTACTCAGTAATCTTCCCTTTTGATACAGTTTTTCACTTGATTTTAGGACAAATACAGCCACTGATAAGACGAGACTCGAATTATTACTCGATCGAGAAGATAAAAAGCCAGTGCGTTTGGAACGACGACCAGAAGAAATGGGTTCTTCCGAGGCCGCAAATTCTCAACGTAAGTTCTTTCTCCTCGCCTAGAGAAACGAGTTGATTATTAATCAAAGGATCGCCTTCCACAAATGAACGGCAATGCAAGTCGGAGCGTTCCACGAGGATCGTCAAGAGGGGGCTATCCTCAAGAACCACCGCCCAGTCGCTCGCAGGTAAAAAGAGAAAACAAAGAGAAACAAGAATCAACTTTTCGAAAAAAGAGATATCGTATTTACACCGTTTCTTCAAATGCTTTCCAAGCGTAAGATCTGTAAAAAAAATAATATAAGCGTACAAAGACGATTTATGAAATGGCACTGTCCCCGAGGCGGCGACCCAGGGTAAACTTGATTTTTGGGTGAGATCATTTTTTATATAATTATTCCTATATTGCTAGTTTTATACTCAACCGTAGTGCTCATTGCTTTATTCTTTGAGTCCACGATTAAGCTTCTCTTCAGTCATATGGATCAGTAGAAGACCCGTACAACCAGCGCGCGTATCATCCTCAATACGGAGCAGTTCCGAACTCTTCTAGCGAGTCGCTCTCCTCAAATGTGGACCCTTTACCGCCGCCAATGCCCATCAAAAAGCCTTCAAAACTGAATCCTCTGTTCAAGTGAAACTCTTACAATTTTGATTGCTGCTCGTATCCGTTTATACCTGTAATGACTAATAATAAAATATCTATTATTCAAAGATCATAAGTTGTACTGTTCTCTTCCTTGATTGCAATTTCAAATATAGGCGACTTTGGAGGATTTAATGAACCATTAAATATATTTTTTGTACACTTGAAGTTGCTTGAACAGTGTTTTGCGCGATAGTTACAGAAGGAGGGCAAAACAAACAATCAGAATATGACAGAATTTGAAAATTGAAATACAACAAAGATGATAAAATGACAGTTAAAAAGGACCCTTTTGCCTCTCATTTTTGGCTATCTGGGCAGAAAAAGATACTCAGACAGCCAAGTTTAGGAGCTCGGGGTCGTAAAATACAAACTTACTGTAATAAAGCAAGTACAGTACTTGATAAGATAGGCTAATAGGCACCGGCAGTTGGTGAAGTGTTTGAAATTGATGCCAGAGACGTTCTTGGTTGGTAAAATGTCATCAAGATAAGGCTCAAAGGTTTGAGATAGGAAAGGGATCAAAACGGGGGGTACAGATGCGCGTCCTTTACTGTACCAATTTAGGAACGAGCGTTTTTCTTGATAGTAATAAAGGTGGTATGCGGTCATGTGGGTATTATACCCGCGTTCACTGTTCCCCCCGAACGTGGGTATTTATACCCACGTTCACTCTTTCTTCCGAACATGGGTATTCGATACCCACGTTCACACTAACTGGCGAACGTGGGTATTTTCCAGGCGTTTTGAGAACAGTTCTGTTCTAGAGCCTCATCTGTTTCGATGAAGGCGGGAAACACACCGATTACCGGACGTACAAAAAGGTTCATTTTACAGCTCTAACTTGAAAAATTTTGGAGAATCCTTCAAGACAGGCGCGGAGCGCATACTGTCTCCGACTTGAGAACCAGCTTCGGCCGCTGACCGGGCTGTCCTGCACCCTTAACGCTGGACTTGTCTTTTTGAGGTTAAACGTTATGTTTCTAGAGCAAGTTATTTTATATACCACCGTTCAAACAAAATTTCATTTATTGAACGTGGGTATTTATACCCGCATTCGGACATTTGAGCGAACGTGGGTATTAATACCCTCGTTCGAGAAATCACTGAACGTTGGTATAAATACCCACATGACCGCTTACAACCAGTAATAAATAGTAGTAAAACGCGCTAATTTCAAAATGCCTAGGATTGAATTGACTCGATTATAATTAATTTCTAACGATAGAAGTAGCACGCGACGAATTTTAAACTCGACGCCGCAATAGTAATTTTACGTGTCCAGATTTGTCGATGGCGTAATGCCTAATGCCCTTACACGCTCGTTGAAGAGCTGCCGTGTGAACCAGTAAAAGTCAATTTCGTAGCTGAGCGTGTTCTTTTCCAAGTAATCCCGCGCGAAATCCGAGAGGGGCTCCTTGTCTGATGTTTTTGTTTGGTTGCGCCGGAACTGGATATCTGAAAATGTCAGGTGAAAATTACTGGGCGAAAATATGGCTCAGGAGATTTGTCACTGTGGCGGCTTCACAAGTTGCTTAATTATGAAACTTAAAATAAACGATTTTTTTCAACCCAATTCCGAAAATTTGGGACTAAACCAATTTATGGAAGTGCATTTTTGGATTACGAATAAGATTGCTACATTTGGCCTACCGGCAAATCAAAACCCTGATCCATAAAATCAACTCCACAAATTGGTTTAACCCAAATTTTATGCCATTGCGGTCCTAAGATTGTCGATGAAACTTGCGAATGGGGCTCAAGATTGTCGATTTTTGAATTTGATCGGACTCTTATTGACCGAAAGATGATTATCAAATCAAAAATCGTCAATCTTGGCCTCATTCTCGCCAGTTTTATCGACAATCTTAGACCCGCTGTCACCAAATTTCGCAGAGGAAAGCCAATTCAGTAGAACTTGAAAGCCCTATCAACTTACAGTCAGATTTCCATGCGTCCATGGCGCCCTTGTAAAACATCGGAAGCATCGTTTCAAAAAGCTGCAGCGTGTCTTCAAACTGCTCCAAAATTCCAACGATGAAGTAGTCGTTCACCACTCGGCGTTTGACGATTTCTAGCACCTGACGTTTCACGTCCAAATCGCCCGAGTCGTAAGCTGCTTTCATCCTAAAATTGTTCATTATTTTCCGCGCTGTGGATCACTGTAACTCACGTTGCACAGAGCTTTTCTGAACCGCAGAAAAACTCGATGTAGGTCCACTGGTTGCTCACACAGTTCTTTTCTTTGTTTTTGATACAATCGTCAATGTCCTTAATACTTCCTGTTACAAGAGAATCTTTCTGAAATGGGCCACCGGTCGGTGGCTTGTCAAAAATTTGGTAAGCCCAAAAAAGGGCTTGCGCTGATTGGCTCTGCTAATGGAGCACTTGTTCCCAAGGAAGTCTGGCTTCGAAAAATCGGTGTTTTCAGGCGGTAAAACGACTTATGATTTCTGTTGGAAAATGATGATGGGGCCACCGATCGGTGGCTTGTCAAAAATTTTACAGGTAACTATGGCAGTAGTTACCTGTGCTCTCTGATTGGCCCACGCTCTTTTGCGCGCGTTATGAAAGGATCGCCTGAGCCAAAATCGCTGTTTTCAGGCGGTAAGTCCACTTATGGTTTTTGTTAAAAAATAATAACCAGGTTGAGTGGAAAACTAGAAAAAGAGGGCCACCGGTCGGTGGCTTGACAAAAATTTGATCAACCCAAAAAAGGGTTTTTTTCTCTCACTTTTGGCGCTTATTGGCGCGCGCGCTGCATAGGGTTAACAATGACCGAAAAGCGGTGTTTTCAGGCGTTAAGCATACTTATGGTTACTGTAAGAAATGTTGAAAAACTAAATGATTGAAACTTACAGAGCCAAGTTTTGGATCATTTTCGCTGCGGCCCTTATTCATTCCAAATCGCATAAAAGTGTAGTGACTCTGGAACCAGGCGATGGGGTCGCGAATCATGTTCACAAAGGTCGGCTGATGCATCGAGTATCTAAAAGAAGAAAAGCTTATAAAAGAAAGTCATCTCGACCGCAGAAACACGTGTCGCGCTGTGTTTTTTGAAAGTTGTGATTTGCGGCTTTCCAAAAAGACACGCATTTTATGTACGATACATCTTGACTTTCGTGTTATGTAAAAGTGCTTACTTGTTGAAATCCATCCAGAAATGATGCTGAAGGAGGAAAAAGGGCTCTCGGTAGCGCATTTTCAAGGCTTGGATTAACGTTTCTTCGTCAGTAAATTTCATTACGCCGCTCATGATCTAAAAATAAGGTTAAGGTTTGGGCAACAATACAGAATCGATAATGAGCTTTCATCAAGCTTCTCATTAGCCAGACGAAAAGCAGAGATTTCTGGACCAATCAGACGCTTGATAGAAATTTTCGTTATCAAAAGAGCCATTGGAGTGAATAATTCTTATGTATAAAACACTGTAGATATGACTGTATGATACAGTCATCATGAATAATGATTCTTCACTACAATGGCTCTTTTCGATAACGAAAGTTTTCATCTAGCCTCTGATTGGTCCAAAAACCTTCATTTTGCGCTTGGCCAATCAGAAGCTTGATAAAAAATCATTATCGAGAGTATCGATTGTAGACTTTTTGATGTTTATTTTTTAATTAATTGTTTACCTTCCAATACGTAAAATTATTCTTCCGACTTAGCAAGCCGACAATATTATGCATCGTTGTCGATCCGCACTTTGGAAGTTTGTTGTGAAAGACGAATTTCGTATTTGGAACGGGAGCGAAGTAGTCCACGTCGTAGGAGTATTTGCGCTGGGCGGGCGGGAGGCCCTCTCCAGAAGTCAGTTTCCAGCCGGGCGAGTCTGCGCCCCAGATGGACGAGAGCTCCTTAGACACGCCACCGCCAAGACCCGCTGAATAAACGGTAAATAAGCGCAATTAAAACTACTTCTGTCTAAACAACACCAAGAAAGCTACAAGTAGACAAGCAACACAAGAAAAAATGCTTCAAAGAAAAAAATTAAGGGCGTCATCACGATATTTATATAAAAACAAAATTAAGAGCAGAGTTCAAGTAATCGCTGGGTACGATGAAAAAACTACAGTACCACCAGTTTTCAAATTCGAAGAATCGCTAGAATTAATCGAAGCAATGATGGAGAATGACATGGTTGACATTCCATCATTTTGAGCCGAAACATGCAAACTAACACGCAACAGAGCATTTCTACGCATAAATATTTGACATAACATGCAATCAAACACAATGACTACAGTAAGAGTTGTTTCCAAACCTGCAGGGTTAGCATTATCTGTAAGGAATCAGGTTAGTGTCACGGTTTTCCTGACCATGGTTCATTTTGGTCGGATTTTTGGTTTCAAGAAAAAGCTGTGATTCTTATTGGTCATTTTATTCACCGAAACAATCTGATTGGCGAGTTTTTCGATTCTGAAATCTGATTGGAAGACGCTCCAAAGGAGAAATTTTGATTGGTTTTTCGAAGAATTTTTTCATATTTATTCAAATTCTGCAATTTTCGATTGTTTGGATAAATAAAAACCAATTCAATTTAATAAAATTGTGGTCTCACCTGCAACGGATTCGACTTCCTTCTCCGCCCATACAATTTCTTCCTCGACAGCTTCGACATCTTGTTTGACGACTTCAATTACCTCCTCCTCCACCTCGCGCACTTCGTTTATGATTTCCCGGAAGAAGCCAACATTTTCTTGCTGAATAAATTGGTTAAAAAAGAAGAGAAAATGGCGCCCTCAAATTAATCCAATCAATTTATCATCATTAGCCAAACAAAGTATCAAGAAACAAGAAAATGTCAAGTTCAATGATTACCTGCGCCCTCAGCGAGTTGAGCATGTGTTCATGTCGCTTGAGAGTCCCGGAGCGTATCGAGTGCCAGACGTGCATTGTGCAAAATAAAAATATTCCAGAGCCAAGTGCGAGGTAGTACTTCTGACGTGCATTTCCCTTTCGATGGATCGCAATTTTATAATAACTATTCATTTTCCTGAAATTGCCAATGTTCAATTTGCATTTTTTGCTTTGAAATGACCCGTTATACCCTTAATTTTTCGATTTTTGAGTACTATGTTTGCTCAAAAACCTATTTGGAAACCTGAGTCAGGGTCTGAGTCAGGGAAAAATAGCCGCATCGCGGCTTTTTCGAAAACGAAGCCGCATAGAGGCTTCGCCAAAATAATCATCAAAACCAATTTCCTGATTCTGTTTTTCTCCTGACTCAGGTTTTTACCCAGTTGAGCAGAAGAAGCTTGCGAAGCTGATAAGAATTTTACGTTTTACTTCAAAGGATAATTTATTCGAAGCTGTTTTCACACCCGGACGCTTTAGCAAAAATATTTGATAACACCTGCATAGTACGGGAAAAATGAGATTTCCAGCCGTCAATTTCATGGCCATTCTTTTAGAATGATTCTTTGGCGTATCAGTTGCTATCAAGAGTACTGTATGCTTTTATCGATGTAAGCGAGCGCTTAGCAGTGAAAATATTGGCGGAGCGGAGCCGCAGGCCGTGTAGAACTTGCTACTTTCCTTGATGAAAAACCGCGTCTCATTATCACCTCATTCGGTTGCTACTACTCTTCCGCCACCTTGAAGGGGTGGCGTTCTGGACTTGTTGATTTGTTCACGTAATTACGTGCCAGACATCGCTAATAGGATATGTTTATATAAACAAGTCATTAATTAAGTGCTTCGTCTAACTCTGGTTCTTTTTGGTCTTAAGGAGGTACCTTAAGAAAAGATCATTTTGATGAGGAGCTAATTCAAGAACCGCTAGAATTTTAGAATTTTAGGAGATTTCGGAAAAAGCGTAACTGGCTGCGGTTTTTGAAAAGATGAAGGGCCCGATTCCGAAATTGGATTTTCTCAAAATCAGCGCAGTGGTAAATATTCCCACGAAAAATGCACGCCGGAATGGCACCCCTTTTTCCTCCTTTTTCGAACGTATTTTTACGATGATTTGAAAGTATTATAATTTTAGGATGAACACATCACGTGATCTACTCTAGAACCAGGTAAACAAAGAAGATACCAGACGAACAAGGAGATATACAGGCAGATTTACGTTGAAGCTTCTTGGCTCTTGAAGAAAAAATGCGGCCAGAGCGCCTCCTCCGCGCCAAATCGGGGATAAAAGGATTTTTAAAACTAGGGATTAGTCTAGTGCCTCAACAACTTTTCGCAATTTTCAACATTCCGAAAGTTTTTTCCTTTTCAAAAATTTGAAAAATGATGCTTTCACCAGCTTTTGAAGGAAAAAGCTTGTTGACCAAAAGATTGGCAAAAGACGGCTCCGGGTTAAACTCAAAATTTTACTTTTTATGACCGGAAATCAAGCTTGATTCCGAGTGAGTGTGAATCTCATATTCTGTCGCGTGTGTGGATTGGAAAGATTCCAAACGCGGCATTTTCTCGTTCGCCCATCTGCAGAATTTCAAATTTCCTGCCGTCATAAAAAATCATCACAACTTCCCGCAGAGGAACTCGCTTTCACACTATTTCAATATTTTCGCAGCTCGTCGATCCGTTCCTTTACTACGCTTCTGACTTTTCTCGAGCTCACTCTCATCTCAATTTATTTACAGTCAGTCGCTTCTTCTATTTCTTCTCTAAATTTCAAAATCGGAATTTTCAAATTCGAAATCCCGATTATTTTTTTCTTCTTCAAACGTTCATTCTTCTTCTTGGTCTTCTTGAATCTCTTATTTTAGAAAAAAAAGACTAATTGACAAATTTGTTATTTACTACTACTACTACCGGTCGCCCCGATAAGCTGTCGGTTTTCGCCGATTTTCGGAGCTATTTCGGATTTTTCGTTGTTTAGTGGCGGCGAGCACCACACCGGCCCCCCGCGCTGCCCGAAGTTCAGCGTACGGGGCCGCGAGGCACTCCACCTCCACCACCACACCAAACAAGCTCGATTCTCATAATACTAGAAGAATCTATTTTATCATTCATGCTCAATTATGTTTACCAAATAGCGCCTGCTTCACATTTACCCCCGATTTTAGCCGCGACATTGACCATAATTACGATCTGAAGAGATGAAGATTCATGAAAAATGGAGCAGTAAACTTAGTTACGGGGAAATATGAAAAATGGCTTTTGCTCTTCCTGGCGCCAAATAGAAAATTACGAATTCCACGAACTTGAGAGCTCGAGGGAAAAGGCCATGTGTAGATAATTCAAGATTTTTCGGTACTTTGATGCTCCAGAGGGCCATCAGCTGCTAGAACATCTGTTGGGCTTGATATAAGACAAATTCTGGCTCATGAAAATTATCAGTTTGAAAATGAAGCGGAAGAACTAGCTAAAAATCTAGATTCTGAGACTTTTTGTTTATTGATTTATAAAATGAAAAACTTCATATTAAGTACCTAGTCGAACTTTTATTGATGGTTAGTGATTATCTAACTGCAAAAAAATATAATGTCTTCATCTGCAATTTGTTTCAAATTCTTGTTATTGATTCAATCATGGAAATAGTAACGACTCATTTTCCATGCAACAATGAATATTAGATCGTAGGATATTTGAATTGTGATTTCTTGTTGTCTCCATCATTCATAATCATTTTCGAGCTTGGAAATATATTTTAAGAAGAAAATATATTCTTGGAAAGGAAGAGTGTGAACTTGAGCGCAATAAAAACCGGAAGCGAGCTCTATAATCCCGTGATAAACTTGACTAAATACAAAATCGAGGATTTGAAAGAGAACGAATTCGCTTCTTTGTGGCAGCGCGTGAATCGTACGGCCGGGGTCAACGACTCCTACCGACGCACTGAAAGACGATTATTGTTTAACTCAAATATATTAAATCTGAAATACTTAAATACGCGCCGACGCTACATTTGTCAAACATTTCAAATAAAAGGAAAAAGAGCGAAAGCGGAAATTCTTTTAAAACACGGCGGTTCGGATTTTTCACTTGAAGAAAGATTGAAGATTGAGAAAAAAGAGGAGGTTGAAAAAATGGCGGATTCGAACTTGGAGGACCCGAAAAAGGAAGAAAAACAAAATGGGCTGGAAAGAGTTCTCGAGTGCTTTCCGGAAATGTCGTGGTACCATTTTGGGGAGAGGTGCGAAAATTTCAGACGACCCTTTTTTAGTTCATAATTTAGATTTTTGGAAAATGCGAAAATCAAAGAAAGGTTTTAAAAGTTGTAAAATGGAATAAAACTTAGCTTTTTTCCAGAAATTTTTCGTCAAAAAACACCATAAAGCTTTAATAGTTAATTTTTATTTCTAATTTTAATCAAACTCTTCCTTGATTTCAATTAAAGACGTTGAGTAAAAAGATATCTTCCTCGAATTTATTCTTTCATGACATCATGCTGATTATTATATTCAGAATATACCTATATTTCTGAAATTCAAATTTCGAGCAGAATGGTTATATTTGCACAGGTCAGCAATTCGCCGTCCTCAAGAGGAATTCCTCATTTGCTCTTTTTTCTTTCGCACCTCGCTGACAGATTGTTCGCTTACTGTTACTACGGCTACATGGGAGTAGCCACAGCTGTTGCGGGCAACATTTTCTATCAATATCGCCCGAGCGAGATTTCTTGCGACTTGGGCGAGGTCTCTGAAGAATACGCTCTTTTTGCCTCGCAGAATTTAACCGGTGAAGATGCTCTTTGTAAATATTATCAACCAACCGGCTGTGCTGCTGGAAATGGAAATGTATCGACTTGGGATGAGGACACTTTGGAGGAGTGTTTTGCAGAAAAAGAGCTTGCTGAATGCACCAGTTTCAAATACGCCGATCATAATTTTAATAAAACACTTGTCTCAGGTACAAAAATTAACTGGAATTCTAATTGATGCAAAATCGAGAAGCCGCTTGCGGCTTCGAGCAAAACAGGAAAGAAAAGCCGCGTTTTGCGCGGCTTAAGGGTGTCAACTTCGATTGAGTAAGGGTATCTCTTATGAGTCGAACGAATGCCAAAATCGATGTTGACACCCTTAAGCCGCGTAAAACGCGGCTTTTCTTTCATGTTTCGCTCGAAGCCGCAAGCGCCTTCTCGATTTTTTGCGGCTACAATCAAAATTCCAGCGAAGTTTTACCTGTCAGAAATGAGAATAATTATATTTCAGAATATAATTTGGTTTGTGGCAAGAAAACGATGCCGCTAATCTTCATCATGTTATTCAACGTCGGACTTATGGTCGGCCCGATCGTCGCTGGAAAAGTATCGGATAAACTTGGACGAACGAAAACGATATCCTTCGGTGCTTTGGCTTGTGTTTCGTTAAATTTGCTTATTGGAATCACTGACGTAGGCGCGTGGGGATACGGTCTTTTGAGGATCTTTACCGTCATTTGCTCGTTGGTGCTTGCTCTGCCCTCGATGGTCTATCCTTCAGAAGTTCTCACGCCGAAGTACCGATCAATGGGAGCAATGCTGGTGGTCGCCACTGCTCTCGGCGCTGGAATCTTGATCGTTGTGGCGATCGCCTGGTTCATTCGAGACTGGAGAACGCTTCATATCTTCTCATCCCTCGTGAACGTCCCTTCTATTTTCGCGCCTTTGATCATGCCCGAAAGTTACCGATGGCTCTACCAGAACAAGAGATTTGATGAAGCAGAAAAGGCGCTTATGCACATGTCGGCAAAAACCGGCGGAAACGTCACGCAGGAGATCTTAAATGAAATCAAGGAAGAAATCCAAAAGAAAGAAAAAGAAGAGGGCGACGTGGAAATAACAGTAGAAGAAACGCTGAGCCAAAATGCTCAAGTCAAAAGGACAACTCTGACGCTGACATTCTGCCAGTTCATCCGAGGGCTGATCCAGTTTTACCTGCTTTACACCGTCGCTAGTCTCGGCGGAGATTTCTGGGTCAATAACATTATCAACAATATCATCGGATTTCCCGGTAAACTTTCAATCCCTCCTCTTCCATTTTCACCCCTTTCTAGCATGCTTTGTCTGTATCTGGATGATGAACACCCGCGCTTTTGGTCGAAAAGGAGCATTTATTTTCGGACTCGCCTGTTGCTCGATTTCCCAGCTTCTTCGACTCGGATCACTGCTCATTGACAGTACTTTGTGCGCGATGATAGCTTCCTATCTTGGCCTCTTCGGAGCCATGGGATCAATGGCGGTTGGACAAGCCTACACTTCAGGAACGAGGAAAACACAAATATATAATTCTAATTTCATTTATCATTTGTTTATTCGTGATTTATTCACCTCGCGATAAGAGCTCTTCCCGACAACTGTTAGAATCAAAGGTCAGTGAATCCGAATTATTTTCTTTTAACCCCGTTTAGCAACGGCGGTTATCTACACTGGTGCGATGGGTGGCTCCTTTTTGGTTCCAATTTGGATGGTCTTCGATAATTTCATCCCCTGGCTGGCCACTTCGCTCAATTTTGCTCTCATGAGCATTGGAGGTTTGTTCTCTTCAACCTTGATTTATCAGCCCTTTTTTGTAGCATTTATGTGCTTCAAACTCCCAGAAACATTCGGCAATCCAATGACAGAAACCATCGCCGATTTTGAGAAGATTTACGAAAACAAAACGCACCCACTCGACGAGCCAGACTCTGAAGTAGACAACGATTGCATTTTTTGGTCTCTTACTTTGTTGTTTTTAGGAACTGCTTCTCAAAAAACCCGACAGCCCACCACTAAATTAGATCGATGCCGCTAAAAGGTCAATGACTTGGAGCATTCCCTGCACCAAATAAGCTGGAATACGAACTTCGTTGTATAGAATTAATAAAATATTAATAATAAATAAATTATTTCAAAACTTGTCAGTTTTGAGGGGTACTGAATTGTGCCGCTCTGTGCCGGTTAGATTTGGCGGTACTCGGCGGCACAGGACGGCGCAGAGCGGCACAATTCAGTGTCTCCCGTTTTTTGCGGGAAAAAGAATAGATTTACTGGATGATGAGTTTTTGCGCGGCAATTAGCAGTTGCCGGTTCCAGAGTCGGAGATTGGAATTGACATTTTGGTTTCGTGCTCGCGCCAGCACCGCCGAATTATGCGTCCGTTAGTCGCTCTGGAAACTCTTTTACTAAGCGGCTGTTTTCGTCACCACGTTTCTCTGCTAAGCCCTTTTTTGATGTGTGGCCTTTCCAGAGGAGTCCCACGTCTTGAGCTTCCATGATCGCTTGGCATTTCAGCTTCGTTTACGAGCATCGTCTTTTTTCGAGCTCATGCTCAATTTTAAATGCTAATTGGAAGTAAAATGTTAGATGGATTCTAGTTCTCAAACTTCCAGACGCGAAAATCAAGGAAGATCGGCATCTTCTTCTTTCTCATATCAGACATTGGCAATTCTTCCAGAGCTCCAACCGACGAAGAAAAGCGGACATCTGACGTCTCTCCCTCCACCTACCGACAAAAAGGCAGCTAGAGTCCCGTTCCGATTCCCAAGTCATCGGCGGCGCCGCCCGCCACGCAGGAGACCATCTCCATAATCGACCTTTGCAGAGACCTTTTCTGCCAAAAATAAAAATTATTCAACTAATTGACGCGCAAAAAAACACCACCACCAGCTGGTGCTAGAGAAATCTTCGCCGACAACAATTCACTAACAGAAAAAAAAAAACATGATGGAAGGGAACAAACTACCAAGTATGGCGAGCATATCAGCTGGCCAGTTGAATTTGAAGCTTCATAATTCAGGTACTATCAAATTATACCAATTGATACTGTACCAATTGGTACAATTTATACTGTAATTTACACTGACGCAAGTAATTATTGAAAGCCTTAACGTAATCGTTATTAATTTTGAAATGAAGAAACTTTGGTCAACAAGGTTAAGGGTATCATTAACTATTTTCAGCCAACATTGTTGACACCCTTAATTGACCATTTTTGATCATGGTTTTCGAGTATAGAATACTGGGTTCATAAACAAATCAACTCCGTGAAATGACGGTAAAAGTCAACGGATATTAAAAACTTAGAAGAATTCGTTCTAAAGAATCATAACTTTCCCCTCCAGGAAAAAGTGTCACATAGACGAAAGACATTCATCTAGCGGCTCGAATGACCTTTAATACTTTTTCCGATGAGAAGTTATGCTTCTCTATCCGAAAGGCTAGACGGAAATCCAGCCTAACCAGCCCCCTGATTGGGATATTGGCTAGTTTTTAAGTCTCGCAGCCTGCCGAGTAGACAGACTGTAAAAGAGGAGTGTTTCGTTTTGTCGGTGAACATAGACGAAGCTTTTCTATGGAAATTCTGTGCGTCTAATCTTACGATTCGTATCACTCAAGTAAATGATCACCCGGTGCTTCTTTCTTATATATTTTTTTGCAAAGAAGTTTCTCTCTTGATTTGTGTGCGTTCTCTTGAGGGATTTAGCGAGAATGAAAAAGAAGGAAAAAAGGGTTTTCGGCGTGACCCTTGGGTGATATTTGGCGGATTCTGGCGGGTGAATGGCGTCTATTCCACGGGCGAATGCCAGCCTCATTCTCCCAATTACCAGGACAAATAACAACTCCCTGCTTTTGAAGTTCAACGCAGACTAGAGTCACCTTATGATAACCTTTGGGACGCAGCAGAAGGTTCTTCGAGGCAGCCTCGAAGGTCAGAGATTTTCAACGACTTTCCTACTCTTTCAGACGAGAATTCTGAACCTTTTCAATCAGGATGCTTTTTCAAAGTTGATTCTTTCAGAGAAAATTTTGAGAAAAAAGGGCTAAAAAAGGGCTTGAGATTTTCCGTTTTGAAGACAAAGAAGAGAATGCATTTGATACAGAAACCAATCATATTCCAGGCCTATCTGCTAGTTGGAGAATGTTTCCATGGAGCTCTGAAGTCGGAATTTTTTGCTGTTCTAGGGCAGATAATAATCAGTGATAGAAAATAGAGACAAGATTTTGATGGCTCTTGTCAAAAATAGTCTGTTTTTGGGGACTAAACCAATTTATTGAAGTGCATTTTTGGATCAAGGCTTTGATTCGCCAGTAGGCCAAATACAGCAATCTTATTGGTTATTCAAAAATGCACTTTTATAAATTGGTAAAGTCGGTTTTTTGGCTACTAGAATATGCTTTTAGACAATTTTATTGCATCCTTCATAATCCTAGTCTTTCGATAGTATCTCATTGTACTGTTCGACAATTAAGGTGATAAACTGTATATTTCAACAGCAAGTCATTTTGAGATATCTGCTAGACTTCGTTGAGAAAAAGAGCTGCGTTGACTGTGGCGTTTTGTGGCCGTCCAGTGTAAATATCACCAGCGATTGCACTCGGAAAAAAACTTGGAATGAGAATAAATCTATAAAAAATAAAATAAAACTGCGTTTGCTCAAATCATCTGCAACACTAAAAAACACGCTTTTGATCTTCATTTTTTAAATTTTCAAAATTTTGACGAATATATTTTCGGAAGCCTTCTTCTTCTTCGTCAAGGCATGAATCGTATTTGCGAATAAAATTTGGGAAAATACGGCACCTGGAACAACTCCTAATCCAAATGACTTTTAACTCAGATCAACGCTGACATTCGCTCCCCGTCGTAAATTCATAAAAGCTCCTCAATTCATTTCTACTCCGCAAATATTGTACCTACAACTAGCCAACTCAGCTGTGTTTCAGAAAAAGCGGCCTGAACAAATTGGATCCAAACATGTTTGAAAATACGAAAAAAGGAAATCGCAAAAAATCGAAAAAAACCGCGCTGCTCTGACCTTTGTCCTCTTGTCGCCCAATTTGCGGTGATTTGCGGGCCGAACCTAAAAAACCGGATGTTCAGTCGGTCTCAAATCCGTGCATTTCCAATCGCCGATTTCATGGGCGCGCTTCCGCCCATTTCTGATCAATGTACTGCTTGTTCCTCCAACACGCGCGTCCCTTTCTTTCCCATATCGCAGTTGCTAAGGGGCTTATATTGTACACTTGGGGATTAAGCTTCCTTATCGCGCAGTACGGAACATTTCCGGGTAGCACCAGCCGCACCTGCTTCGCGGACCCCGCTCCGCGCAAAACTAACCAGTTTAGCTCACTTCACGAGCGCTGACCTTTTCGCCACCGCCGGAACAGAATATAGAACCAGAAATCGCTAAATACTCACTTTCTCAAAATAACAATGCGGTCAGACAAAAAAATGAACTGAAATGCAATACAAAGCAGAGTTGCAAATTTAGCTTTCTTTTTTCTGAGCTGAGCTGAGTCAAAATTCATCTGAGCTGAGCTGAGCTGAGCTGGACTATTTCAGAGGTTACTGAGCTGAGCTGAGCTGAGCAGACCTTTTTTTAAGGTAGTTGAGCTGAGCGGAGCTGAGCGGACCCTAATTAGAGCTGAGCTGAGCTGGTTGAGCTGATCTGAGCTATTTTTACTGTTTTAAATAGTAAAATTGTGTTAAAATCATTGAGCTGAGCTGAGCTGAGAAAAGTGATCATTGTCTGAGCTGAGTTGAGCAGGATAGATCTTGTTTGAAAATAATTGTGCTGAGCTGAGCGAAAATTGTCTGAACTGAGCTGAGCAGATCAGATCATTTTCAAAAATCATTGAGCTGAGCTGAGCATTATTAACTATCTTGGACTCATTGAGTCGCTCATTTTTTAAATCGTGAATCATCATCCCCTCTTTGATCCCTTCCCTGCTCCAACGGAAACCGATTGAACATGCCCCCAGGCGCGTGAGAATAAATTTTAATTTCTCGCGCTCTGAAAAGATGACCTTTTCCATGTTCGATGTATCAGTTTGACGTCGCTAATAATCGCCAATGCTCTTTCCTATTCTTCGAGTCCGCTACAACTCGGCGGGGGAGCGAATCAAAGACGCTCTCCTGCTGATAATATTGCGCCAAACATGGCCAAGTTTGGGGCTGATAATTGGCCTCAAGGCTTCAAGTTTTTAGTATAAGCAAAAATGATTGTAAAAATGGGTCGAAAAAGGGTTGAAATTGAGTCCTCATTAACAGCCTTTTTCTCAATTTTTCTTCTAAAAAATCTCTCATTTTTGATGAAAAAAGCGGTTTTTTCAAGTCACAAAATCGAAAATGAAAAGCGAAAGGGCGAGAAAGAAAAGGCTCTCGGCTTTTGTCATTTGCATGATATTTTGTTCTTCATAATAAATTACGATTACGATCTGGCGAGAGGGACATCGCGAAGGGCAGAATAATTCATTCCAAATGTCGAGCAACATTTCTTCTCCAGGAGCACTCGCCTCGGGCGGAAATGGCCAGTGAGAAATTTCAACAAAGTCGATATATTTTAATATCTCCTTTTCGCGGTTTTCAGGAAGTGAAGGAGAAAAATGGAAATTGAATTAACGGACATGCAAAATTTATTTGTCCGGAGCTGTGTCGCGCGAGATGATGACATTTTCAAAAGTTGCAAAAGTTGTCAAGTGGAAAAAAATAGTTTGCGCTTTATTTATTGAAAAAATATTAATTGAAAATTGAAAATTGGAAAATTAAAAATTTTGAATTTTGAATCACTAGAATAATCTTTTTTGAATTTTCCCAGCTCAATCGAAAAACAGATTACTGCTCAAGAAATTGTAATTAGCCAAAATCGAGGCTAATCTCTTGCGATTTTTTCTGAGAAAATTCGGAAAAATCAGCTGGAATACAACTAATGAAAAAGTATCATCGTCCCAAAACAGCGCTAAGCGGATCAAGAATCCTCCTGCTCCGAGGAGGACGCGCTTCAGGGCCCCGGATTCCCGGATTTAACACATTCACTTCCACGAAGGCGATCTCAGGAGAATCACCAGTGCGTGTAATTTTCCACATTTTCGTGCTTTCATAATACAAGATTAAAAATACACAAGAATACAAAAATCAAATCATGAAAAGTGATAGCCTTGACAAGAAGGCGAAACGAGAGCTGTTTTCATAACTCACGTACTCTTGGAAATAGTCCACTTGATCATAAAAGGTGTCGAAGATAATTTGAGGCTGACCTTTGGAATGTGAACGACCTTATTCTTACACGATATAACCGTTTCCGATAGTCCTCTCTTCGGAAAATCAGTACGCCATCGAAAAGTTTAATTGTCGAAGTTGACTTTTTTTTTTAATTCTAGGGCTCGGAGTCCTGTGTGGAAAACCTGAGTCAGGGTTCTGGAAGAGCTGGCTGAAGAATTGACAAAAAAGATAGAAATGGTACTTATGGCGAAGCCGCTTTGCGGCTTCGTTTTAAAAAAAGCCGCTACGCGGCTTTTATCAATGATTTGCTAGGACCCTGACTCAGGTTTTCTACAGAGGTTTTCGTGTAGAAATTTTTATTTTCGCTTAATTTTCCATCAAAAATTCGCTTCACTCATCATCATTTCTGATGTTTGTAGCCTTGAAACTTGACTGTAACTCGACTGCATAAGAGCATATTTACAGTAGTTAAAGTAAGTTAACCCGGCTCTGGAGAGAGTGAGTCGAGATAAAATATCGCCGCCAGTTTGGATTTGATTCCTGCGCAAATGTCAGCGGCTCAGCGAGTTACATCTATTTGAATTGACAATCGCGATAGCAAACCTCCTTCCAAAAATATTCCGCATCGTCAATTTTACTTTTACGACTTCTGTAATACGAATTCTATGACGCTCTTTTTCCTATCTTTGTTTCATCGTTTTCATTTCACCGCGTTCAAAACCTGACTCAGGCTTTCTGAACCTGACTCAGGCTTTTTACACAGGTTGCCGAGCCCAGAGAGCCTCTCCCAGAGA